AAACCTATACAATTGTCCCAAAGAGGCAAGCGCAAGGCCTCAGAGGTTGCAGCACCCAGGAAGAAGCAGAATCGTGGTAGTGCAGCTGCCCGTAGTCGTGCTGCTGCCGCGCCTCGCTCCCCATCCCCTCCGGCAAAATACAACAGCCGCGGCCGCCCAATCAGAGTGCCACAAAAGTTTGAGTGAGGAACTTGTTCATATAGGTCTATAGACTACTCCACCAGAAAATCTCATGATAATAACCATTGTGTGTGGCTCTACAGCCTCATTTTTGGTGGACCTATTTTGGTGGTTCGGCGCATTACGCGAATCCGCGCATTACGCGCACGGACACGGTAGTCTGCTTCTACCACATTGCAGGCAATCACGACAGAAAGTTGCTGTCGGGAACATTCATACAGAGCAAAACAGGTATGCGTATGATAACCCGGGATATTCATATACTGGAACCAGAGATCCAAAGCACAATGGCTGGCATTTGGATCACAGTGCGCTTCAAGGGTCGATTCCATGTCAATCTGGAGATGGAGACAACTCAGCGCCAAATGTAAGGTCGCTTGCCTGCTTCAGCTGAAAGCCCTCGACCTATCATCTCCAACAGTTGATCTGACGCTTGGTGACCCTTCTGCGAGAGTCGTTTAATTTGGTTTAGTGTTAAATCCACTTTGAAGACTGCCAACGGGTAAGTCAGAACATATGTGATGCCCGCAAGCGCAGAGCTGATCTGGGACCACCAGCATTATCCAGCTTCATCGTGCCATTGCACCTGGGAAAACAGCATTGAAAGCGCATTCCACCGTGATATGAACCATACGCATAATATCAGCGATACGGCGGATTCAAGCGCAGCAAAACACCCGTTCACTTACCCTCCGCTTGCGTCAGACATTGCAGCCTTCCGTCTGATCAAAATCCCGCCAGAGCACCATCAGGGCCGCATACAAGTCCAACTATGGAGCGATGGCATGGAAGGTTTGACTCCATACCATTGCCTGTCGTATCGTGGGGGCGAGGTCGTGAAGACGCACTAGATCGAGATCAACGGTCATCCATTTCTGTTGGAAAGAACCTCCATGACTTCCTTGAGATTGCAACACAGTCGTATGCATCACAGCTGCTCTGGGTCGATGCCATCTGTGCAAATCAGCTAAAAGGGAAGATAAGGCCAGACAGGTCAGCCGCATGAGCAAAATCTACTCGGAAGCTGATGGTGTGCTCGTCTGGCTCGACGGCGACAATCTGCATAAAGTCTTCAGATGGGTCCGCGATGGTGACTATACAACTTTGGAGAAGACATGGAGCGATTCGAAGGGAGTCAAGCCCTCTTAAATCATTCGTATTGGACGTGGACGTGGATTACGCAGGAGATACTGTTGGCGAGACCTGTGACCTTGCTTCACAAGACGGATACAATGGACCTGGGCTTTTTCGGAAACGCGCACCTGAAGGCGACCGGTCGGCCTGAGGTTGGGCCTAAACTGAAGTAAGTAGAACCTCTAGCAAACCGTTATCCTGGAGGCAACTAATCACCTTATTCATTCGCCTTAGAATGGTTGCAAAAGTCAGCGGTTAAGGCCAATTCCTCTACGACTGGTGGCGAGCAACAGGAGCTTGAGTCGAGCAAGTACGATTTGTGGGATCTCCTAACCTGGCGAGGAGATTCGCAGTGTCTGCACGCTGCTGATCACATCCACGGGCTCTGCGAACTTGCAAGAGAGTGTCTTGATTTCCCAGCCTCGTACAACGAAAGTCTATCCGATTTATTCTGGCGCACTGGAGAGTATTTCGAGGCTTGGGGAAACGCTGCCTTCATGGCTATACTGAGAGGATGCCTAGGACTTTTGCAGTTGACACTGATGGCTCCTCCGAATAGACTTGAAAATATTCGCATACAGCTTCGTTCAGTTCACGTTGGGAGACAACGTCCTTGGTACTCGTACAAACGGCTTGCTGCTCGAACCGGCCTTGCGTGTCCTGCCCACAGTGCGACGTTGACTTTGATTCACAATCATGCGATGAGATCCTTCTGTGCGCAGACTAGTACAAGAATGGCTCCTCACTGAAGGGAAGCACATTCGCCCACGTGCTACTTGTGCCAGATCCAGAGGAGTCGGACGAGTAGTCAGCTTTTCTGTTCCCGAGCAATGTGCACCCTGTGCTTAACATGAACATTGTGGTCTTAGCCTCTTCAACGCTTTCCCATCAGTCGACTGAAAGGGTGCCAACAGCTATACTTCGCTGGTCAGATGTGAAGGCGGTGTTGGGATCAGAGTATCAGAAGAATCCGGACTGGATGAATTGGCAGATACGGCTCCCGGCGACGTATGTACTGACGTTTCTCGAGGCTTGGGACGAAGCATTTCCACTACACTCGCGCCATAGCATGGACGACTTCTATCCCATGAGTGAATCGACGCGGAAGACAATGCTTAGTAAAAAGTGAATCACGATGAAGCGAAACTAGGGTTGTTGTAGTAGATAGAAAGCTGCAATATGACTTGAAAGCCTTCTCTACTCAACTGACCGTCAACAGTGATCGCTGAACTTCAAGGGATTCTCGTCGTTGCCTGTGCCTGTGAGGAACGTCCAGTAACCAAGCATTGTAGTCGACACGAAATGTTCCAGAGCGCATCGGTCCTTTTCCTGAATGTCGACTTAGACAATTGATGGCGAGTTGGGCATCAAGATGCGGATCTCGGCCAACAGGAACTTTGGCACAGACGCGTACCATGGCCCGTATGTTGTGCAGTAGTTTGCGTTTGATTGCAAGTCTACCGAAGTCATATCAGTAGTGGCAGTCGCTACATTTGCAGGCGCGCACAGAAGAGGGTGTTGTGCTCGAGTCGAGTCGAGTCGATGTCGACCCACAGAACACCAAACCGATCGGTGTGGTGTTCGAACGCCGCACTCTTGCTGTGCCGCCTCACAACCACCTCGAATCAATAAGTCGCCATGCCTGCCTTTCGTTCGGAATTCTCCTTTAGGCAGCTGCAATGTGACAAGGTCTCTTGCGGCGAAGCAGCTGCAACGGGGCGGCCAATTGGTGGACAAAGATCGACGTGAACTGTGACAGATCGCGGCTGATGAGCCTCATCTCATCTCAAATTGGCAATCTTTCTCGCACAATAGAAGTGTGTAACTTGACCGTTTACTGTTCACTGTCAACGTTTGTCGCGACATGAGGCTGATGCTTGTGAGTAGCCGAACTTGAAGTTGACGTAACGATGTATTTCTGGCCAGCTGTTGAAAGGGGTGTCCTGTTCAGCTCGCGTGAGTTGTGGCCAACGGGCGGTCTGCGGAAGTTCGTTTCTCGCTCCGAAGAGACGGCGCGAAAGTCAAAAACAGACCGTCCATCCTTGACACTGCACCTAATGCTTAGTTGTGTTCGGTGAATGGCTTCCAAGAATGAAGGCCGTCTGCCGTTACGAGTGGAAATGCGGGTGGCTGGTCGCGGACGGGAGCCTGTGATTGCCAACAATGGCCTGGGAGATGAGATGACAGCAGCTCATTTGCGACAATGCTGGCCACTGGGTGACCCTGTCGTGAACAGCTTGATGAACGCACATGTTCAAGGAACATGCAGCCACTGCGGGCGTAGGCTGCCGAGGGAAGCAAAGTTGGTGGTACTTTGGGTTCGCGCCGCATGGACCCCAGCCCAAGTGTGACCGGCTTGCCGCTGACTGGTGAAGTGCATCTGATGGCGCTCTCTGGGCGATGGGTGACAGGTCTGCGAGTTCAACCATCGCTCTCCCCTCTTGCCGCTTCGTACTCATCATTAAGGATGTTGCAATGTGCGCACGTCGCCTGGTGATGCTCCGCCCACGTTTCGCTTCCCGCTGACGGAGATCTTGCCGCGGTATTGCTGCGCGCTGAAGCAGGGCATGGAAGGATGGCGGTACTGCAACCAAATGCCTACCCAGGCTCCCCTGCAGCTGGAGCCGGGCAGCGCGATCTGCTCGCCGGAGCGCAAAACACAGACACGGCACCACGACGCGCTGATGACCAGCGCTGCCTGCGACGAGTGAATGACTCGAAAGAGCAGCTGAAGAGGAGGACGCGGGCACGCGGTACGAGCAACGGCACAATCGACACCTCGACGAGCAACTCGACTTCGGCCGGGCGTTCATACACTGTCGCGAACGTGCATAACGGCGTAATTTACCTCAGGTGAGTGTTGCAAGAACAGCATTATTCTGCGCAGGCAAATTCAGTGGTGTTTTTGTTGGTGTTTCGAAACTCGATAGAGGGTGAGAGCAGACGTCAACACCACAAGGAAAGTGGAAGGAACCACCCTCGAGGAAGGAACGCCGTAGTCAACCCCTTCAAGGCACAACACACAAACATTGCCATGTTGCTTGCGAACACAACTCTATTGCTACCAACTTCCAGTAGCTGACCCACTGCCAGACCTGTAGTGCGCGCTGGGAATCAGCGCAATCGTCCTCAGCCAGACCCGTTCGTCTTTCCACCTTCGACGCCCCCAGATAGCGCAACACTCGGCTCGGACCTGCGTCCAACAAGCAATGAATGGGAGCAAAGCCTCTACGGCTCGAGGACACCGCGCTCCGAACCCACCCCGCCGCTGCCGCTCAACCTGATCACAGAATATGAGGCTAGACAGCAGGCGCACGCAGAACAACCCTCCACCTCACGACCTATCGCCCACGCCCGCTCGCACTCTTTCTCAACTGTCGACGATCACACTGTCACCCCAGCGACCACCGAGCCTGGAACATTCAAAGTGGTCATCGAAAGACCTCCATTTGGTGGGCGACCCAAGACGGCTGATACATCTTCGTTGCTCCTGCTGCAGGTCCCAATTCCTCATTACCGTCTTGGGACGCCACGCTTCAGTACGAGAGGCACTGCGGATTTACGCAGCTCGACCTACACCCGCACATCAGGCACCGAAGAGTTCAGAAACTCACTTTTGACCCCACAGCGTGTGGGTTCACACTCGTTTCTGTCGTCACGCCCACAGTCAGACGCATTCTCGCCTGTTCCTGCCAGATACCGTGCGACTATGGACCGACCGCCTCTCCCTGCGTCGGCACCGTCTTCCTCTCGTGTCTCACACTCTCCCATTGAACCGCGGCTGTACGATGCCCTGACCATCAACCCTGATGATAGGGCTGTGGTGAGGTTCTCCCCTTCTGGCGAGATCCTTGCAGCTACCCCTTCACGACTCGTTGCGCACATCACTTCCCCGAGTTTCCTGGACTACGAACTGCTGTCGGACTTCTTTCTCACGTTCCGTGCCTTCCTGAGCACTAGAGATCTGGTCGCTTATCTCATTGCACGATTGAGATGGGCGGTTGACAGACAGGATGATTTTGGTCGCATTGTACGAGTGCGAACGTTCGTGGCCCTTCGTCACTGGATCTTGAACTACTTTGTGGACGACTTTGTGACATCCCATAACCTGCGAACGTACTTCTGCAACTTGGTCAATGGTCTCTACCGAGACCTGAAGGCTCGCGCGGATGGAGGTGCCGGCGATGTGAAGATTGTGGGCGAGCTGAAGAAGTGCTGGCGGAGGACTTGTGTCTTGTATTGGGAGACCGAAGATGGCCTGGGCAAAGACTTCGCAGATGAAGAGCTGCTTCCTGGCGGGTTTGTCGAGTTACCGGCGACATATGAAGAGCCAGAGCTACCCGCGGCGACACCAGCCACCCCACGGCAAGTAGACCGCGATACAAAAGAGACCATGGGATCAAATCCGAGCGACCAATTCGCCAGCCGCCATATGGAATGGGCACAGAAGGCTCGTCACACGCCTCAGAATTCCTTGAGTTTGCCGTACGTACCCTCAAATGAAGGCGGGACTGTTCAGGTACCACTGTCGCCGGAGAGTGAAGGGAGCATGCACATCCTGTCTTGTTCCCTTCCACGACGTGGCTTCATGAAAAGTGAGCAAGCCATGAACCTACCTCTTTATCCCCATCCAGTACCACACCCTCCCGCGGCGCCCGCCCGTTTAGCGGCAAGCCCACAACAGCCAGCGTCGAACAAGAAGAACACCCGTCTGTCACACATTCACAATCGTACCGGCAGCTTCTCCGACGCTCTGAGAGATAGCAGAGCTCCTCTATCAATCCCAAAGAACGCCTCGGTAGATGTGACCATCTCTGCGGTAACAAGCATGCCTGGTAGTCTTGTGCGCGGTGGTCTCTTCCAGCCGAGCTCGCCTTACATTGAGCTCAAGAGCACCAGTCTGCGCCATACCCGAACACGCAGTGAAACAGACGGTGATGATATGTATGCAGATGATGTGCAGCTCCGTCCGGGCCATGCGAACAGTCCAGGGATGAAAAAAATAATCGGAAGCGTACGTCGCGCCCTAAGTATCAAACAATCACCTCACGGAAGCCCGCATTTAGGAGCACACGTTCACCAACGAATGGCACCTTCCATACGCTCCTCAAACCCAGGCACAATGACCACAATGTCAGGAGGAGTTCGCAAACAACGCACAATTCGAACAAAGCCAGAAATACGAATCGATGCTTTAGCCTCCAGGGTCACCGAGAGCTTCAAGGAAGCCGTCGAAGAGCAGTTGAGAAACGAAGACCAGCGACGAGAGAGCAGTGTCGAGCCTCCTGATCTGGGCGGATTTGAATTCGAGTTCGAGAACCGTAACACTTCCTCCACCGGCGACGATGCACAGGCTCCTAGGAATCCAGACCCTCGAGTGTACAGCAATATCACCACAGGCAGCAAGTCGATCCTCATCATCGACGACACTGGGCCACCTCCATTGCCTATGATGTCAGGAGCTTTGCCACCTGCTGCGTTAGAGAAGCCGAGACTTTCAAGCACGCCGCCAAAAGCCCTTCAACGCAATCCATCAATTGCTCAACGACTTGCTGAAGGCGACATGGTCGTTGTGCGCCATTCTGATCTATACAAGGATCCTACTCCTAAAGTCTCAATCGAGGAACGACGTTTGTCTCGTCCTTTAACGCAACAGTCTCGAGCCCCGCAAAGGCGGTCTATGTCAGAGGGCAGGGAGCAGCTGCATTCGTTCCAGCGGCGAGGCTCAACGAGGAAGTCCATGGCTCGAACTTCATTACGGCGACATGCATCATACAACAGTGTTTTGAGTCGTCGCCGTCAAGGTCCCGAGAGCGTGGCTACGTTCATGACAATGTCGTCTGATAACGACCCTTTTTTCCTAGAGCGTCAAGCACCTCAACCTAGCGGCCCTGGCCGCATGCTTCGTCGAAAACCGGGAGGGGATCTGCGTGCTGCTGGTAACATCCAAGATCTTGATACGAACCCACGTCCACACTCCACTGGATCAGTCTCCAACCGCACTCACTCGATTGCAAACTCGGTCATTCTGCGATCGGACCGCTACGTCGTCCCAGAGCCGGATGCAAGTCAACCGACCGAAGCAGTTGATGAAACAGTCATTGAGAAAAAGACCATATCCTTGGTTGACACACATTCCTCGCAGCCCAATTTGAGGCCTTCCTTTGAAGCTGAAGTCGCGAAGCTTGCAGCATTGCCAGATGATACAGACGACGAAGGCGGAGTCGAGGCAGCGCTGATGAAGCTTGAAGGTCGATATGAGAAGAAGTCTCCACGAGAGTCCTCCGTACGAGCCTCTGTTGTCCAGCCAGAAGTCTACCAACCTACTGGAGCACCTGGTGAACTTGTCATCCCACCATATGTGCCAAAGCATTCTGAGGAGCACGGCGGAACCGATGATAGCCTTCATCGACCGCTCGCCACTCCCGGTGCAGAAGGTCAGGAAATGTTTCATCTGTCTGGAGAGAACTTCAATCGCCGCGTGCCCCCTGTTGTTAGCACAGCTGCAGAATCAGAGGACTCTTACTCCTCAGTACCGCTCCTTGACCGCGGTCTCAGCGACGTCATGGCCGGTGGGTGTACGCAGACTTTCGATACTATGAGATCGTCGGCCAAGCCTTCACCTCTGCAGCTGACTGAGAATACAACAGCCCAAACAACAGCGCCTGCGACCAAACCCTCCTCTCCGGACTCGTCACTCGAGTATGTGGTCGAGACGGACAGTATGAAGAGGATTCCGAATGGCGGTACTCTTCCATCCTCTTCGATCATACGTCAATCATTTCTTCTCAACGAAGATGAGGATCTGAGCGACTTAGCTTCTACGACAACCGGCGCCAGGTCGGACGAGATGTCACACGGTGTACGCAGCTTCTTTGAGGATGAGCCGGCAGTGATGGACCACACGTCAGACAATCTTCCTACACACCCAATGCGTCACCCTCCTACGCCGCCTTCCACGGCAGACCACCTGAAGGAAGCTGCCCCATTAACGACCTGGGATCGAGATTTACCTACGCCAGGCTTGACACCTACTGCATCTCGACCTGATCAGTTCAACCAAAATACCTCTGATCAACACATCAAGTTACAAGAGTCGCCGCACCTCGGACAGCCAATTAAGACTGCTCACCTACCATTCGTCATGGCTTACGATGCAGAGCTACTCGCGCAGCAATTCACAGTCGTGGAAAAAGACGCCCTGGACGAGATCGACTGGAAGGAGCTTATTGAACTTCGCTGGAAGCAGTCGTCACCTCAAATTCGCGACTGGGTACATTATCTTCGTACACAAGAGGCGCGCGGTGTCGATGTCGTGATCGCTCGTTTCAACCTAGTAGTAAAGTGGGTTGTATCTGAGTGCGTTCTCACCGAGAACATCGAAGAGCGAGCTCGCTGCATCGTCAAGTACATCCACATTGCATCGCACGCACGTAGGCTCAGGAACTACGCCACTATGTACCAAATTGCCATCGCGCTAATATCCAACGATATCTCTCGACTTCACAAGACTTGGGCCCTCGTGCCCCTGGCTGAGAAGCAGACAATGAGGGAGCTCGAAGCGCTTGTCCAGCCACTGCGGAACTTCCACAACCTCCGCCTAGAGATGGAGACAGCCACTGTAGAGGATGGCTGCATCCCATTCATCGGCATCTACACGCGCGATCTGATCTACAATGCACAAAAGCCAGCCTTCATCGACGCACCGCCTGTGGACGGCGAACGACTTGTGAACTTCGAGCGACACCACACAGCAGCCACAATTGTCAAGAACCTCCTGCGTCTTCTCGAAGCCAGCTCCAAATACAACTTCAGAGTCGATCCCGACCTGATCAGCAGATGTCTCTGGCTCGCTGCGCTCAGCGATGACGAACTCGCCAAGCGCAGCCGCCAATGTGAATAACTTTCATAGCACATATACCTTTCCTACTGTCTCACCATTTCCTTGTCAATACCCACTCGGATCCTTCTGGCGTCCGATACGAGTTACGACCCGCATCTGCAGCACATTTTCTGCGCATATACACCTGATATTATCCCTACTTTCTTTTAAACTATTAGATCTAAGAGCTCACGCTTGCAGATAATCAACTGCTCAGCAGTATTTTCCTATGTACGATGGAGGGTAATGTGCACACGTTGTGCACGTGTACAGCCTAGGAAGCATGGAGGTTTGACGAAGACGCGTCTGTAGCGTTTCATTGTTGCTGTACATACAAGACGAGCGTATTGAGATGGCCCTAATAACATAATCCATCTCCATTCATAGACGCACTCGCGCACGCTGCAGCTCCCCATACATGTCACACCACCACTCGCCCGCAACTACTCACCCACAAAGTAATTCTCACGATTCGCTCCATCACGCACAGTGTTCCGCACCCCTTGCCCTCGCCATCCCCACGATTCACGCTCCCCTCCATCTCTTTCACACACGAACCACAATATCGTTTCCCACTTTCCCCATCCAGCTCCATCCGTATCTCGAATCCGACCCTTACAATGCCATTGTTCGCCCTTGATGAAAACCCTTCGCAACACCTACCCTTGCACTTCGGCGAGGTGACAGCACTGACAGGCACTTACCATGCATGTCTGCGGCGCAGTTGCGAAGAGAGGTTGTAGGACCCACAGCCACGTTGCCGCGTGATCGCATCCGGTTCCCCTATGCGAGATTCCCTGAGATCGTATAACGTGTACCCGAATACGGCGGGAGAATGCCGGTAGAAGAACGGAAGGATTCGAGGATTGAGGATGGAAATTAAAACGGTTGTGCGGCGTGCTCCGCGGAGAGAGGATGGTGTGGCGTGACTGGCGTAAGCAGGATGGTGGTAATGAGGGAGCATGCACGAAGGAACGATCATAGGTGCGGAGATCATGGAGTGGTAGTTAAATATGTCAGTTGTATATGTGTATGTACCTATGTGTGAGTTTTATGCTATATGCCAATATACGTACAATATTCTACCAACTCATGATGATACCCAATGCACATCCCACTCAACCTCATCTCTTCAAACCCCAAACCTCCCCTCCCCCCTTCTAACCAACCTGATAGGCACACTCGTCCCCCTCAACTGCAACGTAATAATACTCGCAACCTTTGTCCTCAGCACTTCATCCGCCCTCTGCACCGCCTTCGCATAAAGCTCTTCCCTCCTCTGCCTATCCATACTCGCCACCTCCTCATCAGACCCCCACTCCTCCACCGCAAGCTCAACGCTGTACTGGCTGAATATCACAGCCAAGACGGCGAGAATCTCGACTTGTGCGAAGCGCCGCCCGATGCACGACCGGAAGCCATCGCTGAAGGGGATGTACGAGCCTTTGACCGGCTTGAAGAGTGAGGCGGAGGTGTCTTCGCCCGAGGGGCCGCGCAGATCTTCGTCGTCGTAGTTGATGTCTACGAAACTGTCTTCAAGCTCTGAGTTGGATAGCCAGCGCTCGGGGCGGAAAGTATCGACGTCCTGCGCACCGGTAGTACTCGTACTTGCAGTATTTGAGGGCGCGGGCCAGTACTTTGGGTTCCGGTGAATTGCGGAATTCAGGAAGATGTGTGTGTCTCCTGGTATCGTGTATGTTTTATCGCCCATGGTAAAGTTCTGTGGCCGTCCGGGTGCAGTTGATTTAGGGATGTTGACAATGGGTTGTAGCAGGCGCAACGTCTCGTTCATGACTGCGGCGGCCATGCCGCCGAATAATTTTGGGAAGTACTCTTCATACGTCCACTGCTCGATTGGCTTGCCTTGGAATACTCTGTCGATATCCTGCTGCAGCCGTTTTTGCGAGTCGCGGTGCATGGCGAGAAAGATGAGGGAGAAGTGCAGCGTATTTGCGGTAGTTTCGTGGCCCGCGAGCATCAGGACGAAGGCGTTTCCTAGGAGGTCGCTCTTTTGGATGTTTGTCTTTCCTTCTGTGATCCCGCTTCCGCGGATCATGGCATCGAAGAGATCCATGCCGGCGTTGTTGGTGTCGCCGTATGCTACTTGCTGCTTCTTCACCTCGTAGAGCTCATCCATGTACTGTCCCCATTCGGTGACGGCGGCGCCGACTGTGCGGTGAACCTTGAGGGGAGAGAGGGACAGATACTTAGGAGGTATGATTTGAGTCCACATGATGTTGTGAAGCAGTTCACTGATGGCTTCACGGTAGGTCATTTTGTGGTCTGCTGATTTCTCAGAGCCAACTAAAATTGACTTCGGCTCGTCGTTCTCGAGAGACGATGCTCGACTCTTCTCCTCATGCAGCCACTTGACACGAACATCGAAGCCTGCTGAGCTGATCACAAAGAGTGCGAAACTCATTGTTGCTACAGCTGGGTCCTGTACGGTCTCGTTTCCTTGCCCGTCTGGTCCGGTCCAAAGGCCAAGGAGTGACCTTGCATGGTGAAGAGACTCTTTGAACACCAGCTCGTTATTCTTCTCCCCAAAGCTGGGTGCAGTAAGCTTTCGATGCATACGCCAGTCTGATCCCTCGGTCGAGACGAGGTTCTTGCCATAAATGTCAAGAGCTCCGTATATCTCAAGTGGCTTAGGAAAGTCATTGCGTCTAGTGGTGATCTGCGTTACAGCTTCTGCATCAGCAACGAACGCTGTCAAGCGAGTTGCTGAAGCAATGATGAAGACATCTCCGCCGATCTTCTCGAACGGTGCATGGCCTTTTCGATATCCCCATTCTGGATCCAGAAGGCTGACATAGGTCAACATCAATCGCGAAGTACTAGCACACACAACCTACTCAAACCAAATGCCTCGCCACGAAGCGGGCAATATTACTTCCAGGACTGGGATCCAAATGTAGAAGGTTGCGAGCCAGAAAATACTGAAGACATTCCATGGTATCACAACGACCGGCAATCCTGAGCTCTTCGCAAGCACTATATTGCTCTGCCAGTTTCGATACAGAGCAAAGCCTTTGTACAGCGCAGTCGCTGCGAGAGCGCCGAAGACCAGGGTGAAGAGCATGACGTGTAACCAATATGTGGAGCGTCTGATAGAACGGAAACTAAACAGAATGACTGAAGGATATGCGACGCATTGGGATGGAAAATGAAGATGTCGTCTTGTGCGCGGTTGAGTGCTGTCCGTTGACAAGATGGCGAATGTTGTGACGTCTAGACGCCAACCTCGGCGGTCGACCCTGCCTCATTAGCGTTTCATTAGGTGTCACCTTGCTCAGAAGCATCTTGAGGGGTTTTCAGACGTTTCTGGAGAATGTAAAAGTAGCTCGACACTCCAGTGTATATGTTTCTATAGTTGGACGTTCTTTGTGATCAAGATAATGAGGTTGTGGCCAGCATCCTTTGCCGCACGTAAGCCGTGATCCAACAAGCGGATTAGGCTTAGTGCCGTTGGCGGCTTTCTGCCCACGGGATCTTCCTCGTTGTATCCACAACCTCACATCACACAGACGGTGAGCACCTACTTCGAAGCGATGGCTACACCGATACACAGATCTGCGGTCCCCGGTTGTTGCTGTGTCACATGCCACCTAGTGTCGGAAGCGGCACCTCATACTTGCACCAGTTCACCGCTGCATCGCTCAACACTCCGCAAATATGCACGCAATTGTTCGAAAACCTTACATGGTGAAGTGCAGGTAGCTACTTGCGGCATCAGTGCTTCGCCAAGCCTCCTTCAGCGTCGCTTGCAGCCTCATCTGCATCTCGCAAGTTATGGAAGTGACAGGGCGAATGTTGACGATCCTCGAGCTCACGAAATTTGCAACATAGCTTTGCTACGGACAACAGGAATCACAACGTCGAATCGCTGAGACTGCCTTGCTTGCCACCACAACTGCGTTTGTCATGGAAAGCAAGTTTGGCTCGATTGATATTCGCCTCTCGCAATGAGTCGCATTGCTTTGTCGCAGAGTGAAGCTTGCACGGCTTGCACACCGACTTGAGGGCAACGATTGCCATGCTAATCTGGACTCGTACAGTATCAAGACCCTGACAAATGTCAACTGTCGCCTCAGCGCCTCAGCGCCTCGTGGTGTTGCGATCCACGTGGGCTCGCCACGGTCTCCATCATCGTGAGGCAAGGGACGGGGATCCTTCTGTTAGGATGCCCTTCCAGAGCAATTTCGGTCGTCCGAAAACATCTTCAGGGAATCTGAATCGCAGTGTTTCGAAGCAGACCGCAACTTGTCATGCTTCCGGTCACAGATGATGTTCGGCAAAAAGCGGCTTGAACCAACATTCGGGCCGCTTGCCTCTTCAGTGAACGTGATGGCAGCTGACCTTCTCATCACCGGCACTTGAGCAACCTACTAAGCCTCAACCCCATCTCGGTTCCTGTCATGCATTGTTGGCGTGTACACGTCGAGGGAGCTCCAATTCTGGAAACAACGTCCCGGTCAACGGATCCATCAGAACAATGCGATTTCTGCTCGACTCGCGGTTGTTCCTGGATCCTGACGCCATTCTGGCGGTCGCGAGGTGGGGCGCGCTAATCGTAAAGTGGATATTGAGGTCTTGAAACTAGCGAAGTGGGCGGCGCCTCTCCGAACCTGCCCTCTCCAGACTCGTGGAAGCCAAGTGCTCCTCACGAGGTTGACAGGCAGCTCATGGACAGATGAATGGACGGACGAAAGTCCGCCAGACGCTGGAGCCCAATGTCGCAGATCTCGAGCAGCATATACGAATGATCTGGGTATCTGATAACTATAATCTGATAACTCGCGGATACTCGGAACAAACCGACTTATCACATTTGCGAGCGCAACGGCCGTGAAAGGCGGTGTCGTGCCATGATGAGCACCATTGATTGCATGCCCCTGTACGAGCAAAACCGGACAACGACTAAGTTTCGACGCTCGGAGGCCCTGACCAGCCACCTGCAGCGCATCACTTCCACGAGACCTTCTCGAAAACCGCGATGTCGCAGCTCAGTGGAGGAGCTAGGTATCGCTAGGGACCGTAGTCAAATTCCAGGGCGTGCCGAGAGAGCTCGGATCGTCTCACTCATCTCTGTGCAATTGGCCGCGGCCGTGCAAATTATCGGGCAAATATATGAGCGATTTGCTGCTGGCTGCTCTTGTCGCTGAGTGAGGGAGGTGTGTCGCGCGGAGAAGCGCGCATGCCGCAGCACAGCAAGGCCAGCAGCCGATGCTACCAGGGCCGGTAGTGCTGGTGTTGCAAGTCACGTTGCTCAGTTGGCATTACTGCAGCATTGGCATCAAGTTGTCAACCCAATGCGGACAGCAGCAATCGGCCAGACGACTGGGTGCTGGGTCGGCTGCGGGAGGGACGTTTGCTGTCTGCAACGGCGCCTCTGAAGGATTCAAAGACAGACGAGGGCATCGCCGTGTGCACTGCAAAGGCTCCTCTGTCATCTCAAGATGGCATCTCGCACGGCGCGCAGGCGGGCACGCAACCATGGCTTGATCCCAGGGGCCTGGGTTGAGTCTTGATGGCTGCGAAGCATCTTTCGCACAAGCGAGCTGCATGTTGTAGCATGGCTGTCGCTGAATCGTGTTCGGCGCTCACTACTCGCCCTTGTGTCACTCAAATCAGATTTCTCTACCCGGCCAGACCTCTCCCCTCTCTATCAAACTCCATCGGCATGTGTTGACGACGCGGCATCGCCCATCACCCTCCCTTTCCACCCCCCTCGTGCCCAAGGCCGCGCCAGGAGACTTCCCGCGCGCCGCCTCGTTTGGCCTGCTTTGTCTAGCTTTTCTTCCCACCTAGTCTGCGACTAGCAGCGCCCCCATCCGGTGCCCACTGCTCGTTGCGCTCCCCGGCCACTTCGTTCGCACGGCCCGTCTTAGCTTGTAGCGCCACTCTCGCCAACCAGCAACAAACGTCAACGCATAGACTGTCCGCGACTCACCAGCACTGGCCCTTTTCCTGCTTCGGATAGTTGCCTCCGGGTCCATGGTAAGAAGGCCTCGCTCAAGGCTGGGTTTTCCTCGCGCGGCTTGAGCCAAAGCTCCCGTCCTGCATCGCACTCTGGCCTCCGAGCACCTGCCCTGCGACGCTCTCTAAACTCTTCTCTTATCCTCCCAGCCGATGACGCGGATTGGCCTGTAATCCGCACATCTCCTCCAGCCAGTCATCTTCTGAGGCACTGGTGAATTGGTCTCTTCGTGTCCCTGCGACTGCCGAGCCCACGCTCTCCACCAGCTGCCCCCCGCCGACCCTGTTGGGCTGCTGCCGTTTGGACCTGGCGGGTTCCGTAGTCGTAGTCAGGTACTCTGTCATACATAGCCGCATGGCCTGAGCGAATCGCGTCTGGCATATGTAAGGATGGCTGATCCTGACGCGCCCGCCCAGAAGAGGCCCCGTTTGGACTCTGTCAATCCTCCTGTGTACAATCATAACGGCCACGGCTTCCCACCCCCTCCTCCGCCACCGCACGCCCAACCCACTCGCCAGTTATCCCATCCCACTCCGGCCCACGCTGCTCCCTCTCCCACCTCCCGCCACTATCCTACTCACGGCCTGTCCCATCCGTCCCATTCCTATCCTCCTCCAGGGCAAGGACCTCCACCCGGACCGCAACCCTCACCGTCACTGCCACCCTCTGATATACGCGCCTACTCGGACCCACGGACCATCCCTTCGCCCAGTCAACGCCCTCATGGCGCCGGTGGCCCTCCTCCGGTGAGCATCTCCCAGGACAACATCTCTACATACCGGGCGCCCCCCACTCCACAGTCCGCCACTGTGCCAGAGCCGCAGAGCACCAGATCCAGTATCAGTGTCGACGTCAAGCCTCAACCACCACCCATGGATCATGGCAGCCACCAGAGTCCATGGGGTATGAACCCTGAGCATCGCCCTAACGGTCATATGTCGAACGGCTACAACCACTCTATAAGCCCTACACATCACAACGGTGGACAGCCCTTCCACCCACCGCCTCCACCAGCTCCCCAGTATGATCAGGGTTCGTATGCGCCGAGCCCTTACATGGGCCAGTATGCAGGTGCAGCTGGCCAGCAAGTAAGGCGCAAACAGGTTCGCGCCACGCAGGCGTGCAACCACTGTCGAACACGCAAACAGAAGTGTGACGAAGCAAGGCCATGTCAGTTCTGCAGAGAGAACAACTTCGATTGCCAGTACAAGGATGTGCCGCCTCCAAAGTATGTGACAAACCCTCGGACAAACAGCAGTTACTGACACATCACAGACAAGATCGTAGCATGATGCAACTTCAGGAGAGCGTAAACGACATCGGCGAAGTACTGAAGAACCTTGTAGGAGAGTTCACCTCATGGAGGCAGAGCGTCGAGACCAGACTTCCCTTGGCCCAAACCCCGAACCAGATCTCGAACATTGCTTCACCAGAAGCAGGTTTCGCAGCACCCAACAGAGATCAGAACATCGCCAGGTTCCCCACACCAGCCCAAGGAAGGAATCAGATGCGCCGCATTAGCAACATGAAGACGGAGTCCCCCAGTATTCCACACTCACAGATGTCTCCTTCAGCGTCACAAGCATTGACTCCGATCAAGCAAGAGTCCATGTTTGCTCCGCCTCAGCAACCAGCAACACCGGCTGACAGCGTCAGAAGCGAGCACAGTGGTGCAACGGGACTACCACCCAAGGAGAAGAGCGGATTGCAGAGTGACCACACCACACCAGCACATAAGCTGTTCGAGGAGTGGCAGTCGATGGCGCTCTTCTGCCGGAACGTCGACTATATTGAGAAATTGATTGAAGGCGGCCATGATGTGTCAGAGTACCCAATGCTGCTCGAGCAAGACCGAGGCCTGCTTCGCGTTTGGGGGGTTGGTGAGGGCCAAGATCTCAACGATGGAGCCCAAGGACCAGGAAGCCCTGACAGTGGCGGCGATGCAGATGCCTCCTCTCCTGCACCTGGCAGGGAGGGCCTCTGGGGCTGTCCACCTGCAGATACCTCCAGTCCAGGAACAGTGCCTGGGGAGATTCCTAGCAGCCACCCTCGACAAGAAAACGACGGTGGACTTGGACCAGATGGTAGGCCTGACTTCCGCTCGCACGTTCTTTGGGAGTTGTATGACTCCTACATCGAAAACATCCACAAACTGCATCCCTTCATGAATGCCAGTAAGCTCAGAAGGATGATCAAGGAGTTCAGCGAGCAGTACAGTCCGGACATCAACATCAAACACACCGGATCACCAGCCGCCAACGCATTGGCGAACCACCAGCTTAGCCAGAGCCTGAAGCGGAAGCGATCTGGTAGTGCATATGGCGAGCCCTACTCTGCTAAGGGCGCAATCGAACGCTCCCTGCGTAATGCCCTCGTCCTCCTTGTCCTCGCGCTCGGCAAGGTCTGCGCTCATCACGACCCCTTACCTTCGCCTCAGAGTGACAAGATGTCGCACACAAACGGTGGCTGGGGTGTGCATGCCAACGGCAGTTTCAACAGCGACATATCCGATGACAATCGACCACGCAATGTCGACATCTTACCGGGTATGGGCTACTTCGCCTACGCAACTGACATCCTTGGAAACCAACAGGGCGGCAACACAGTGGCACATGCGCAGGCAATGATCCTAGCTGCACTCTACCTGAGTCAGTTTGCTCGTGTCCTGGAGAGCTGGAGCTGGATCAACAACGCTTGCCGTGTCGTCCTTGTCCTTATCAAGGCGGACTACCAGAAGCTCGACCGGAACTGGTGCCTGGAGAACAAGGCATCTCTGCCTCCGAAAGAGCGTTACAGGCTCAACCTGGTTATGTGCGTATACTGGACTTGTCTCCAGCTTGAGTCAGACATTCTGGCCGAGATGAGCACGCTGCCACCCAGCAGAATCTCAGATTTCCAAAGCGAGATCGCATACCCAGATGGCGTATACGAATCGGTACCCATCGAATCTGGAACTAGTGTTGAGGAGAAGATGTTTGCCGACCCACAGACACAGGAAGGATCTATGCTCATGTACTCGAGCCAGATCTGGCTTCGTGTCATACTAAACGAGGCGCATAACATGCTCTATGGCAGAAGTAAGTGGCACAATACACAATATATCCATTGGTTTTCGTATTGACGTTATCTAGATGCTCGCCGCAGCTTTGATACCCACAACATCAAAGAGGTCGCGCATCGTGCCACAGCGCATGTGCGTATCCTCGAGGACTGGAGACGAGTCCTGCCGCCTACGCTGGCCTGGAACGACGATGACCCACCGGCTACTGATATCAATGTTGCACGTTTACGTGCTAAGTACTATGGATCTATCTACGTGATCTTGCGCCCGTACTTGCGCATTGCGAATCACTTTATCGACTTCCCGCCCACAGGCGCAAGCACAGCACGGGCGTCTCACCACAACTCCCCTGCACCTACCTCTGGTTCTTCATCCAACAGGAACGTACATCTACTGGTGGATCTATCGGATGACCAGAGGAGCATCATCGGGGTCGCCGTAAAGTGCATCAACGCCGCAATCCAGAGTACGATTGCTTTCGACCGTGTTGGCGCTGCTCCCGACAGCAAGTACGTAAAGTTCGATGCCAGCGCCCGTACCCGACGACTGGTTGTCACCAACATCTTTGGCACCATGCATGCGTAAGTCAAAAATCAAACATGATGCAATTGTGCCCAACGCTAATAAAACCTAGTCAATTTGGCAACATGCTCGTCCTTGCAGCAGTCTTCAAGTCTCAACTTTGCAGGTACCTACCTAGGGATACACAGCTCACGAAGCAGAACCTCACCCTACTCATGGACCGAACGTGCAAAGTCCTTGGCGAAATTGCGCCAAACTCCCCAATCCTGGAGATGGATCTCAAGATCCTGCGCAACGTCCGGAAGCAACTGGACCTGTACCCATGATCACCGCAAACCATGCAATATGCCTTGAACGCAACTTCAATTTGTTTGGATATACCCCATTTGGGCGGAGAGGATTCCCGATAGCCGCCACAGCGTAGCACGCATTGTACACACTTTACCATTTTGCATTTGTCTTGGCGCAAGGCATCAGTCATTTGTTTCTCATTCAGGCATCGAGCACATACTCATTGGGCGGACTAGCGCTGAAGCTTTTGCGTATACCTCATACTTCAATCACCGACACGAGCGGACCCTGGGCGGATCTTTTTTTGCTTTTGCGCAGGATATTCACATCCCAGACTAGCTGGAAGCACGAGGGCACACTGACTGGACGGGATTGTTTAGAAACCTTGGAAGAGACGTCGTTGTCGTCAAAGGGAAATGCCGTTTGACCTCGGATTCGGGTTCCCTCTTGTTCTGCCTCGCGCACCTATACGATGTTAGCCCCCTCTTGGTCTCACTGCTAACGGCCGTTTCTCGGTGCATCTTTTGAATATACGTCTTGGATGACATAGATGGTTGGCTATGAACGCCGCAACCGTTGAGCAGCTCACGCATCTCACAGCTGATTTACTTAATAGAAGCGAAAATGTCAACCTTTGTTATTCGGAATTGAAAGAATTGCCCTGCTTCTTTGCCGCGCTATTAGCTGTTACTCCGTGTCAGCCAGATGCCACGATGCGTCGTGCGTACGAACCCTTAAACTACTTTAACATCCGCGCACACAGCTTACGCCGAGTTCAACTCCAACATTCGATACCGCTCTTGATCGCGGGGATTTCTACATACGGCATGGCCAATTCGTGCCGCAAAGTGCCGTAGCCACGTGCAGACCTTCGTCCAGCCAGCGTAAACTCAAATGCCACCATCTTCACCTTCATAAATTGACAGTAAGCTTCAATCAAGCACAAGCTACTGCGCAGATCACCCCCACTCTTATCGTCGAGGATAGCCATGCCGCTTTCTCAAACACTTCTGATCTTGATTATCAACGTCGCAGCCCAACCTTGGTCATCCAGAGGAGTAAAGTGCACCTGTATACGCCGCACGCTAGATCATCACTTGACGTTCGGCAAAAAGCCCCGTTCCTGGCGCGAAAGCCACTGCGTGTCTGGCCGGAACTAAGTCGAGCGAATCATTGGACGCGGTGTCGGTAGGGACCTTCCGACCCCAAGCACCTGATTGCTGCTTGCCTGAAAGCCTTGAACGTGACGTCTGTGGATTGCGGAGAGGGAAAGTATTGACGAGCAAGGCTGAAACAAAGACATTGTCAAATTGTTCCAGCGAATCACGAAATTGGCAGGCGTACTTTCAAGCGTTGAAATTGTGATACGGTGCTGGAGCTGCGGGATGCCGTGACGTTCTGTTAGCTGTGACACAGAGTTTACCACGTGATGAAAGGCACTCAAGCGCAGCAGAAGATTCCCGCTCTGCGTCGATCATTCAGTGCTCCGCCGTGAAAGGCAGAGAGCAGCGTATACGGAATTAAGACAGCGTATCGGACACGAACGCGTGCAGTATCCGGGCTTCTTTGTGACTTCTGGACCAACATTCGATAGTCTTCGTCTATCTTGAACAAAACAGCGGATAGTTCGAGCAACCATAACGTCTTGCTATAATACGAAGATTCGCCTGTCCTGGCCTGACTTCTCAACTGACTTCTGGGCTGACAGTCAAGTACGGAACGCTACTGCCTAACGTCGCGCAACCTAAAGCGCGGGTGCTGAACCCGTACCAAAGTTGCAACCTGACCTGCCGTCGCGGATTTGCGCAAACCACTGATGACGGCGAGAACTCCGCATTCTTGGAGTGTTGCTCCAGGCCCTCAGCCCACTTTAACCTCACGAAAAGGGAACAACTGCATGGCTGACGGGAGCTATCTTTTTCACAAACTACCAGAGCGAGCGATGATATTGGGTGGTAATTAGGTCAGGGTTCAAGCGATTACTGACGAGCATTGACGAGAGGCAGGCTGTTCTATGGTGACGGTTGACGATCCTGGAGGATTGCATTGGGAATAAAGATCCATGGCTCGCTTCATTCGCTGGAATCTGTTAACCACGTGGATTCTCGGTTGACCTTGGTCGGATCCGAAAAGAAACCTGTGATTGATAGCGAAGGAGCAACTAACTTTAACCTGGCAGACGCCAGATTCATGAGTACCCTGCCAAGCCCCAGCCTCACTTCGGCTTGACATTCACACTTTTGTTTAAGCCGACAACAACCATGCGCCTCCAACACCCCCGGGAAGTCCGGGAGCGATCAACATCAGAAAGCATGAACGGGCATCAGGCGCGCAAGCAGAGAGAGCAGGTGTTGTTTCAGCATTCCCTTTGAGTGCGGGGAGCGCTTGCCCGCCTCACTCCAACCCGCATCGCCCCCCATCTAGGATCTAGACACGCCTCGCGCCTCACAGCCTTACGCAGCTTATGGCCTTACGTAGCGCCATAAGCTGCGTAAGGCGCTGCGTGCAAGACGCAGACAATCACCTCAACGGAAACCCGACGGAAACTGTTGCCCAACCACCAACGGCTCTCGAAGTCGCTCACACCATCACACACAAAAGCAAAAACCCAATACGCACATCCCACACATCCAAATCCTTTATGCAGCGATGGAAATCCTTCCGGCGCGCACCTCCAATCCCGTTACAGAGCTGTTCCTTCCCTCACCGATCAGGAACGCAACGGTAGATGAAAACGTCGGCTAATGGGCCTTCCCGCTGCCTGGGCGCGTCACGATGTGTGGCTGAACGGTGTGACGATGGCGCGGCAGGCGCTTGGAAATTATGAGGCGCGGCAGGCGTTTGGAAATTATGAGGGTGTGTAGAATCCTGGGTGGGTTTTGAGATGGTGATAGTGAAGCTGGTGTGGGAGATATTATCTGGTGCTCGCTGCGATGGTCGCGACTCGGCTGTAAGTATGGATGAGAGTAGGCACGTGTGTCCGGAAACAACCCCTGTTCTCGGATCCAAAACAGGTCATGGAGATGGGGACGGGACGTTTTGCCGCCGATGCCATGAGCGTGTGAGACGGGTGTGAGGTAAGTCTTTCAAAGATGTATGAGCCAGGTCCTCGTATGTACAATGAACAGGGTGGACTTGCCGAGTTTGCCTGTATCTGTCAAGATCTCACGTTGAGGATCAAGATCTGTTATCTGGTGGTCAACGAGATGTTCATCTTAGATCTCACAACTAGGACCATATGCCAGCACTGGGTGCAAGGAATATACAAGGTCAAATCGATATTGACGACATGTTGAGGCAACTGGCGTGGTGCGAACTCGAGAGCGGAAACAAGGTAAAGTATTAGCACGAGAAGCTATGCCGTACCGTCTTCGTACGATTCTTGCAGCCTCAATTCACCATCATCTCTTCCTCATATTTCCGCTCCAAGTATACGTTTCGAGTCATGTGGTCAGGGTTCACCTTTGGACCATGTCCCTGCAAGTACACATCTCAACCTGGAATTTTCTCAATCTGTCACCCAGGTTCCACATCAGGACCATGTCCTGGTCCGACATTAATTATTCCGTCTGGTATCATCAAGCATCAGGCACGAGTCTAGCAAACTCATGCTTCTCGAAATGCTAACGTTCATGGCTGGCTTGATCCATTTCTTCGGACCTATCGCTTGTTGACAGCCGAACAGCTTGACCATGGCAGTGAAGCTGACATCACCACCGTGTACAGAGGTCAATGAACCCTCTCCGCTTTGTTGAGTTAGATCCGCAAATGCTGCCCGAGGCGTTCTTGAGGCCCCACTACCGCCGACAACGCCCAAGGCAAGGTCGCTTCACAAGCACGACACGACTGCGCAGCGCTTGTCACCTCATGGAGTGCATGAAAACGGTGCTTAGAGCAACGAATAGACCCGAGGATCTCGGGCAAATGAAAGATGCCGGGTACTTGCACGGGACACTGGTGTCTATGTTATGGTGCATCAGAGGAGCGGTCTTAGATACAAGGAGAACAGAAAGGAGCAATGGATGGAGGTGACTGGCCCGATTTATACCTTTGGGCTCTCCGCGTGTCAACAGCCGCAGAGCCTAATAAAGACTGCCCAGCGACACAGTTGACTCGGAAGCAGACGCCATGGTTATCTTGAGGCCGTCAAGTCCTCTTTGCAACTGCCATCAGGCCATTGAGTGGAGAGGGGCAGTAACGAGGCATGTTGCACCAGGAGAGCACACATCATTCACGGTATACAGCATTGTGATGGATCCAAATTCAACGTATCTTTGATCTGCACGCGACAAAGTTGCCTACGCATTTTACCCACCAGATTCTCCTCATAATGCTCGATGCCAACTTTCCATTGTCGACTCGGCACTGCATCACCACCTCCTTTATTGCTTGAGACATGAAGGCCATTTGACGCTACTGGATGCAACACTTACGGAGCTTTCTTTGCGGTAGGAAGACAGTTATAAGGGCAGTCAGTCGTTGGCCCACAACATTTCACTCCCCCAAGTGAGTAGAACAGAGGCGTAGGGCGTACATTCCCGTACACTGCCGAACATCCAGAGGTTCCAAGTGCAAGCTGGCCTGGGTCGATCTGGTATCTTTTGACACAAAGGTCAGACGAAAGCCCGATTTATCGTCATGGGTAGTGAACATCTACAGTTTGTCAAAGCAGTACAGGCGGTCTCAGTAGATGTACATGCTGAATCTATGGCTAAGGACCAGAACGGCCATAATGGGACGCAGGCATGTTGGGAAGTGACCACGACCACTCAGAGTCAACTACACATATTCGCTCCTACTCTCAAAGAGAGGTCGAATGTGTTCAGCTAGTGTCTCGGACATGTACAGCGTTTACACATAGTCTTCTTGGGTTGCTATGTGCACTTTAGGCTTTCTGCTGCGTACTCTCGACTGGTTTTAAGTGTCCTACTTTTCGTACCCAGCAATACTGGGCATACCTAGGTACCATGCCCCAATCATCATAAAAGCTACCTTTACGTCCGCATCTTCCCTTCAGTCACTGCATTTTGACAACAAGCTTCTTTCAGGAGAACTCTCACCGACCATGTATCCTTTCTATCGTCTCAACGTTCACACCGTATGAATTGTACTCTCGATATTCTCAGCGATAGCCTACGCTGGCAGCATGAACCCATCCGAAGACGACCCAGAGCCTGCTCCTTCCCCTGAACCATCACCTGGACCTAAGATACATACTTTCCCTGCTGACAATGGCGCGCGATACTCTTTGTATGACCAAGCAATCGCCAGATATAATTCGTCTTGTTCAGTCAGCTAACTGACCTAGGGGCGGCATCACTTTCGAACTGAAGTGTGACCAAGGCAAAAGTGCTGCTCGACTTCGTGACAGCCAAGCGGGATCTTAGACAGAATTTGCCGATCTGTGTGCTGCGGATCTACAGTGCAATCCTGCGATTGGAGGAGCTAGCAAGAACTGTGGACAGTTCAAGGAATACATTTCAACGTGAGTTGGGTTATCCCTCCTCAAAGAGAACACTCCTGCCGACACTGCATCGCCAGCATCCCAATGAAAGGAGTCAACACCGTACGTCTGCCAGAAATGACCCATGCTCAATGCGGGCTTAAAGAGGTCATTCACTGACGCATCAACCCAGTGGTTCCCCATCGAAAAACGCTCCTCTCCTTCCCCAGACCTCCACACACCCACCTGTCCCACATCCAACAACACCACCTACAGTACTTCCGACGGCACATTCTACCGCCTCTTCTGCAGCATCCACAGCATCTCCGCCAACCACCCTACCACGGACACAATCCGCACAACCCAAGCCGCAAGCTATGCAGAGTATATGGAAAAGTGCAGCGCCGAGCCAGGCTGTCTGAGTGTTGACTACGTCGCCCGCACTGGCACTGATCATACATTGAACACCTGCACGCTGTTCCGGACTGGAGGTGGCGATACACCGACGACGAGCTGCGGGACCAAGATGGTGGATATGGCGTACGCAATTGATCCGCCTGAGGAAGAGGTGCCGGATACGGCAGCGGTGGCATGTTCGAAAGAGTGTCCGTATGCTAATGGACAGATCGTGGGTCCTTCATCGTACGGGTGATTTAAGGTTAACATAACTGCAGTCCGATAGTCAGGCTGGGGAGCGCTTCCACATTGATTGCGGGCGGCGACACGGCTCGAAAGTCTTAGGTTCGTTATACCCTTCGTGAGTACGGACGTCAACGCTGACTTGTAGTAGCCAAAACGAGTCAGCCCACGTTCAAGGATTGCTTGAACGCTTGCGGCGCCCTTGTAGCATGCCATAGCGTGGATTATCATGTTTCGAAGAAGCTCTGTTATAGTAAGTACTTCGTAGTGGACTCACAGATCAGACCTAACGTTTTGGAATAGTCGGCCAGCACCATGGTGAGCCGGAGCATATCTCTCCAAGCTGGGCGTCGGCATACGCACTCGGTTGTTCATGCGCGTGTGACAGGAAGAGCTGCTGTACGCCTACGACACCGCAGATTGCGGGGCTGAAGGATGAGTTGTAGAGAGACAGAGCTTCCGGTGCTATGTGATGTGCTGTAGATTCGAGGACATAGTCGCAACGTCAAAAGTCATCCACTTCTTCGAGTATCAACCCGTGCAACTTACATTCCTGCAACCTCTCCACAGCCCCCTTTAAGCTCCTCAATTCAGGGCTCACACTCTCACGACTCCGCAGGCTCAGACTCGCAGCCCTTTGAGCGAAGGCTACGACATCCTGAACCTTCTTCCCCTTTGCCAGGCCTACAGCCAAAGCCCCACAAAACGTATCCCCAATCCCATTAACACTTACCACCTCCTCCGGGCTCAACACCTTCTCCACTGGAAACAGTCTCACATATAACCCGCCCACTCCCGCCTTCACATCCCCATTATTATTGCGCGCTAAAATGTATTGCCTTTCTGCATCATCGTGCAGTTCCGGGGCGTCGAAGCAGAGCAGCTTTGTCATTAGCACGCCCTGGGGACCGAGTTTTGTCAGGATGGTAGGGAAGAAGGGCAGGAGCTTTATCGCTTGTTGTGGGATTCCTGCGTCTACTAGCTTGCTGCTTGTCACCATGGCTAATGGCACGCGCAGACCTGTTGATGGAATACCTAGGGCGTCGATGACAGCGAACCACGATGGTGTGTCGAAGAGACCCTTCGTGTGGGCGTGTTCGTGGAGCGCGATGAGTTCGTGGTTGTTCGGGGTTATGATACTGGCAAGGGGATTGGGATATGTCAATATCGTTTGTGAGTCGCCGGGGAAGATGCGCAGTGCTTTCGCGGTGGAGACGGGCTCAAAGATGGTCGTTGTTGATGCGGCATGGGCGGCTGAGAGCCAGGTGCGGAGTGCGGGAGAAGACCAATTGGCGTCTGCTACAAAGACCCTGGGTTTTGTTGTGGGGTTGGCGAAGAGAGTGGCGGACAAGGAGGAGGTTAGACTTTGGGGGATGGTTTCGAGGATTGACATGTCGGCCATGGCGAGTGCGAGGTCTTTGTTTGCGTTGTTGACAGCGACGTATTGAGCTGTTCGTGCTGGAGCGGGCAGGGTTTCGATACCGGATATGTGCATGCCTTCGTCTTCTAGCTGGCTGACTGCTGCGCGACCGCTGAGGTCGTTTCCGACTGCGCTGTAGAGACGCACGGAGGAGCCAAGGAGATGTGCGGCTTTAGCAATATTGTGAGCTACGCCCCCTAAGCTCTGGCTGATCTCTGCTGGGTTGGAAGTATGAGGCAGCGGGTCGACCTGGCTTGAAGCGTTGGCGAACGGAGCGTAGTCACATGAGAAGTCGACTGCAAGTGCACCTGCAACAGCAATATCGACAGGTGCAGCAGCATCAGAGACAAGAGGTGATGTAAAGACAGGAGTTGCAGGTGGTGTGGGTATCGATGGTGTTGCATTGGTAAGCACTTCCTTCGCAGCAGTGGTGCTTAGTTGCACTGGAGTGAAGTAGGAAGAGTTACGTCTACATACTTACAATCAGCGCCAGTTTCTACGATTTAGCAGCAAGAGTGTCTGGCTCACCCTTGGGCTCCATCTCGCTTTGTTTCCAGGATTGACAACTCGCGGGCAACGATGGCAGCCCTCCTTACGTTGGACTCAATCAGCGCTCTATTGGCCGGGATGGATTTGCCTTTGGTAAGCTCCTTAATCTTTGCCAGGACGAAAGGTGTATTATCCTTGCCGGACGCGCCTTGGGCATTGGCTTGCTTGAGGGCTTCCTCGATGACGACGTCCATCTCTTCCTTTGGAATGGCAGCTTCAACTGGGACGGGATTGGCAAAGAGCAGACCAGACCGGATTCGCATATCATGTTGTGCGTCTAGGTGGTATCAATATACGTAGCGTATAGGGAGGGTCGAGGTACTTACGAATGATAGCAGCAGCCTCAATCTCGTCCTGGATGGTTGTTGGGCTCTTGACGCCACTGTCTCTTGACCAAAAGGCCGGGAAGTCTACCTTCCCTTCGCGGCCATCTGCGAAAGTGCCAACACCCACACCCTCAGTCTCCAGATATTCAAGGGTCCGAGGAATATCCAGGAAGCTCTTGCAGCCACTTGAGATCACGGTGACGGGTGTCCTGCCCAGCTCAGTCAAGTCAGCAGAGATATCCATGCTCGACTCTGCACCACGGTGGACTCCACCAAGACCTCCAGTTCCAAAGATCTTGATGCCAGCCAGCTCGGCGAGCAACATTGTGCTTGCAATTGTAGTGCCGCCATTGAAGTTCTTGCCTGTCAATCGCAGTCCACAGACATAGCTCAGGTCTCGCCTGGAAAGCTTCAAGGTCGTCGGCTGGCCAGCAGACTCAGTGAGCCTGATCAACTCCTCTGGGTCCATGCCTACACGTGCAACACCACCTAGAATGCCTATGGTTGCGGGCACACCGCCATTGACTCGGACTACGCTTTCGAGGAGGGATGCGAGGGCTACATTCTCGGGGTATGGGAAGCCTGCACAAAGAATCAACATTCGTACATACAGTTCAATTGACTCTCTTCAATCGCACCATGAGTGTATATCGTCGACTCCAGCGCAACGACGGGCTTCTTCGAGTTCAAAGCTTCTCGCACCTCCTCTGAGACGCGGAAGAAGCCATTGTTGGTCAAGTGGCGCCTTGCCAGTAACGTGCAGCTCTGCTGTGGCAGACGAGGCCTTGGTACAGCTCTGGAAAGGAGTCTCATAGTGTCCTGATGAATATTGCGGGGATCAACCGCGGCGGGTGAGCTTGAGCTATGAGTGCACGGACGCACCTTCCTGAGTGGACACGACGCATCAGCATACGCAACCACAGCGTTTCGTCGCGACAATCCACCTTGACCGTTCCTTCCCACACTGACCTCTCACATGACTGGGTAACTTTGCTGCTACCCAACATGAGGTCGTTTTCTCTTTTCACAAGTGCCATTGCGGCATTGTCGAGCTTCGCAAGCGCCGAATTAAACCTCTCTGAACCGCTGCGGTCGAAGCAGGTGCTTCCCAGCACATTCAAGCCTCCACAGGTCTTCAAGAATGCCCATTTGGTCAGGACTACCAACTTGGACAAAGCTTACCCCAGGGAAACAGTCAATGTCCTCATTGAGAATATCGACTCGAAGCCGCAGTCGGAATACTATGTTCCATTCGACACAAGTTTGTTGTCCAAGGTTGGAGGATTTGAAGTAAGAGACAAGAAGAATGCAGCAGCAGGGACATTCAAAGTCGAAGTTGTCGGCCTCGACCAGGACAGCACAACCGAATTCTACCTTGTCCACCTCCCGGAGCCTTTGGCACCTGGGAAACAGCAGACAATCAGCATCTCCTACTCGGTCCTCTCCTCCCTCAAGCCCGTCCCCTCCGAGCTCGCCCAGACAGCGAAGCAGTACCTCCAATACACCTTCAGCGCCTACACGCCCTCTGCCTACCTCACCGAGAAGCAGCGCACCAAAGTCAAGTTCCCCAACGCCGATGTCACCGACTACACCACCCTCCCCGCCGAGCTCAACGACGAGCAGAAAGCCGACCCCCAAAAGCAGGGCTCGACCTTTACCTACGGTCTCTACGCCAACGTCCCGGCCGGCGCACAGCAGCCCGTGAGCGTGCGCTACGAGTTCACCAAGCCCGTCATACAATCCACACTGCTCGAGCGCGACCTCGAAGTCTCGCACTGGGGCGGCAACCTGGCCACCGAAGAGCGCTACTGGCTCGTCAACGAGGGAGCAGGCCTCAAGAACCACTTCTCCCGTGTCGAGTGGCAGAAGCAGTCGTACATGAACCCGCCCACTTTCGCCCTGAAGGGCCTGAACCTGCCCCTCGCCCCCGGCGCTGTGGACCCCTACTTCACCGATGACATTGGTAACGTCTCCACCTCGCGCTTCCGCCCGGGCAAGAAGGAGAACTTGCTCGAGCTGAAGCCGCGCTACCCCGTTTTCGGCACCTGGAAGTACAGTTTCCGCGTGGGCTGGAACGCAGACCTGTCGAGCTACCTGCGCAAGCTGGCCAAGGGCGACACCTACGTTCTCAAGGTGCCATTCCTCGAGGGCCCCCGCGCTGTCGAGGGTATCTCGTACGGTCGTGTGAGCCTCCGTGTCATCCTGCCCGAGGGTGCGACGAATGTCAACTTCCAGACCACAGTGCCTGTTGTCGAGAACTCGACGAGCCTGCACAAGACGTTCATGGATACTGTTGGCCGTACGACGCTGACTTTGACTGTGATCAATTTGGTCGATGATTTCAGGGACAGGGACCTGATTGTCACATATGATTACCCCTGGACTGCGGGATACAGGAAGCCTGCCGTCATCACCCTGGGCGCATTTGTTGTGTTCGCTTTTACATGGGCGGTTGGCAGCATTGACACATCGATTGGCAAGAAGAAGTCCGCGTAATGAAATGACGAAGTTGTGAAGAGGTTGAAGAAGAAAGAGAAGAATCCTATCGAAGTAGACGTATGGCTGTGCAAAAATCTGGCATCAGTGGCAGGTACTCTATATCCTGTTTCTGTTAGCAAGCATGTAGAACAATGAGATGATTCTTAGGTTTCACAAATTCCTCACCTCGACGAACCTTTCTCGCCATATTGTCAGTACAACGAATCGGCACAGGATACGCTTGCTTAATACCAAGCTTCTCAGTTCGAAGGCGTCATTGAAGATCAAAAGATAGTAACAGTGAGTCAAGGTGTCCACGGATGCGTCTATCCAGAACTACTCTGTGTGCGACGTGCTTTCCAGTACTCATATCAATGTAGTACCTCTTGCCCTCATCATCGTATAGGAAAGCACAGCGACACTTCTTACCTCTACAGGAGTAAGAGGACCGCCTGCTGCTAGCTTTCTGGGCTGTATGGGTGCCCAGTTACCAGGCAGTGCCGCATCTGCCCACCGACTTCTGCTGAGCTCGTTTCCACGCTGAGCATGCAGGAGTATCGGAAAAATCGTGAGCGGCTGAAGCATTACTGCGGCGCAGTACACCTGGGCAGGAAGGATCGTGCTTCCTGAAGCCCGTTTGAACTTATACTTCTGTCTTCTGATAAACGTGAGATCTCGACCAGTCATTGAATATCGAGTGGAGATATTCTAAATAGTCAAAAGAGGTGAAGTTTGGTGTGGTTGTGCGGAGGTTGTGAATTGTGGTCGCGACCAGCCAACCGGAGGCGCAGGAGACCCAATTTTAGCCTGACTGTGTTGTCGACTCATTTCAGCTCCGCCGCAACAACCACAATCCTACAGCTGAGCTTGGTCCTGCGCAGTCATATACTGCCGTCCTTGCTCTTACCTTCCCAACCTCACTCTGATTGAATTCACACAGACATCAAGTCTTGCAATATTTCAATTGACACAGTAGCTGTCATTAACCCCTCTAATACCCCACCATGGCCGACTCGATCAAGGACGAAATCGCAACTATCGAGAAGAAGATTGAAGAGCTTCAGGCACAACTAGTTAATGCTAAGGCGAGATTACAAAAGAGCCAGAATGAATCAGCGGCAAGCGACGAATCGGCGAAGATGTCGCCCGAAGAGAAGTTGGACCTCATCAAGGTCAACTTGAAGGAGGTGCTGAACCCAGAGATCATGGAGGCAGCGCTCAAGGAGGGCAGACCACTCAAGGTCTACTGGGGAACTGCTACAACAGGCAGGCCGCACTGCGGATACGTGAGTCTAGTGACGCTTGTTTTCCAGCGTCATAGTAGCTAACAGAATTGCAGTTCGTACCTATCCTCAAGCTGGCTCAGTTCCTCGCCGCAGGGTGTCACGTCAAGATTCTCCTCGCCGATATCCACGGCTTCCTCGACAATTTGAAGGCACCTATCGAGCTCGTCAAATTCCGTGCCGAATACTACCGCTTCACTATCACCGCACTCCTTAAAGCCGTCAACGTCCCCATCGACCGCCTCGAGTTCGTCCTGGGCTCGTCCTACGAGCTGAAGCCAGACTACATGATGGATGTGCTCCGTCTGGCCTCCATCACCTCTGAGCACGATGCAAAGCGCGCTGGCGCCGAAGTCGTCAAACAAACCGACAACGCACCTCTATCCGGCCTGCTCTACCCGCTCATGCAAGCCCTCGATGAGCAGTACCTGGACGTCGACATGCAATTCGGTGGTGTAGACCAGCGCAAGATCTTCGCCCTCGCCAAAGACATCCTCCCCAAGATCGGTTACAAAGAGCGCGCCCACTGCATGAACCCCATGGTTCCTGGTCTACAAGGCGGCAAGATGAGCGCCTCGGACCCCGACTCCAAGATCGACGTTCTCGACAATGAAGACATTGTTAAGCGCAAACTCAAGAAAGCGCACGCCGCTCCCAAGGTTGTCGAGGACAACGGTATTCTCTCCTTCGTCGAGTACGTCCTTCTTCCTGCATCTTACCTCCGTCACGGCACACCGAAGTTCGTTGTCCCCCGCCGCGACGCCGAGCCCCTCGAGTACACCACCATCGCCCAAATGCACGAAGACTACAAGGCGGACATCCTGTCCCCACAAACCCTCAAGCCGGCTGTCGTCGACGCACTCAATGCCCTCCTCAAGCCTGTACAGGAAGAGTTCCAGAGCAGCGCCGAGTGGAAGGAGATTGAGCAGAAGGCTTACCCGCCGCCACCGGCAGAGAAGAAGAAGGAGAAAAAGGTCAAGAATAAGGGCACCTTCCATCCTGGCGCGAAGAAGGTCGAGGCCAAGCCAGATGGGCACGTCGAGGGCGCAGATAAGGCCAAGGTCGACGTTGGCACCGAGGGCGTGAGGGAGGCGATTGAGAACTTGACCCTCGAGGAGAAGAAGTAAGAGTTGATATCCCAGAAGCATAGCATACATGAATAGACGACTGTCACGGCAAACAATGTTCGAACATGCAATGATGATCGATGAGTGTATCGAGGTCAAGACATATGAACGCTGTCGATTCCAAGTCCCCCATATCTGGGTGTGTCGACCGATGTGAGAGCAAGAAACAGATTTCGGATTTATGCTTCTATTGTCTGACATTCAAGGGTAGAAGGATTTCGAAAGGTGCATCTGGTCAGCGTTATTCATGTTGAGGTAGCCAGATCCCAAAAGACAAGTTTGTATTATATAGTAAGGAGCGTCATGAGTGTAAAAATGAACAACGCCAACGCCGTCGCCATGCAGAATCGAGCAGATCCATCGCGCTCGCACCATTTCACCAACCGTCTGCCGTCCCCCTGCCACCTACTGCTTCGTGCACTTAGTACTGCTTACTGCACCTCGCAAGACAAACATCCACATCCTGCGCCAAATTGGCCGGAATGTACTTCCTGAACTCCTCAATGTTCTTCCCATCAATCGTCTTCGGGAAGCCCAGCGTAGCATTAACAACTCCCGCATTCAGCGCAAAGAAGTTCTGCGCGATCTGGCTTGTCCCCGGATCCTCGCTGTTCAGCGCAGCAACGAATGTCGCCTTTTGGCAATTGTCGTTGAATTGGAAATGGATGCTTCCCTGCGGAAACACGGTGCCTTCAAACTTGTTCAAAGTGCCGGCGATTTCGGGGTTTTGACCGGCACCGACGAGCCCGTTTTCGAGGACGTATCCAAACTTGAGATTGGCGCCGTCGACGAGGGTCAGAAACTCGGTCGCGCGGGGGTGCACATGCGGCGTGTTGATGCCACAGGGCTCGAGGAAGCCGAGCGTTGTGCTTATTCCGAGGCCGGTGAGGATCGGGAAGGTTTCGATGTTGGCGGCTTTTGTTGCGCCGCCTGTTGCGTTGGGGGCTGGAATCGCGTTGTTGAAGGAGAAGACGGTGAGTTTTCGAAGGGCGTCGCCGGTGAGTAGGGTGTCGCCTTGGCCTGAAACGAGGAGACGTTGGAAGCGTTTGATGGCCGTTGGTGCGCTGAAGAGGTCGCGGAAGAGCTGGGATTGGTCGGCTGTGGGTGCTGGAGGTGCTGCTGCGGTGCTAGTCGAGGAGGGCATGCTCTGGGGCAGGGCCTGGACTGAGCCGAAGGCCGCCGCAGCGAGGATAACAAACTTGGTGAGGCTGATCATTCTGATGACGATGATTCGAAAAAACCCAGAAAGAAGATAGGAAATGAAAAGGAAATAAGAGAAATGAGACTGAAGTATGGTTTGTTGGTTGTAAGTAAGGAGATGATCGATAGTATGGGGCTCCTCCACGACACCTTTATACAACCATACCTCAAGTCACCAGATCTAAATTGCTGATGGTGTTCAGAGCGGATGTTGGTAATCCGGGTGATGCTGATAGTGCATGGCTGAGTAGTGCAGGGCTGAGTAGAGCAGCAACGTGCTCCATAGCTAAGCAGAACTTAATTCAGTGACAGGTGAGATTTGTTTAGAAGACCTTACGGCACAGCAAGCGATTGGCTTTGATAGAAAAGCTTCGTAAGTGTTTCTTTCGCCAGCCACTCATCGAGGCGGCTGCTGATGGGCGGAGCGTAGCGCAGGCTGGATTGCAGCGGGAGATGTGCTAGCCGTAAGACATCTTCGGCGCTGCTTTGGCGGTTTTTTACCACGTGCAGATAGATAGCACGATACAACCTGTTTGAGAGAATGACTGTGAGATGCCAACTTCCAGCTCAAGTCAATTGTTGCGATGCGGTGAACCAGCAGACTGTTGCTTACGCTATCAGTCAGAATGGCTAACTCTCAAGTCCTCTTCACATGACGGTCTGGGCTCCAGACTATGTTAGAAATTGCTTCAGTGTCCTCGAGCTAGCTACCTGTACTTGTTTTGATGTTGCGGCGTATAATTAGTGTTCATTGTTAAGTAGAGGTAAGTGTTGGTGTTGAAGCCGTGGCCACCCAGCTGTAACCCACGCCCCCAGGGCTTAGCTCCAGGGCTTGTCAGCAGGCCGCACCAGAAATAGATGCCTAGGACTCAGGTGCAGGACACCAACCAAATTCCCATCAACTCGATCCTTCGTCGGAAGCCTGCGTATCCGAAATCGGTGCACTGCACAAAGCCTCAAGATGAAGCTGGGGGTTGGTGAGGAAAGAGCAAGTAAATTGGTATGTTACGAAAGGGGTAATCGCTGCGCTAAGAAACAACAAACAAACAAACAGACACCTATTCGCCGCAAGCCTGCTCGCTGATACAGGCTGCAAACCGACAGAAGCCATCCATATGTGCTACAGAGAAAGTTACTCTGAATCATTTTCGACCTCCATGGTCTCGTAAGCCCCTCGCCAGAAAGGGAGTTCATCTAGTGTGAACGCGTCATCACTGGGGATCGATGGCGGGCCTTTGGTGTGTTTCACGACTCCCTCCTCTGGTTCTTCCACTTCCTCGATGTTATTGGTATTCGGGAATCCCTTGTCCTCGAAGATGAGGGAGCCTCGCCTGTCACACGGTCCAGGTCCACGCAACTTGCGGCGCAGACGGCGCGCCTCGGGTTTGTTATCGTCTTGGGGATCATCGTCAGAGTAGCTGCTGTCGCCTTCGACACTCTGACTGTGGGTACGTTTGAAGACTCCCGCGCTCCATCTCTTCTTCTTGTGCACGTATCTGCGCTCTTTGGCCTCCTCGTCGGTGGAGCCTTCCGAGACATGCAGTTCTCTCAACTGGTCCATGACCCCGGTGGCTTCTAGTGCAGCGGCGCTTATGTCGCTCTTCGCGTCCTCGCAATGGTCTGGCTGCACGACTTCCAGGTTTTCATCTTCGCTTTCATCGCTGTCGACCTCCTCAAGTTCAAAGTCGGCCTCCTCTACCCGTCGCATGGGTCTCTCGTCCTCGTCCTCGCTTTCTTCTTCCGAGCTCTCTTCATATTCGGTTTCTTGAGGAGTTGTGCCGGCATACGCATGTCCGGAGACGCTAGAGGGCCGCGAGGATCGCTCGATCGACTGCGCTCGCGTGAATCGAAACTGGTTCTGTCCAATGGGCGTGAACTCCAACGGTGGAGTGTGTAGCGGTTTGGAAGCACCCATACGCTTGTACAATGGTGGCGTGTGGTTTACTCGAGAGAGGAAACGAGGCGGGCCGTGGATGCTCGATGCAGTAGGCGGCGGGGTTGGACAACCGTGAAGCATCTCGAAGTTTGGTGGGTGTTCGTGTGTCGCCATATGGGTTGGGCAGGTGGTGTTGTTCACCGGTGATGGTGGTTGCGTCAGGCTGGCGGGCCAATTGCGACAGCGTACGTATCAATGATCTGCTCACTCGATCTTTGCTGATCTTATGGTATGCAAGGCCGGCGGACGTGTCTTGTTCTTGAGATTCGGAAGAAGGATTGTGCGGACAGTATCATTCTGGAGAAGGGTTGGGAGAGCGTGACTGGAGGGTTGAGCGGCGAGTTGCAGACGGACTGGTGGAAGGCTTCACAGGTCAGACCCTGCTTATCGTGCAGGGAGAATGAGGAGTGCTACAGGCAGCAATGCAGGACGGGTAGCTCGCAGACAGTGAGAGCCACAGAGCGCAGGTCAGTAGGGGAAACAAAGTGTGTGCGGCGGTGGTCGAATGGGATAGTCGAATGAAAAAATAAGGATTGGAGGAGGCGGGCCTGGGGTGGTACAATTCCCTAATGCCTGAGATTGTGTGGGACGTCGCCAATTATCACCTGCGTTTCAGCAATGAGCTGTTCGGCCGCGGTTCTTTGCAGGCGGGTCTGCGTGCAGAAGTGCTTTCCTACCGTGACTCTACTCGGTGGCCGCGATATGTGTTCACGAGCAATTAGTTCCCACGAGGCCTCGCACAATCTTACCTTGCGTCAAGGCCCAACCAGCCCAACGAATGACGGCGGCGCTCAGTATTGCAGCACGCATGGTTCTCTGGGTAGTGCTGGCCAGCTGGCAGCGGGAGAGCATTGGCGGGGCAGGCATGCATAAGAACATGCATACATATTCAACCGAGCGCACGCAGCGGAGCAGAAATTGAGCGGGCCTCGGGGCGATGCGGCTCTGCTTAGGGGGAGAACGACGAGACTTGAAGTCGACTAGCCCTGATATGAGCCTCAGGCGTCAATGATTCGCCTGCAAACGACGGATGTAGTAGACGTCACGTGAAGCGCTTTTGGTGGGGTTAGTTCTTTGGTGTTGCGAGGTGGCCCATGCACGACTCGCTATTCCGTTGCGTGGCAGGGACAGATTGAACCTCTGGCCAGAGCAGCTTGCGGCGGAGGCAGCAGAGCGTGAACCATTCGCAACATCGTGTTTCTTTTTGTTCTTCATACGCCATCCCACTTCCAATACCACCGTCTCTTGCATTGAAGCTGCTCAGCGTGTTACTGAAGCTGCGGCTTCGCCCTCAATTCCACCATGGCTTCTTCCCCGAGCATGTTGACCAAGGTATGCAGCTATACATGTATGCGCTCTTGCACATATCTGACCCTGCACAGTTCGAATCCAAGTCCTCGAGGGCTAAGGGTATTGCCTTCCACCCCAAGAGGTACCTGCATGCGCTCCGACTGCCATCTTCCTGCGCTGACCGCCCTTAGACCCTGGATTCTTGTGTCGCTGCACTCCTCCACCATCCAGCTATGGGACTACCGCATGGGAACCCTGATCGACCGCTTCGAAGAACACGACGGGCCGGTTCGCGGCGTTGACTTCCACAAGACCCAGCCATTGTGAGCATTAGAGAGCGCTGAATTCGATTGCGCGGCATACTGAGATGGAGCAGATTCGTATCTGGTGGCGACGACTACAAGATCAAGGTCTGGTCGTACCAGACTCGACGATGTCTGTTCACTCTGAGCGGTCATCTGGACTATGTCAGAACCGTCTTCTTCCACCACGAGCTACCATGGATCATCAGTAGTTCAGACGATCGTAAGCGCACACCGCAGCTGCGCCGAGGACATACTGACAGGAAGCAGAAACCATCCGTATCTGGAACTGGCAGAACCGTACGTTATCTCAGCTCTCCCTGTAGACCACTGCTAACATGTGTAGGCTCCCTCAGTAAGTCGCTGTTGTTGAATCCCCCCGCGAAGCCTACCTAACCCGTCCAAGTCTGCACCATGACCGGCCACAACCACTACACAATGTGCGCGCAGTTCCACCCGAAAGAAGACCTCGTCGTCTCCGCCTCGCTCGACCAGTCCGTTCGTGTTTGGGATATCTCTGGGTTGAGGAAGAAGCACTCTGCGCCAACATCCATGTCGTTCGAGGACCAGATGGCCCGCTCGAATCAGAACCAGGCGGACATGTTTGGAAACACAGACGCGGTCGTCAAGTTCGTTCTTGAGGGCCACGACCGAGGTGTGAACTGGGTCGCGTTCCACCCTACACTACCATTGATTGTTTCCGCTGGTGACGATCGCCTGGTCAAGCTGTGGAGAATGTCGGAGACAAAAGCCTGGGAAGTCGACACTTGCAGAGGGCATTTCCAGAACGCTTCGGCGTGTTTGTTTCACCCACACCAGGACCTGATCCTGTCAGTAGGCGAAGACAAGACCATCCGGGTATGGGATCTTAACAGGAGAACATCCGTCCAGTCTTTCAAGAGGGAGAACGACCGTTTCTGGGTTATTGCGGCGCATCCGGAGATCAACCTTTTCGCTGCTGGTCACGACAACGGTGTCATGGTGTTCAAGTTGGAGCGGGAGCGCCCTGCGTCTGCGGTCTACCAGAACAACCTCTTCTACATAACCAAGGAGAAGCACGTTCGGTCATACGACTTCCAGAAGAACCTCGAATCGCCTTCCATGCTCTCCCTCAAGAAGCTCGGTAGCCCATGGACACCGCCGCGAACTTTGTCCTACAACCCTGCCGAACGTTCGATTCTGGTCACATCGCCTGCAGACAGCGGTACATACGAACTGATCAGTCTTCCACGCGATGCCTCGGGAGCAGTGGAGCCTACTGACACGAAGCGTGGCTCAGGAAACTCGGCGGTCTTCGTGGCGAGGAACAGGTTCGCAGTCTTCAACCAAGCTAACCAGCAGATCGATATCAAGGACCTCACCAACTCGACGACAAAGACTATTAAGCCCCCGCATGGCACGACTGACATCTACTTCGGCGGTACTGGTAACTTGCTTCTCATCACCCCTACCACTGTTGTGTTGTACGATATCCAGGCCAAGAAGAACCTTGCGGAGCTTGCTGTGGCCGGCGTCAAATATGTTGTCTGGTCTTCAGATGGGCTACACGTTGCTCTTCTAAGCAAGCACAACGTCACAATTGCCACCAAAAACCTCGACCAGGTCAGCACGCTGCATGAGACGATTCGCATCAAGAGCGCTACCTGGGACGATACCGGCGTACTTCTCTACTCGACATTGAACCACATCAAGTACAGCTTGATGAACGGCGACAACGGTATCGTTCGAACTCTGGAGCACACCGTCTATCTCGTCAGAGTCAAGGGCCGCAACATCTACTGCTTGGACAGAGCCGCGAAGCCCAAGGTCCTCCAGATCGACCCCACGGAGTACCGTTTCAAACTCGCCCTTGTCAAGCGGAACTACGATGAGATGCTTAACATCATCAAGACATCTAGTCTCGTCGGTCAAAGCATCATTTCGTACCTGCAAAAGAAGGGTTACCCTGAGATTGCGCTTCAGTTTGTTCAGGATCCCCAAACACGCTTTGAGCTCGCTATTGAATGTGGCAACCTCGAGGTTGCGGTGGAGATGGCGAAGCAGCTTGACCGACCGAAGCTTTGGCAGCGACTCAGCACCGAGGCTCTCGCGCACGGGAACCATCAAATAGTGGAGATGACATACCAGAAGCTGCGGAACTTCGATAAGCTGTCGTTCTTGTACCTTACAACAGGCGACCAGGAGAAGTTGAAGCGTATGGCCAAAATTGCCGAACACCGTGGAGACATGACCGCACGTTTCCAGAACGCGCTTTACCTGGGCGATGTTCAGAACAGGATCGAGATGTTCCAAGAGATTGATCTTTACCCGTTGGCTTATGCTACTGCGAAGGCTCACGGCCTTGATGAGCAAGCGCAATCGATACTCGAAGCAGCTGGCGTCACAGAAGACCAGATCAGCGTACCCTCGATAGGCAACCCTCTTGAGCCGCCAAAGCCGATTGTCCCTACCTTCAAAGCGAACTGGCCCACGCGTGCAGCATCCTCGAGCGTCTTTGAAAAGGCTCTTGCTGGCGAGATTGAGGGTGTTGGCGATGAGGAGCCAGCGGCCAATGGATATGGTAACGAGGACCTGCTCGGTGAACCAGAAGCTGCTGGTGCGACTGCCGAGCTTGGCGGTGATGACGAAGAGGAAGATGTTGGCGGCTGGGACATGGGAGACGATGGTGATGTCGAGGCGGAAGACGACTTCGTCGAGGTCGAGGGCGCTGACGCAGGTGCTGGCAGCAGCGAGGCTGATCTGTGGGCACGCAACTCGCCGCTGGCGGCAGATCACATTGCTGCAGGGTCTTTTGAAACTGCTATGCAGTTGTTGAACAGGCAAGTTGGCGCTGTCAACTTTGCTCCTCTCGAGGATCGCTTCCAGGAGATCTACCAGGCGACACGAACTTTCCTTCCTGCTACACCCAACATGCCTTCTCTCGTCAACTACGTACGGAGAACGGTTACCGAGACAGACTCGCGAAAGATCCTGCCCATCATCCCACGGAATCTCGAGTCCATTCTATCATCTGACTTGGCAGCTGGCAAGCAAGCATTGCTCAAGAACCAGCTTCCTGACGGTGTCGCTGCTTTCAAGAGGTTACTGCACCTCTTGGTCGTCAATGTTGTCGCATCGCAAGCAGAGCTCACCGAGGTACGTTTCCAAACTGCGCTACAAATGTGATCATGCTAATACGGCGTCAGGCGAAGAAGGCGATTCACACCGCTGCTCAATACACACTTGCCATGTCCATCGAGCTCGAGCGCCGCGCACTCACTAAGGGTGCCACTGACATCTCTGGCCTCTCAGACGAAGACAAGAAGCGTGCTCTGGAACTGTCCGCCTACTTCACCGTTCCTGAGCTTGAGGGAGCCCACAAGTCGCTTCCTCTTTCTGCAGCCATGAACTTCGCCCACAAGAACAAGCAGCTCAACACCGCGCTAAACTTCGCCAACGCTCTGCTCGACAGGACCGGCAACGCGAAGATGAAGGAGTCCGCCAAGCGTGTAAAGACCGTTGCTGAGAGGAACCCCGCAGACGGAATCGAAATCGACTTTGACCAATTCGCCGACTTCGAAATTTGCGCTGCTAGCCACACACCCATCTACGGTGGCAACCCCTCGGTTGCCTGTCCTTACGATGGCTCGAAGTACCACGGCAAATACAAGGGCACCGTGTGCAAGATTTGCGAGGTCTGCCAGGTTGGTGCTCCCGCAAGTGGCCTGAGGCTTGTTGGTTGAATGATGATGGGTTTGGAGTCTTAGCATTGCTTACGGTTAGGGTTGAGAGTTGCGGCAGCGTTATGAGGACGATAGATGTAGCGAGCCCTTGCGGTCAACAACAAAATGCGAAACGTTATAATGTTCAATCCGCCAGTACGACACATTGGCATGCCGTGGATTCGAAAACTTCTTACAGCCAAGTTCTTCAGGCTGGAGGCAGCTTCACAGGTAAGATGATGAGGCGAGCCAGTCACGAAGTTGCGTTTATTCAAGACTACTTTGTGTACGACGCTCTTTCCTGATTTCATATCGACGTACTACCTCTTGCCCTCTTTTATGTCAAGGAGGACAGTGCGACACCTACGCACTTCCTGCCTGTATCCTCACACAGATCGAAAGAACACACGTCACAAGACACAGCGATGCACGTGCTGAGCGATTCACCCATCGATCTGGACCGTCACTGGTCGATGGGCCATTACCAGGTGCGCCGAGCTTGGATCGTACTTGTCCTACCTCATGCACCCTACCTTGCTATCCTTAGCGCTTCACAGTTCGTCCGAGGTTCCCTATCGGTGCTGCGTTACCCTCTTCGATATATACAATACTTGCGCGCAGTGAAGAGAGTCGGGGTTGAGTGGACATTAAAGCACCCCGAGCGACACGCTTAAAGACACAGCCGACCACACTCTCCATCGCAGCTCGAAAGACCCCATCTGGACCCGCACACGTCACTCGATCTTGTCCTCCTCGATGCATCAGTCCTACACTACTGCTGCACCTGGGCAGCTCCACGCAACTCTTCCCGGTCCGGACGGCACACACGCATGTCTGACACTCTACGATGTGTGTCCACACACCACTCACTCCATACGCCCTTCCTCGCAATACAAGGATCCGTACCTGCACTGCGACCTACCCTCTCTCCCTCCCGTCTCAAACCCACGAACCATCGAGTACATCGACAACAAAGGCAGATCGATAATCGAAACAACACGGACCTCCCTATCACCCATCCACCACCCCCAAGAAAAAGCCATGGCAGCAAGCTTAGCACCTCTGGTCCTCTCAAGACACTCACCCGTCATGCGACACATCCGCGAGTCTACAGCGGCGCCACCTCTACGTTCGATCCTCAAAGCCCCCTCCAGCATCCTCCCTTCGATGCCAAAGATCTACCTCCTGACCTTCTCCACCGACCGCACGCCAACAACCCGCGCTTTCGCGGCCCTGCTGAACGAGCATCTACCACGCCATATCCCGCTCTTGTACACCATCGACGCAAGAAACTGTCTCGTCCCGCCAAAGCTGATACAAGAAGCGTACTCAGGCGTTTCCACAGTTGTGCAAGACGAAATTCTGCGGGACTCGAGGGCGCGGAAAGAGATAGATCACGCGGTGGATGAATTGATGAGGGTTGTGAAGCATGGAGGAGGCGAGACTAGTATAGCGATATGCTGTACGGCAGGGACGCATCGTAGTGTTGCTATTGCTGAGTTGATTGCGCTGGGGGTTAGGAGGGAAGTTAGGAGGTGTGGGAGTAGGGAGGGGGTGAAGATTGTGGTGAGGCATATCCATCGGGTTAAAGGACCTAAGGATCCGTATTGATCATGAATCGAAAGTGAGGAGCTTGTCTGCGGCGAGAGTGTTCAAGTGTGAGGGCAGAATGTAAGGAAGTGAGGTCTGAACCTTGAATGTGGTAGATGAATTGGTCTACAGAACTCCGCTGATGCTGCTAAAGAGCCCGGGTAACTTTTACATCCAGAACGCCGAGCAATGCCTACACATTTCCCTTCAACATGCCGCCCAAACTTCCAACTCGAACATACTTCTAAGGGGCAACGTTGAACTTGAGTCTAACACCCATACTGGCCAACTCAACATCGAGGTACTTCAACACGCCCGGGACGGCCACCGTGGCAATATCATCACCACCGCTGAACCTCATACCTTGCCCATCCGTCCAAGTATCACTCTTACTCTGATGCCCATCCGCCAGCGTAGCGCACCTCCTACACCTGATCGTCATATTCCTGCCTCCCGCATCCTTCTTGCGCGAGTACTCGCTGACTGTCGGCGCAGTGGATAAGAAGCTGCCACACCCACGACAAATAGCCGCCTTAGTGTAATCCGAGCAATTCATCAGACGATCCTGCAGCAAGAATGCCGTGCCGTGGGCAATAAGCGCGTCGCGTTCCATCTCACCGACACGGATACCACCACCCTTCTTCCTTCCCTTGATAGGCTGGCCCGTGGTCGAGTTAACAGGACCCGTGGTACGGACCTGGTACTTATCATTAACCATGTGACGAAGACGCTGGTAGTATACGACACCGATGTAGATGTCGGCAGCGAGTTCCTGGCCCGTGATGCCGGAGTACATGGGCTCGTTGCCGTAGTAGTTGTAGCCAGCCTTCATGAGCTGGTGGCCGAAGAAGTCGACGGCGGTGTTTTGCTCGTCGAAGCGGAAAGGCGTCGAGTCTTGCGCGATGCCGTGCATGGCGCCTGCTTTGCCGGCGAGGGACTCGACGAACATGCCAATTGTCATACGCGAGGGGAAGGCGTGGGGGTTGATGATGACGTCGGGCTGGATGCCGGATTCGGAGAAGGGCATATCGATTGAGGGCCACTTCTGGGAGCAGACACCTTTCTGTCCGTGGCGAGAGGAGAACTTGTCACCGATGATGGGCGAACGAGGTACGCGGAGCTTGACGCTAATCTTCTGACAAGGTTGGGTCCCATCTTCTGAGCCGATGATGCGGACTTCCTCTACGAAGGCGAGCTCGTCCTCCTTGTACTTGAAGAACTGGGTGTTGGCGTCGCGGTTGATGTAGTCGTCGGTGGCAGCGTCGTACGAAACTGTGTGCCACGCTGCGATAACGTCGCCGTGACGCAGGAGCGTTCCAACACGTGGGAAACCGTCTTCATCTAGTGTGTCCAGGTAAGACGCCTTCTTGAGTCCTTCAGGAGCAAAACCAAAAAGCTTGGAAACCGTCTTCCCAGACCTGTTTCGGCGTCCACCCTCCTCAAGATCACAGATCTTCGTCTTATAGATGGTACCGTGACCGAAGCCACGCTCGTGTGCAGACTTGTTCAGAATCATAGCGTCGTCCATGTCGTAACCAGTATAGGAAATGACTGCCACAACGGCGTTGGTGCCGTTCGGGAAATTGTCAAACCCGTACTCGTTGTGGAGGGGTGGTCGTACAATTGGCGTTTGACCTGTCTGGAGGCGGTACGTCTTGTTGTCTGTTCGGTAACGCAGAGCGGTTCCGGGTGTTCCCATCGATTGCTTACCCATCTGGCATTGGTACATGTTTCTGGGCGACTGGTTGAAATCGGAGAACGGTGTCATGTTGGCAATAATCGAAAAGATGTTCGTAGGGTCGAACTCAACGTGCGTAGAATCGCCAGACACGATCTCGGGATCGGTGCAAGCAATTGACATGTAAGGCTGTTCGAAGGGTCCAACATAGTCCAGCTTGCCAAGAGGAAGGTACTTGACAGGTCGGTACATGCGTGCGACCTGAGAGAACATGAAGACACCGGGGTATTGGCCACCATTCGAATTAGGAACGTATCCAATCTCAAGCTCCAACGGCACGTCATGCGTCCCTTCGACTTTCCAGTATCGCAATGTGTCTGCGATGACCTTGGCTTGCTTTGGTGAGCAGAAGCCCAAGACACGGCCGTCAAGTTGTACGACGACACTTGACTCAAGTGACGCGGAGGACTTGCTGGATACGCCTAGTTGCGCCACAAGCTTAGGGACGGCCGAAACATCAACGTTCTGTGTAGCCAACTTGCACTTGTGCGCAAAGTGGTTCAGCAGCCCACATGGAGAACCGTCAGGCGTGTGGACCGGACACATGAAGCCCCAGCTTTCCGGTAACAGCTTTCTTACGGTGGTCGTCTTGAGTTGAGCGAAGAAAGCACCTCTGTGCACCATCCTGAAGTGGCTGATGAAACGGTAGAAGTTAATCTTCTCAGCCACAACGACGAAACCGGCCGTCTGCTGCAAGTCAAGACCAGTTGGACTGACGAGATTACCAGTGGAGAGGAAGTACTCCATGGCGCGTCCAACGTCCATGGTTGTCCTCTTGAGCACTCTCGGAACGAACTCTTTCTTAAACTCGGGCGATGTGAACGACTTCCACTCTGATCGACGACCCCAGTCCTGCAGGACCGGTCGAATCGAGTTTAGCCACTCGTCTAATCTTTCCTTGATGACCATTCCGTAAAGCTGACCTCCAAGCAAGATTTCCTGGTTCTGGACGGCATCAGGGTTATCGACCGCGCATTCACCCTCCACCAAGGCGTACAATTTCCGGATCATGAAAAGGATCATCTGGAACTTGTCGGCGTTCTGCGCCGGGGTGACGTTGTAGGCTCCGAGGTGGGGCAGGACGATTCTCCGCAGGAATTCGACACCTGCCTCGTCGTCGCTGGCATCGTCTGGAAGCTGTAGTACGACTTTGAATTTGGATCCCAGGTAGGCCCTTGTCTTGGCCTGCGAGTGTAACCCGTAGACCTTGTACGTTCGGAGAAGCAATTCCACTCTATCCGTGACGAACTGTTTCTCTGCCAGCCCCTTCGAGCCCGATGCGCCGACGATGCCCTCAAAGATGTCCCGGTCGTTCGTTTCCACTAACGCCTTCATGACCATCATGACAGGGACCAGGTATTCAGCCTTCCTCCAGGAAAACCGAAAGTTGACGTTTCCGTCACTCAAGTAATGTAGTGCGTTCGTTTGTGAGGACTGATCGGTGCGTATTGAGCGAATCTGGATACCGTACTGCGTGTAACCAGGGCCACGGTTGGTGAAGGCACCACGTTTGATGGCCATAGGGTAGTTGCGCCTGTTCACCTGCAGCATTCGAATAATCTTCTCGATACCGTTGACGATGAAGTAGCCACCCAGCTCTTCGGTCTCTTCCTTGGCCTTGACGAGCTGATCGGGGCTCATGTTCTCAAGGTGACACCGGTTTGACTGTCACGAGTTAGTCTCCGTGCTGCTGTACGCGTGCGCAATCCGGCAGCTTGGGTGAGTCTCACCCTCAACATGATGGGTACGGTCCCCAGATCGCAGACCTCCTCCTGCCAGTCCTCGTTGTTTACCCTGTACTCGAGGCGAGCACGAAGCTTGCCACGGTATGTGGCATGGCGCTCTCGACATTCCGCAGGGAGAATGTTGCGGTTCTTGAGAGCCACCTTGTTCGACGGCGGCAGGACAGCCTTGTCAAGGAACACATCTTGAATGCGCACAGAAAGTCTGTTCCTGCGCCCAATCTCCTCAGGCTGAGCATATGGGTCGCCGTCGGTGAAACTCTTAATACCGATGTCCTTGATGCCCTCCTCTATCTGACCGCCGGGCGCAAAGATTGTGTTGAACGAGTTGATGTGGGGGTCAACGGCTGCAGCAAGTGTCGGATAGGCGGTCTTGTCCTTGGGCGGGTTCCGGAAGAGGTGCTGGCGGCGTTTTGTGTCGAAATCAGTCGACCACTGTGGCTGCTTTTTTGCGGCAGCAGGAGCCATGGCGGGCGACTCTTTCCAGTGAAGGTCGCGTGGGCGGTCACAGTGTGAAGCTGTGTGGGATGCTTCCAAAGTTCGATCGGCTGCAACTTTTTTGAGCACGGACGCACAATGCAGCCGCGAAAAGGCGCTAGCCCAGAGCTTGCTGCAGCGAAAGTCACCTGGCCGCGGCGAATGTGTGCACAACGACCTCTCCACCTGCGGCCTTTTCTCTAGGGCAGCGCCATCCTCGCTCTTCACCTCGTCACTTTGTAGCCAGCACATATTGCATGTTCATTGCATTGTTGTCAATTCTCTGTTGCTGTTACTCGACACCGGCGTGATCGCCAATCACTACCGAATAGACCCCGCAGCAAGGATTCCCACGCTTTCGCACCAGCATCCATCGTCCATCGCCTGTTCTCGCGGGTAGACGGTCACGACTCGAGGCCACTTCCATCACCAGTGCTCCCACCATGGCGAGCATCTTCCGCCGTATCTATGACTGGCTCCTTCGCCTGTTCTGGTGCGTCTACCTTCTTGCCTTGGGCCTGCACATGCGCAGGCCTCGATGCCTGATGCGCCTCTGATATCTGTCCACTCCTACCAACCTCAGTCTGGAGGGCAAGCAACACGACACTCGAAGATGATCCGAGATGGAAGCTGACTATTTTCACTCTGTAGGGCGACAGAGATGGACATCACCATGATCGGGCTGCAAAATGCTGGCAAGACTTCGTTGCTGAGAGTTCTGGCGGTGAGTGTCTTCCAGATCGGGAGGTGGCCGCGCTACGTCCACGATATCTCAGCGAACATGTCCGACTGACGAGCTGCTGTCTAGGGAGGAGAGTTCACTGTTGAGTGCGTCAATACTCTTTCTATGTTGTGCAAGCAGCAGCATGCCGACTGCGCAGCTCTGCGCGACCATGGGCTCCATCGTCACGGTTGGTCCAAGCGCTAATGGCCATAGCTCCATCCCTACCGTTGGCTTCAACATGAAGCGCGTTCAGAAAGGCCATGTAACCTTGAAGTGGTGAGTGTTTCCCTGTGCCGCCTTGGTCACGCAGGTCTACCTCTTGTGGCACCAAGCCGGTTTGAGCCACTCTTCCGGGATGCGGCATACTACCCTGTCCTGGTTTCCATCTGCTGACCATGAACTACAGTTGGGACCTCGGAGGTCAACCTAGGTTTCGCTCCATGTGGGAAAGATATTGCCGTGGTGTGAATGCCATAGTGTAAGACTCGGTTGCACGTGCTGCAACGCTTCCGCTGATCCGTCCAGGTTCATTGTCGACTCCGCCGACAGGGACGCTCTACCAGTTGCAAGAGAAGAACTGAAGCTGCTTTTGGAGAAGCCAGCTCTGGAAGGCATCCCGCTCCTCGTCCTTGGCAACAAGTCTGACCTGCCTGGCAAGCTCTCGGTTGATGAGCTCATCGATGCGTTGAGCCTCAAAGAAGTCTCGCACCGGGAGGTGAGCTGTTACGGGATCAGCGCCAAAGAAGAGACGAACCTCGACGCTGTCCTCCAGTGGTTGATTGCCCGAGCCAGCAAATAGATTGTGGTATGGCCTTGAGTGGGTGATAACGTGACCGGCGAGGGCTTGCCCACCACGTGCCCAGTGGCGCATTCGGTTCGATGTGGTGCTTTTTCGATTTTCGAGTTTACGACTTCGACGCACCTATACTCACACGAGATTACGGCCGTCAGCTTCTTACGACATGCTTAATGATTCTTACGACGTGACGGAAGACAAGACAAGCAGGTCATACTGCAGGCCAGCGATGGCCATATCGTTTTTCCAAGCTTCAGCATATGTTGTCTTTTTCTTGTCTTTTCTGCGGCGGATGTCGGTTCTCTTGGGACGACGGACGGTCGCCAGTACATCTGATTCAGCATGTAGCATTTTCATTTGTTTCGGTTCGAGCGACAATATAGCGGGCGTGATAAAGAGACGGATGGTTCGGTCCAGATCTGGTTCGAATATGTAGCGGAATAGTTGTTGTATCTTTCAGAGTGCCTTCTATGGGATGTCCAGCATTGGCTTGCATTCCGCATGACAGTGGGTGCATGCCCCTTGCGAATCGTGACTTGCGCGTGCTCGTGACCTCGTGTCGAAATGGAGTCCTCGATGGCAGTCCTCGCTCATACTGTTGCAATCGCGTGCATACAAGGAGTGTCGTGATGTACACAGATCCAAGGTCCGGTATCGTGGAGAGCTGACGAAATCGTTCCTCTCGTGTCGCGGTCGCACAGCAATCGCAGTCGGCCCTTGACCAGGGTATCCGTGTTCGCAGGGAGTCGCAAAACCCAGCTTGACGCGCGCAAAACAAACGAGAAGCACATTGATAAGACAGCAAAGATGCACACAGAGAGGACAAAGAGAGCAGAAAGGGCACGACCAAGAGTAATAGTATTATTTCAGCAGCTTCGCTGGCAGTGGGACCAGCGAGCAACCATGCCATCTACAATTGAACAACTCATCCTGCATTAGCGTATCCAGGAAATTGAGGCTTTGGGCGCTCTCATTGGCTGCTCTGGCATGGGCCAGCTGTGCATCCCTGCCTTTGCGTACGCTGCTGGAATGGTGTTGCGATGGAGTGTTCGTGTGCAAGAATTCGCGAGGAGAGTCAAAGAGGGGGTTAATATGGATGAGGGTTCAGTGGTGATGAAATGGGTGGGGGCAGAGGTACGGCAGAGTGCTTGAGGCGAGGCTGGTGCATCAGCCTTGTGGGCGCTGTGGAGAAAACGGCGCTGCAGTAATTACCACAGTCGAGCTGGGGTTCTGCAGCGTCCAACGATCTGTGCATAGGTTATCATGTCTCGGTGATGGCTAGAAGCATCCAACACCAAAAAATAGTAGTCTTTAGTGTGTTTTGCGCCTGATATGTAGTGCAGTGCCTGCTTTGCAAGACCTTTAGATCAATCCAAGAATGCGTTGTCACACTGTCTCAATGCGACGAGGTTGGACTTGCTCAGCTGTGCAAATGCAGCTTCTAAATTGGCCACTCGAGTGCTTACAGTTCAACTCATGACATTCGCCTCTGTGAATTCCTCGTCAAGACGGTCAGTTTTCACCGGTGCGCCTCGTACGAACACAACACGAACGCTCCAGAACTGGAAACAAAGCTTCAACAGTCATCCACCTGCTTTGATATCTCCACATCTGCAGACCAAGCCACCGCACGCCCTGGAGAACATCAGCAGCCCACCTCGAACCCGTTTCCGCAGCAAATCACAGCGCGCCTGGCATCGTCATTGCCAGTCGCAGCACTCTCCATCAGAACCGAACTAGCTCTTCCGCCAAGTGCACAGCCGCACCGATCTTCGAGAGGCGGGCCTGTTCAAGCATTTAGACTTCGTCATACCCACCTTGGGAGCTCTAACCCGCGGTCCACCAGCTCGCAACATCCTCTCACAGCTGTCCAGACACGTCTAGTTTCGACCGGATAGACGGCCTAGCAAGCACAAAGATGCCTGCTTTAGTTGCTCGGCAATTTTATGATGATGAGTACGTCTCTTGCCAATTGTGGCTTTGTATTTCCTTGAGTTGTCGTTTCTTTATAACCTGGTCGCGCATCCCAGCTTCTGTGTACGGTTGCTAAAGACGTCATTCATCGCACATCTCATACCTTCACCTACCCTGTCTTACCTTCGGCCTTACTTCCTCAACACCGTCAACATGCTTTCCGTATCGACAACAAAATCTCGATTATTGCTGTTAGCAGCTTTATCAACACAAATCACTAACGTCATGGCGCAATCAAGGTGCTACTATGACCGTTATGGTGTACGACGATGCTATCGCCAGTCCGCATGGAACTCCTGGGTGCGATGGGTCGTCCTCGCAGTCGTTGTAGTCGGATTCCTGCTGCTCTTCTTCCTCTGCAGGTAAGTCTACCGTCGCTGAGCTCTCTACCAACTTCCAGAGGAGCTGCGTTTTCAACTCACCATGAATATCCTACTAACACCACACAGCTGCCTAACCGCTCGCCGCAGGCGCAAGGCCGGCCGCACGCCCTTCTACGGCACTGGCTGGGCGGCGCGACCAATGAACGGCAACAACGCACAGCCCTACTACAACAATAACTACCAGAACAACGCACCCGCTCCTCCTTACCCCGCCGCGACAAACAACAATAACAACGGTTACTACGGTCAGCAGAACGGTGTCGAGCTCCAGAGCCCGCAGCCCACGTACGGTGGCAACCAGCAGTACGCTCCGCCTCCGGGCCCACCTCCGGGCAAGGACGGTGTTATCCGATAAGTGTGTTCACACGCTGATACACATTCGATGCGCACGTCTTCAATGATGGATGTGAATGCTGGCTACGACTGATATGGATGGCGTTTCTTACCTGGGCTTTTTATGATTGGAAGGATGGAATACGGATTCGATTACCACGGGATACCTCTTTGTTTAATGTTTTTTTCGCTTGTGCTCTTCTGTAAGCATGAGCTGTATGATCAGTAGTTCATTATCAAAATTATAAACATTACACTCCAGCCAATTTTCATCAAACAACAACAACAACGGGCTCGTGGTTTAGTGGTATAATACTCCCTTAGCATCTCGAAATCTTGCATGGGAGTGGTCCGGGGTTCGATTCCCCGCGAGTCCATATCTTTTTGCCATTGTAACTCTCTTATGGATGTCGTGGTGTTGGTGGCGGTGGCAGTTGAGGGTTTACTGAGTTTTTTTGATAATGTCAAAGCTGGGGAGGGAGCAACCTGAACTTCTTTCCTTGGAAGTCCAGTCTTCTTGTTTGCTGTCTTAATGTTTACGTTTTGCCTTGTCGTGATCCGACAGGCGATCCAGAAGTTTTTGCCCACTTGTAGCCCGTGCGCAGCCTCTTGTTATGGGGAGCATTATTCGAGGGGCATATTGGCGATTCGACGGACTCTGTTGCATGGAAAGCTAGCTGCGACGTACAGATATATTGTAGTCCCCAGGGACTTTATCAGGTAGCAGATAGTCTGCAGATTGGCATTGATGACCTCCCATGAATTCGGGCTTGTATTCGACCTCTCTCACACATGCCCAGATCACCACCCATCAACTACCCTTCACACCCACCGGCGCCGCCCCCAGCAACCCCGCACTCGCCTCATTCTCCAAGCTAATCTTCATATCCAACCAACTATAGAAATTCTCACTCGCGCAAAACGCCGCATACAAACCATCCCTATTCCTGTGTCTCTGGATTGGGCCCTGGTCTCTCAACTTCACACTCGTCCCATATTTACTCAGACTAGCCAGAAACTCGGGTATTGAGAAGGAGGCGTACCGCTGGTGGCCGCCGGGCGAGACGACGTTGCTGGTCGCGAGGTACCGGTTGATGGGCGCGATGAACTGGGCCGTGAGTTCTGCGAAGTGGCGGCGGATGAGCGGGCCAAGGGAGGATGTTTGGCTGTCGAGTTTTAGGGTGCTTTCAATTTGGTTTATCACTGCCGAGTCGGATTTTAAAAACCTCTTCGAAGGTGTGTGTACTTCAATGCCGCCGCCTGGCAGATCGAGAAGCACGTTGCGGCTGGACTTGTGATGAAGCGAGTAGTGCCGCCGTGTAGGTACTGGCCCGTCGAAGTTCTGCAGGTACAAGATGTGTGGACGCGTATCTTGTGTTTTCTCTGCGGCGGCGACGATGCGTTTTAGCAGGAAGGGGTTGGTGATGCCGATTATGAAGGGCCGCGGTGTGCCGCCGTCGATGCCGATGCTGCGGAAGTCGGCCTGCATGGTCATGTAGGGTTTTACGACGCCGGCGTAGGGGACGGGTCTGATGATGTCGAGGAACGAGGAGACAGCTTCGCTGGCGAGTTGGGGGGACTTGGCGACTACGATGACGGATTCGCAGAGAATCAGTTTCTCGTAGAGGACGTAGAGATCCGTGATGCACGGCATGAAGTACATGATGGTGTCCCAGGAACCGACGGGCTCATAGGCGTAGATGGAGGGATGGGATTCCGCTACCAAGGGTGTTGACCCAGCAAGACCCTGCAGCGGAAACGATGGATGTGGTGCGATATCCAGCGTTAGAACGTGTCCTAGAAACGGGAGCTCATGGCGACCTATGGATGGGGGCGACCAGTTATTCATCTGTGCATGGGCTCCTTCCAGGGTGGTCGGGTCACTGATCGCTCCGCTTTCTGTCATTACTTGCAGAATGCGGTTATTGAAGCTAGTGAAGTTGTGATGGGAGATAAGGACCATCGACCTCTGATTGAAGCTCCTCTTCATGGTGTCATCGAACTCCTGGCGGAAGACGCATGATGCGAAGAACAGGTCGGCACTGCCGTGTGGTGAATTCGGTGAGCTCAGCTTGATGTCAGGCGAGTTGTTGGTGACAGTGAAGTTGAAGGCTAGATCCTCAGCCGTCTCAGTGTTCTGCTGTTCTGGAAAGCTACGTGGTGGTTAGCGATGAACAATGCAGAAGTTGAGGAATGGAGTACCTGTTGAAGCATATGGCAGTCAGATCTGCAGTGCTAAAAGCAACAGTTGGTGGATATAAGATCTCGATCTCCGGTCTTCACATGTCAACCTGGATATCGCCTGGCGGACTGACTTAGCCTTACCTACCCTACATCGACGTTGAAGTTGCAAACAATACTGTTGCTGTCAGCAATGAATTCGCTATGCCCATGGTGCTGCTCGATAGAACTACAGATTCTGATACTTGCTACATGCATTTGTCCGACCTTCGCATTTCCAGCTCTTATCTGACAACAGAGACTATGTGGAGACCACTACTTACAATGCTACAGCCCAGTTTCCAAACCCGTCTGGTAAGTTCAAGACGGGTTCCATGAGATGATCTGGCAGAGGTTTCCTGCGAAAGTGCTGGAGCTTGTTCTTGAACTTCTCCATGTCGACCGTGTGAGACACCTGACGGGTGCAGGTGAATGATGGAGCACCGGTAGGGTATAGCGCTTAGCACGTATCGACGAGTGAGCGCGAGGGATAGCTAAGATGGACTTGGCTGCGTATGGATTTGGTCGCTTTTAGGCGTCATGGCGCAAGTTAGGCTCAAGCGTCGCTCCCAAAGATCCAAAAAGTGCGCTCTGAAAAAAGTTGTGTGTGACAGCAGGTGTCCCGCAGCTGTTGTTGGCTTTTAGGTTCCGGCGTTGGCAGGCAGAGATGGCTTTCCAATGGTGCGATGACGCCCCCGCGCATGGCTGGACTGTTGAAGCATGCACGTCGACGCTACAACAACCGCGCCTGCCCACGGCCATTCACAGATCCTGCGCCCATCCGATCCACGCCTCGGACTACAATGAACCCATAGCTGCAACATGTAAAGGCAGCCGCCGCAATCTACCAATATGGACCCCAACATCACCAAAGCGCTTAACGACAAGCTCTATGACAAGCGCAAAAGCGGCGCACTCGAGCTCGAGGGCCTCATTCGAGATGCACTTCAAGCGCAGGACCACGACAGGATAGCCAAGATCGTCCACGAACTCTGCCACCACTATGCATACGCTGTCCACCAGCCCCACGCCCGCAATGGAGGCCTCATCGGTCTTGCCGCGGCTTCGATAGCACTGGGACCTGTGCGTATAGACCTGCACCGACTGCAAAGCGCTGCTCACACGATCACAGGAAGTAGCCCGTTACCTCGAAGAAATCGTCCCTCCTGTTCTCGCCTGTTTCTCTGACTCAGATGCTCGCGTTAGGTACTATGCATGCGAGAGCATGTACAACATTGCAAAGGTTGCAAAGGGCGAGATACTTGTATATTTCAACCAGGTGTTCGATGCTCTGTGCAAGGTCAGGAATAGAGCAATGTGTTTAGACTGTGGAATGCTGACACAGATTGTATAGCTTGCCGCTGACTCGGAATTATCAGTGAAGAATGGAGCTGAGCTACTCGATCGCCTTGTCAAGGACATCGTGTCCGAGTCCGCCGCCTCATACATATCCGTTCTACACCATCCAAACGAGCTGTTAGGCCACCCAGACGAATCCCCCGAACACCCTCCGCACCACCTAGAGACCGCTTTCAACCTCGAACGATTCTTGCCCCTCCTTGAGGAGAGAATCAACGTCATCAACCCATTCACACGCTCGTTCTTAGTTGCTTGGGTCACCTTGCTGGACTCGATACCAGATCTCGAACTTATCGCTCACCTTCCTCGCTTCCTTGGTGGCCTCTTCAAGTTTCTCAGCGACTCGAACACTGATGTATATACCATGACGCAAGTCGCATTGGACAGGTTTCTCAACGAGATCAGAAAGATCGCGAGGATCAAGAAAGGCATCGCTGAGAGTAAGAGGAGTCAAAGCAAAGATGGACGAAGACTTTCCACATCAACAAGTACTCGCAGCGAGGTTGGAGGTGAGAGTGAGGCTACAGGAAGCACGCCGATCGAACACCAAGTTTCAATTGACGAAGGCGATCACGCAAGTGGAGATAGTGAGTCGCTGTCCGGTGATAGTGGGAAATCTGTAAATGGCGACGGCGACTGGATTCCAGGGCAGGATGTGCACGTCGATCATCCAAAGATTCTGGAGATCCTTGCGGGTTTTTTGAGCTCACCGTCAGGTAAGACGCATCTCCCACCATGTCGGCTTTGAAATTGACCATCGTAGACGCGGAAGAAGAGCAAACTAGTATCCTTCTCACAGCTCTGCGCTGGATCAACGCATTCTTCGAGATCTGTCCCGAGGATATTATGCCGTTTGTCCCCAGTCTGCTCTCACACGTGCTGCCACGGATGTCGCACGATGTTGACGACGTCCGCCAAGAGGCCCAGAAGGTCAACGCCTCGTTGATGGACTACATAATGTCACTGTCTGAAGACCGCCAATCGAGTGGCAGCGTAGGCGACAAGATACAACTTCCTCCTTCACTGTCCGAGCTGGGCAAAGAACTCACAGGCACTCAGCGACGTGACTCAAACCTCTCGAACAGACTTCTCAAAGCAGTGATTCGTGACCAGGCGGCAGAAGGCAAAGCGGGCACACAGTCTCCCATCCCAGGAGAAGACCGTGGTCCATCACCACGTCCAGTACCTGAGCTGGACTATCAAGCAGCTGTCAGCGCACTCACCTTGCAGTTCTTGAACGAACACGAAGCCACTCGGGTCGCAGCTATTGCGTGGCTCATTATGCTACACAGGATGGCACCTGGCAGGGTCAGTAAACATTTCAATATTCCAGGCACTTCAGCTGACGATCATCCAGATACTCACAGTCGATGATGGGACTTTCCCCGCTTTACTGAAAACTCTATCTGACCCCTCTGACGCTGTTGTCACCCGTGACTTGCTATTGCTGTCACAGATCTCCATGCACAGTGACGATACGTACTTCACATCTTTCATGGTTAATCTCCTGAAGCTGTTCTGTACAGATCGGAGACTTTTGGAAACCCGAGGCAACCTCATCATCAGGCAGCTGTGCCTTACACTGAGCGCCGAGAAGATCTACCGCACAATGGCGGACTGTATCGTCAAAGACGAGGATGTTGAGTTTGCGAGCATAATGGTTCAGAACCTCAATAACAACCTCATTACAGCACCTGAGCTTGCCGACCTCCGAAGACGATTACGAAACTTGGACAACAAGGTACAAACACTTTCCAAAACCCTCGGCTGCCCACGTGTGCTGACTTCCACAGGATGGACAATCGTTCTTCGTTACACTGTTCAAGGCCTGGTGCCACAATGCAGTAGCAACTTTCTCGCTCTGTCTCCTTGCCCAAGCCTATGAACAAGCGTACCACCTGCTCCAAGTCTTGTACGTTCACCCTGACAAATCTGCACAAACACAACTGACAATCGAAGTGCCGACCTCGAGATGACAGTGAACACTCTCATCCAGATCGATAAGCTGGTGCAATTGCTGGAATCACCAGTGTTCACATGTAAGCCTCCAAGACACCATCGCTACGTGAACCTCAGCTAACCACCACTCAGACCTCCGCATCCAGCTTCTCGAACCGGAGAAGTACCCACACCTGTACAAGTGCATGTACGGGCTTCTTATGCTGCTTCCACAATCATCAGCCTTCGCGGCACTGAAGAACAGGCTGAACAGCGTGTCTGCTATTGGCTACCTGCACATTGCTCCACGCACGTATGTACCCCAATCCAATACCCTAAATCATTTGAGGCAAAAGAGCTCAGAAGTCGGTACTTCCAGCGCACCACAAGGTCCCTCTGCATCCGGATTTGAGCGACCAAATCGACTCAAGGCGAGGGAAGAAGGCAGCGTCAAGTGGGCCGAGCTCCTCGACAGGTTCAAAGCAACGCAGGAGAAGGCGAGGCGCACCCAGCAGCATGCGACAATGGGCGAGGATATCCCAGTCGGCCTCGAGACGGTCGAGGAGAAGGTACAAAAGGGTCCACCAGCAGTGCCACCCAAGAATTCGGGGTTGCGACCAAATTCGCCAGCCGGGGCGATGAGGCCACCAGTCACGCCTGCCGCAGCGAATGCGGCCCAAGGCCACAAGCCTAGGTCGAGTCTGAGCAACCTTGGACGGTTCGCGGGAGGAGTGGCTGGACGGAACAAGAAAAAGTAACGTGGAGATGTACAAACTACCTCTTTGTTTCCCAGCTTGGCGTATCGGGCATACGAAAAGCATTGCGGGAGTTCCTCTTTGGCATAGGCGGCGTTTGCTTGGTGCAATCCAATTCCTCAGCGATGTTTGCCCTTCCTGTACCTCACCCCGTCGTCCACCTTCTCCTTGGATGTAGACAAGACAGCTTCATCCCCACCCTTGCTCTTATCCAGCACCCAGCTCGCAACAATCTCCTTGATCTCCGGTTTCTTCTTCTCCGCCATCTTCGCCTCCTGCACCTTTCTAACATAGCCACTGTACACCACCACCTCAGCGATAGCCACAGCAAGCGAACTGCCCATAGACAGCCCGAGCCTCTTGCCAACCGACCAGTGTCGCGCAGCCACCCACACAAAGACCGCCACGCAGACGATCGATATCAGCACGTTGATGATCAGGATGATCTGCCGGTGCACTTCCTCGTAGGACACGTCGTCCACTTCGTCCACCCCGATGCTGAAGTGCTCGGGCATGCGGTGCCGGGTGCCGGGGAAGCGTTGCGCGAAGGTCTCGCGTGTGGGCGGTGGGTGCAGCATGCGCTCGTAGCTGCGGGCTTCTTCTTCGGCGCGCAGGCGCGCCATGAGCGCCTGGTACTCGGCGGTTTGCTGCGGCTTGGGCGGGGGAGGGGGGGCGTAGATGGTGGTGTTGCGGAGGAGGGCGTTGAGAGTCGGGGGTGTTTCGAGCGCTCCGAGTGTGGAAGTCGGGTCGACGGCTTCATGTTCGTTGCGTGCTAGGCTTGATTTACTGCCCGACTTCGTGGACAGCTGCTTCAAGAGCTTCGAGAGGTCGATCAGTTGGCTGTGCGAGACGGGGTTTCCGGGCTTAGGCTCGGCGAGCGCAGGCTCCGACGGTCTCTGAAGCTTCGAGTATTCTTCGGGCAGTGTCCTTTGCGCTAGTGACAGAGCCCGGACGGTGCCGGGTGTCATTGTGAGGAGCACCATGGTTGCGGCTGTAGAAGTGCATGTGCTCGGTGTTGCACGGGCTATCAGATGTCGGAAGACCGACGCGACAACTTACTCGCGTTGACGGCTTGGCGCCCTCCGTCATGACTTCCTGGAAGACTTCCTGGAAAACTTCCCCCATGCTGATAGCCCGGCCATCTCTTCCGAACAAGCTCCAATTCCTCGGCGACACATCAATTGCACTGGCACCGTCCTTCCCTCATCTACTTCACACCGGAAGATCCAATGATGAGCCGCTCGGGTCGGCTCGCGAGCAGTTTTGCCCAGCGGTCTTACACTTCTTCGACTCCAACGCCACGCCTCTCGATATCGACATGTCCTTGCCATAGCGCCGCCTTCCGCACCCAAGAGCCTCATGTCGCGTCACATCACTCTGCCAGGCGGCGAAATCAGTCATCGTGGGCGGCCGCGGCGCAAGCTGCCAGTGTTGCGCAGCACATCAGGGCCGCGCCGCCACCAGATGCGCCGCTCAAGATGGATCCCTTCCAGACTGTAGCACGCGAGATGAAGTTCCTGACGGGGAACATAAGATCACTACTCGGCTCTGGACACCCTACCCTGGACACGGTCGCCAAGTATTACACGCAAAGCGAGGGCAAATACGTGCGCCCCATGCTCGTCCTGCTCATGAGCAGAGCCACAGCATTGACGCCAAAGATCGCACGTGCAGGATGCGGCAGCAACAGCGTCGACGCCCCCATCACCAGCTCCTCAACACTCAGCGACGACAACCCCGACGCGAGTATATCCCACATCGCACACGACACCGCCTACACCTCCGCCGACTCGGACATCCTCCCCTCGCAGCGCCGCCTCGCCGAGATCACGGAACTCATCCACACCGCCTCCCTCCTCCACGACGACGTTATCGACCACTCGGTCGCCCGGCGCAGCGCGCCCTCGGCAAACATCGAGTTCGGCAACAAAATGGCCGTCTTGGCCGGCGACTTCCTGCTGGGCCGCGCCTCCGTCGCGCTTGCACGCTTGCGGGACCCAGAAGTGACAGAGCTGCTCGCAACTGTCATTGCGAACCTCGTTGAGGGCGAGTTTATGCAGCTCAAGAACACCGCGCGGGACGAGAAGAATCCCGTCTGGACCGAGGACACTGTGACGTACTACCTGCAGAAAACATATCTCAAGTCCGCGTCCCTGATTTCGAAATCGTGCCGTGCTGCTGCTGTGCTGGGTGGGAGCACGCCCGAGGTCGTCGAGGCGAGTTACCAGTACGGAAAGAATCTGGGCATGGCGTTCCAGCTGGTCGACGACATGCTGGATTACACAATAAGCAGTGAGGAGCTGGGGAAGCCGGGTGGTGCGGATTTGGAGCTTGGGCTGGCGACGGCGCCGTTGCTTTTTGCGTGGAAAGACAACAAGACACTAGGAAAGCTTGTGGGTAGGAAGTTTGGGGAGAAGGGGGATGCGCAGAAGGTATGTCAAATTCGTCGACTGGGATTGGTGGAGAGGTGTATGATGCTAATCTCTGTTCAGGCACGTGAAATCGTACTCGCCAGCACCGGTCTTCAGCAGACACGCGTCCTAGCCCAAGACTACGTCGATAAAGCCATCGAAGCCATTTCGCCCTTCCCGGACAGCGACGCCAAGAACGGTCTGATCGAGATGTGCACCAAGGTTCTGCGGAGGAGAAAGTAGAGCACGGTTTGGGTTGTTTTGTGTATAAGTACTGTACCTTTTGCGAGCATAAGACGCACACTGCGCTGCGCCTGGCGCGAAACGAGATGGGAGGCTAGTCATCCGTCCGTTTGTTTGGGATTTGACTGTATATATATTGTATCTACACTACTAGAAGCATGGTGCGTAGAGAAGCAATTCGCATTTCGATCCAACGGCATAGCACCAAGATCCATCACGAGTGGACGCTGTTCGCTACGGGTTCACATGTGGACTATACTTACAACCTGGATCGCCTTGATGGCGGGTTTGAAGGGATTCGTAGTCGAGCGCCTTGCCATTGGGCGATTCGGCCAGATGTTGATCTGATAGATGAGAGGACAACATGCAAAGCACTTGATATCAATGGACATTCTCATCTGTTTGTTCAGCCGTCATCGCGACCTGCTCTAAAGTTCGCCCGCGTTGTGGTGCTCTTGTGAAGAATCTTCTTCTTCTTCGCCAAGTTCGCCAATACCCCCATACATCTCCATCCTCTTTCAAGTGCAATAGCAATAGCAGTAGCGATAGCATATCGTCGAGTACCATGCCACATAGGTATCAAACCCCCCTCCGGCGCTTCCAAATCTCAAGATTCTCAGAATTCCTCTGCAACTCCCGTGTCCGTGCATTACGACGCTCTTCCACCGTTGTAAGAGGTTTCAGTTCAGCTTGCTCCTTCTCAATCTTCATCTTCTTCATCTTACGCTCCAAGTCATCTTGCTCGTTCCTCATCCTCTTGTGGAAGTCGGTGCTCCCCTAAAAGTCCGTCTTCCCGCCCATAACCTTTGCTGCGTTGACCGCCTTCATCTTGTCTACCCAGCCCGCCGCTGGCACAATCTTCCTCACCGTGCGCACCTCGTCGGATGCATAGCCGGGGATACGAATATTGTAGCTGCGCTCGAGAACGTGCTGGATGTCGCGGATGTCGAGTTGTGGGCTGTCGCGGAGTTTGGAGAGTTTGCAGGCGTTGGAGATTACATTGTCGACGAAGTCGTCAGCGAGCTGGAGGACCGCCTGCACATCATTTGTTAGCTTTGCGTAGAATGTGTTGGTCTTATGAATGGGATCTCATACGTCTTCAACCTCCGGCGTGAGCGCCTCCTCACTCCCGCCCGTGACCTGCCTGACCAGCTCGTCCAACTTCCTCTTACTGAGCACGCGATCGCCCTCACCCTCGAGCTGGAACGGCGGCGGCCGGCTAATAACAGGCTGGCCCATAGGTCCCGGCGCACCGTTGGTCGGCCCACTCATAGTCGGGCGCTGCTGCCCCATGTTGACGGGCATGGGAGATGTGACATTCAGATGGCGTGGGATGGGCATTTTGGGGTTGTTGAGCTGCTCGCGCTCGCGGCTGCCAGGCGCGTGGAAGCTGCCGCCTGCACCGGCTTGCATGGGCGTGTTGGTGCGCGCGGGGTCTGTGTAAGAGCGGTTCGCGGCGCTGACGGCGGCTTGGTGGGAGAGGGGGACCGGTGGGCCGTTGGTTGTTGCAGACTGCGGGTGTGGTGAGTTGCTCTGCTGGTGCTGCTGTTGCATGTTCACCTGATGTGGATTGATCTGCGGTCGAGCCTGTCCTTGTTGCGGCAGCTGGTGCAGCTGCTGCTGACCTTGCTGTGGGAACTGTTGCGGCGGCATCGTGAGGGAATGCGGTGCTGGTGGTGGGCGCTGCATTTGATGTTGTTGTTGTTGTTGTTGCTGCTGCTGCTGCTGTTGCGGTTGTTGTGGCTGTTGTGGGAGTTGTGGTGTTGGTCCTTGGTTGTTTTGTTGAGGTGGCTGTTGTTGGTTGTTTTGCTGGTTGAACTGCGGTGGTTGTGTTTGCGTTTGCGGTTGTTGCGGTTGCTGCGGCTGCCCGCCCTCGACCTTTATCTGTGGCTCCTCTTTGATTGCGGGCTGGCCGCTCGGTCCGGACAGTGAAGGCTGCCGCTGAGGCTGTTGGGGCTGCTGTGGCTGCTGCGACTGCTGAGGCGGTGTCTGCTGGGGTTGTTGCGTAGGTTGTGCTCCTTGTCCTTGATTGGCGCGCTCGTCTTTCCACTGCTTCTGCAACCCGCGGAACTTCTCGATCTGAGCCTTCATGCGATAGTACTCTTCCTCAACTTTGTTCTTCGCGTTCGTCAACTCCTGGGGCACCTCTTGTCCGCTCTTCCCCCGCTCTTGTATCTGCGCCTGGATCCTCTTGATGTTCTCGGTGAGGGTCGCCTGTTTTGCTAACATGCTGAGATAACCATTCTTGTACTCCTTAAGTTTGGCTTCGGCTTCAGGCGTGCCTAGCGTGTAGTTGGGCGGTAATGTGAACGGGAATTCGTGAACGTGCTTGATTATAGATGGGTCCACAGACGGGTTCTGCGGCCGCTGTTGACCCTGATTCTGTGGTTGCGATGGCTGCTGTTGTGTCGTGGCAGCATCTCCAGCGTTGCCCTGCCCTTCTTGCTTGATTGGGGCTTGCTGTGCGCCTGCACCAGGCTGGCTGGGCTGTCCTTGTCCGCCCTGCTGTTGCTGCTGCTGGATCTTAGCCCTGTGCGCGCGCTCCCTGGCGATGAACTTCTGTGAAAACTGCTGCAGCGTTGCGCGCGCCTGTGTCTGTTCCGGGCTGCCTGGTGTAGCGTTGTTGAACATGTTCCAGGTGTTGTGCATAAGTAGCCTATACTTCTGCTTCTCGTCGTCGCTCAGACATTGCAGCCTAAGAATGTCGTCGGCCTTGAGCAGCTTCGGGCCCTGTTGCTGTTGCTGTTGCTGGCCAGCACCGGCTGTCTGGGGCTGGGAGCTGCTCATCTTGAGGTCGGTCACGGCTGCGCAGTTGTGGAGGGAGTCGAGTCTATCCTGAGATGTGCAGCTATGTCGCTACGGCTATGCGACGCGTAGTGTATCTTGTGAAGTTTGCCAGTCGCTGTGTGGTGGGGTAGTGTTCTACGAGTGATGATGCATGGACGGTTGACGCTTGAGCGATTGATGCATGGAGACTTGGCGTTCCAGTTCACGTCGCGAACGCACGTGCAGCTGAACTACACCGCATCAACCACAGAGCAGCAATCAAGTGCATGTTTCGCTTGTAACTACGCTATGCAGGATACTCTGTATTCGATCTCCCCTCCAACTCCAATGCCCTCGACATTGCGTTTTTGACCTCCCACTCAAACTCCTTCAGTGCCCTCATCTCGCTACCGCCAAACAGCAGCCCCATCAAGCCGTCGATGACACCAACACTCAACCCTATTGAGCTCAGCAGCATCAATATGAAAGACACATAGTTGTGCGGCGACCACCAGACCCCGATCATGCAGGCAGTCCAGACTGAGAGCTGGAAGAAGAAGTGCCCGATACGCAGCTTGCGCTGTATCCGTTGGCGATCCATGTACTTGACGAGCGTCGCTATGATCTCCTCGTAAGTCTCGATGGGCAGGTACCGATTGACGACGTCTGAAGCGTGCGCAACATGAGGATTGTGTTTCCTCGTCAGTGTACACTCAACTGAGAAGTGATCGCTGAGCGAGCAGTGGAGTGTTGGATGGCGCATGGTCATTCCCACATTCGCCTCCTTGAGCTCCCACTCAGCGGCTTCCTCGCCCGTCTGCGCATCGTGATGCCGTGCGCTGCTGAAGAAGACATAGTCGAGGCGCTTTGCGTTCGGGTCGTCGACGGCCGGGTCTATCTGCACGTTCTCGCCCTTCTTCAGCCGCTTTTTGTGTGCCTCGTTCCATCTCCAAGAGTTGAACGCACTGTCACACGTCGTGCCGTTCGTTGCGACGTTGAACTCGGCATTCGGCATGGGCAGGCCGCGCAGCTGCTCGACCTTATCTTTCGCTGCACCGTGAGACGAGTCGGGGTGGAGGATGCGCCATATATCTCGCACGGGTGCATGTGTCTCGATGATGCGGTGCGCCAGTGACAGTGGCACCATGTTGAAGTCTCCCATACCAATGACCAAGTGTCCGCGCTCGGCAGCTGCACGCATGAGCTTTGCTATCTCCCATGCTTGTGCCGTTCGGTGGCAGATGTACGAATCGTGTGGTTCGGCTTCGTATGGCGCATGGAGCTGTGATTGTCAGTGAGCTCTTACACGGCCATTGCGTACATACATGTGTCGTGAAGACTTCAGCTACGTCCTTGGACGCCGGGCCTATGCGTATGCGCGCACATGCAACACCCTTTCCAACGAACCAATCTCCACGGTAAAAGGCAGCGGGTCGTCCGTTCAGCGGATACCGCACCATGTTGCTCTCTTCGATTGGCCATCGTGACAGTATGGCAAGTCCTCCGCCGAAGCAGCCACTGAAGTAGAACTTCCCATATGGCAGGATGTCTTTGGTCAGCCCGCGGATGGCGTTGTAGTCCTGCTGTGTCCAGCACTCCTGGAGACCAACAATATCTGGTCGAGGATCGGCGGCTGCGATTTGGCGGCCAATCTCAGTCAACCGCTCATTGCGGAGTGTAGCGATATACTTGAGGCCCCAGCAATTGAGTGACAAGACCCGTATGCTCGTAGGCTTTTGGTCTGGAACCATGGCGGAGAATATGCAGGAGAGTGAAATTGATTGGTGTTTGCCATGATGTAGCGTCAGGTACACCGAGGCACGTCACAAGCAGGGGGTCCCTTGTGCCTTCCTTCACCGCCAACGCGCGCTAGTCGGCATAATGCTGGCAGAAACACATGAGCATCGCGTTCGCACTTTCACTGTTCGACACTCGACAAACACCATGGACTCTCCCCCAAAACGCTCGCGCGAAGAAACCGAAGACGAGTACGACGATGCGCCGCCACGCAAACGCTCCAGTTCCCGCTCTCCCCACAATGGCTCCCCCGAGTACAGACTAGCAGAACGGCCTGCGCGCCGGTACAGCAGAGACCGCGACAACTCCGTGGACGACAGCGCCGACGAACGACGCTACTACGAACGCCGAACACCATCCAGGTCACGGTCCCGCTCAAACTCGCGCTCGCGATCTCAAAGCAACACGCCCCCACCCCGCAAACCCACAGCCCTAAACTATACCCCCCACCTCATCCTGCGCGGCCACAAGCGCGCAATATCCTGCCTCAAGTTCTCTCCTAACGGACTATGGATAGCCAGCGGCTCCGCTGACGCCACAATCAAGATATGGTCCTCCTCGAGTGGCGCACTCGAACACACGCTCGAAGGCCACCTCGCCGGCATCAACACCCTAACCTGGTCGCCGGACAGCACAACCCTCGCCTCCGGCTCAGACGACAAGAGCATCCGCCTCTGGGACGCGCAGACAGGGCTCGCGCACCCGACGCCGCTGATCGGACACCACAATTATGTGTACTCCCTCGCCTTCAGTCCCAAGGGGAATATGCTCGTCAGTGGGAGCTACGACGAAGCAGTGTTTCTGTGGGACGTGCGTGCAGCCCGCGTAATGCGCTCTTTACCCGCGCATTCCGATCCGGTGTCTGCAGTCGACTTTGTGCGCGACGGCACGCTGATCGTGTCTTGTTCGCACGATGGGTTGATTAGGGTGTGGGACACGGGTACAGGGCAATGTTTACGCACGCTCGTCCACGAAGACAACGCGCCGGTGACGAGTGTAAAGTTCAGTCCAAACGGTAAATACATACTGGCGCATACACTGGATTCGTGTATACGGCTGTGGGACTATGCGAATGGCAAGGGGAAATGCATCAAGACGTATCAGGGGCACACAAACGCCAAGTATTCGCTATCTGGCGCGTTTGGGGCATACGGCTCGCGCACAGGCTCGAGAGAGACGTACGCTTTCGTAGCGTCAGGCAGCGAAGAAGGAGGCGTTGTGCTATGGGACGTCTCGAGTAAGAACGTACTCCAGCGACTCTCTGGTCACGATGAGGCAGTGCTGGCTGTAGACACGCATCCCAAGGAAGAGCTGCTTGCGAGTGCGGCGCTGGACAGGAGTATACGGATATGGAAAGCCTCTCCTTTGCCAGAAGCGAGGGTGAAACAGGAGACGAGTAACGGGTATGATCCGGATGTGCTCCCACCAAACCCTTTCGCAACAGATAGTCCAGCATTTGGGAGTCCGGCTGTGGGAACGCCTGTGAATAGCAGCCCGGTCAGACACGGTTAGTTGTCGGTTGTTTGTAGATACCCCCCCGCCCCCCAATTTATTCTGTAATGCGGATTGATTGGCTGATTGAGGCACGCATCTTAGCCTAACACGAGCTCGCTGACTCGGATGAAATAGAGTCAACGTAGCCCGTTCATTACTCGTCCCCCATTCCCGAAGCCCAACATATTCACACCCACGCTGTCAATTACTTCCCGCTCCCTATCTCGTGAACAGGTCCTACCTGGTTCGGCGCGTGCGGCACGCTCACCGCATCAACCTCATGCGCCTCATTCGTCGCTTGATACTGACTGACCACCGGCACAGGAGGAGGCATACCGTACGGCTGAGCATACACCGGCGCTGGCGTAGACGGGCTCGAGATCGGAGGCGAAACTGGCGTGGAGGCATACTCGTGCACCGACGCATACGCATTCGGTTTCTCTTCCTGCCCATGTGGAAGGTACGACGGAGTCGTGGATATAGCTGGAGGGCTCTGTGGATCATTGGACGGGCGAAATGGACTCGGTTGGTAACTCTGTGTCTGCGTTGTCCCTTGCTGCTGCTGGTACGTCTGCTGCGGCGGCGGGTACTGCGACTGCGGACGCGTTGCATGCACTGCAGCCATGGCTTGGGTGCTGGCGGCGATCTGGCGCTGTTTCTTTTTCCTCTTCAGGCAGAAGACGATGCCAATTGCGATGCAGAGCAGTACGAACAGGGCGACTATGACGATGCCAATTATGAGGCCGATGGCCATCTTCTTGGCTGTTTTGCGAGTCGTGCCGCCACTGTTTGTGTCTGTGATTGCAGGGTTTGCGGAAACAGTAGGCAGAGACATACTTGTCGTAGCACCGAAGGCATCAGTAGCTCGCTGCAGAATGGTCGAGACACTGCTATCCGAGTTCGCAGCACATCCGTAGTCGAGAACACCGTCGCTGGGATACGACCAAGTGACACAGTATGGGATTGAGGCTTCTGTGCACTTGCGGACGTAGTTGTTGAGCAGGCAGCTGGAGCCGCATCCTGAGGTCTTGTATGCGGAGGCGTCAATGCATGAGGTTGCCCAGTCGCAGTCGATGGTGTTGGTCCCGTCACAGCAACCCGCCATGCCGGCACCTGAGGTGTAGAGCATGCAGGTGCGTGAGCCGGGGCATGTTACTCCAAGGGCTGTGCTGTGTTAGTCTGTAGTTCAATGGAGGCCCCTTCTAAAGAGGTGAGAGAGAGCATACAATATACGCCATCGACCCAACCGCATGTCTCGGGATCGAGGTTCGTTTGTCGTTTCCGAAGCTCCTCGATCGATGGTGGAGTAGTTGGTTTCAGTGAGATGCCGACTAGAGCACGCTCGGCCGTCTGGGTAGGACTACCAAAGGCGATGCCTCGCACTACTGGTAGGGCAGCGACGAGGCAGAGAACCGGTGCTGAGCACTTCATCTTTCAGAGATCCCAACTCCGTTGAAGGGCAATAAAACGATTGAGAGAAGAAGGAGTGGAGAGGACAAAGACTGAAGAGCAGACTGAACAATAACAAGGTAAGTGAGCTGAAATGCAGGTCTAAACTTACCACTCGTTCGCAAGATTACCTTGTCGCATGGCGTTCGAGCTGAATTCGAGATACGGCCATGGTAACACAGCGCGAGCATCCCATTCGAATCACCACGCATACCCCAAGCCGCAGTCCTCTCGTGCGAATCGTCTACGAGCAGCATGCGCCGTGGCCTGCTTGTGTCTCGCTCTAGATCACCAGTCCTGGCGGTGAAGGCGCAGATGTTGTGGTTCGCGTGTTGAAACTGACATCCAGGAGAGCAGCTGAAAGATGAGGCTGAAATGCTGGCCTGTGATAGGGTCTTGAGGATACCCAAGAAAAGCATGTGCAGCCAAAACTCGGTTGCCCCTGCATATTCTGCTGGAGCGACGGCAGGAGCCTCAAGTGCTTACTTTGCTAAGCTTGACTTGGTCTGTCTGCGAAAAGTGAGTTTGCGACAGCCCAGGAGCTTCGTTTTTGTCTTGTTTCCCAATCTCTTCTGCAGCCCTCCAGCGCTGTACTTGTCAAAGCATTCAGATCTCGTCCAGCTCTTTGCGTGTCCAATTCGACGACATGAGCAACGCGTGGTCCCAGTATCCATGGATAGACATATCTTCCTGTGCAGACAGACAACGAACTACCGCGCAACGACGGATAAGATGGCTGGAAAGTCCAGCGTGTGTTCGACCCCGATAAAGGTTCGACGTCGCGATCGACATCGCTCGTCTCTACCAAACACCACAGCCTTACGGACTCGTGCGATTTTAACATTGGCCCGTCAGGCAATCGCTGCCTGTTTACTGTGTAGCGGTCGTTGCGAACGTCTTTGACTCGGCTATACGCTGGTGTTTTTCGGTAATTCGACCTATGTCTCTCGACTTTCACAATCGACTCACCCGCACATGTTGCGTGCAGCGCATGCTCGAGAAAACAAAGATACACAGAAGTAAGCTGCACCAGCCCAAGACGTTGTCCATCGAGGAAGACCCCCAGAGCATGTGAAAGATACCATCAAAGGTCTCGTGATGTTGTGAAGGTGGACTCGTGGTCGTGTCGGAAAGGGTTCTCTGTGGGGAAAGTACCTCGGCCCAGTGCGCTGCAAGCTGACTTGCGCCGGCTTGAGACATCCATCACATGTTACATGTATTGTCGCTTTTCTCTTTCCACAATACATTCCTGCCTCTCTGCATTTGAAAATCTCCTCTCAGCAATATTCATTGGGTTTCTCGTCTCTACTTCCGCCTCAACACTCCTTTCACCTTCTACACCTCACTACCACACGACAAAATGCCGATCAAGACATGGCTCACCGAGACACTCGGAATACGCGTCCCTCTTGTACAAGGAGGCATGATGTGGGTAGGAAAAGCAGAGATGATCAGCGCAGTTGCAAACGCAGGCGCACTCGGCTTCCTCACAGCCCTCACACAACCCACGCCTGAAGCGCTCCGCCAGGAAATCCGAAGAACAAAGTCCATGTTGAAGCCAACTGCTGTCCAATTCGGCGTCAACATCACCCTGCTCCCATCGATGAACGCGCCAGACTACGCCGCATACGCAAAGGTAGCAGTTGAAGAAGGCATCAAAGTCGTGGAGACAGCGGGAGATCCGACACCAGTCCTGAAGTACCTCAAAGACAACGGCATAACCGTCTTCCACAAGTGCGTTACACTGAAGCACGCATTGCGGGCAGAGAAGCTGGGCGTCGACTGCATTTCCATTGACGGAATCGAGTGTGCCGGCCACGGAGGAGAGTACGACACGACATCGCTCATGCTCCTCTCGCTGTGCAAAGAGCAGCTCAAGATCCCATACCTCGCATCTGGCGGCTTCGCAAACGGGCGACAACTGGCTGCCGCATTGGCGCTCGGCGCTGTAGGCGTCAATATGGGTACGCGGTGGATGTGCACGGTCGAGTCGCCGATCCATCAGAATGTTAAAGAAGCGATCGTCAAGGCCACAGAGAACGATACTGTTCTTGTGCTGCGCAAGTTCAGGAACACTACGAGGTTGCACAAGAATAAGGTCTCGGTTGAGGTGCACAAGATTGAGAACGAGAAGAAGGATGTCGAGTTCAAGGATGTTGCGCATCTTATGAGCGGAAAGCGTGGGCAGGGTGTGTACGAGACCGGGGATGTAGATGCGGGCGTGTGGAGTCTGGGGATGTGCGCGGGCCTTATACACGACATTCCGACGTGCGAGGAGCTCGCGAGGACGATGGAGCAGGACGCTATCGAGACGCTGACACAGTCAAATGCTTTAGTCATCAAGAGCGCGAAGCTGTAGATAGACGGGTGAGGATGTTTTGTTTGGATAGAGCTATGTTCAGTTTAGCGATCGATAAATTCTTGGGCCGGTCTTGTACTGCTCTTGCCCCAGATATCCTCGAACTCTTTCAGGTCTGGATGCTCATCGTAATGACTCTCGTCTTTGACGGCCCGTATGGGGTCAACGAAACAGAGCTTGCTTCGCCTTCACTGCTCGTAGCTTGGTTTCCAGTCGTGCTTCCCGTCCAACACTCCGCTGGGGATGATTGTGACACCGGACACGCGGGGCGATTAGGTCAACATGGATGAGCCGCAGTTGGTGCAGTGACAGATGGAGAATTGAGCTCTTCTCCTTTAGCCTGGAATGTGATCTTCCTGCAGAGGCATGCGCCTGTTCGTGTTTGTTTGGCCTTGGCAGACATATCGATATGGACTGGAGACGAAAGCGGAGAAAGATGAGTGGAAGAAGAAAGACAAGTCCACGAAAGTCTAGAAACGTCTACCAACAACGGCACTTAGCATACGAGGTAACCGCCCGTAGATCTGGTAAAACGGACAACTTGAACCTGCAGTGGACATAGTCGTTTTCGAGGTCTAAAGGGCACAATCGCTACGATGTAAGCAATACAGATGCTTGCGTATAGGGTCACGAAGCGCGACAGAAGCCTGTCGACTGGAAACGTATTCCATTGCTTGTTCACATGTTGAAGAAGTAAACGAAGCGGAGTGAAGATGCCAGACTCCACTGACGTAGCTTGACTTTAGCGTGAGACCCTGCATTTCCCCACTTAAACTCTTCTGCCCCTCGTTGCGCATAGAGGTGCAGAATCCCTAAACTCCTAACAAAACACACCACAACCATGCACGACCCCGCCTTTGACATCGAGACAGACCTGTCCACCCAAAGCATCCTCCTCGCAGCAGCAAACCACGACATCCCCGCCCTCCGCAACCTCCTCCGCAACTCCTCCGCAAACGTCCAAGACTCCGAGACAGGCTTCACACCCCTCCACGCCGCAATTGCCGCCTGCGAGCCTGACGAGGACGAGAAAACTGCCGCACAAGCAAACGGAAAGGAGGCAGATGCCAAGGAAGCAGGGAAGGAGGAGATAGAAGCTGCGACTAAGACGGTCAAACTCCTGTTTGAAAACGGTGCGATATGGAACGATCTGGACGCGAATGGCGAGACACCGGGATGTATTGCGCAGAGACTTGGATTGACGGAGTTGTATGAGCTTTGCGTTGATGCTGGAGTGCGCGCTGAATTGCTGCTGAGCCGGCTGGACGAGTATCAACTGCTTGTTGGTGGGGACTCGGACGAAGAGGATGACGAGGATGAGGAAGAGGAGGGAGACGGGGAAGTCGAAGTAACAGCCGAGGATGTCGAGATTCTGGATGTCAGTCAAGAAGCTGCGCAAGGCGATGAGTCAACGGAAAACCCGAATTACCTGGCTTCGAACCTGACGTTCGATCGAGACCGGTTGACCGACGATGCAGGTAACGGGGTCATGATGGAGTGGGAAACAACGCTTATGCGGCGATCCGCTGAGCTGCTTGCGCCTGCGCCAGGCCTGCGTGTGCTGAACGTAGGGCACGGGATGGGTATCATCGATGGCATTCTGCAGGAGAAGCAACCAAAAGCGCACCACATTATTGAAGCGCACCCAGATGTTCTCAAGCGCATGAGAGAGCAAGGCTGGGACAAGAAGCCTGGTGTCGTCATCCACGAGGGTCGCTGGCAAGATGTTGTGCCCGGTCTTGTCGAGAAGGGCGAATTGTTCGACGGCATCTACTTCGACACATTCGCCGAAGAGTATAAAGCGCTGCGCGAATTTTTCACAGAGTACGTGATTGGCTTGCTAGATCCTTCGGGCGGTCCAGATGGCGAGGGCGGGAGGTTTGGCTTCTTCAATGGCATGGGCGCGGATAGGCAGATCGTCTACGATGTGTATGGCAAGATCGTCGAAATGGATCTCTTCGAAGCAGGCTTCGATACGGAGTGGGAGACAATACAGGTACCTGACCTTGACGAGCAGGGCGAGTGGCAAGGAGTAAGGAGGAAATACTGGGTATTGGAGGAGTACCGGTTACCTACTTGCAGCTTCATCGGCTGAGCATTAAACGCCAAATGCGGATTCGTTACGCCATGTTCATGCAAGACAGCTCCTTCAGTTTCCATTGATACCGTCGAACAGCCCGTGCATCTGCAGCAGCTTGTTGTATCTGCCCTGCTGAGGATCAACAAGTTGCTTCGCGGCCTCAGCTCCAGCGACTGGCAGTTGTTTCGTCCCTTCACTCTTGAACTTCTTCGGCACCAGCTTCGGGTCCAGTAAACCCACTTGAACGAGCACAGACGCCTGATCCCAGTACATGTGCTCCGACACCAGCTTCCCTCCTCTTACCGCCACCACACTAACCATGGGTATCTCAACAAACCTATCCGTCGGCTGGACACCAGGCAGTATCCAATCCACCTCATCCGAATGCGTGAAGCTCACCACCATCTCATCCACAATACGCTCAACACCCATCGTCCTCGAAACCAACCGTATCTTGAAACCCTCAACCAGACTCGGCACAAAAAACTCCCTATAAAACTCCTCAAGCTTCTTCCTCCCCACGCCGCCCTGCAGCGTAGGAAAGATCGTAACATGCGGACTATTCTGCGTCATGTTCTTCACCACGCTCATACTCGCTCTTTCAGGTACGTCGTCCTCGTACTTGGCGGTCCAGTAACTCTGCACTACGGGCTCGAGATCCACTTCCTTCCTGAAGCCCTTGCGCACGCATGCGAGCGCCCTGCTCCACGCCAGATTCGCTTCGACTTCCGAGTAGGCCTTGGAGTTTGGGTCGGCGAAGCCGGTCGCGCAGTTATCGTAGCGGTATAGCTTCCAATCGCACATTTCCGGGTGCGGACTCGTCTGGCTCTTGCCTGCGACGTGGACTTGCGGGTTTGTCGACTCGGGGTATTTCGCTTTCACGCCGGGCAGGACGGGTGGGTAGAAGGCGACGATTGCACAGCATTTGTTCAGCGGCTTCAAGGCGGTCTTGAGGACTACGCTGGCTGCTGCGCCGTAGGCTATGAGTGCATAGTGCTCGCCGAGCTCGAGGTCGCTGTTGAGGCTCTTGATGGTGCGGGTGTAGGCGGGTTGCTCTGATGGGTCGTACTGGAAGTATGTGACATCGTAGCCTTCTTCTTTCCAAGCGAGGAGTGCTTTCTCGGGTGGGTGGGGCGTTGAGTCGGTCATGAAGATTTTGGGTGGGCCATTGTTGAATTTCAGGAAGCCTCCTGCTCCGGGTGCTGAGGATGCGACTGACATGTCGGTGGTGTCTCCGTGTCACAGTGAAGGGCAGCAGGGAATGCGCCAGTGCGCGTGTATGTCAATTGCAATGTGCGAAGCGCACGCGCGTTGCGCTGGGCTTCGGCGCCGTTTTATGCCAGCCACATGTCAGTCGTCCTTGTTGCGATCCTGGCTCAGATCCCCAGGTTGCGTGCGAAGCTTGACTGGTCGAGCTGGGGCCAATGACGGCACACGTTCGAGATGGCACGACCTTCACGTGGCACGCGTGCAGCTGCAGCCACACCCGGAATTGAGATGGCTACATGTCAAGCTTGTCTTCCACTCTTCCACTCCACAGCATGTAAACCACAGACGTGTAGTTTTGTGGACTTGGTCAGGTTACTGCACATGAACCGCTTTCGGCCCCGGCCGTTCCTTCCGCGTGGGGATGACGCCATTGCCATCGAGTCCACTTTAGTAATCCGAGTCGCCATAGAGAGTCTACCAAGAGCGTTTGACGCGCTCCGCAACTCAATTGACCCATCCCAGCCCGCACAATGTCGGCTTTCATCCCCCGTGCAGCTTCTCGAGCGCTCCGCTCCGCCGCCCGCCCAGCGCTGGGCGCCCAGCGCCCCGCTGCTACCCCGTTTCGCCGCGGTCTTGCGATTCCCGCTGAGCAGCCCCGCTTGAGGATTGGATCGGTCGCACCTGACTTCGAGGCGCAAACAACACACGGACAGATCAAGTTCCACGAGTTCCTCGATGGCAAGTGGACAATTCTGTTCTCTCACCCTGCCGACTTCACGCCCGTCTGCACGACTGAGCTCGGTGCTTTCGCGAAGTTGAAGGATGAGTTCGATGCGCGTGGCGTGCAGATGCTGGGTCTCGTAAGTCTCATCTCAGTCCTAGGCACGGGTCCCGTACTCATTTCTTTCCCAGAGCGCCAACGACCTCAGCTCGCACGACCAATGGGTCTCCGACATCAACGAAACCCAAAACACCACCGTCCAGTTCCCCATCATCGCCGACGCCGACCGCAAAGTCGCCTTCCTGTACGACATGATCGCGCAAGACGACCTCGACAACATCAAAGAAAAGGGCATCGCCTTCACCATCCGCTCCGTCTTCATCATCGACCCCGCCAAGAAGATCAGGCTCAAGATGGACTACCCAGCCAGCACAGGCCGCAACACAACGGAGGTGTTGAGGGTTATCGATAGCTTGCAGACGGGCGATAAGAAGGGTGTTGTCACGCCGATTAATTGGACGGTTGGCGATGATGTTATTGTGCCGCCGAGCGTGAGTACGGAGGATGCGAGGAAGAAGTTTGGGGACGTTAAGGAGGTCAAGCCTTACTTAAGATTTACCAACGTCGGCAAATAGATGGAAGACCTGTAAGGCCATACGGGCATGTACGATGCAGTAGAGGTGTGCCAAATCTTTGTATAGATAATAAACAAGGGTATCAAATCTACCCATCCCTATGTTGTAGTCCCATCATGCGCCCTGCCATGCTATGCTTGAAGACAAACTCGGGGCGCCAATCTACCGCCCAGTACCCACCCTTCCAGTCCCCTTACTCTGCTTCTTGTCCGTCAACTCCTCAATGTTCTTCGCCTTATGATAGTGCGGCGCCACCTCCGTCAACCACTCCGCCTCAATCGGCGCCACACTCCTCACCCACTCCTTACTCGTACTCGTCAGCTCATAGAACACAATCCAGCGATCCCTCGTCTGCTTGCGCGCCATGCAACTGCTCGGATGGATAAACACAGACAACTTCTGGCTGACGGTCGAGTAACTCTGCCCATCGCGGTTCAAGCGCGCAACGTTGGTGAAGTAGCCAGAGGTAAAGGCTTTGAGGATCTTGACGTGGTCCGAGATACCCGAGGAGCTGTGGGGGAGCTCGACTTTATCGCAGAGACGCTGGAGCTGCTCGCGCACATTCCTGACTCTATTCAACGCTCTGTAGTCGAGGAAATTCTCCTTGGCCCACGCCTGGCTGAACTCGTTTTCGGTAAACTCGTTCCAGATCTTCAGAAACGCGATTAGGTCGCCGCCCGCTGCTTCTTCGCTGAAGCGCTGTTTGGCTAGGTCGGCGGCGACTTTTTTGTCTTTGGGCGCGAAGAAGAGCGTCCCGGCTTCGCTGACCATGGAGACGAGGGTCACCATTTCTTCTACGCAGCCGTATTTATCGGCCGCCAGGAGCGCCTTGCCAAGTTTCGGGTCGAGGGGGAGTTCGCTGGCGCGGCGGCCGAGCTTGGTGACTTTGCCCATTGAGTCGATGTAGCCGAGGGCGTAGAGGTGCTCGAGGGATGCGGCGATTGCGGTGGTGGAGGGCGGATCGATGAAGTCGAAGTTCAGGAGGTCGTTGATGCCCATGGTCTTAAGGGTGAGCATTGGACCGTCGAGATCGCAGCGGAGGATTTCGGGCTCGGTTTCCATCTGCAGCTCGTTGTAGAAGGCGTACTTGGTGTAGAGCCTGAAACACATGCCGGGCCCGGTACGTCCGGCTCGACCAGCTCTTTGCTCGGCACTTGCTCGCGAGCATGGCACGACTACTAGTGTGTTCATGGAGCGCTTGTGGTCGTATACTGATTGTTTCTCAAGACCGCAGTCTATGCAGTACCGGATGCCATCGATCGTCAAACTTGTTTCCGCAATGTTGGTACTGAGAACAATCTTGCGATGGCCTGGAGGTGTTGGCGCGAAAATCTTCTGTTGATCTTCCGCTGGCAGAGCACCGTATACAGGGGCTACGATGATAGGCCCTGCTTTCGATCCAAGTTTTCGTGATGTTTCGAGGATGTATTCGCCTGCGCTCTCGATTTCTTCAGAACCTGTGAAGAACACTAAGATATCTCCAGGTCCTTGTGAAAGATGTATTTGGAAGACGGTTGTGACTGCTGCGTTAAGGTAGTTTGCCTCCGGTGAACTCGAATACAGACGCTCGATAGGATGGGTTCGTCCAGGAATGTTGAACAAGGGTGCGCCGCCAAAATAGTCTGAGAATTTGGTCGCGTTCAGGGTGGCACTGGTGACGAGTAGCCTGAATTCGGGACGAACTGCCACCAGCTCCTTCAGCAGACTCATCAACAGATCTGTCGCTAATGAACGCTCGTGCGCTTCGTCCAGGACAACTGCTGAATATTCGGACAACAACGGATCTGACATGAGTTGCTTGAGCATCAGACCGTCTGTGAGGTATTCCACCTTGGTCACTTCTGGTGTGATCTTGCTGTCAAATCGCACTGAGTATCCGCATTCTCGACCCAGCCTTACACCCATTTCTTCACTGACACGCTTTGCGACGGACATAGCGGCGACTCGACGCGGTTGTGTGCAGCCAACCTTGCCATTCTTTGTGAAGCCATTCTCATGGAGATACTGCGGTACTTGTGTTGTCTTCCCGGAACCGGTCTCAGCCACGATGATAAGAACGGGATGGGATTCGCATGCTGCTAGGAGCTCGTCTCGATACGCGTAGATAGGCAGGTTCCTCCGAACTTGCTCCATCGTCTTGACCTGCTGCTCCGCCTCTTTCAGTTGCCGTTCTAGTAACGCCTTATCCGGATCCGGCATGCCATCGCTCAGGAAGTTTATAGCCATTTCGTCCGAGAATACGAATTCATAGTCGTCGGCAGATACCCGCTCCGGCTTCTTGACCTGGCTTTTGATCTTGCTCATCTGCTCATCCTCCCATAGCTGCACCTCACTCTTGTCGTACCCTTTCTCGCGCTCATTGTGTCGTTTTGTAAGTGCAGACGATCTGCTCCCGTCGGCGTTTGGTAGTAGGTAACCGTCCAGGTGTTCGTCTATAGCGTTTCTTGCTTCGGCGAGTCGCAGTGTTTCCCGGTTTCGCGCAAAGTCCTTCCTCTCTTCGACTGATAACTTCGAACCAAGCCTCTCCTCTTCCTCGGCTTCTTCTGCGACCTGGAGACGCAGAAGAGCAAGCTGTTGCGCCTCACGCTGGGCGAGATATGTCTGGCGCGCATTTCGTCGTAACTCGCTGATGTCTTCGTCGCCTGTTCTGCGCCTTTTCGGGTCCGACATTGTCGGTCTTACAGATGTAAGCGTTGGACGATGAACTTTCAGTTTGCGCGACGAGCGCAATTATATACGCAGTCTATGAAAACACGTGTATAGAGTGTAGCCTTGGAGGGGAGCTCAAGCTTCACGAACCCTGGAAATGCTCGGCGAAGGCGGAGGTGACACGGACCACCTGATTCACTCCAAAGTTGACGTCGAACAATAGCTTTATCACGACCACTTCCTTTCCACAAGCAGATGCAAAGTTTACTCGGGACACAGAATACGAGAGATGTAGTAGAACAAGTTGTTATCATTGTGACTTTCGAAAGGAGCGACATGCTATCATGCTGCATCCGCGTTCGCACTTAGAAAGACGTGCCCGTCTCGACTCCAACATAGCATAACGACAGACCGGCTTTAATTCACAGGCGTAGCAGGCGCCTCGGTCCTGAGAGATATTGGCACATGATCTCCAGCGACCTTGGTGCTTGCAGCGTTCCATTTGATCCTGCGGCCATTAGCGACGAGATGTGCACTCGGTCCGTTGGATCACTCACTGGTACAGGCCAGCCTCATTTGCGGGACTTGCGACAAAGTTCATCTCGATAGCACCAGCCTTCTGGTTGTTGTACGCCCATCCTCCAAAGAGCCCGAAGCCCTTGACTGTCACACCATCAGGGATTTCATCCTCTAAGATGAATCCAACAGTCTTCATGTCACCTGCATCGGCACCGATATACATGGAAGGTTGCTTCGACCATGACACATCGCCCTCGGGCGAGGCCACGAATCTCAGATCGTCCGTAAGTGCAACTACCAGTGTCAGCAATGGTTCATTTGGTCGTATCGATGCACTTACGAGTCACATTCACAGCCTCAGCTGCGAAGGTAGGGGCCTTAGGTCCGAGATAGGCTCGTCCTGGGCAACGTCAGTCAGTGTGTATCGTTCGTGCATGTAACACTTACCATCTGCGTAGAACAACTTCAAGCCCGCCGGGAGGTTGTCACCATACGCATACAAGCTGAAGTTGCTTACCGCCGATAATACGCCCTGAGCGCATGCCAACAGGGCGACGACTGAAAAGAACTGAAACAGCATGGTAACAGATGTATAGAAAGAGCGTGGAAGTCTGACGATGAAGAGCGATAAAGGTCACGTATACAGCGGCAGTCGTGGAGTATATGATGGAATCTCGAAACCCGTCGTACGCGCGAGTTCGAACACTTACCGGAGATTCGCTTTAGTCCGTCACTTCGCTACCTGGACCCGGGCTTACGAATTTTCGATATGATTCCTAGTTTGGATCCCCTACATCATGACACTCCCGATGGATGCACCTCCGTGCCAAGTGTGGGTTGCAGCCCAAGAATAAGGAGATACGATTGTACAACAACTCACGAGTGCATACACTCATGCCAACTTCCCGCGTGGGGTTCGTTCCTGCATTAGTTCGGTCAACACATCCAGCTAATGGTGTTGATCGCTTCACCGGTCAGTGCTCCTGCGTCAGAGCCTTTTACCGCTCCACATGGAAGCTTGGGTACGACAAAAGTGCATGGCTTTCGTCCAGTTAGCCTCGGAGGCTGTCTGCCAAGCTTGTAAGCTGGTCTCCGAAATTTCTTAGTGGACAGACTCTCTCGCGTGTTCCCCACCACGGGTTCAACGACCAAAGATAGATGGAGCTACAGCGCGAGGTGGAGATGCGCTGGCCAAGCGTAGGGTACGATGCTTGAACCTGAATTAGACCAAGCCGTCGCAGCCACCAGCTGCCGGCATTTAGGGCTAACGGCCGCTTCGGCGACACTACCCGAGTCAAGGATCAAAGGATCACCAGATCGAGATACGCGAGAGCCAACACCAACACCACAACCCTACAAGTCAACGATGAGCATCTTGAAATTCGATATCCACTCCATCCTGTTCTCATCATCTCAGGCTGGCGTCTCTCAGCCTCTCAGAGCGTCAGAAATTGTAATTGTCCCACATAGCTGCAAGCGCGTACCTAGCATCACGCAGTATGTCGTTTTCTTGACTCCTGTCACTGCAGATACCACCGTCTCAAGATGAATCTTGTGATAAGTGGTACATGCGTCTCGCGAACTGCAACGAGCCTCACAGTGATGAACATCAACATTACCAAGAAGAGAACAAAGTTCATCAGGAACAATAGAGGAGGATGAAGTTGGTATAACGCGCGTCCGGTATTCCCTCGTCTATGGAACCCATGTGACGCTCGTGTTTCAACGATCGCGTGGTCCACCCATGGAGATGGAAGCTGGAAGCGATATACTGGTTGACATTACTCACATTCAGACATCTCCGTGAACATCTTGAATATTTCTTTAGCGCACCTGCAGCGCTCGGACTGGTGTTCTTCGGAATGGTGGGTCCATCATACACTACTGCCGCCAACTTCTTTTCTTTGGCGAAGCACACTGGAAGCGAGGCTGTGGGTGGCTGATGTGACTGTCCGAGGCTTGCGCTCAGCTCGTGGCCGGCTAAGCCTTGCTTAGGTTAACAGAGGTACCGGTGAGAACAGTCGTACTCGCTTCGCAAGCGGCGTATATGTCAGATTCGTCTGCGTCATCGGCCTTAGAGGAAAGCTTCAACTTTTCTTCTGATGCGGCTACGCGAATAGTGCATCGCGCTATTGACTGCTTACCGCAGACCGTAGGATCACGAGTATGGTAATCGTGTACGTTCGGGGCAATACGACCGCGGTGGAGATCAGGATGAGACTGCTACATCGCCAGTCCACTGTTGAGCATGCATGTCTCTGGTACATATATGAGGCGATTTGGATACCAATGTTACTTGCTCATCACCTTTGTTCTGTTTTCTTCTTTCATTGGGCGTTGAGTCCTTCACTCTCTTTTGTTTGAATTGAGGACCTCCAAGGCTTATCATGAGGTTTTTCTATACGCTTGCTTGCCTCGCGGCAGTCGCGACCGCCATACCAGCACCACAAGCAGGATGCACATATTCCAACACAACGACCCCGGCCGCAAACAACACCACAACGACGATCTCCGTTTGTGGAGGCAACACGGCGGATGACCGCACCAAATGGTGCGAAGACAGTATCGACACCGATTGGTACAACTATGTCCCCAACACAGGAGTCACGCGAGAGGTATGTAGTCGTCACGATAATGCCTGTATCATGCTGATCATAATCGACAGTACTGGCTCGACATCACCAACATGACCATTGCACCAGATGGGTTCGAACGTGTTGCTCTTGGTGTGAACAACTCGATCCCAGGACCCACCATTGAGGCCAACTGGGTAAGCAAGTTCAGTTGACCGATATTCAGCATCTGACCACTAGTTAGGGTGATACCATCAAGGTACACGTCAAGAACAGTCTTCAGAACAACGGCACAACCATTCATTGGCATGGCTTTCGACAGAACTACACGGTCCAACAGGACGGTGTCCCTTCTATCATCCAATGCCCCGATGCTGTACGTCTATCCCTATCTCACCAAGGACATCTCGCTGACTGCTTCTAGCCTGGAACAACACATACATACACTCTGCGGGCGACCCAATACGGAACCAGCTGGTACCATTCTCACTATGCTCTCCAAGCCTGGGCAGGCGTTTTTGGTGCCATTGTCATCCACGGCCCAGCAACAGCCAACTACGACGTTGATCTCGAGCCCATTGTCATTACTGACTGGAGTCACGCCACTGTCGATGCTCTGTACAGCCACGCTCAGACTGTTGGACCGCCCAAGATGGACACTGCTCTCATCAACGGCAAGGGCACCTACAACGGCACTGGCGGCGAGCGCTACGAAGTAACATTCGAAGCTGGCAAGAAGTACAGAATGCGCTTCGTCAACGCAGCAGTCGACTCGTACTTCAAGGTTTCTCTTGACGGTCACAAGATGACTGTCATCGCCATGGACTTTGTACCTGTTGAGCCTTTCGAGATTGACGTTCTGGACTTCACCATGGGCCAGCGCTACGATGTGATAATCGAAGCCAACCAGGGAGCCTCCAACTACTGGTTCCGTGCAATCCCCCAAGCGGCATGCTCCAACAACGCCAACAGCAACGACATCCGCGGCATTGTGCGATACAGCAGCGCCCCGAGCGGCAATCCAACAACTACTGCCTGGGACGGCAACTCGAAGGACGCTTGTGTGGATGTAGAACACTCCCTCCTCAAGCCGCACTTCAAGCACTCCGTCATCTCTCCCGAACTCCAGAATCCCGACCTCGCCATCAGCGTAGCCAAGGACTCTTACAACCTTTTTAAATGGGACATCGGTCTCAACAGCATGCACGTTATCTGGAACAACCCGTCTCTTTTGCAGATCGCCGAGGGTAACGCCACCTGGGAGGGCTCAGAAAACGTCTACATGCTGCCTGATGCGAACAAGTGGGTGTACTGGGTTATTGACACAAAGCTGCCGGTCCCGCATCCCATCCACTTGCACGGTCACGATTTCTATGTTCTGGCTCAAGCGGCAAGTGCGACGTATGATTCGAGTGTGAAGCTGAATCTTGATAACCCGCCGCGCCGTGATGTGGCTACTCTGCCGGCGAGCGGGTATCTGGTTATTGCTTTCTACACTGATAACCCGGGTACATGGCTCGTAAGTAAAAAATCTTCTCATCTTGTGAGACCAAGACTAACATGACTTTTTAGATGCATTGTCACATTGGTTGGCACGTGGCTGAAGGACTGGCATTACAGTTTGTCGAGCGCGAGAGCGAGATTCCTGCGCTGATTGATACTGCGGAGCTTGAATCGACTTGTAAAGCTTGGGAAGACTTCAACTTGGAGAAGTTCTATATCGAGCAGGATGACTCTGGTGTATAAACGTCATCGACGCCGCAAAGCGTATCGCATAAATTTATGCTCTTCTTGTATATAATGTAATGTCGCTTAGCGTTTCGCTGGAAGGCCTCGCCATCAACTATGCTGTAACTGCACGCACTATACTGAATGTTGGCAGACATCAAGCTTATGAAGCCTAGTCCCTCTTCATACCGACCTTGCCAATGCCTCGCAGTCCCCATGCAAACAATGCCCCTGTAGCACAACTCAGTGCAAAGACATACCAGAACGCAGCTCGGTAGCCCTCCATGAGTGCTGTCGGGCTCTCCTTATCCGCAATCTTTGAGTGTTGAGTGACGCTCCCTGCAATGACAGCACTGGTCGCAAGGCCAACGCTCTTACCAATCTGCGCAACGGTGTTGAAGACACTTCCCGCGAGCGCTTGATCTCGTGCTGGGAAGACAGCAGTGATGACCAAGTTCGAGACCGTAAAGAGTACGTCTGCACCGATAGGATTGAGGAACACCGCTGGGAAAGCGCAGGCCCAGTACGTCCAATCCGGCTGAATTATGCACATAAGCAGTGACCCGATACTCGTCAACGCCACACCAACGAGGCAAGCCCAGTCAGCGCGAACTCGATGCGCAATGAGTCCCATGACCACATTAGACAGCGCTCCACTGACAGGTGTAGGCAGGAAGCGCAAACTCGTCTGGATGGGTGAGATCTCCTGAACATCCTGGAAGTACAGCGTTTGAAACGTCTCGATGGCGTTGAAGGTGCCCCAGATGATGAAGACGCCGGCGCAGACCACGCTGAAAATGCGGTTGCGCCAGAGAGAATTCGGGATTACGGCTGGACGACCGAGTTTTTCTTGGCGTCCGACCCAGAGGATGAACGAGGGGATTAGGGCTACGCCGAGGATGAGGGTGGAGAGTGTTTCTGGTTCTTTGATTTTGTCGGTTCGTTTGGAGATGACGCTAGAGGTTGTCAGTACTAGGGAGTGAACGGGTAGTTATATGGAAACTTACCTAAAGCAGTACGACAGAAGCACAACCGAAGCACTGCCGATAACGATCCCAATCCAGTCGATGTCGTTCTTGATGCGAGACCAGACATCCTCTTTCTTATCTTGAACCTTTGGTAGTCCAAACAAAGCTATAACGAAAACCACACTGTTGATGATGGCCGATATATGAAACGCCCACCGCCATCCAATCGTCTCTGCAAAAACACCACCAAGTACAAGACCAACACCGAAGCCGATCGGTTGACCTCCACCCATTGAGGCAAATGCAATGTTCCTGCTTTTGCCTTGTGGGAAGGTACTAGTGATGATGCTCACTGCTGAAGGCAGACAGAACGAGATGGCGATTCCGGCGAAGCCACGGAAGACGATGATCTGCGTGCTGGTCTCTGCGAGGCCGCAGGCAAGTGTGAAGCCGGACTGGAGGAAGCAGCCGATCAGATACATAGGTCTTGAGCCGACGACATCTGCGATTGAGCCCAGCAGGAGTAGCGTACAACCACAGGTGAGAGCGTAAATTGAGATAGGCCTAGAACTCATCAGTATAGGAATTGTGCATCAGAGAATGCGTACGCACCAAAGAAGTACATCAGATCCCAATTCTAACTCTTTTGCAATCGAGGGTAGCGCTACTGCTACGACACCACCCAGCATCGCGCTGATCATGGTCACACATACTACCGTTAGCAGCACGATGGCCGCAGTTCTCTTGTCCGGCTCCTCGAGCAGCTCAGCAGACACAGCATTCTTCGGCGCATTGATTGGTTGCAAGTCTTCGGCCAATGGTGGTGTGTCATTGCCTTCTTGATGGATACTGGACGGCTGCGTGATTGTCTGTGGTGTTTGATGGTAGCCTTGCAGCTCGATACATGTTGAGATCCGCGACATCGTGGAGAACGTGGGATACAGGTTAGCCAAAGAGATGGAGAGTAGGGCATCAGGTTCACTTTATGGGGCCCATGGCAGCAGTAAGATTACACGAGCGCAGAAATCGTCCGAATACCAAGACGAAGCTAAAGCGTTGTCTTGAAAGGGTGTCATAGGCCGCGCTGGTGAGCATGACGTAGTTGGCGCTTGGAAGAGTACTATGGGAGCTCAAAGCTAGATGAATGCAGCATGTCTGTTGCAGTGTCGGCGCCCTGTTGTCGGAACATATTGACAAGTCTGCATGATTGCTGATTGCGGCTGAACAACGTAAGCCTCCGCGCCAATCATGTGGTCGAGCGGTAGTGAACAACGGGAAACTTCGCGATGGGAAACTCAAGAGAGGCGGAGTTCTGGAGGTATTCGCGGTTCCGTTATCGATATGGACCCTTGGGGTCCCACGCTAGTCCTACATTTTGGGATACCTCTCAGTCGAAGCAGTGTCGCAATTGTTCGTGGAGCCTCAACGTGTTCCTTTTGTTCTTGTCGCAAGCTTGAGGTCCTGATTGTTGTATCGACTCCGGTAGTCATACAGCTTTGACGTGTTGCTCGGTTGCAATCGCGTCCCGAAACGGAATGCTACACGTTGCAATTTCTTGATACCCTAGGGCTGATCTCCCAGCTTGTCCTTGGCTACACCTTTCACAACCTCTTGGGAAGCTATAGAAAGCTCTTACGAAGCTACATATCATCTTCGGCAAGATGCGGGCTTCAGCCTCTTTGCTGAGTGCGAAGACGCTCCTTGCACTGAACGCATTCAGTCGAATTGGCGCTTTTGCAGATTCGAACATCAATGTTGCTCTTCAAGCTTCGTTCAGTCCTGCACCTTATTTAGTGGAGCTCCTGTAAGCCAAACGTGACGTTCGTCGCTCAACCCCTACTGACAAGCTGAAGAGAGACCGCCGCAGAAGAGAACGCGACCGCATACTTTCCCCTCCTCGACCGCATATCAGAAGGCTGGCTAGACGAGCTAGACACGGAGAAGCAACTATACGACAAATTCGTCGACATACTGCAGAGCGACGGCCATATTACCGACCCTGAGACCCTCGCCTCTTTCAACCTCGCGCTCTCAGTACGATCAGCGGCGCCACGGATAGAAGCACACTATCAGTTCTACAAGACGTCGGTCGAGCCTTCTCTGGAATCAGAACAGGGGAAGAACTGCCAGCTATGGGTCTCACTCAACGGTCAACAGTACTGTACACCACATATAGACGATGGCGAGCCAACAGGCAACATCAGGAATGAGCGTACGAACGAGCTACCGTTCGATCGAATCCTTGGTAATAGCTCAGCCTTGCCAACAATCGTATACGCCGATATTACCGCTCCGCGATTCAAGAAGTTTCACAAGACTGTGAGCAGGACGGCAAAAGAAGGAAAGACATCGTATCGTGTCAGGCACAAGCCCTCTCTAAAGGGATCTAAGACACCACTGGTCGTCAACGGCTATGGCGTTGCGCTGCAATTAAAGAGGACCGACTACATCGTCATTGATGACAGGCAAGCGGCACAGGGCGAGAACGCAGATCAGAAGCCGCTCGGTACAGAGCTCGACGAAGAGGCTGTGGATCTGAAGCCCCTGGCTAAGGAGGATGTGTCTGACCTGGCCGAGAAGGCTGCCAGCTTCGTGCTGCAAAGCGACCAGCCTATGGACACGCTCTTGAAGTTGGCTCGCGACTTCCCGAAGTACACGTCGACTATCGCTGCTACCAACGCTACTTCGGACTTCCTCACCGAGCACTACAACAACCGTGAGCTCCTACTGCCCACAGGGCACAATGTCATTTGGATCAATGGCGTACAAATTCCTGCGAGGGATGTTAACCCTTATGCGCTCCTCGCCCATCTGCGTCGCGAGAGGAAGCTGATCAATGGCATCAGAAGCCAGGGACTGTCTGCTCCAGACACCATTTCTCTTCTGTCGCACTCAGCTATAACACAAGGCGAGATCGGAAATGAGCCTCAGAGATACGATTTCAGAGACGAAGCTGAGGGAGGCAAAGTCATTGTATGGGTCAACAATATCGAAAAAGACTCTAGGTATCAGAGCTGGCCCACTGAACTCCGAGCGCTGCTGCAAAGAACCTATCCCGGCCAGCTGCCTAATGTCCGCCGCGACATCCACAACGCGATCCTGCCCATTGACTTCACCTCCCCTGACCATGTCTCCAATGTGATCGAGACAGTAGTTGGTCTTGTCAGGCGTGGCATCCCGTTGCGATGGGGTCTTGTTCCGCAGACTCCGACTCCTAGCGCCGTGGAGCAGGCAAAGGTAGTATACTACCTTCAACACACGTATGGTCTGTCTGCAGTCACCAAGTATTTGTTAGCTGCGATGGAGGCCAAGAAACTCGCGAGACCAGACAAGGCTAGCTTCGAAACGGCTGTTAAGGCTGGTACGCTCCGCAAGGACCGTGAAACACTTGAATTCGAGGACATATTGACTTCTGAAGCTCTTGGTGAGCGCGTGGACAAAGCTAAGCACTACCTGGAACGCCTTGCAGTAAATGGTCCAGATGCCCCGGCGATTGTAAACGGTGTGCCTGTTGCTCAAGGCGAGAACTGGCTGTCTGAACTCAGTCAACGGATTAGTATGGACCTTCGTCAGATCCAGAAAGCTGTGTTCGAAGGCGACCTCAGGGAGGACAGCTGGGTACCACAACAGTTCTTGCTCCAGGCTGCTGCAAAGCGCAACCCTTTCATCATCCCAGAAAATGAAAAGGATATTAAGCTCGTCAACATGGCTGAGTTTGAAGAGAAATATGGCGAGATCTTTGAAAAGTACCCTCGCGTCGAATCTGCATCGTCAGTGTGCAAGAGTGACTGGGCACATCTCACAGTGTTCGGTGATTTCGACACTGAATCTGGCTTGACTCTGCTCAAGTCTGTAGCGCAGTACCGTCAGGCCAATCCGAATGTCGAGATTGTCATGGTACAGAACTCAGATGCAAATCAGTCTGGTGTGTCTGAAGAGCTGCTGGACGCATACATCAAGACTAAGCGCCAGCTCGACAGCAACACGCTTCTCACGGTCTTGAACCAGGAGGTCGCAAAGTCCCCAACGCCAGCAAGGTCTACGCGTCTGCGCAAATCTGCCGAGCCACTCCTCAAGGAACTAGAGCTGAAGCCTGGCCAGCTCGCCGTTCTCATCAACGGACGCTTCGTGGGACCTATCCCTGAGGATAAGGTTTTCTCCAGTGAAGATATCAAGACACTTGTGTCGTATGAGACGAATAAGCGCATTGAGCCTCTGATTAAAGCTCTTGAGGACTTGCAGCTGACTGCTAAGATCGCAACGCCCTTCGATGTTGCCAAGGTTCAGTCTCTTGTGGCTCTTTCCACCGTATCTGATGTCCCAGAGGGCATCTTCGAAACAGCATCAACCCTGAGGACTAACACGTTCAGCAACTGGACTGCTGATCACACAGCTATCATTAAGGGAAAGAAAGAGAACGCCATTTTTCAGATCGTCGCATCCATCGACCCTGCAACCGAGCAAGCCCAGAGGTGGATCCCAATCCTGAACACGTTAAGCGAAATGGACGGCACTCATCTTCAGCTCTTCCTGAACCCCAAGCAGATGTTACAGGAGCTTCCCATCAAGCGATTCTACAGGTACTTGCTTGGTTCCAAACCAAGGTTTAACGCAGATGGATCAGTCGACAATTTCAAGGCTCAATTCAAAGGCATCCCAAAGAAGGCTCTCCTGAACTTGGGTATGGACGTCCCACCATCCTGGCTGGTCGCTCCGGAGGAGTCCATCCACGACCTTGACAATATTAAGCTCAGCTCGCTGCCCGCCGATACGAACATTGACGCAGTCTACGGACTAGAAAGCATCCTCATCGAAGGTCACTCTCGTGATACCGCCAATGGTGGTCAGCCGCCTCGTGGCGCGGAGGTCGTGCTGTCAACTGAAAAAGACCCACACTTCGCTGACACAATCATCATGGCCAACCTGGGGTACTTCCAGTTCAAGGCGAACCCCGGCTTCTACAGCATCCATCTGAAGAAGGGTAAATCCCAGGATATTTTCTCCCTCGACAGCGCTGGAGCCAAAGGCTGGGCTGTCCAACCCAACGACGAGTCAAACGAGCTTGTGCTCATGAGCTTCCAGGGCATAACGCTCTTCCCTCGACTGTCCCGTAAGCCGGGACAAGAAGAAGCCGATATCCTGGCAGATGAGGAATCGGTTGTTTCTGAGCTTGCAACTAAAGGCACTGAGAAGATCAACAAGCTTCTCGGCAAGATCGGACTCAACTTCAACAGCGAGAAGGTCTTCAAGAAGGGCGTCGAGCTCCTCGCAGGCACGAAGCCTGCAAAGACACAAGCCGACATCAACATCTTCTCCGTCGCTTCAGGGCACCTCTACGAACGCATGCTCAACATCATGATGCTCTCCGTCATGAAGCACACCAACCACACTGTCAAATTCTGGTTCATCGAGCAGTTCCTCTCACCCTCATTCAAGCACTTTTTGCCTCACATGGCTGCCGAGTATGGTTTCGAGTATGAGCTCGTCACATACAAATGGCCGCACTGGCTCCGCCAACAGTCTGAGAAACAGCGCGAAATATGGGGCTACAAGATCCTCTTCCTTGACGTGCTCTTTCCACTCGACCTCGACAAAGTTATTTTCGTCGACGCAGACCAAATCGTGCGCACAGACATGTACGAACTCGTCACCCACGACCTGCAAGGCGCGCCCTACGGCTTCACGCCTATGGGCGACTCACGCACAGAAATGGAAGGCTTCCGTTTCTGGAAGACAGGATACTGGGCGAACTTCCTCCGCGGCAAGCCCTACCACATCTCCGCCCTATACGTCGTCGACCTGAACCGCTTCCGCAAACTCGCTGCCGGCGATCGTCTGCGTCAACAATACCACTCCCTCTCTGCCGACCCCAACAGTCTAAGCAACCTCGATCAAGACCTGCCGAATAACATGCAATTTAATCTCCCTATTCACAGCTTGCCGCAAGAATGGCTGTGGTGCGAGACTTGGTGCGCAGATGAAGACTTGGCTACCGCTAAGACGATTGACTTGTGCAACAATCCACAGACGAAGGAGCCGAAGTTGGATCGTGCGAGGAGGCAGATTCCTGAGTGGACAGTGTATGATGACGAGATCGCGGCGCTGGCCAGGCGTATCAGGGGTGAGAAGGAGCAGCAAGAGGTCGTGGATGTGCAAGCTGAAGAGCAGGTGAGGGAGAAGAGGGAAAAGGATGAGGAGAGGAAGAGGGATGAGTTGTAGGGGGATAGTTCTTGAAGATGTGTAAGCATTGGAGGAGTTTTGTTGGTTGTAGACTTGTTTGACCAGACCGTAAGGACATCATAAAGGTATATATACACGCGGTTCGCTAAGTCATCTTCCAATCATCACACAGTCACACCTAGTCAACCCTGACTTCACCGGTCTCCATTGGTCTTGTTGCACGGCGGGCCGGACATGAAAATTCTAAATCTCTAAATTTTAGGAAGAGCTAGGTCGTCGGGATGGCCTCATGTCTTCTGATATGATCGGCAAAAAGAGATAAATGCCCTTGTTTGACAGTGCCCGGTCCTATACTTGTCTTTACGTATCCCTTTATCTAGTATCAGAAGTTGCAGTAGCAGCTAAAAAAAGTAAAAGCTGAGTCTATCATTATAGTAGCAAAGTTTTGGTGTCTCAATAAGAGATTGCTATGTATAAGATATGTATGCTAAGATAGTCATATAACAAGTGAATAACTAGGACAAGTCTGTATCTGACTGGCTAGAGTGGTTAGACACTATCGTGACGCTTCCAAGGTGGCGTTGCTATAATCCTGTCCTGCCGGTCCAACAATACTAACGCAATCTCGAGCGTAGTACCGTAATTGACCTGCAAAGCCTGATCTCCAGCCACATTGTCTCTGCGAGCGATGAAGCAATCGGTAGTGCTCGCACAGTATGTGGCTCGAATAACTTGATTCTTTCCAGTAGATCTGCAGTAGAGACTTAAGTATTGTCCAGAGGGTATTGGGAGGAGCGCATCGCCATCTTTTCTGCCACGAGCTATCCATCTTATATCGGCTTGTGGTGACAAGGCTCTTGAGAGAGTTTACGCTCTGTCGCAAGGGTAGAGATCTTTGATCCAGTGGTAATTATTGACATTTTCCCAGTTCGTTGGTTTGTCTGGTTTCCGGAAGCCGTAACATTCGCAGCTGCACTGCATTGGCAGTTGACGACCAGGGTTTTGCTGCGAAGTCTTTGGGGCTATTCCAGCTTAGATGCCGTGAAGGATGGGCTCACAAGTTGAGATTGTAGATTCTACCTGCCACAGAGCCATTTACTTGGATAACACTATCGCGGGCAATGTTGCGGCTGACTGAGGTGCTTATCGCCATGGCCATCTGTTCGTCCAGAAAGCTGCTGGAGGCAGATCGCGAAGACATCTCGGACAGAGACCATGAACTGTGGAAGGGTTGAGATGGTTGAGTTAATCGATCTGAAGAGCTATATCGGGAATCGATCGAGACTATATAGTAGAAGGGAATAGCAGTGAAAGAGTAGGGAAGCAAACCAAACTGACCAAATGAGCTGGACAATCAGAGCAGCGGACCGCTAGCAAACAAACCCTGAGCGCATCTTGAACCAAGCCCTGGAGAGATCGTGCCTTGTTTAGTATATGCCTAGCCCCCGTTACTTTCTGCCTTGTCGCAAGGCTCAGACTGCCTGCAGCACCTCCTCAATGCACTAAACCCGCATCGGTACGCACTACAGTTCGTGATTCACCTACCGGCGTTTCTTACCAGCTTGCGCGGCAACTCTTGGGTGATGTTGATGGAACCCGTATTGACTAGTGCAGGTGTTCGCAGCGACTGAGTCTCGTTTGTGAAACGCTGACGCCGGTTGGCCTCAGGCCCACGATTCAGCTCCACTTCGACTGCGCATTATGGAACATGTAGGAGGTGAAGCAGCCTACCCCCTCTCCCTTGATGCGGACGACCTCATACACCTCCCTTCTTCTCCATCGCCACACTGAATTGTTGTCCGTGCGGACAAGCCCGCGAGCTCAGACCTCAAGATCAGTCGAGAGACCCAAGCAGACGCAACATATCTCGCCACTACCCCGAGCGCATCCGATGGTGCAATGAATTGATAGCCCGACAAAATGGCAGTGCCATAGAAGATGTGTGCGACCGTCCCAAGAGTCAAGGCCTGGGAGAACCAAAAATACCATTGGTTCTCCGGATTCCAGTAGAAACGTCGCTCTTCATGTTGCACGCACACCGAGAACTCGTTGCCTGGCCATCGCTTTACCCAATCGCGGAGTCGAACTGACCACGATGTGCCAGATTGAGGTGCGACTGCGTGTCCACCCTGTACAAGCTCAAAACACGAACGGGACATGAGAGAAAGGAAACCTGCCAACCACAGTGCGGCAACAAGAACGTTCCATAAGAATATCTGATAACGATATCTGCAAGCTATCACGACCGAGTACGCTTTGCTGTACAAGTCGAATGCCACCGTCGTTACGTTGACCACAGCAGCGATTGCCAGGACAAATTGCAAGCCAACAATGAGCACAGAGATTTCTCTTCGCCTTGTCATGTTGGCTCCTTAGTTCAGATTTCTCAGCATGTCCTTGGGGTTGACATAATCGAAGAGTCGGACCGGGTTGACCACAGGTGCAGCCAGGGCAAGTAACAGACTTAGTATAGGTCGACTTGTGCTGAGTAAACCGAGCTCGACCGGACTTGATCCCAGGATTGATAAGATTGAGGGCAGAAGACCAAGTAGGACACCTGTGCTAGCTGTCTGAGACTGGACGTTTTTAACAGAATTCTCCATCATGCAAAGTGCCGTGTCAATGCAAGCAGCGTTGTATCGTGGAGAGCTCGTTGGCAGAGTCTGGTATAGCTTCAGCTCCGTGCTGCAGTTCACAGCCAACTGCCTTGTCTAGTATTCGTTCCATTTTGGGTAGAAATTTTGATACAGCATTGAAGATATTGAGGATTGCTTAAATCGGTCAAGTTGCAACAGGGTCGTTGAAGATGGGCAAATGTCTCGAGCTGGTGTGCGAGATGTAGGTCTGAGTGTGAAGATGTGTAGCCGATGGCTGAGATATAACACAGACTTTCATCAAGACCGATAAAGCTCTGCGAGGCCTGAATTGAGAAAAAGCAATATGCCATGCATTAGATGTGACGTGCCGGCTGCTTTACATCGGAAGGATCATCGAAGGACCTGTGGCTGAACCATCCGGGCAAGCTTTCTTTTTCGTTGCATATGCTATGCAGCCTCAGGCGGGCAGAGAACCCTGGCCGACCAATGATGCAGAGGTGGCAGAAGGGCGTGTACACTTTCTTGACCTGCCCGAGGTCGAGTCTCATACAACGTTCAATACATCGGGCAGGCAGCTGGCGCTCGTCGGGCGTTTGAGAGGCTGTGCGATTGGGTGGTGTGCAGCGGAATTCAGCTCGGCCGCAAACGCATGTGTGGTTGGCTCATCTAGGGCATGAGCAAAAGGCCGTAAACTGCTTTCAGATTAAGCTCGGTCATATACTTTCGGCGCACATAGGGTTCCCGCGCACCTCACCCAAAGCAGCCACACACTATTGAGTCGTGATCATTGTCAACAACAACAATTATATTTGCCACTCAGTACACATAAATTTGAGTGTTGAGGCAGCAACAGCAGCAGCAGCTTTTTGAATTTTGTTCTCATCTGAAGGTTGATGCCTGTTTAGCTTGGAGAGCTGCTGCGCAATTGATCGTAGCTTTGATACTCTCAATGTTGCTAAATTGCTCATTTGGGTTGACTTGAACACACTTTCTTGATTGCGTAATCCTAGGACTATCTAGCTGATATTCGAGTTGTGGGTTTTCATGGTTAAACTGAGACGGAAACAAGGCCCGCTGTCAGACTGCATATATGCTCTCACTGATCTCACGATCCGACGTACAGCAACAGAGCACGCAGAGCACTCTGCATGAACGCTCCCACTGCTCTCACTGCGCTGTCAGATCACACAGAGCAGACATATCACCACGTAGACACGTTTGGTATATAGCATGTAGGAACACAACCCTTATGGTTTGTGTTCAACCTCGTCAATTAAGTTTGTCATTGGATCTCAACCAACCTTCGAGTTAGACAGATTGCCTGTACTACTCATTGTTACCCCAAGCTGTCGTTAGGTGTTTCACCAAGGCAACTTACCCCTACTGTTCCAGAACCAGAGCTTATCCTCGAGAACCAATCGAATAGTACTTACAACCTTTGCTTAAAGTACAACTTCAACAGTTTGTTACAAACACATACAGAAGAGAAGGAACTATTGGACCTGGGGACAGCGGTTATTGAACTGTTACGATCCATGAACAACTCGCAAAACAACACTGAACAAACAGGACTACGCAACGAGACGAGAGCAGCCAAGGAACTGCAGTATCGATTGACCGAGCTGTGAAGCCGCGTCAGTGATACCCAGTATAATCAACACTCGCAATATCTGTTATACAAACCGAGATTGTACGAAAAGGACTGCAGTGGATACAACGTGGATCTCGTACACAAACAATCATCACGGACCCATATACCGACCCACTTGCAGAGGACCCACGTCGACAACGATCAATAGGACACCAAGGACCGAGTATCGAGGTCACGTCGACAACGCTCGATTGGACCGAGTATCAAGTCACTGACGATACTCGATATGAGCAGTACAATCAATCCTCCTGTCAAGTATATAAGCAAGTAGACACGCTGCCCTATGGCATCGTGTTCAACCTCGTCAATCAACTTTGTTATTGGAATCTCACCTGCTCTCGAGCCAGACAGTATACTCTGTACTACTCATTGCAACCAGTCGCCATGGTCTTTGACTAGACGACTACCCCCTGATTATCACGGCGGTTTATCACAGTCAAACCTCTGCCGCTCCGAGCTCGCTCAGTGATAACCAACCTCTGACGGCTTTCTGTACCTCTGCTCATCCCCGAGAACCAATCGAATAGTGTCTACGAGCTTTGCTTAAGACACGACTTCAACACTAATATATATAGGCATAGTGCAAGGCACCTCCTTACAACATAGCGCAGGGTATATCAATAGTATGGATATATATGGGGGCTCCTCACATGCTAGACCCTGAACCGCAACTTCACAGCCACTCACAGTGCCTGTACATAATCAACCCTTCATCATTGCTATCATTGCTATCATTGCTACTGTTATACCACCTACTCTCCTGCCACCTCTACACCCTGTTTAGGTCTGTCACCTACATTCAAGGTGCAACACCTATATATACTTACTGCTATCAGATTCAGCTCCTTTATGCAATTAGAAAGGTACCAAGGTTGTTGTTGTAATAAAAGCATGTGGGGATTCAGCCACTGTTGCAGATTATTTAAGCGCAAAATTAGGGGGGCGGGGACAATATTCTACAGCTCACCAATACCAACAGACTCGGTCGTAAGACGAAGCGGTTAGGGAAGAGATGTTCTCTAAGCTTGGAATGAACAAACTCTCCATCCCTGTCAAGGAACATCACAGTGTTGACGCAAATAATAGTTCAACGCCAAAGCGTTTGCCTCCTGCCATTACAAGGAGCGTAGATCACATGCGACTGGCATGCCGACATGTCCAAAAGAGCCAACCCTATAACTATGTCGCAGAGACCTCATGTTGGGCCGCCGATCGCTTGTCAACCATTTGCCTCAGCCTGGTCACGGTTGTATTGTGGCTGACAGCACAAGGCTACTGCCGAGCTTCACTGCATTTGGCCCCCAACTATTAGCGTGCATGCAGATGTCAGCTCAGCCTGCACTTTGACATAAACACACACCCGCTCTTCAGCCTTCTCATCAACGTTCTTCATCCTCAATCCATCTCGTCTTCTTCAAGGCAGATGGCTCAGAACGCATCTTTTTACTGCCCGTCTGGTGGAGACTGGTACGCTTGTTTGTATGGTTCGAAGTTTGCCGGATGCTGCTCGATCGATCCTTGCGCCAAAGGCTGTCCACTAGATGCCGTATATCCCTTCGCATTTCAGTACGATCTGTACGGCAGGTTTCCAGATGCTTCCTGCGGGTCCAACTCTACCTTCTTCACATGTGCCGCAGGGCCTAATGCCACTTTTGGTGGATGTTGCAAAACAGTACCTTGCAGACTTGACCCTCCGAGTTGCCCCAAAGGACACTTGGTCCCCATGTATATGGAACATCAGTTACAACTTGATTTCTACGGAAATCCAGATCTCAACAATTATGGACAACCTCCGGTTACGACATCTTCCGTCGTACGTGTCAGTGCTGTGCCTACCGCTACAAGCGCTCCAATCTTATATGCCGAAACGCTTAGCGATACAAACGCACTCATTTCATCCAGCCTGTCCATTGCTATTGCCGTAGTTGTTTCGGCAGCTCTCACTATCTGGCTATGCTACCGAAGGGTTCCTGGTGTTTATCTCAAGCAATGGAGCTCAATTGAGCGGTAAATCAAGTTTATCCGATCGAAGACTTACACTGACATTCTCCCTAGTATACCGCTTCCCACTGAGACAGTGTCAAACAGCAAAGACACAACTCAGACACATTGTAACGATATCCAAACGACCCCTACAGTGCACGATCTTGCCCGACTGGGTACTAGATGTCTCTGCATTCTTGCAGCAACCACTCTGGTGGAGCTTCTGCTGTGTGGATTCTTGAACTTTCTGTGGTTTGGACAACCCAACAACAAGACTTGGATGCTTATCATGATCGATGGATGGGTCACACGCTCTGTAGCTGTAGCAGCTTTAGTACTCAGAACCGCAGTGGACCTACAGGCCGCCATAGGGTCCGCCATTCTTGCCTCGTTGTTTCTGGAATCTCGAGTCGGAATACAACTATGCCAACTTGCTAACATCTCTCCGATGCGTGCTGGTGCAACAAGCCCATGGGCTTTTGTCTGGTGTGCAGTGAGAGACGCTTGGCAATCCACCACCCTTCGCAGGCAGCATTATTCACTGTACGTCGTCAGTGTTCTATTAGTTCTGACGACGAGTGTGCTCCAGTTCTCATCGACAGTATTGCTGTCAGATCTGAAACTAGGACCGTTAGCTGCTCACCAGTCTATTTCCGAGATTCGAACAGGTCTATCGTATGCACCCTCGACCGAGAAGATTCCACGGGATTCTGCATGGACAACAAATCCACCCTCATTTCCATCTTTTGGGGAGTACCATGAGCCCGGAAGTTCAAGTGAAGATTATGTTGCAGACACCGGCCTACTCTTACGCGCGTTCCTCCCTTATGTGGCTCCTGAATCTCGACAAACGCTCTCAACCTATTCAGGGAACGCACTGATACTCGATGCCAGAGTCTCCTGTCAGGCTCCTGTCATCACACAACTATATGCGGCTGGTACATCGAACACGCAAATCACTGGATTGGTTGAAACTTCGAAGCGCATCTCCATGCTACAAGAGATCGCAAGCACGCCATTCGACTGTACGGTGGCTGGCGGCAGTGAGCTCACTATTTGCCAAATAGCGCAGTCTCGTGAGTCCTTCACAGGGTCGTTGAATAGTCAGTTCGTCAACTCTACCACTTTTGGAACCGCCTTTCTCGTCTTCCTAGGCTCGCAGAATTCGATAAACCCCAAGATTTGGCTTCCTTTGTCTATGGACGAGCATAACAGCACAATCCAAGCTTCAGCCACCCTCTGCTTTGCGCCCTGGGATTCAGCTGTTCTAGATGTGACCTTGTCTGGTGAGACGAATCGGTCCGAGCCTCTGCTTGAATACAATGCTACCTCGGACAAACCATTTCAGACATGGGCTGTACTCAATCATCTCATCCCTACTGTGAAGAACGGTATGCGTCAAATATTACAGATGGAGAGACCTCATAGTTATGCTGGGGACCTTCCTCCACGATACCGACGGCCAGTGGTACAGAGTGATATTGGGAGCAGTTCAGCCGCTGAAGCCAGTGTTCCACTGCCTGCAAATTGGACTGTTACCCTTAATGGAGCCCCCCTCGTCACCATGCTTCGTCGCTTCCCCAAGCATCCCAGTCAGATTGTTGCTGCAGACCCTGCCCTGGCTGCAATCTTTGACGATGCACTCCATTCCACTTCTGTTGAATGGGCTCTCTCTTCACTAATCACAATTCTCTCAATGACCAACTACTACGGTCAGCAGCCAGCATTCGATCGTTTGGACAATGTCACTGTATCTTTCTTTGAGAACGTCCTTTACCCTCGAGATCATCTAGGCTTGACGATGCTCATGTGGGTTCTCGCAGCTCACATTGTTATCATCGCTGTTCTCGTGGTTTTATTCATTCAAAAGACTCGCCTGACACTCCTTGGAAATGCGTGGTCCGCTTTCGCGCAGGTAGCGGAGTCTTGTGAAATCATGGAGCACATTGCTGGCGCAAGTGTACGGAGTGATTCGGAGGTCCTGGAAGATCTCAAGGAGGCGGGCAGGGGCAATTTGCGAGCCAGGGTGGTACGCAGAGGAGAGGGCGCCGAAGTAATAGTCGAGTGAATCAACACTTGAAGTGTTAAGGGCTGTCTCGATTGCAGTTTCGGACGACAAAGGTCACTGCAGCGATCTAAAGGACAGTCCTACGGCAGTTGCCAGTTCAAAGCTCAGAAAGTACCGTGCTTGGGATGAAGCGAGTCGAGGACCAGCTAGAGAAAGGACACTGGGTCGCCGTTTGGTTCGAACGGACCTCAATCTGGCCAAATTCTGATTGTCTCAAAGCCAGTTTGCATGCAGCCATCTTGTTAGCTCAGCCGCAAAACACTGGCGAAGGGGTGGCTGTGTCAGCCATAGATCCTGCGAACGACTCTCAACTCACGACCTATATCGTCATCTGGCCCCCACACCATCGAATATATGTTTGTGCAGAGTCGCGCCGCACCTATTAAACCGTTGTAAGTTCTATCAATGGGAACAGTTGAATAGCATTGTGTGATGATTCTGTCTATGTGAAGGAGCTAGGCCAGTGTTGATGTATATATATCGCGCAAAAAAAGCTTAAACTATGGGACGCGTCGGTCGTATGGCATGAATTCACTTGTGCGTCCTAGCGTCCTCCATACTTTACATCGAATTCTGGATGGTTGCCACTGTAGTATATGGTCCTACTATGTTGTTATGATAGTCGTTCGCAGTTGGCCTCGTGAATACCTTCCACTTTCGGGGATAGGCTCACGAAGCTAGCACGCAACGATAGAGCACCCGGGTCTTTCTCGCCCTTGGCCTCGGTGGTCCCAAAACGTTGCTCTTCCACGGCCGACTTATGCACCCCACAAGTCTAGGAGGATGGCGTATCCGAAGTGTGGAGCCGTCAAGCCTTGAGCTGCGCTGTGGTGAGCTGTGGGTTGCTGGAAAGAGCAAACCGTGATGGCTGGCAAGAGCGGTATCTTTCCGGCCTGACGTCGACCTGTCATGCAACACCGAACACCCCATAACCAGGTCTGCGGTTGCATGCACGAGCAAGCGTTCACTCTGGAATCGAAGTGGAAGCACACCTCAAAGATGGTGACGGTGACTTGGTGCGCCCGTGATCATGGTCAGTTAGGACAAGACTGGTGCAGACGCCAGCGCCAGCTGACTTTGAGGCTGGAAAGGGGGGCCTGGAGACGAACGCCATCGCCTTCCACAGGTCCTATGCTCCCATGGCGTCCTTGCTTTGTTGGCAAATGAAGCACTCGAGACCGCGCTGGCAACGCTGAACAATGTGATGTGAAGCAGGTGAAGCACAACAAGCTGCTTCCTAACAGTGCATCTGGTGCAGCTCTCGAGTGGCAGCTGCCAAACACGGGGAACAGCTGTCAAGGCGAGCTGGACTACTGCAACATCGCGAAAGACCGGGCGGGCAGTCAACGTCAAGGGGACCATGGTCCTTTAAAGATCGCGGCAATCCGCTTCCAAGCATTCGTTCGGCTCGCCGCGCTAAAATCTCTGGGGTTCGGTCATCACTCAAAACTCCACTACGCCGGAGATCACAGCTTCAGACGCTGCACTCGCCCATTGCGCCGCGACCCTTCTCTAACAGCACACAGACTTGACAGCCAGTTGGTTGCCTTACATGGCTGATCCATTCGACGCATAATAACAGCTCCTGCTTCACCCCGAATTCGCCAGCCTGTCCACAATTGCGCCTTTGCAGATACCGATGAGTTCGACATTCGCCGTTACCTCCTTTCCCTGCCCCCGGTGAACGTGCAGCTGTTCGAGTCGCAGACTTTGTTTCTGCGCCGGACACCGTTCTTTGAGGTGTGATTACAGAAGCCTCAGGACAGCCGCAATATAATATTACCGCAACAATGGCTATTGCGCCAGCTCAGCCAGGGACGGGCGCAAACGTACGTTCAACCATACTGCTCTGCTGTCAGACTTCAACTCACGATGTAACTGCAGCCTCTCGGCGCGCCAGATCCGACGACATTCCAGAAAGTGAGGGAAGTCTTTGCGCAACCGGTGCTTGCTTCCTTTGTAGCTGGAGGTATTGCCGGCGCCGTCTCTCGAACCGTCGTTTCGCCCCTCGAGCGTCTCAAGATTTTATTCCAAGTCCAGAGCGTCGGCCGCGAAGAATACAAGATGTCAGTACCAAAAGCATTGGCAAAGATGTGGAGGGAAGAAGGCTGGAGAGGGTTTATGGCCGGTAATGGAACCAATTGCATACGGATCGTGCCCTACTCTGCTGTGCAGTTTAGCGCATACAACGTCTACAAGAGAGTGAGTGCCCTGTTTTTTGCCGCGTCTTACTCTTCCTTTGTCCCTTCAAGCTGTTGGATGTGGCTTTACGGGGGTTTGCATCTTATGAAATAGGTCATGGTTATGCACGTGAATATACGGAGGGTCACACAGCAATAGTGGGGCGCAACGTTGGAGGTTTTCGGGGAGAGATGGCTCACAGTTACTACTCCAACAAAATGGGCACAATTACGAATTTGGAAGCTGACAGCCACAGTTCTTCGAAAGCGAACCAGGCGCCTCACTGGGCGCATACCAGCGACTGTTCTGTGGTGGCCTCGCCGGTATCACCTCAGTATCCTTCACATACCCCCTCGACATCGTGCGCACACGGTTATCGATCCAGTCCGCATCGTTCTCGAGTCTTCAAAGAGAAGAAGGCAAGAAACTACCGGGCATGTGGACGCTTTTGGCCAACATGTACAAGACCGAAGGAGGACTCCCTGCACTGTACCGCGGAATCATCCCCACTATAGCGGGTGTAGCACCATACGTCGGTCTGAACTTCATGGTCTACGAGATCGCGCGCACACAATTCACGCCCGAAGGCGCAAAAGACCCCAGCGCTATCGGCAAGCTGGGCGCAGGTGCTGTCTCTGGGGCTGTAGCGCAGACCATCACATATCCCTTCGACGTCCTGCGACGACGATTTCAAATCAATACCATGAGCGGCATGGGCTACAAATACGCAGGAATCGGCGACGCGATAAAACAGATCGTCATGACAGAAGGCTTCAGAGGGCTGTACAAGGGTATTGTGCCAAATCTGCTCAAGGTCGCGCCTAGCATGGCGAGTAGCTGGCTCAGCTTCGAGATGACAAGAGATATGCTTATGGGCAAATGGAACTCGGGATTTTTATAGAAAGCATCACAACCGGCCTTTTGCACCCAGTATCTCCCCTTCCAGCAGAGACCAGCACAGAAAGCGCCGCTCTCGCCGAGACGCGGGATTCGACATGGTCCAGAACCAGCGAAACGGGTGCGCAAGGAATGCATATACACTTTTGCATGGGACGGAAATGGAGGGAACCCACCATTTGACTTTACAGCGATGGCGTTGGCGTTTAGCTGAAATCTTGCACACGTCCGTTGCTTCCTTTGTAGGTAGATAAGGAAGGCGGCTTGTAACAACATAGTTAATTTGGTCGAGATAGCACAAGCGAAGTACGTTCAAAGCAGCATCAACTTGTCAGAGACGATGATCCGAATATTATCTCGCAGAGAAAGCCGGTTCCAGCTTCTTCAGCCCTCGGCATTGAATATAAACTCTGGAGGCCTTCAGCGAAATTCCAGACAACCATGTGATAAATCAAAATACTCCGTAGTCCTCAAGCCTTACATCAAGTTACAAAACCCACGCGGAATTACCCTGACTACCACCCCAAAACCACAGAACTGCGCAAATCATAAGCCAAAGACACGATGACTTGTCTACGTCTGCATCTGCGTCATCATCATCTTCAGATCGTGCATCATCTCCCATGCGTTGTCCGATTTGGACCACTCCCTGCTTCTCCCCACAGCCTTGCCGGAAAGTGGCGTGATACTCAGCTCACACAGGCGTGTACTGTGGTATAAGATCTCCCCGCTGCCTTGTCAAAGCTCATCTATGATCTGCCTTTCACTCTATACTCCTTATCAGATAAGCTCATCAAGGTACTCGCCAATGCGACATTATAAGTACCGATGATCAATCTGCCAAGTAATCTTTTCACCTTCTTTGAATTTTGTTCATTGCTTGTTATATAAATGGTAAAGAGGGTAACCCCTCATGCCCTCATTCTCGAGTCGGCCATGAGCGCACAAACGCCAAATCTGTCCGGACAGGGCTGAGAAGCGAAAGGCGTGATGTCAATAGCACGCAAGGTAAGGTTTTGTACATCGCTCGACATCTCTCATCATCTCTTCTTTCCAAATTCCCCAAAGCCCATCATCTCTTTTCTCTTGGTATCAATATCAATTTCGTTCAAATTCCTTACATCATCTACGCAGTGGCAGAAACAGTCTCAACTTCGACCTTGGGCAGCGGCGCCGACTTGCCGCCGAGATCTGTGGCACGGGCCTTGGGGTTCTTGGTGTAGTAGTTCGAGATGGCGGACTTGATGGCGTCTTCAGCAAGCATGGAGCAGTGCACTATAGAAGGAAGTCAGTCAACTAATTCCACAACTACTTGGAGAAAATGACACTTACGTTTGACAGGCGGCAGACACAGCTCCTTCGCGATCTCTGTGTTCTTGATCCTCGCCGCATCCTCCAGAGTCATACCACGCACCAACTCGGTCAGATAACTCGAACTCGCGATCGCGCTACCGCAACCAAAGGTCTTGAACTTGACGTCGCTAATGGTGTTGTTGTTGGGGTCGACACGAATCTGCAGCTTCATGACGTCGCCGCATGCGGGTGCGCCAACGAGACCGGTACCGACGTCAGTGTCAGTCTTCGACATGGAGCCGACATTACGAGGGCGGCTGTAGTGATCGAGCAGTGCTGGAGATGTTAGCTGGTCGTTCTGGTAAATTATGCGACAGTGATAAGTGAGAGGTGCGGCTCCGAAACGTCTCCGACCATTGCCACCACTCCTCCACCAACACTGCCATTGCGCAAAGGTGCGACTTATCTTTCTCGTGATATTGCCGCCTGCCAGCTGCTGATACTGTGGGTGCTGTTGTGCGGAGGGGCGAGGCGATGCTCGGTCTGGCGGCGGTTGCGAGCACCCGACCGGCCTGGGCAGGAACTGCTGCTGCGACTCTCCTGAACATGGCGAAAATGTGTGTATGTGTGGTTGTGAGGTATTTCGAGTGTTGCAATCGATTAGTTGCAATGGGTGGTCGAAGCGTGGAAGCGTGGGCGTAGGTGGTGATGGTGTAATGAGGGTCGAGGATATCGAAAGGAAAAGTGACATATTTATCGCCCCTGCGAAGCTCGGCCATGACAGAGCCAAGCTTTAGCTCATGTGGGGTTAATCCGTCGGACAAGCGTCAATTTGCCGAGCGGAGAGCGCTATCTCCGGATTGCAATTTCCTTATCAGATAAACCACGATTGTCATCATATGCATAATTAGACTGAGCACCAAGCACATAGCCAGCCCAGACAGTGGTCGTGACTCTGTAACGTTGTCGTCTTCAAACAGCTTCATGATCTCCACGATCGTACTCCGTAACGTCCCTCTTTTGATTTGACGGGTTCAAACGCGCCAATCGCAACCAACTCCGCTTCCGTTATGCTAGCCTCATCAATGCACCCAGACTGCCCGTCTTACAAACGCCTGAAGAAATACACATATGCAAACTTCTTCATCTCGTCGATATCTGCAGCCTTTGCTACCTTCTCGTCGTTGAAGAGTACCCAAGCAGCGTCTTGTTCGTCAGGTAGCTGCTTGCGAACAAATGCAACGTAGTGCCCGGCATGAATAGAACTACCCTTGTGGCAGACAATGGATTGTAGCTGGAAGTTCGCTGGCAGCTTGTCGCTTCCTGGCAGTAGCTTCTCCTGTGATTTGGCAGGCATCTACATGTGTTAGTTCGCAGAATACTATGTTGATATCGCAGACTCACCTCTGCGCTCGCGTCGTCACCAAAGTCGCCCGCAGCCTCAGGGTGACTGAAGAGCCACTCGACAGCTCGCTCCATGTCTCCACCAGTCTCCTTCAGCGCCTGTCGAGCTTGCGGAGCATTGAAGCCCATGCCACTCAACATTTCGATCTTCTCCGGGTCGATTGCACTTGGTGCACCACCGCCAGAGCCGCCTCCACTGCCAGCGTTGAAGTCGACTGGATCATCGATATCTGGGTCCTCCATGTGGGCGAAGAGCCAGTTCGAGGCAGCTTCTGGGTCTTCGTTGCCGGTGGCATGCAGCGCCTTCTCACAGCGGACACGAGGAAAGCCCATTGCCTCAAGCATGGATAGCGCAGCCTCGTTCGGCGTCCACTTGAAGGAGCTGCCAGTGTCTGCGTCATCGGGAAGAACCTCCTCAGTATCTTTAAGACCGTGCGACTTGTATGCGTCAAAAGATATCGCCTCATCGTTGACAATGACAGGAACGTCCTGCTTCGTGGGCACCCAGTTAACGATCTCGAAGCGGCGAGCGTTCACAGCCAAGACCGAGGGGAATGTCTTGAACATGCTCCTCTTCGTGAAACCATCCTTGCTGCCGCAAGCACCGCATGTGAGCTCGACCATCTCTTCCGCCGTGAAGATGTCAAGGCACTCTCTCAGTGTGACAGACTCGAACTCCTCTTTCTCCTTCTCTTTGCCTTCACTATCGGTAGCGTCCATTTGTGCATCCTTTGGTACTCTCCGGATGGGCACAGGGATAGAGATGTTTTCCTGCTCGTCTGATCGATAGCGAACGCGCTTGCAGCTGATACACTGAAGGCGCTGCTCCATGACGAACCTGAAAGCATCGACGGGGTCTTTGAAAGGCGCAACATGCTGCGATCGGGAGATGAGCTTGAGGAGGTGAAGTAGCAACTCGAAGGCATCCTGCTGTCGCATTGTGGAGAACTCTGCATGTCCTCGCCCGATCAGGTGCTTCAGCATGGCTGGTGCCAGACCGCGTTGGTGTGGGACTTCGGGTGTATCCTCGGAGACAATGACATCACTGTCTGGCTTCGAGTATCGTCCAGAGATCAGACCATCGGCGATCTTACGAAGCTGAGTTTCTAGGTCCTCAGCCGGGAGCGATGCATTGGGCGGGCCCTGCTCGGGAAGGTAGTATCGGTCTCTGAACTCCGGTACCGCGAACAAAGCCTGGAGTGTACTGTTGAGGTAGCAGCTGTTGCCCAGATTCTTGAGTCCTGTGAAGTCTGAGCCAAACAGAGGCTTCAGCTCTTTGCCGTCCTCTGTCGTCATAGAGAACTCCCACCGCAGATTCTGCTCGACCTGCATCTCCGTCAAGCTCTTCTCCGTCTTCACTCGGTCCTTGATGTTGATGCCCCAGTGTGCCAAATGATTCGGTAGCTCAGGGTCAACTCGCTCCTCGTCGCAGGCGTAGCAGTAGAGGTCCGCAGTTCCATCAGCGGTCAATGACCCCAGCTTGACAGCAACTGGATGTCCTGTCGATTTTGTGTGCCCTACACCGTGCGAGTTGCCACCAATGCCACCGAACTGCTGTCGCCCACAACCGAGGTTGCCACAGCTCAAGCACAGCCAAAGGTTCTCGTTGAGTTTGCACTCAGAACAATGCCCGAGAGCACCAGACTCGATTTGCCTCGCTTCCTGCTGCTCTAGGCACAGCGTGTGCTCGCAGGCGGTCATCTCTTGTTCCCATGCCTTGACTTCCTCCTGCCTGGAAAATGTGTTGGCCTTGAGAACAGCATCAACAAGCTGCGGGAGCTTTCCAGAGCTCTCATCCACCTCATCGACGCCACATTCGTAACACTTGACTGTCGTTGTAGTATCATAGCGGTCGGTCTCGGTTTCGGCGGCAATCGAGAGCTTCGTGATCTTCGCTGGAGGCTCGTCACGTGTGACTTGCTTGCGAGTGCGCTTGATATTCAGCACAAGAGGGTGGTTTGTCGCCGACACATGTAGAACAGAGTGGCTGCGGTCCGCCGTACAGCCGCCGTTGAAGCAGTATAGACAAACGTCCAGGCCAGTGGTGTCGTCCTAATACGTCAGCCTGGAGGTACTCAGCATATCTAAGATACTCACGATCGAGTCGAAGCACTGTGTACAATCCTCGCGATACACAGGCTGATTTGGGCCAGGCGGCCGCAGCTCTGTAAACATGTAAATATACAACAATGCAGGGTGAATAGTAACGCAGGGTACTACCTGGTGCATTCACGTGTACACACGTCATGCTTTGTATAGCGAGCTTGAGGTTTGCAGGATAAAGTGAGAGAGAGTTGGATTTGGTAAAATCGGAGGCAAGAGCGAGCAAACACGCTGGGGCGCGCCAGCAGTTTGCTGCTCGTCCCTGGCGATCGGCATGACGAAGCTAGGCTGCCCATAGCTCCATCAATGTGGGGCAACTAGACACCCCTCATCGTTCTCAACACTCTTGATTGTAGCCACCAACCGCACTTTTCGAATATCGACTGATAGTCCTCAACGTATTCTGGAGGTCCTCTAATGTATCGGCTATGTACTTATCTTCTTGAAAAAGCAGGCTGGAGTTCTTCAAGCTGTCATCCCCTACTCCTTTGACTACCAATCTGTATAAGTTGCAAGACACGATCATTTCAGATTTTCGTCAATTGTGCTCACTTGTTGATATCGTTAAGTACTCCTGAGGGAATGTGTGGGACTGAACATTCTCCGAGGGTCGCCATTCTCATACATTGGATTCTTGTGCGTTCATGTCTTGGTTCAGAATATCTGAGAGAGTGCAAGGAGTACTTCGAAGAACATGTTGGGCGATGAACAGTGTACTACTCGGTGTCCATATGTTCTTGTCCAGTAGCCTCCCCTTTCTCTCTACGTCCACACGATTAGCCAGCCAATCGCATGACTTGCTCGAAATGAACACAGGTCTTTTACGACAAGTGAGTTTTTTGTGGCCTGTCCACTTGAGGCTAAACTGGTCAATAGCCTAGAAGAGAGTTGACTGCATCGGTGCCTCTAACTGTATTCGAGCTACCATTTCCTTCTCTGTTATCAAGCGCTGCTCCAACCCATATTTATGGACTTTAGTACGCCCTGTGATCCAGGATCGAGTGGAACTGATCTCCTTGTACGGGATAGTTTTCGACCGCCTAGAAAGATCATATCGGTGCATGCTATAGTATCGTATTTGATTGAGTGCCCAGCAAAGGTATATGCCCATGAGTTAGCATGGGCGCATAATGGTCGCTCGTAGGGCCTCATATTCCGTTTCAATTAGTAGCTTATTGATTTGAGATTGCTGGAGGGATTGCCCGATGATCGCACCGAGGTCGAGTATGTGATAGTAGTCGCCTTTTGGGGATGCGGAAGTAGTACAAGGGCAGGTTGTTGTGTTCGCAAACAGGACCTTGAAATCGATCTCGTATGAGAAAGCGATCATATCAAGAAGGAAACAACGTAGAATGCTGACGGCGCCTAGACAGGTATGTTCCGGTAAAGTATTTGAAAAAAGCGGTGGGATAACGACACTGTGGATATTCACCGTGAAGGGAAGCTCAGAGTAGGGCGGTGGAGGTGTTTGATATCCTTCCATAATGCTAAAAATGGCGAGGGGAGGTGTAATAGTGCTTAAGCCTGTGGGGTGGAGGATGCAGATTCAAGCCAGATTTAGCGTTAAATATTGAAGAAAACACAGTGTCGTGGTAGTCACCTAGGTATTTAAATGGTAGCGAGTAGGAGCTGCCCCCTGAGTCACATCGTCGGTTAGAAGTTCCATGGTTTTCGTTGCTACTTCTCAAACGTGGTACAGTTGATAACAATACCATGGTAATGCAGCAGGTTGTTTCGTTAACAGCAATCCTGAATTGAATATGATGCTTTGGCATCAGGCAATGACTTTTGCGGCTTGCAAGCGACCCAGCTAGGTCTTCTCATTCAGCTACAAACAAGTTCAAACTATCAAATACAGACTGGTGATGACACTTGGCCCAATGAACAACCCAAACCAAAATATCACGTTGCCCAGCGTATGTCTCCCTTTCATCCACCTGGACTTCATGAACGCCGCGAGCGGAAGCTGCGTCAGCTGAAATGTAAAGAGATACCCTCTGACTTTGTGAAAGATGCAGAACATGAGCACCTCGTGCACGATAGCGCTGAGCAGAAAGGTGAAGAAAGTTGCCTGCATCTTAGACAGGTGAAAGAACGAGATTGAAGAGTGATAGACGTGGCGTAACAGGAAGTTATGAACCGGCCTGTTCCAATCGCGTGCATACTGGTCAAAACTCACACTGTTCCACCAGTCACCGTAGAAGCCACGGTCGGCAAAGCGCGTGGTCTCGGCCAGAACGTTGAGAAGGCATTCCCAGATGACGTACCAAGAGAGGAGCTGTTCGAGTAGCATGGGGAACAGCATGTCGCTGACGACCCAGGGAAACTCTTTCCAGCGTTCATCGAGCGACATGCCTGCCTCTTTCTGTCTTGTGGTCTCAATGACGACAGGGTAGATGTATGCTTGCGATATGACGATCATAATCCAGATGACACCCAGTGTAGCGGCAGCTTTCTCGGCCACGTACCACCAATTAATGCGCTCTTGGCGGGGGTACTCGAGATCATAGACTAAGGTAGGTAGACAAGTCCATTCAACGAAGTTGTTCATGGTCAGGTTGTTGGGATACATGTTGTCGGTCGTTGTGCATTTGCCGCGGAGTTCTTCATCAAGGATCGTGACCTCGGTTGTGAGAACACGATGAAAGGCTTGAATTTGTTCAGCATCTAGAGGCTCACTGGTCTCGATAGCTTGGCCAATAGACGCAATCTGTGATCCTTCTGTGGTGAAGTCGGTCGAGTATTTCGGGCCACGGCTTTTGCGATGTGACAGAGTGTTGTCATTTGGGCGCTCTATGCCAGTTGCTGCCAACGTTTCTACACTAGGTAACGTTGGTGAGGGGCCCTGGTGTGCGTTCAAGTCGTCAAGTTGACGAAGTTTTTGTTCAAGCAAGTTACGCCTGCGATATACACGAGATACTGGAACTGTGTCAGTACATGCTCAGTAGAATTGATTTAGCAAGCTTACGGTAACCGTTGTAAAAAGAGTATGCATGCTGCTTCATAAGCAGCACAAAAACGTGCAATACGACGAAAACTGTGTGTGTCCAAGGCCACTCTCTCCAGAACGTCCAAAAAATGACGAAGCCTGTGAAGAACAATTGCCACACGGACTGGATGATCCAACCTGAGCCACCCCATGAAAGGTAGCCGGCAGCGATAGCTTTGTGCAAGAAAAAGCCAAAGCTAGTGGCAGCACACATAGCCGCGTCTGTGGCCAATAGTACGAATAGATCGCGATCTACCATCAAGTGCAATATCTCTGCATTGCCAAACACTGACCCTTGCTCCTTGTAGTTCCAGGCTGCAATCCGCGTGAGCAGCAGTGCCATTGCAATCCAGAACAACGTGAAGAAACCGTGGAAGGGCGATTGCGATGCGCTAGGATTTTGACGATCGAAGGTCGTGAACTGACGAGTGAAGACTAGGTCTCGGATCCTGGCTTTAGATTTTCCACTCAGCTTCTCCACCTCCTTCTGCATACCGGAGCGCATGATCTCTCGGAAGTCTTCTGCTGTGAGACTGTGCTGCGTCTTCTTTCCCGAGTCGTCAATCAAAACCTGGATGCTCTTCCTCTTTTTCTTATATCTGTTGTCGTCTCTCTTGTCATCAAATGCCCCGTCTTCACTGCCGTCAGACGGTATCGCCGTTGTGTTCCCACTTCGATTTTCGGTGGCATCCGCCTTCGTTGTAGCTCTCAATTGGGTTGCACCATCTACATCTGACATGTCTGAGGAGCCTTCTGGTGTCCATGAACCCTCTCTCTCAGTTCGTGGCGTGTTCAACAGTCCATCGAGCGCGTGCGCCATGACCGAGGGTCGGCGCTCGGTATCGTTCGTCGTCATCATGTGATGTATTGACAACTCTGAGAACGTCGCTGAGTTGTGTAAGTTCCAAGCTTCAGGCGGCCGTCATGTGGGGTTAAGAAGGAGCTTTGACGCGAGCTCTGCTGTGTGCGGATCGTGTGATGACAACATCGAGATTTATACGCGTACGGGAGTCGGCAAAGAAGTACAAGAAGTACAGACCAACTCTGAACTCTATGCAGCGCACGCGACCTTTGACATCCGCTGAGGCCCGCGGACAAAACGAATAGGACCGTGAAGTGGTTGTTCGCGGAACTTCGGTAGTAAGCCAGGGTCGACCATGACGCACTGCAATGCGGAGGCAGGTACGATCTTCAAGTCAAGCCACAAAGCCACAGAGCGGGAAGCATCCACATCTTAATCCGCACAGGGCTACACCTGCACTTCAGCATCACGTGTTGTGAATCAGGACTTCTGCACAACGACGTGACACGACCATGTCTGCATCCTTCGACTCCACTAATTTCTTCTTTTCCTCCGGGTAATTGATTTCGCGCTGCGCAGCCTCGCTGGATGCGGTAAACACCTCGAAATAACATTATGATTGCACTCACCGGTCATTGCCAATTCCGTACAGCGCATTGACATATGTAGAGAGCATGGCACAACTGCGCCTGTCAGGCGCTCTGTCCAGCCTTAACCGCCACCTCGCTTCAACCCTGCAACCTCGCGTGCAACCACTAAGACTCGTCGAAATGCACCCTCGCAGCTTGCCAAGCTTTCAGGCCCCTTGCGATTCGGGAATGAGATGAAAGACACGAGAAGGCAGCAGCAGCAAGCGGGCAGTGCCAAGAGCAGGACTCCATTTAAGAATATAATCACCATAAGGCTGCTGATACATCGACCTCATCTTTCTGTATCTTGTTACAGTCCACTGTCGGCAAGCTCCTTCAGCATTGTATCGATCAACCGTTCCCACCAAAGCAAACATGGCACGCAGATATGGCTCGAGCTCTTCCTCATCCAGCTGTTTTGATTCTTCGTACGGCCTCTACGACAGCTACGAACTGGCACAATATGCCTGCGTGGTTATCTTCCTTGCGGTCTATCTCGGCACACTCATAGCAGTATGCGTCGTCCGCAGGAGAACTGGATCTGGAAAGCACCTCATCGGGTTGCCCTACATGTTCGCCCTGTTCTTCATGTTCATGTGAGTTTGGAGCTATCATAGTGTCATGCACAAGGACTAACAACTAAAAGTCAACAAGCGCTCAATTTTCTTTCATATACTCTCCGCGCGTGCGATGAAATGAACGATATGGAGAGCTTGTACGACTGGAACATTGCAAGCCTCGTCTTCTATGGCCTTGAGACGTTCCTGTTCTTGTTCGTTGTCATTTACACTCTGAACATCATGCTTCGCAAACAGCTTGGTCACAACCCATCAGCACTCAAAATCGCCTTCGGACTCGACTTGTTCGTCTTGGGTGGTCTTCTTCTTTCCTACGTCGTCCTGCTTTGCTATACATACTGGCGGGCTGGCCGTTTCTACAGGACGAGACTCAGCGGCTTCAGCTTCAACTATATAGCCTCTACATATGTGTGCCTGGCGTTCGATGCTGTGTATATGATCAGTATTCTGGCTTCTGGCGTACTGTCTCTCCTCGCAGCGCGCTCTCTCAAGAAGAAACACGTTGCTAGCGGTGTAAGTACTTCTAACCCACCCCTAGCATCGCCTCAACTAAAACACCAACAGTCCCTCATGGTCTGGATCTCAGTCCTGATCCTCTCACTATTCGTCTACACCCTGCTCTCCATCATCCAAATTTCATCTCAGCTCTCTTATGGACTTTACTTCGGAGAGGCAAGTTATACAGTCATGTACTGGATCACAAGCTTCTGCCGCGGTCTGGCATTCATCACCATCATTTTCATTGCAAGAAACCCGGTCTGGAGGCCGAACACATTCGCTGCGACTGGGCCTATTGAGCAGCAGTATGCGTACAACTACCAGCAAGAACCCCCTATCTACGCTGCCGCGGGTCAGCGTGCATGAGCTTACGGTGTATGTGGTCACGATCTTGGCGACACCTAGTTTAGTTATTTGGTAATGCTTCTTTGGCGCAGTGGTCAGATTGGTTCAATTAGATACCCCGATGATAGTGTGTAAAGCTTCTCTCACCTTCAGCAATCACAACGTCCCACCACCATGAAAGCATCCAGCCTTGTTCCTGCGCCTTTCCTCCCCTTGTTACACATTGTCGTAGCCCAGCTCCGCCTTGTCTTCTGTCTTCCCCAACATCTGTACCATCACTGAAGGCCTCCGAGATCGGTTGCTCTCTGATGCTGAGTACATCCGTCCTTTGCAGAAGTAAATCGCGCCCTCCAAGGACATATCACTGATCCTGACATGACCCTTGTCTTTTGCCTCTGACTCCCAATCGTCAATCTTCGTCTGACTCCATGTCATCGAACAGCGTGAACCCAGCCCCGACCGGAGCTGCAGGCGCAGCTTGTGCTGGCGGCGCCTGCTGAGCCCTCTGTTCCTGGAACTGCGGTTCCGCCTGCATTTCCTCAGACGCCTGTTGAGGCTGCACGTTGTCTGAGAATTTCTTCTTCTCCTCTTCCTCGTACGCCTCGATGTCGAATTCATCAAGGTTGCGACCCTGTTCGCGGTAGTGGTAAAGTTTCCAGAGGTTGCCACGACGGATCTTGTCATTGTCTGGCCAGGGGAACCATGCGAAGCCGCTGTCTTTGAGCTTCCTTAGCCATTCCTCCTCCTCAGCGGTTATTTCTGGTGCTGCAGCGTCTGCCTCCTCGCCTTCCTTTAGTGCTTCTGCGTTGTCTTTGGGTGGTTCGACTGGGGCAACGGCGGTTGTGGGTGTATTTAGACCATTCGTAGCGGATGCGCTGGCCGAGCCTTCGGCTGCTTCCTTGTCTTTGTTCGTGTCGCCGTCTGCATCTGACACGCGCTCGCGGAAGGTAGGCGGGACGGTGTACCTGGAAATGTTCTTCGCGTACTGGAGCAGCTCATCGAACGGCACCGGGCGTGAGTCTTCGGGGAACACAGTCGCTGGTGTTTCAGACAGTTCTTTGCGCAAGCCTGCTAAAGCTGATACAGAGGACTTGAGCTGCTCTTCTAGCGCATCAGCTTCGGCGCGAAGTATCTGGATGCGCGCATGGTTTGCTTGGTGTCTGGCGACTGTCATACATCAGTCAAAAGCTCTTCAGCAGCCGTGTGCACTCCTACGTTGATCAAGACCATGGCTAAGCTCGTCGTCGGCGGTAACAAGGTCAACTGCTGCCTGAGGATTAGGATTGTAGGACGCAATGGAATCAACCAGAGTGCCCAGCGCTTGCTCCACTCGGTCAAACTGCGCCTGCAAGATGTCGTCCATGATTGCGAAGCGCGTTCTTTGGTGCGAACAAGCTCGTACAAGGGTCTGGGAGCTAACAATGCAACATCCAGATCTACCTTCACCGAGCACGTGACAGTCTGTTTATGTACAGATGCACAGCTGCGGCGCGACAGATTACGCGCAGCTAAAAGTCGCGTGGGCAGCGTGCAGCGTGCAGCGTAGAGCCAAAAGTAAAACGCAGTGAGCGCCAGATGCTGCCAGCTGGATGGTCGATCGTGCCTAAGGGTGTCACAGCACAGAAGTGAGCTGTTGCGTATCCATGCGTATCGAGCTCCTCCACGACCCGCTGGCTCAAGTTATTGGACAGACCGTCTGCTGTCCTGTATGGTGTTGGTGCCCAGGCATGGCCGGGAGCTGGGAGAATGACGAAGCCGAACTCTGGTCGGGGTCCCCGTGGTGAGCTATATTTGTCGAGACCTAACCGCTGGAACCTCCCACGCTCATTCGTCATAACCACATATATCATTCACCAGCTGCCCTTGATAGCATCCTCAGATCTCCGTGTTCCTGTGACCTAACATTCGAATTACCAACCATACCTGTCCCTAGGGGTCCGCTGCTGCGCCTTGTCCATCTGCCCATCTGCACCCTGCCCAAACCACAAATCGATTGCACCCGCGGTCCAGAAACGCCCCGCCACGACAGCTTGACCCGCATTCACACTTCTACTGCGGCGCCAGACTTCTGCCTGCGAAACTCCATTTTCTCTCTTCCACGCGCTTCCCTATTCTCCGCTACACTCCCTTAGATCTCTTCCGCCAACATGGGTAAATCGTAAGTACTGTCTTCCTTCTTGTTTCACAGCGCGGGGCGACCGCGGACCACCGCTTCAGCCCTCAGCCACGCCTTCCCTTCACCTCAACATGGCCGGCGCAATGCAAAGACGACTTGAGACGATCCACCGACATGCTTCATGGTCTCTGGATGCAAAAACAACAATCGCCCATATCAGAGCCGCACCGTAAATCGCACGAACTCAACCGCCGCAACATCAATACTACCTCCAGCCTGCGACATGTTCCCGTCGCCGTCGCCGCCGCCGCATCACATACCTCTGCTTGAACAAGAGCATCCACCGCTCAAGTCTGCGCGTCAACACAATGTCAATATACCGCATCCCACCGATCCGGAATACGCCCATTACAGATCCGTACAGCATGTTGCGCTTGCAAATGCTGTCAGCGAGCTTTGGAAGGAGCTGTCTTCGCGGAGCGCTGTGGAACATCTGAAATTAGAGAGCGAAAAGCTGATCGTACGATACTACAGCCAGAGTAAGCTCTCACAGCAGGAGCTGGCCGATCTCCAGAAGGCCACCCACTTCGACAAGAAGGAGTTGCAGCAATGGTACAAGGGTATGTGGAATGCCACAGGTTCTGTGGGACTGTCTCTGAAGCAACACAGGTTTCCTGAAGGACTGCCCATCCGGCATGCTCACTAAGGAGGAGTTCCAGAAGATCTACAAACAATTCTTCCCGTTCGGGGATCCGTCATCGTTTGCAGATTACGTCTTTAATGTCTTCGACGCGGACAAGTCAGGCACCATCGACTTCAAGGAATTCATCTGCGCGCTCAGCGTTACAAGTCGAGGAAAGATGGAGGACAAGCTTGACTGGGCATTCCAGCTGTACGACATCGACGGCGACGGCAAGATTAGCTACGAGGAAATGCTGGCGATTGTAGAGGCCATCTACAAAATGGTATGTCGAAATCGGCTTTATGGAATCATGTGTGCTGACAGATACAGGTCGGCTCCATGGTCAAACTTCCCGAGGACGAAGATACTCCAGAGAAGCGTGTGCGCAAGATCTTCCGGATGATGGACAAGGATGAGAACGGCAGCTTAGACATGGCCGAGTTTAAGGAAGGCTCCAAGCGTGACGAGACGATCGTATCAGCGCTGTCTCTCTACGACGGGCTGGTGTAGGCGGCAGCGTCATTGTTGTTTCTTGTTCTTGACTTCTTCGATACCACATCGCGTCGTGGGATTTCTGGCATGCATACATTTAGCATGCCGCATGAGGTGGAGGTCTGTCTCGCTTAGGTGTATGGTTCATCACGACTGATGTAGATATGACTTGCTGCATTAGTTGGCATCGGGGCATCTGACGGTGCAATACATGAACGTTCGATTTCAACCTCTGTATGTTATGATTTGTAAATAATTCGTTACACGGAACCCTGTGCCAAATGTCAGGGATATCATGGCAAGTGGCCATTTACTTGGCATCCTGACGCGTAACTCCAAGCTTGTGTCACGTAGAGCTTGGGACAGGTAGCTTTTGGCCAACATCATTACTATTTCCACCACCTCACACAGCTCGCGCTCAATGCTGCGTGACGCCTGTGTGTTATCATAGCAACTGCAGTTATCATTTACAAATTTGTATACCACCGATCACCCGCATTCAACGCACGTCCGTTCGTCTCCGCGGCCTACCTAGAGGCTAAGCTGAAGGCAACGTATCGCAGCAGCCCTCTGCGCATATCCACACCGATCCACGACCGGGAAATACATATTCACAATGCGGCGCCTCGACATATCAATATCCGGCGCTATCCTAGCATCATTGTTAGTCCTTGCGCCACTACCAGCGGCCGCATTCTACTTTCCAGGGACCGCCCCTACATCATACAAGGAAGGAGATAGAGTACCACTGTTCGTCAACCACTTGACACCCGCAGACTCGCAGAATGATCCAAAGCTACGATCCGTGTTCTCATTCGACTACTATCACGAACCCTTCCACTTTTGCCGACCGAAAGATGGGCCGAAATACGTTAGAGAGAGCTTGGGGAGCATACTGTTTGGTGACCGCATACAAGACAGCCCATTTGAGCTGAAGATGGGGGTAAATGAGACATGCAAGGCGCTTTGTGGGCCGCAGGAGTACAACTCGAAAGACGCTGTGTTCGTCAACAACAAGATCAAGCAGGGATACGATCTGAATTGGTTGATAGACGGGTTGCCAGCAGCGCAGTTACTCAAGGACCCAAATTCGGAGTTGCCCTTCTACAGCCCTGGATTTGCGCTTGGTCTGCTGGACGGAGAGAACCCTATCTTCAACAACCACTACGATATCGTCATCGACTACCACGAGGCAGGGCCGGACAACTACCGAGTTGTAGGTGTTTTAGTGGACCCGTACTCGATGAAGGACCCGAAGCAGTCTGAATGCCAGAGCGCACAAACACCGATCATACTGAACGAAGACAAGGGCGATAAGGTGGACTTCACATACAGTGTGTACTGGCGACTTAGCCCTACCCCTTTCGCAACACGCTGGGACAAGTATCTTCACGTATACGACCCCAAGATCCATTGGTTCTCCCTGATCAACTCCGCTGTCATTGTCGTGTTCCTTGTTGGTATGGTCAGCACCATTTTGGTGCGCACGCTCAGGAAGGATATAGCGAGATACAATCGCTTGGATCAGTTCGCGCTTGACGACTTTGGCGCTGACGGTGACGTTGAGGACGGTGTAGCAGAGGATTCAGGCTGGAAGCTGGTTCACGGCGATGTCTTCAGACCGCCCAAGAACCCTCTATTCCTATCGGTTCTCCTAGGCAACGGAGCACAGCTCTTCGCCATGACAGCCCTAACTATCGCATTCGCCCTTCTTGGTTTCCTATCTCCCAGCAACCGGGGCGCTCTTGGGACCGTCATCATCATCTTCTACACTCTCTTCGGCTTCATCGGCGGCTACGTCTCCTCGCGAACCTACAAGTTCTTCCACGGCGAGAAGTGGAAGCTCTGCTTCTTCTACACGCCCTTCGCCCTCCCCGTTGTCGTCTTCGCAACATTCTTCCTCCTCAATCTCTTCGTCTGGGGCCGTGGTGCATCAGGCGCTGTTCCGTTCACAACTATGCTTGTCATCGTCGTCATCTGGTTCATCATCTCTGTCCCTCTCAGCTTCGCAGGATCTTGGGTCGGCTTCAAGCAAGCCGCCATCGAACCGCCCGTCCGCACAAACCAGATCCCGCGCCAGATACCTCCTTCCGGCGGCTATCTCCGCCCTCTTCCCTCCATGGCACTTGCTGGTGTGCTCCCTTTCGGCGCCATCTTTGTCGAGCTGTACTTCATCATGAACTCTATCTGGTTCAGCAAGGTGTACTATATGTTTGGGTTTCTGTTCATTTGCTTTGGGCTTATGATCATCACTTCTGCGGCGGTCACGGTCCTGATGATCTATTTCTTGCTGTGTGCTGAGAACTACCATTGGCAATGGCGCAGCTTCTTCACGGCGGGAGCGAGCGCGTTCTACGTCTTTGCTAGCTGTTTGCTTTACTGGGTCAAGGACGTCAGCTTCCTAAGCTGGACGAGCGGGGTTGTATATCTGGGATACTCGGCACTGCTGAGTTTGCTAGTGTTCGTTCTGACTGGTATGTTGAAGTCACAACGTGAGTAATTCTCGATACTAACATTGTCTACAGGTACAATCGGCTTTTTTGCGAGCTGGCTGTTCACACTCAGGATCTACAGATCGATCAAGGTGGACTAAGCAGCATATTGAGCGGAGATGGTGTACGTGGGGTGATAAGGAAAGATCACAAATGCGAAATGTTATTCTTACACGTCGGCAATAACATCTTACACTGTATGGGTAGACATGCGTGGCGTCACGGCGTCAAATCATCACGCATTTCAGGTGGACGCATATTGTATAAATGCATACCACTCAGATATCCTCCTCCATCCATCGTATACTACGCTAATCATCCTTCCCGTCCTCATCACAAGCCCAAATGCTCCTCAACCCCGTCCCGTTACTCGCACTCCTCGCCTTATCCTCCTGCCTAACCACACTCAACGGTAGGCCTACTCCAATGCCAAAAAGCACGAATGCTGCCCACTTCCAGCGGAAAGGATTAATCACGATCGTAAACAAGAACCAGTAAATCAGCTCACTGTATGTGAAGAAATCGAACGCTCCGCCCGGCGCCTTGCTCTTGATGAACCGCGTCATATCGATCCAGCGCTTCATCCACCACGACTTAGGTCGTGCAAGCGGGTCAACAAGGTACATGAGCAGGAAGCGCGTGTAGATGCCGATATGGTAATTTCCGACTGTGCCGATAGCGTTGACATAAGTGCAGTTGTTCGCGCAGATGGAGGGGTGTTCGGGCGGGAAGACTTGGAGGTACCAGTTCGGCGGGTCGTACGGTTCGCTGAACACTTCGTCTGGCAGGAAGCTAAGGCTCGGGCGCTTGTATCCGGTCGCCATGATAACGATGTCTGCGTCGATAAGCTTCTCGCTGCCGGGCCCGTTTTTGGGGACGCCGCGCGAGCGTTGCGTGAAGGATATTCCGGTCCCGGACGAGGAGTAGCCGTTTGTGTCGCCGCGAAGCCAGCTGGCCTTGCCGTCGCGGATCATGTCAAGGACTTGGCTGTTGACCATGGGTGTCTCGGTGAAGATGCCTTTGCCACTGTTGCGGGGTGGGGAGATATCGAAGAGGTCGCGATAAAAGAACAGGCGTAGGATGCCTTCTGGAATCCAAGAGAAGATTGTTTCAGAACCGAGGATGTTGAGGGCCAGGAGGCCATCGACGAGAGGGTTGCGGGGGATGATCCATTTCTCAGAGCGTGCGAGCACGGTGGTGTGCTTTGCGTCTGAGTCTGCGACGAATTCTAAAGCTTCGACTGCTGAAGCTCCGCCACCGATAATGACAACTTTCTTGCCCTTAGCTGACTTCCCGTCGAGTTGCGAGCTGTGCCAGATGTCGCCCTTGAAGTGCTCTTGGCCTGGCAATGTGGGCATCTTCGGGTCGCCACATGTGCCAATAGCAGCAATCACACCATCGAAGCGCCCATATGATGGGTCGTTGATGATCCAGCGTCCTTGGTCGTCCTTGTACACCTTCTCCACCTTTGTGTCAAAGTGTGTTCTCTCTTCCAGTCCATACTTCTTCCACAGCTCGGTGATCTGGCTAACGATCTGTTTGCGGTCCGGATATCCCTTCGTCCAATGGACGCTCGGATGGAAGCGATACATGATCGAGTGAATCTGCAAACCTGAGGTGTTGTTGACCTTGCTCCAGATACCACCCACATTCGACTTGGGCCCTGCCTCGAAGATGCGACAATCGAAGCCATGACCGACACAGTGTGAGGCAGAGGATACACCGGTCAGACCAGCGCCAATGATGGCGATCTTGGGACGTGAGAGTTTCGCGTGTGGTGGTGGAGGTTTAGGTGAGAGGAGGATATCGAGGATGTATTGAAAGATCTGATAGATGAAAAGTACGGGATGCGTGAGTGCATACCGCAAAGTACTCGTTATGCGCCCCATCGTTGCGGTAGTATGAAGATGGTTGATTGATTGGCTCAACGTCCTATGTAGTATGAAGATGAGGAAAGGTGATGGATGGAGACTGGGTCAGAACGCGGATGCGCAAGACGGAGCTAACTTATGATCAGTCGACTCGTGGACCCTTGCACAAAACGTGCAGCGTTAAGAGCGCCGTTTCGAGAATTACAGGCTGTGATGATGTCATGGTAGATTCAGGTACACTGCATTTGCATGTGAAAGGGAAATCCGCGACATGTGTGCAACGTTGCTGGGGAGCGACCTTCCGAAACATGAGAAACTACCAAGTTTTCTGCAGGTACCTGGCGGCTGTGATGAAAGAATTCGCGGAGGAGCCTGCGAAGTGCGAGGTAAAAGATGAGAGGAGACTCACTCGACAGCCTTGCAATCAAAGATCGGCAGTAGGGATGAGCTCTCCGGGCTAGGCTAAGCGAGAGCGCTAAGATCCGCGTTCCAAGTGCGAAGTACCGTGACCTAGCTTGAACCTCAGCAGCGACGCACAGCTATGTTCTCTTCTCAGAACAACAACGGTGTAGAATCACAACTTTGCACAGCAGTCAACAATGCGATAAGGGCGCGCAACGCCGCGGAGCTCGCATCAATCGTCCTTCTAGAGCCACCTTTCCCACCTATCTACCAGGAGCTTGTTCAATTGTTGCAAAGTAACTACCCACAAAGTGCGAACAACTCTGAAAGCCGACTTGACCAGCTGGTGCGAAGAGTCGTCACAGAGACAGCTGAATATGAAGACGAGCAGGGCAAACCGGTCCAGGGCTGGAATGCCATGGTCACCTTCCTCGTGGGGTGGATGACCTTCTTGAGAGATATGGATCTGTCAAATCTACTGCATACCTATCAAGGGCTCAAAGATCTTCAAGAGTAAGTGAAAACCAACGAGGAAGGTTTCATTTGCTGACGACGAAAAGACAGGCAAATAGCGCGTTGACACACCCGATCAAAGGCGTTTTGATCTTACCGACAATCGTCAACTATGCCAGGGTCTTCGCTCGAGTTGCGCTAGGCTTAGACAAGCACCCAGAACTCATCCAGCATCTACTTACCTCGAATGATGAGGGCTCTCGAGAATCCTTGTCTGAGAAGGCAGCCAACGTTGTTCGAGTCGCATTCACTCAATGTTTGAATGATCGAGTGGGTACTCAGGACAAGAAGCTCGGTATCTACAAGATGGCGAACATCTGCCTGAAGATCCTTTTCCAGGCTGACAAGCCTGAAAGTTGCGAGACGATTTTCCGGAATATCACCAATTCGTCACCGCCACTGCATGTGTATCCGAAGCCGGAGCAGGTCACGTACCTTTACTACCTTGGGCGCTACCATTTCGCCAACACAAACTTCTACGCGGCGCAGCTGGTCCTGGATCACGCATACGACCTTTGTTCGAAATCACCTCAGTTCATCAAGCAACGACGCCTCATACTCATCTATCTTATCGCTTCCAATTTGATCATTGGTCGCCTCCCGACGCAACACGTCTATACACTGCCCGAGGCTCAGGGGCTGAAGGATATCTTTGATCCGATCGCGAAAGCTATCAAAGCCGGCAATCTTGAGCAATTCCGTCGAATCACTAATCCAGATCTTTCAGGCAAGAATGCAGGCTGGCTCATGAAGTTCCGAATCTTCTACCAGATTGGCAACTATTGCGAAGTCTTGGTTTGGCGATCACTGTTCAGGGCAATATACAGAAAGACAGGGCAAGAAGGTGAATCGAATACTGGCAAAGCCGCTGTCCTCGACCTCAATACTGTTCAGGCGACTTTTGCGTATCTCGAGGCACGGGCGAAGATCAAGAACCCAGAGCATGCATGGCAGGGTGCCATACCTGGACACCGCAATTTCGGTCATCTATTCCAGGACCACGCGTCGGTGTCGAAGTCATCATACGTTGATCCTGACTTCGCTGGTGTCGAGGGTATTGAGCCATACAACCATGAGGTTGACGTGGCTGAGGCCGAGTGCATATGCGCTACTCTCATAACACAAGGCTTTGTGGCCGGTTACATCGATCATGCAACAGGGAGGCTGGCTATCTCAGGTGCGAGAAGGCCCGGTGGTGCGGCACAGAACGGCTTTCCGGCAGCATTTCAGGTGATAAAGAGCAAGAACAGCGACAACGTACTCGGGTGGAAGGAGGATGCTGGAGGCAGTATGCAAGGGCAAGTCATTCGTATGAGTGGGGCCAAAGCGGCTGGAGAATAAGAAGACCGATAATATACCCCTGTGGGATACCACCAAGTTAACAAATAATGCCTCGAAGGTCCTTCCTGGGTTGTTACAATCTATTACCAGTCTTGTCCACCCGTTCATAGCCACCACAAGTTGCGCCTTTCATTAAGCTGCCACGTTCAACATACAACCACGATCGTGTTGCTTCGAACGCCCTTGAATCTCAGTCTTTTCTTGCGTCCCAAACCGACAAGCGGATCTGCTGCGTTAGGTTCTGCTGATAAAAGTCAACATGGAGAAACCAAGGAGCCAGGGACAAGCTCACCTGGATAACGCCTTTCATGGCGACTCGTATTCGAAAACCTCGCGATGAAGCATTTGAGAGCAAAGCCCAAGCATGGTACTATTACAACACAAATTACGCCGAGCAAGCCGAAGAGCTGCTCCTTAGACCAATGTCCACCCTGGTGCGCCGAGGACGGATCGAGGAAAGCGTTTGTTGTCACTGTTTCGAGCGGTGTAGGTGCCATAGCCAGGTTGTGTCTTACAAACGAATGTGTGGTATGCCTGATAAGAGGCGAAGGCCAAAGACTGAAGCCGAGTTGAATAGTGTCAAAGGAGTGTGGTACGAGGTCCAGCCTCGAAGGAAAACTTTGTGAACACAGAGAGACTGGAGATGATTGCAGTTTCGTGCAAAGGCTGAGATTTTTATTCTACTCACGACCCCTCTTCTGCTCGTCTTATAACGTGCTGCACAATCTCATTTCCAGTGGGGCATTGCTACTTGCATAGCGGCGCAGCAGCTGCAATACGTTTAGGGCAACTACAACCAGGCTAGAAGTCAGGAAAGTTAAAGGCTTTCTTGAACTGACAAGGATGCTTGGAGCTTTGGTGTACATTTCCTGCACAAGGGCATCATCGAACCTCCCCTATATCAGCGATACGATGGGCGCAGCGATCAGGTGCCGACAGTAATATCCATGCATCTGCAAAGTTTAACATCATTCACGAATCGCTGATTTTCACCGCCCACCAACAAGCTTGCTTGTCCAATCAGAGCTTGCATGGTCAGCCTTTAGTTAGCGAACGAGAGCTGCACCCTCCACAACTTGCAACACGCCTGGCGAGTTTGATTTTCTCATCGTGATCGAGTCTGGTATGAAAACCTGCTGTGTACATCGCAGTCAAAAGCGATATCATTTTGGACAGTCCTTCAATCCACGACTGAGGGATCGTGGACCAGTTCGAACACCTCCAGGGTCCTCAATCAGTACAGCTTCTGATTGGCCATGTTTGGCCCCATACGATACCGGGCCATGTGATATGGAGGACTACTTGGCCGGCAAACTTCACCGGTGAAAGCAAAGCCGCACCCTGGGGCGCTCGAGCATACAGGCCGTGTTAAATGTGGCTCGACTTGCGTGGTATTACTGGGTGTTCCTTTTCAGCCTGATGCCTTTTGCGCCCGCTACCTTCCGCATGGCCAATTGAAGAAGCCTTTATTCAAGAGCTGCCCTAGAACACAAAAAACCATCGATGCTTTTTCAGCTTTCGGGGCTGCTGATCAGCGTCTGTCCGCGATGCCGTCATGTTACTGTGCCGGGACTCGGACGCCAAAAGATATGTACACACGACACTCTAAAGGTCTACGCGCAAATCATCTATTGGAGTTGAACGTCAAGCCTGGAGCCTTTCAGTATCTTTGACGGCATCTTCCCAACTCCGATACAGCGCCACGGCATCTACAATGTCCTACCACGTCCTCATCCCGCATTTCAGGCACTCGGCTTGCTGATAACTGAGGCGTCGAGTTTGAATGCTCCAATTTAGGGCTCAACCGTTGCTTAATGCTTCAGGCCATCCTATCGCTCTTTCTATTATGAACCAACATCTTCCAGCCCCATCATCGTACAATCACGACGGTACTACCACTGTCGCTAGCTACTTGAGAAGTTGAACTGCATTTAGATATAAGGGAATGCATTTGCTAAATCATCATTGTCTACAAGAACCTCCTATCACACGAGGAACGCACGCATGGACTCTACCTTTCTCGGAACACCAGAGCATCACGACGGAACTGCGAGCCGTCTCCAAGAACCACCGCGCTCTGATTTACAAATTGACTGATCTATCGAAACATGACATGGAGTTTGTCGCTATGTTATCTTTTGTCGGTTTGAACATGATGTTTCTTGTCTAGGGTGCTTCAGTAACGGTTGTGGCGTCTTCTCACATCTAGTAAGCGCTCTCAACATTTACAACCACTCATCACTCCTCCCTTCTATTTCTGACCTTATCGACCGTTGAGAATAACCATTGATATCTAAAAGACCTCCAAATCGTCTGACCAGCGACCTGACTCAACCCTTGCGTAAGATGAGACCAGCAGATAACGACAATAGTACTCCTGCAATTCTTCCCGAGGCTCAATATCCTTCTCCTCCAGACCGGACGGTCTTGCGAGCTGAGGTCATTGAAACCTACTGTTCTTGTCCGTTGCAGATCATGTCATCGCGTGCTAACTGCTGACCTTGGTTTTCGTTTCGACCGATTCGGGACCCTTTGTATCTCCCGAAGCACCACTTGAGCATAAAGCCGATACAGGGGACTAACATGACAGCCAATATACCTAACAGACCAATCAATCCTTCCTTTGGCCAGCCATCTACCAACGACCTATCGACAGCTATTCGGCCATTTGTTGAACCTTACTTATGTTACATCGTCGACATTGATATCACAAACATGAAGGATCGACGTACTGTCAGACTCTCGCGAGGGAACGTTCAAGCCCATTATGTGGATGATGGGATTTGTTGAAGAAATCGGATCCAACACTCGACCACAATAATATGCTGTTACTGAAGGCACGGAATTGCGTCTATCGAAACACTTCACACTTAGTCAGGGCTGTTCCAGTGTATGGAACCTGCAAAGAACGGACTATTCAATGTTGCCTAGATTATATGTATTTCTTGCCCTGCTGATTGACTGGAGGCCTGCTCTCCCCCATTCCCTCAGTCCTAAAAGCTAGGAGGTCCGTACATTTTGAGAACCACTGATAATAATTGTAACGTTTTTTCATGTTTAATATGTCTTCCTGGTGATTACATAATTTTGTCAATCATCCATCCTCGCATGATCCAACTGGTAGACTTGACTACCTTGCTCGAAAAGACTTGCTCGTGTTCGGTCAGACATCTCAACAGACAATAACAATCATGTTACTTCGACTCCTCTTGAGCCGTAGACTCTTGGCCCGCCTTGCGCCATGATAAGCTGTTTGATGGAGTTCGTCTAGTTGCTATCAGCCCCACAATTACATAACTCTCAACACATGGTATCGGTGTCACCTTGAGATCGTCAGTTCTTGTCACTCTTAGCCCTTCGTCTCGACACCAGGTATCGAAGAGCTAGTCTGACACACGGAACCATCACGACGCATAGAACACCAAGGAGACCGAAGAGTTCTTCTTTAGACCAGGCTATCTTTGCAGAAGGCTGAGCTGTATCCGCCCTTGAGATCAATGTGGCAGAGTCTACCAAGGTCAATTAAGTACACGCATAATGCCGAAGATGTCAACATACTGTTCGATGGTAGAGAAGACATGCCAAATTGGCACCAAGAACCGATCGAAGATGTATGAGAGCAGATTGGTGTGGTGGTCCAGATAGAGCAGCGCTTCACAGTGCTGAATAGGAATGTGCTTCACAATATCAAAGCTTTGGGACCGGTTGAGATGTTAGTCGTGTGTCGTGTGTATTTGCTGTGTGCAGTATGAGTGCTTCGAGGGGAGCTGGTGTTATAAGCAGTTTCAAAAACCTGTCTTTCGATACCAGCGTGGGCAAAAGTTTGTTGTCAAAGATGTGAGGGTACGTAACTGGGCTAGGAGACGACTAGGAGCTCTTGGACCTTGCATTCCAAGATCACACTGCTGTACCACCTCAGCCTCTACCGATACGCTCGAGATCATTCGGAAGATGCCCACGTATGCCCAATCAGAAGTCAATCTTGCCATCGTTCTTAGTGAGAAAAGATCGAAACGGTCAGACTGCTAGGTCCTGTAATCGGTGTATGGCGGAACAAGTGGGTTGTTCGGACACTAATTACAAGCTCCTTGCCTGGCGTACATGTGCGATGCACCCGTTACGCGTGTGTCATAGGCGGATAAGCGAATGTTCCCTGTAGGATCTGTCGTTACAGATCGTGGCGGTACAGGGCATTTGCAGGTCACCAACCAAAGAAAAGAAACCTACCAAGTGTAAATTCGACTTTTGTAGCCCGCGCTTTTAACTGTTCTTTGCTCAAGCAGTTTTACGGGTCGAGCAATTCTCTTGAGCCTCGCATGCTCTCCACGGCATCTCCTCATACCAAGCGCGACCCTCCTCATGTAACCTTTCGTTCCCACTATTCGCTCTACGAACATCAAAGTGTTATGATACTGCACGAGTACCTTGGTTGCGATCGCCTTGCCAAGTTGCCATCGATACTGTGAAGGCCAGCACGATTCCCGGTCGATCATGAACAGAACTATGCCTTACCAATAAAACGATCAAGCCACTGTTTGGGCAAGTTCAAATGAGGTTTATACATGAGTAGGCTGCAGACTGAAATGTGATGAACCGACGGCGCGAAAGGTGAAGCTTGGGCCAGGTCGACTTCTCTGTCAACTTTTTGGTAAATGAGGATATATTTATTCATACTCAATCGATTTTCATCAATCACTAGCACTAACCAGTTAGTGATCTCGGGCGTTGTGGCGGAGTGGTTATCGCGCAAGACTAGAAATCTTGTTCCTTCGGGAGCGTAGGTTCGAATCCTGCCAACGTCGTATTATTTTTGCCAATACAACATCTTTGTTGCCCAGATGGCGATTCTTTTGTGCCCATGAGGTGAGTATATGAGGATATCGCGCATCGTTGTGGTGCTGGTAGTGTGATCGTTTTCAAGTGGTCGTCAAGTACTTGTAACTCTCGTCATCCTACGAGATCGTGCAAATAACCTTACCCTTCGTCTTGTTCTCCTCCATCAACCGGTGAGCATCCTGAATTTGCTCCCACGGCAGCACCTTCTCAATAAACAGCTTGAATGACCCATCCTTGAACTTCGGCAGCGCATGCTCCACCAACTGATCCCTCAGCTTACCCTGGTAGTCCTCGTCCCTACTCCTCAAGCTGCTGCCCACAAATGTGCACCTCTTCATGATGAACGCGCTAATATCAGTGCCTTCAGGAACCTGGGTACCGCCCATGAAGCCCAGGTTGACGATCACACCATCCTTAGCTACAGCCTTGAGGTTGTTCTGGAAGTAGCTTGCGCCAATGAAGTCGACGATGATGTCTACGCCCTTGCCATCTGTGGCTTTCAGGACCTCGTCGGCCCAGTCTTGTGTCGTGGTGTTGAATGCGCCTGTTGCGCCGAGCTCTTTGACTGCGAAGTTGCACTTCGCGTCCTGACGGGCGGTTGCGTAGACAGCGGAGGCGCCGTCGGCTTTGGAGAGTTGAATACCGGCAATTGAAACTGAGGAGGCTGCGGCGTGCCAGAGTATGGACTTGCCGGCTGCGTAGTTGCCGACAAGGTACATGGCTTGGGTGGCTGTTATCCATGTCTAGCAAACATAGTCAGCTCTCGAGCTTTGTTCTTGCGGGTGGGGACTACCGTACCTCAGGAATGCCAGCGCACTGCTCCCACGTCAACTCCTTCGGCTTCCTAACAAGCATGTGCGTTGACACGGCAATGTACTCTGCGTACGCGCCACCATATGCGAGGCCAAAGACCTCATCACCCTCTTTGAAGCCCTCCTTGCCGCCACCCTCTGCGCTCAGCTCTGCGATTGTGCCGGAGAACTCGACACCGAGGATTTTAGAGGCGCCAGGTGGTACGGGGTATTTGCCTTCGCGCTGCAAGAGGTCCATGCGGTTCAGGCCGAATGCCTTGACCTTGACGAGTGCTTGTGACTTGCCAAGCTTGGGTTTGGGTACATCTGCAATGTGAAGGGCGTCGATTGGGCCCTTGCCATTTTTGATATCTGGTAAGTATAAGAAGATTGGTCCTTATAAGTGAGGCTGTGTCAATATACGTACCCACTGCTTTCATTGTGTCGCTCATCTTGAGGTTTCTATGTGCAAGATCGATCTGAGGAATTGAGACGAATTGAGTTACTTTGAGGGAAGAGCAGAAGTGTTTGTATTTGCCAAGCGGGAGCTATAGCTTGACGTAAGGCTGCTCTTCCGAGGCAGTTCCGGCATCATCGGAATGATTGGTAATGACGTGGGTGGGGCAACATTGTGCAGTGCACATTGAGACGGTCCAAGTGGAAGCTTGACTCGATTGCAACGACGGAGACACTTTGATAGGGAAGGTGCTCTGATATTCATGACGTTGACAGGATATCGTTCCACATACTATAATTCGACACGACAAGTGCGTCAACGACGAGGACGTCTATAGACCCATTACCTCATGATACACATTCGTTCGACGTTCCATTCTAGTTCACAAACAGACTGTTACTGTTGTCGTCCATGTCGTATTGCTTGATAAGTTGTGCAAGCTTGTTAGCCTCTTGCGCGTAGTTGAGAGGGTAGATGTTCAACACCTGGTAGCGAGGCCTGTAAATTGTTAGTAATTGTCTCACAAGAATGCTGACGAGTATTTACTTAGGCTGGTCCTGGTACGTCTCCATCTTCGCCCGGACTCTGAAGTTGAAGGTCTTGCAGGTAGCATCTTGCATGATGTTCAGGAAGTTCCCTGTGGTGTTGCTCTCTTCGTCTGCCTCTTTGATCTTCATCGCTTCGTTGGCAGACATTCCGACGATTATCTGTCCAGCCTCGTCGAAGCAGCTCAGCCAGAGAGTGCCGGTGTGATCTGCAACGTTGACGCTAAGCACGTAGCGGTATGTCGGCTCAGGAAACGATGTCTGACACTTCTCACACCACCACGAACCTGGGTTCTCCTCGATGACTTTCTTGTTGCAACCTGGTGTCGAGCATGCTGGGTATGCGACAGTTGTGTTCTTGACATACACGACGGAAGCTCGTAGACTTATGTAGGTTGGTGTGTCTTGGAGGTAACTCTCCTCTTCGACGATCTGGGAGATGATCTTGTTGTCGTTCTTCGAGCCGCCAGAGGCTGGTGCCATGTTTTGATGCGTGGAGAAGGTGGTGTTCTGACCGACGGCATTGAACCATCCTCGCAGCTTGTGTGCCTCATCGATATCAGGATCAAGCATCATTGAGCCAGAGCTCAGAAGACTCAGACTCCGGCCACCAAAGTCAGAGACCTTAACACCCTTGAACGCCACGATCGACTCAAGTGGTGCCTCAAAACTCTCTGCTGTCTTGCCCCAGATGGTAAGTCGCACTGATGTTTGACTGTCATCAGCCAGTGTCAATTCTCGCTTGGAAAAGTCCTTGTTGGTGTTCTTCGATGTGATCGTGGCCACCTCGCCAACCTCCTTTAGCACACCAATGGTGTCGATGGTCGTGTCCTTCTCGACAGAGTTGAGATCACCAATTTTAGTGAAATTGAAACGAATCTGGGGCTTGTTGTCCTGGTCTTCTGCCTTCTCAACTTCAGTGTCGCGCTCGAACTGGAGCTCGTAATCGTTTGGCAGATTTGAAAATTGCTTCTTCGCAAGTGTGACTCGGCAAGGTGCGGAGATGTAGTACACCACACCTTCCTCGAAGATTGGGTACAGTCTTTCAGCGACTTCAGTGAAGGCTGTCGCACGGATCTCGCCAGTGTCGTCCAGCAGGTTCACACTAAAAAGCTTGCCGGTGCCCTTTGCGTTATGCCACTCCTTCATTTCGCCCTTGTGTGTGCACCGAGCTCGGATAGTCCACTTGTGCGCATATGGCGAAAGAGACTCGATCGGGTATAGATGTGGGTGTGTGGATGTGCTCGGGTTGCTCTGGTGTACAGGAAGCGACCTTTGCTGTTGCTGTTGCTGGGGCGCAGGAGCAGGCTTGTTGCCATAGAAGTTATTGCCTGAGATGGCAGCAGGCTGCTGTTTGGACTTCGTGTCCAGTGCTTCGGGCTGGCCGATCTTGTCGAGTTCGCCATACTCTGAGAGGACATCAAGCTCCATGATAATCAGGATGCTGCATGCACGTCAGCTGTGTTGTATTGACCGTGGCTCATCTGCGCACTTCTTGTCCTTGACCTGCTGAGGGTTGTACTTCAGCAGTCGAACTATCGATCCCTTCTTGAGCTTGCCTGATGTGACGATCTCGTTCGCAGCTAGACGCGATTAGCTTGATTTGGGCAGTGAACATGCTGCACATACTGGTCGCAATCATCGTCTGGATGAAATTGCGGATGTCACTTAGTACGACACGGAAGCGTTGCACTGGGTTTGCCTCGCCTGCCTTGGGCTCCATTGTCTTGATCTGCACGCATTGCAAGACGGGGTGTTCTACGAAGCAGCCGCTGGGCTCGAAGATGCTCCTACTCGAAGTCAGTACCGACCGACGTATTCTGCTGGACGTGTGTCCTACCTGATAGCACCCTGTGTGATCGCCTGCTCTGCCATGTTGGATGTTGTACAGTTCAGACGGTTATGGTGGTGTTGTGTCAAGGTGGCGGCGCAACGAGTTCAGAAGTTTGGGACGCGTCGCAGCGCGTTCGCGTTAAGTGGGCGCTAGGCAGCCCCCGCACTGCCAACTAGGACCCACTCTCACGCCTATGTAACCGCCATTGGACCATCGACATGACAGCTCAGCCATCCACAGTTCACACTTAACACAACAACACCATGGCTGACAACGAAATTGCAACACGAGCGCCCGAGAGCGATGCACAGGAGAAGCCGACCAAGCAGACTGCAGGTCAGACGGAAGGGGCCGAGCAGAGCGTGTTCCCTGGTGACACTCCTGCGCAGACAGGGCCGACGATGGGTGTATGTTAGATACAGCGGCCGATAGACAGCGCTGACTGAACGACCAGGAACACTGCACCACAGACCGACCAACACCTACTGGCGAAGTACCAACGGGCGAGCTCACGAGACTTGGCGGCGTCGAATGCTATATCACGAAACCCTCTGATTACCCACATGCTCCATCGAAGCTCCTACTCCTCCTCACGGGCGGCACTGGCGTCAAGTCTACGAACAACCAGCTTCAAGCGGACAAATATGCATCAGAAGGATATCTGGTAGTCATGCCCGACCAGTTCGACGGCGAGCCAGCCACAAGCACAGTCAGCATGGAGGAAGTCACAGAGAAAACATCGTGGCTGGACACTATCAAGCTGAAGGCGGCTGAGGGCATAAAGGCGTTCACGATTGATATGTGGCTTGCAAGACATACACCGGTGAAGGTCCTACCGATCCTGCACAAGGTTGTCGAGGGCGCGAAAGAGGAGTTCGCGGACGCTGTTGCGAGTGGCGGTGGAGTGTACGGCGTGGGATACTGCTTTGGCGCCAAGTACATCCTAATGTTGGCTGGTGACCTTCCGGATACTGTTGCCTGGGGACAAGCAGCTTCAGGGGACGAGGAACAGGGGGCAGTCAAGAAGGCACCAGTGCTGAAGGCAGGAGCTGTCGCGCACGGCACAATGGTCTCGAAAGAGGACCTCGAGGCTGTACGGTCGCCAGTCTACATCGCGGCTGTTAAGGACGACCCGTTGTTCCCGGAAGACGAGGTCTTGACACCCGGCCGGCGAGCAATGGAAACAAACAAGATTGAGCACGAGATCAAGGTCTTCGAAGGAGTGCCACATGGCTTTGCGGTGTACGGAGATTACGAAGATCCCAAGATCAAGCACGAGCAGTCACAAGCCTTCGGGGAGATGCTATCATGGATCCAGGGCCACTGAGCATTCCGATGATCTGCGTACTTGACAAGCAGGGATCCCCATACTTTCTCACACGGCGTTGAAAAGGCTGGACTCTTCCTTTCTCTCATAGTGGAATGATACCACCTCTCATGATTCTCGGCATAATATTATTCGCGGCATTTTGGTGTTGTTGCCCACGGGCCTCCGCATCAGAGCGCGCGTCAGCCTCATTGTTTGGGCGCGCGCGTCTCGTTTTCGTACCTTCGTGACCGCTCTTTCGCATGTCGGCAAGTGTTGCGCTCACAACACAACACGACTCAGACTCTCCTCAGATGAGCTCTACGTCACCGGTTCCACTGCCAACAGCCCATTTCCTTACCGCACTCCACCGCACTACCCATACATCGCCTCGCTTGACTTCAAGGCGGCGGTCCGTGCCTTCAATGAACACTGTTCCGATGTCTCTGAGCGCTCGGACAAACACGGCTTTGTCTTCGTCCGGCTTGTCTACCATGCTAATGCCGCCTGTTGTGTCGTCCAATCGTTGTAATGACGCTGGAAATTGTGACAGGAAGGAGGTTGAGTAATGTTGCGAGAGAAGCGCCTGATGTGATGTGAGATACTGTAGCTCGGATGGCGAAAGAAGTGACTGCATGGTATCGAGGGAAGCAGTGTGTTGCGCGCGAATGTGCAGAGGGTGCTCGTCAATCTGTTCATCCTCTATCAGTACACTCTTCAACTTCAGCAATGATCTCAAGGGAATATACCTTCTTCAATCTCGCCCTCAAGAAACTCCTGACCAGAAACTTGAACCGCTCAAGTTCCGTCTGAATAACAATGAGTTTGAAATTCGTCTTCGGATCCATATTCCCCGTCTGGTCTTCCACAAGCTCAATCTGCCTACGCCATTAGCCCCTCTCCATGACACAACACACATCTGCCCCTCCCCCACCAAGCATTCCAAGAACAGCAACATACCTGCCGTCTGATCCTCTCTAGCACCCGCTCCATCAACTCCTCCGGCCAGTTCAGAATCTCCGGCGCCGTACGTTCCGCAACCCACGCCCTCGTCAGCTCCTGCAAGTCTCTTGACTCCTGGGGCGTCGAGTCGACTGCGACTTCGGCGAGTAGGTCGTCGATATCCATGGTCGTACGACACGGAAGCTGCGCGTGCCCGGCGGGCAGGAGTTCGGCAGAGGCGAGCGAGACGCTGCGAGACAAAGCGATGGTTATGAGTGGGAGGTGTGAGGTGCGTGTGAGGTGCGTGTGAGGCGCTAGGCGGGCGGCCAGAGTATGGTGCAAAGGTACCGAGAGCTGCAGGTGTGAGGCTAGATAGAGTTCGTGATCGTGTCTCACATGCTGCAGCGTCCTGCACGCCAAAAGATGTGGGGCAACCGCATTGCTAGTGCGTCTCCAACGCGTTGCGCCCGATTGGCTTGCTGTTTCACTGTTTCACAGCTGTCAAGTCTCACGACAGTATTCACAGTAGATGCATGGACATGTTTGTCACAGCCAGGTACACACAGCACACAATGTATGTAAGGTACCGTTTCATTTCCCTAATTTCTACATGCAGATGTTTCTAACCACTGTCGTCCCTCTGCCGTATTACGACGATGGACCTATCAATTACCTCCTCAAGTCTCAATCGTAGGCCTACTACCGCCGACCCCGGCCTAGAGAGAACAAAGACGTATGGATAAGTACATAATCGAACGGAACAAGAGCTCAAATGGGTGAAACGAAGAAAAGACCCTTCAAGTTGCGCCAACGTGCAACCAATGCCGGAGTGCTTTCAATCTGATGTAGTAGAGCCAGTCTGGTGTGGAGAAGATGCCGAAGAATGGAAGAGGACCAGTTGGGGATAGGAGAGGATGTCGAGTTGATGATGTGTCTGAAGGTACGTAGACCTGAGTTTATTTGGTTTCGTGATGTTTCTGAGATTGTTGTTGTTGTTGTTGGAGCGATGGTTTGATCTTCTCCGCGGGGCCATGAAAGATCCGTATGAGGATGGTAGTGACAAAGGAAATTAATGAGACTGCAAGGCAGTGGTCTAATGCTGCCATAAAGAAGAATTATGTCCGAGCCGGCGGCAACGCGACATTGGGTATAAAATGCAGAAGCAACGGGAGTGGCGCAAGCCCAAAGTGTAGGTGCAGACTGCTCGCAGTCGATGTTGTTTCCCGCCGTCCAGAAGTCCAAGTTGATGCAGAGAAGGGGCCAAATGGCAAATCGCTAGAACGCCTCGAGATGGAAATGAGTAAATGATCATAACGCCAATGCTGTGGAATACCGAAGCAGCAAGTAAGGGAAACGCCGTGAGTCCGGTTCGCCGTGAATTATGGGATATCGTGTAGAAATCGTTGGCTCCGCGCAGGCTTAGTAAGAAGCCATGCGACGTGAAGCGCCTATTCGTCCAACGTTCAGTGAGTCGTCGCCAAGCGTGAAGATGTTGCCTCCACTCTTTGACCTGCCGAGAGCCGTAGGGCTGTCTTCCATTTGGCAAGAGTGTTGGCCGATTGCGAATGTGTGTGCACGGTTGAGCTTCGAGCGTTGTCGAAGCTTGTTCAAGCCACGTTCGCAGGATTGCTCGTGCTCCTTAGCATCCATCCGAAGATAGTTCTGCGGGAAGCATCGAGTCGAGTTGGAGTGATAGAAAGAGCTGTAGCCACCGTCGAGGATGTAGACCTCAGGGTAGTGCAATGCAGGGTAGCGATGCGCGTTCTCTTTGCGGTCTTGCGAGCGCACAAACTTAGCCCTGGGTTCGTTAGTGACAGTAACATGGGAGGTATACGGACAGTAGACTTACATGAGAGGGGCGCGATGCGCGGAGTATTCACAGTGGAGGATGAGAAGGGTGTTGTTGTTAGTTGGTGCAGAGAAGAGACGCTCAGCCAATTGCTCCTTATCACAGAAGTTCAATGCACCTTCAATGTGTCCACCATTGTACTCATACTCGAAACGGCAATCGATGATAGCCTTCTCGTCATACAAATGATCGTAAGCACCGTCAAGCACTTGGATAAGTGTTTCATGGTTGATACGAGGGAGGCTCTCGGGCTCAGAAGGTGTGAAGTGAGGCAGCTTGAGTGAAGGGAACTCTTCTGTATCCATCACAGACGACAGGCTGCTAGGTGAGCCAGACTCGTCACCGTCTTGCTTTGCGTTCATCACGTCGCCAGGATGCTCAAACATGCTTAGCGATCTCCTCATCTTACTGGGTCGAGGACGGGTGTGGGCGGCACTTTGTTTCCTGATGGCAGCAAGGGGTGAGCCGTTGTTGCGAGATTGTATACTCGAGCCGAAGGGGAAAGGCTTAGCCTTTGATGACGCGAAAAGTGATCCATTAGAGCACGGGCGACGTTCCTGAGGTGGTGAGGGGGCGAAGCATTCGTCAAGACTGGGTGAAGATGTGTTGCCAATGTTACCGAAGCTGTCTCGGTCGCAGCCGGCGCCAAACCTGAATGGTGGGCACGGTTGCTGTTCCTGCTGCTTGAAGGATACAGTGTTAGTCGAGAAGTTCTTCGCACGCGCAAGAGATGGTCGGAGAAGGATGGACTTCTTGCGGCTGTGACGCGTCAGTAGAGACTCAATGGGTGTTCAATTGGGTGGCAGACATACTCGGCAGCTGAGCTTGGTCGTGGAATGTCTAGCATGTTCGTGGGAAGTTGTGGCAGCTCGCAGGGGGAGAGCATGTCGTCTCCGTTGCTGGGCATCACCTCCGGGGACGGAGATGGCAGTGTGATGTAGCTGAAGGGCGCCTTGTGCGGGAGCGGCGAGATGTCCATGGAGTCAGGCACAAAGCTGGGCGAGGAATCGGGGATTGGCGGCGTGGTCACGCCTTCCCATCTGACTGGAGGGGTGGTTACGCCTTCTGCAGCTTCAATGGAGGTTAGCATTTATCCGCCTGCTCAACGAAGTACAGCTTGGCTTACCCTGAGTGTCGACCTGGTGAAATAAACCCGACGTAAATAGCGACCGACGGGGCGTGACAAGCTGAGGGCTAACAAAGAAGATTAGCAAGCGGACAATGGAAGCATCGCCTATACAGGGGCGGCCCGTACCTCTGATCGACATGTAGGTTTGACGACATGTCAGCGGCCAGGCTCGCAGTGGGCGACGACCCCCTCATTGGCTGGATGCCGAAGTACCCGGATTCCATGCCTCCCTTCCTCATGCTCATGTCCCTGAAGTTGAAGTTCTTTGACCCCAGCGTGTGAGCTCCAAACAATGGCTTCGAGGGCGGCAGGTCGCGACGGTAGCCCCACGGGCCGGGAATGGCAGCCGGCGGGTGCATGGCGGCCAATGGCGATGACATCTCCATAGCGGCGATGTGTAGATGTGTATGTGTAGTGTGGTGGACGGCGTGTTCGGTGTGCAGACCTCGTGCAGCGAGCGTGGGCGGCGGACGGAAGTGCTGCGGGCGGTCTCTCTGCTCACTGGCGGCGAGGGACGGTGGTAGGACTGGCGGCTGGTGGTGAGCCGATAAGCATATAAGACAGGAAAGCTAATTCCAATCTGAAGATGCTCGCAGTAAACAGCCTCGCAGCTCGACGCTAGTAGAGGAGAGAGATGCTGGTCGTGGTGGGCTAGACGAACATGGAGGCACGCAGTAGGCGGTTCGGTAGCGGCGAATGGATGGTGATATGGCAGCGGCTTCCCAACAAGATGTACCCAACGTAGTGACCGTCTTCTTGTTCTTCTAGTAATGTTCACCAGTGCCTGTGCCAGCTGTCGAGGAGAGAGAATGGGCCTTCTTGGGTGCGAGAAGGGTGAAGAAAAGAGAAGCAGGGCAGAGGTCACCCAGCTGGATTTGAGGTTGCCGAGCCTTTGCTTCCACAGCAACGACCAAGCTGCAGTGGAGGTGGCCCAGCACGGCGGCCAGTGCGCTCGTTGGCGAGGCATAAGCGCTGCACTGAGGGCCTCACCACTAACAGGCCCGCTTGCACACGGCCCTGGCAGCAGCGGGACGAGGATGGGGCAGTTTGCTCTTTCGGTAATGCAGCGTGCTGCGAGCGCTGCTGATCCGCTGCGTTTCATTGACGCTGCCCGGAAACGCGATCACGATCACGCTGCACGATAATGCTACCGCTGCAGCTAACGCGCCTTGCGCCTGGGGCTGGCGGCGAACGGTTGTTTACGTTGTATGTCACTGCAAACCTGCAATTGATGCCATAGCAATGGCATCGTGAACCTCAATTGCTATTCTCACCGGGCGGTGCACACCCCATGCAGCACGCCGGAGCTGGCTGAGGGGACCTGCACACCATCCCTTCCTCGTCTCATTACCTTGACAGCACGCTGGCACGGATCCCGCTCCGACCAGCATCATGCTGGCAAGGCCTGAAAAATGTGTGAAACCATGAGTTCCCTCCCCGATTAACTGCTGCACCGGCCTCTGTCCAAGCAGTATCTGCTCCGGCCGCTCTCGTGTGAGGCTTCCACAGTTCCTGCTAACCGTGGCCTGCGTCACGTAGAGACCGTTTCCCATGGAGACGCACTTGGCCGTCGACCCAACATTGCACCGACAGCATTATTACCACCGCGAGGCCTAGCCGCGGATCGCCCCCAGTAAAGTACTGAAGAGCTTCGTAAGGGCCCCTCTGCTGCGTCCTGACACGGTAAACCGGCGTCAGCGTGGTCAGCTCTCGCGAGTCTTTCGTCATCGCAGCATGGACGGTGACTTGGCGCTGCTCTGCCAGGGAAACAGCCTCGAAGCAACAGGCCAGCTACACGTCCTGAGTGGCCAGAGCACCGAATCCTGAAGCAGTTTTAGGTTATGGACCAGGTCTGATAGGGCAGGCGGCTCAATTTCGCTGGCCCAGTTGGTCCAGGGTACGTCGCAGCGCCTCTGTTTTGTGAAGGGTGCTGCGCGGCCCGTGAACTCCTCAATATTACAAGCTTTTACCCTATGTGGATGCATAAAACTGGATTCCCCAAGCTCTGCTGGTGGCAGAACCGTCTCTTAGTGCATGCTTGAGATCGAGCTGCGGATAGACATCGCGATTGCGACACCCCTTCAACGTCATATTCTATAAGGCTGAGCTCGATGATCCGATTTCCCAGTTTGCTATTCTTGCACTCCTTGTTTGCGGCCAATTCTCCTGAACAACGCACAACTTGTGACGATTGCTGATCTCCGCTACAAAAACGATTGTTTTTCTGACACGGGTTCGGGGCTGCCGGTGGAGGCTGTCGCCATAGCAGCTGAACTTAAGAAGGGTCGTTCGAGAACACGGGCGTTCCCAATCCACCGAGCAAACCGCGTGCACAAAAGCCTTCACAACGGGTACCATCATCATTTCCAGTTTGGACCCCACCAACCGGTGACCCCTCTTCTGTGGACCTGAGATGCTGAGAGGCCAATTGCGTCGCTTGCGAAAAGCGCTATCAAACAGTCGCGTGTCGTCTCCCGGTGGACGTGACCGGCCATCGACACAAATAACCTAAACCGGCACACAAAGTGGCAACGCGCGCGCAGTCTCGTGACTAAGAGCATGGGTACTTTCATTCAACCCCAGACCTGCGGGAGCGCCTTTGCGTCGCAGGACCCTGAATTTTCTGCACTGTGACAGACAGTTTGAACTCAATCTTCGTCAGACATCAGCAGCAGGCCGACCACATCCGAGGTTTGTGCATGGAAAATTGTCACGATCGTGGAGTCGGTAAAGCTCCAAGCTCCCGAAGAGACAAGTTTGCACACAAGTGTTACGTCCGCTGCTGGAGATCCCTATCGATAGACGCATGGCCAGAAAAGAAAACTTAATGAAGGGCGGACCTGAGTCGATCTCGGTTGAGGCGTGCTCACATAACCGTTGTCCCATGCAACTATCGTCAGATTCGCAGGGGAAGACAATACCCTTGGCGGCGCCTTAAAACGTGCCATTGTCAGCCCCAGCTAATCTATCTCGAGCACCCCCAGGGTCCATGAGGCTTTTCGGTGCAGCTGAGCGGCACAGTGTGCGGTGTCACCGGGCTGCGCCATTGCGATTGTGGGGTTGAGAGGGGTGTTGCTGCTTTATATAACGAGGCTTCGCTCCATCGAGTTTGACGCTTTGCTGGGCGTATAGAACTCTCGGAGTCATCATGCAGCACGTAATTGTGCTCGAAGTTGTGCTTGAAGGAAGGCTCCTCGAGCTCCATATCACATGTGAACTATGTTGAATGAGACAGTTATTGGCAGGCATGGTCTTCCTCGATAGCGGGGAGCTGTCTGTTGCATACTTCGAACAAAGTCCTCAAAGGTCCAGCGTTCTCCCCTTGAACACTTGAGAGCTTGAGTTTCTTACAATCCCTCTCTGGATAACACTCATAGACAATTCCGTTGTGGATTTCACTGAAGGCTGATGTACGCGAAGCTACGTGTCATCCACCAGTTGAAGCATGCGTCATACACAACTACTCGTATATATGACAATAGACACAATGTTGGAGCATTCAAGGAGCGTCCGGAGGCATGAGAGATCCATTGTGGATGAGGCTCGACTGGTGGCAGGGGAACATCCACCTGAACCGTTGCCATGGTACGCTTGGTTGTCAGGACCAGTGCGGGGTGGCTACGGACTTAAATTCCGCCGCGATGAAGCTATGCTTATTCCATCGAGCGGTGAAAATCTGTGGCAGAACTTTTTATCTCGTGAACTTTTCGTGTCAGGCGCGATTGAAGTCAAATACACCAAATTAATCCTAAAGAGGACGACAATGGGCAGTGACGACCGCAAAAGAGAGCGCGAGCCCGTGCAGGCTGAAAATGTCGAAGAAGCTCCAGCCAAACGTCGCAAACAACTCAGCGAAGAGCACTTGAAGCTCTCCAAGCTCTACGAGGATCTAGCCGCAGAATCTGATGAAGTTCGATTTGAGGCTGCCAAACAGCTCATTGTAAAGTTCTCGCCCGAGAGCAAACCAGCTGCAAAAGAGGTGGAAACTGCCTTAACACGTTTGATCAAGGGTCTCTGCAGCCAAAGAAAAGCCGCCAGAGTTGGATTTTCACTCACACTTACCGAATTGCTGCGACAAATATTTGGTAGCGTCAAGATTGCAGGTCTGGATCATGATGTTGCGTCGATCATCAAGATGGTCGATGAGAAGACCGAGATTGAGGGAAACGTACCCGGACGAGTATGAGCTGCATCCTTTGGGCTGAGACCAGGCTGACAATCGCAGGCCCGACGAGACCATCTGATCGGAAAATTGTTCGGGTACAAGGCCATTATGCAATCTTCGATAGTCATTGAACCAGAGCTATCCATGGAATGCTGGAACCAGCTTCTAGACCGTATCTATGGAATGGCACGCGACATACCTTGGCTGCGCGAAGAATGCGGGATGGTCCTTGTAGAAGCTTTGAAGAGTCTGAAAGCCCAGCCACAATTCGAGCAGTGCGCCGAGGAGGCAATCAAAGACCTAACTCCATTCAAGCTTGTCAGCACGCCACAAGGTGTCGCAGTATGGCTCACAGTTCGAGCAAGCTATGAGAGTGTCCTGCCAGAAGGTGTCTGGCACCAGAAAGACCCTCTGTCAAGAAAGGAGCGATCGCGCTTAGCGAAGCTTATGAAGGAGGACTTCCACGTCGACTCTGAGAACACCAAAGATGAGACTATAAAATCAGCAGCTGCGAACCCGAATCCCACTTTTGCGTGGAACTCGGTCTTTGGCGAAATACTGCGACGAGATGAGGAGAGTAAGGGTAGCGCCAAAGAGCCACCCAAGGCAGAGTTCCCTCAGCTATGGATCGACATTGTAGACAGTGAGTTCACCACACATGACATATCGAAGTGAAGACTGATATAATCAGACAACTTGTTTTCCACTACCTCATCCCACGAGCGTAAATCATGGGGCTTCAAGCTCTTCAGCAGCATGATCACACAAGTGCCTACATGGGCTGTTCCTGCACTGTTCAGCCCGAACCTCATGAGGACCGTCGTAAATCAGAGCAAAAAGAATGACAGGTTCCTTCACACGGCAGCACTTGCAGCTCTCAGATCGGTGCAGTCGAAGGTTGAGCAGGACAGCAGCTCTGCACTTTCGGTTGTTGTGGCACTCACCACGAAGCATGGTAGCGTGGACTTCGACAGGGTCACCAAGACCAAGACGCTTGAGCAACTCCTTCTTTCAACAGATGACAGCGCGTTAAAGAAGATTGTGCGTCATCTGAAGTCCGTGATCCTTAGACCAGAGACCGAGGAGCAGAGCGTTGCGGACAGTCGTCGACAGATCATCGCCGATCTTCTCATCAGTACAGTGAAGCAGTTCAAGCGCTACGATGAGCTTTCAGAAGATGTCTTCGGGGGTGACAACTGGCTCCGAAGCATCCTTGAACTTCTGGTGGAGTATGCATACTTTACACCTGCTAAGGACGTGAAGACCAGCAAAGTACCTCTTCCCCCAATCAGCGAAGCAAGCAGAACAATGTTCCAGGAACGTCTGTCTTCGTGTCTTACCAGGTTACTTGGTGTTGAGGTCGGCTCTAAGTCCTCTTTCGCTTCGATGATCATGAACATTCTCCGATCTAAGAAAGCATCTTCCAAAACCCTTGAGCCGGTGTTCAAGGCGGAGCCGAAGGTTATGGACACAGTAGAGAAAGCATTCGAGACTATGGACAAGATCTCCAAAAGGGTAAGCTGGTCACGGTACATCTATCCGACACGTGCTAATACGAGGCGTGATAGGGTTCAATCGCCGGTAACAAGATGGCTGCCGAGGGGTTTGTCCTCCTCTACTCATTGACACTGTTGCAAGTCTACAGCAACGATGGTGATGCCATCATGCTGCTTGACGATCTCGATGCTTCCCGTAAGGCGATGGCAAAGAACCAGGATTCAGGTGAGGGCTCCGACGCATTTGTCGAGATTATCTTATCCTTCCTTGGCAACCCGCGCACATTGTTCCGCAAGATTGGCGAAGAGGTCTTCTCCATCTTTGCTTCTGAGATCGGCTCGGAGGGATTACAGTCGCTCGCTGAGATCCTAGATACCGAGGAGAACCTTGAAGGACAGAAAGTGCTATTCAACCAAGACAACGATGACGCTGAGGAGGCCAAATCTGATGACGACTCTGATGACAACTCGGAAATGGACTCAGACGTTGAAATGGTAGATTCGGACGTAGAGTTGGTCAACGGCGACGCCGAAGACTCAGATGACGATGCCTCGGATTCTGACTCCTCCGATGAAAGCAGCGAGAGCGATGACGACGACGACGCAGAGTTGACACAGTTCAACAACCTCCTTCAAATGACACTGGGAACTGCGAAAGCCAACATGGACGGCGATGGAGACGACACCTCTGATGAATCCGACATGGATGACGAACAGATGATGGCCCTTGATCCCCAACTCAGCAAGATCTTCAAGCAGCGCAGCCAGGTTACGAGCAAGAAAAAGGACCGAGAAGATGCAAAACAAAACATTGTCCAGTTCAAATCAAGAGTCCTTGACCTACTGGCGATATATCTGGACAAGCAGTATTCAAACGCACTCACACTGGAGGTTCTCCTGCCTGTGCTACGCCGCACACGTGCCAGTGCAAATAAGCAGCTTGCCGAGAAGAGCAGTAAAACGCTCAAAACATACTTCGACACTCGCTCGAAGCACAAAGCTCCTCTGCCCAAGCCGGAAGCTGTCGAGACAGTATGGGCAATCTTGAAGGGTATCCACGAGGAAGCAAAGAACGGCGGTGGCGCCAAAGCTCACGCAGATGTGTGCAGTAGTGCCAGCTTGCACGTCGTCAAGGTACTCGTCGGTCTTGACAAGGCGAACTACACTGGTGTCGTTGATGTGTATGCCGAGACACAGAAGCAGTGGTTCGCGGATAAAAAGTCGCCTCTTCAGCCAACGTTGTTCATCCAGTTCCAGAATTGGTCGATGAACGCTCAGAAACAGGGCAAGTAGAGCCAACAACAAGCAGTAGGCCACGTTGTATACCAATTCTTTACAGTCGCGTCCCTTAGCTCCTTTTTTTGATCTACCAGATATACGTGACTTACGTTTCAACAGAGAGGCAGCCTATTCGCATCCAATCAATCAGTGACAATTGCTACGCCAGGTACGACAGTTGCTAGGGTAGAGCAATATCGACTGCCGTGGCGCGCGGCGCGGTCGCAGCTGCAGATCTGAAGGCTCGATACTCTTCCTTCTAGAAACAGCCTGGTTTTGATTAAGTGGCCTCATACCCCTCGTCTTCAAGTTCGCCTGCGGTACTGTGCTTGCCAGACTAGAGGAGCAGCCGCTCAGTTCCGTTTCAAAAGCGGTAATCGACGAAGTGATCCAACCACGACTCGAAATACGCCTGCAACAGGTCACGACTTGAAGGCATGCGTAGAGGAACACGTCGAAAAGTGTACCAGGCCTGTCGCACCATATGACTCTTTTGGCGCTTCCTTGAATGTTCTTCGCGCCATCTGCACCTTCCGCGGCTTCTATGGCTCGGCTTGACGCTCCTCTCTGGTTATAGGATGTCAGTTCGATATTAGATGCGGTATAGGAGCCACCCCAGCCTATAGGGCGAACAATACGTCTTCGAACGACCGGCCACGGTGATTCGTAGCGATACAAGACGGCTGCGAGCATTCTGAGCACTTGCACATTCTCGTGATCAGCAGATAACTCTGATGCAGATCCAACGCTGATCGCTTCGAGATCAGATTGGTCGTACCTGACTTTATATGCTACACATGGTTCTCCATGCTAAGACGGCGGCATCTTGCTCTTTAGCCTGTGTAAGCGGCTTGCAGCCAATATGGATTTCGATGCAAGAATACTCGCTTCACTACCCTGTTTGGACTTACCGCATGGGCAAGCAGGGTTTGGCACTTCTCGTGCCCTGTGCTTCCTGCAAATTGTTCGGTAAGCAACAAAGGCCTCGTCGACCAACGCATAGTCGTCACCGCTACTGGAGACACTGACTATCTTTCATGTCTGTGAAAGGATTGGAGGCAATCGATTGTCACCTTGGCAAGGGCCTGTTGGAGTCACGAAGTTGAATCCACTGACACCCCTGCACGATTATGTGGCGCCAGTTTTGATTGTCTGAGCCGGGTTGTGGAGTCGTCTGTGCCCAGTCCGCCCCCGCAATCAAGCAACCCTCATTTCGTGATGACAGTTCAGTCGCCCTGAGGCTAAGGGAGGCGAAATCTCAGAGTAATATATTTGCGGGAGGGCGGCTACCTACGCTGACTACTGCCTGCTGGGCGAACTTACATTCTGTTTGCTCTTCAGACGCAAGTAACAACCTTCACATCGGTTCCCGACTTTGGATCTTGGACGTTTTGTGTCGATATCGTGGCTGCGCGCTTGTCCACGCCAGAAGACTCCATTGCAGCTTGCTCCGGCCGTTGTATTATGGGTCCACCAATCATGGCCGGACTCACGCCTTCTCCAGACATTAGTCCCGTGTCAGCAGCAACCACCAATGGTCTCTTTCCGCGAGATTCCTTCTGCCTTAATCTTTCCACTCTGCCGGACGCAAGCAGCTTCATGCTCAAATCTGCATTGCGATCTCCCCATCTCTTCGAGTCTCCGAATGGCCTTTTCTTTGGTGGTGGTGGACTGAGCAATTCATACCGGAAGCGCCCCCGTAATATGTCTCAATCATCCGGTACCGATCGTGAGATGTCCACAAACGGCACACCGCCCGCAGCGAACCAGGCAGGAAGCACCGCGCCCACAAGTACCATTTCCAACGGCACAGGCAGCGAACTGCGACCTCCAAACAAGAAACGTCCCAGCACCGACACAATCGATTATCCACGACGACGAGCAACTATCGCGGTACTGCAATACGCTCTTTGTAGCCGTCCAACACTAACAGTTATAGTGCGAAATATGTCGGTCCAGGAAATCACGATGCGACGGCACAAGGCCAAAATGCAGGCTTTGTACAGAACTCAACGCAGAATGCATCTACCGGGAGCCAGGTATCAAGCTGGACGCAGGCGACAAGCTGATCTTGGAGCATCTCAACCGCATTGAAGGTCTTCTGCAAACAAGCCTCACCAGCACTTTCTCACTAGCAACACATTCTCCAACCACGAGCAATTCTACGAGTGAGGACTTCCTCGGCCGCAGCAACGGCCACATGCTCAATTTAGGTATGGTCCAGCCAATCAACGGTATTGGTACGTGGACCAACCATCCTTCCAACATCTCGACCATGCCAAAGACGCACAACACGGCTGCCTTGAACCTGCTATCTTCCCCTATGATTCGAGAGCTGGTTTCCCGTCCATACGACCCGAAGATCCTGCTTCAGCTGGAGATGAGCCGAGAGCCGGTCAGTCTTGGGACATCGCGAGGATTAGATCTGTCGAACACTGGCCCGTACGTCCAGGCGTACTTCGAGCGCGTGAACGTCTTCTATGCTTGCGTAAATCCATACACCTGGAGCAGCTACTATCAGACCGCCCTTGCCCATGGATTCCGAGGAGGACCAGAGAGTTGTATAGTACTTCTAGTTCTTGCGCTTGGCCATGCCGGCAGCACTGGAAGCATAACGCTACAGAACCCTGAGAAGGAACCTCCCGGCTTACCATATTTCGCTGCAGCATGGGATCTGCTTCCAAGCGTGATGACTAGGAACAACATGGTTGCTGCGCAGTGTCAAATTCTAGCGGCTGCTTACTTGGTATATCTGGTGCGACCTGTGGAAGCATGGAACGTTTTGTCAGGCGCCAGCATGAAGCTGCAATTACTTTTGAGTGCTCCTGGACGAGTTTCGCCAGCTGAAGAAGAGCTGGGCAGGAGAGTGTACTGGAATGCAGTGATGATCGAAAGGTGAGCTGCTTGGTACTTACAGGACCGTATTCATACTGACAGTCAATCAGTGATCTTCTCGCCGAGCTCGATCTCCCACACTCTGGCATCTCACAGTTCGAAGAGGGTTTCTCGCTGCCGACTGGCTTCGAAGATATGGGCACTGAGGCGGTTGGCCGAGACGAGCTATGGTACTTCCTTGCAGAGATTGCCCTCCGGAGATTGCTGAATCGAGTGAGCTCGATGCTCTATATTCGGACCACACCGTACTCGAAAGGTCCTGCTGCCACGTCGATCGCCCAACTAGATCCGTTAGTGGTGGAACTTGACTTCCAGCTGAATCAGTGGTACGCAGGCTTGCCGCCCGCGATGCAGTTCCCACTTGATCGAGTTCCCTTGCAGAACCCTGTACAGACCGTACTGAGGCTACGATACTTCGCCTGCCGGACGATCATCTTCCGACCCTACGTACTGCTTGTTCTTCAAGACGAGAGCCTAGCACTGGACTCAAGTGTCCAAGACAATTGCCACAAATGCCTAGAGGCATGCGTACGCCAGCTAGAGTACATCACTGCGCACCATGCAGGGCATCTGCCTTACCTATTTCAAGGCGCACTTTCGTAGGTTCTTTATTCGTGCATCTTTCAAGTATGCTAACATAAGCCTAGAATTGTCTCGCAGACTCTTCTCATCATGGGCGCAACCATGACTCAGTCACTGTCACAACTCCTCCCTCCACCAGCGACCATGGACGACATCATCAACAACGTTGTGTTGGAGATGGAACGCTATGCACACCTCGCTCCCAGTATTCGTCTCTCTGCTGAGATTGTCCGCGAAGCCGAGGGCAAGCGACAGATGTGGCTTCGTACCGCTGGACTGAAGTTCGACGCTTGAACGAACGGCACTTGGTAATGAGTCCCAAGGCCCATCACAAATCATAGCATATCGACAACACGGTTAGCTTCAGTGCGTCCCGGTCACACGATCAGTCCTACGTACTCAAGGCATATCGTCCGACGAGGATCGTCATATAGCCGACTCGACCGGCATCGTTTCACACGTTCACGACTGTGCCCCAAAACCTGACGTCGCAGGACGAATGCAATATGCAGTCTCGCCACGTTTGCAATATGCAGGTGACTATGCATAGAACATTCTACTTCAGAATGAAGCATTCTTCGCTTGGTACCTGGCAGGCAACATGCCCCACGCTGCCGGTAGGGTCCGAAAACCCACCGGGTAATACAAGTTGTCATCACCGTCCGAGCCTCTCAGACCATCCTCTGGTCGTACAACAGAAGCGAACATCGGAAGTATCAGGCCATCTACTGTACCTGGCAGGTTTGCAGAGACTGCAGAGCCACTCGGAATCAGGTTGTTACCGCAACAAGTAGCAAACATGGCAGTGAAGGAAGTCAAGGTTGCTTTGTGCATAGCTGAGGGACTGTTAGATTAGAATGGAGAGCGCCAATAGCTAGTCACAGTATAAGCATTCAGGTAGTCGCTCAAGAGCATAAGTCTCTGCCAAAATCCATACCAAGTCACTACCCTTCTCAAATGAGATCTCGTCATCATCCGCCCTGTCCTCTTCCCATAGCAGCACTCCTTCCGTCAGCGCTAACCCACTGCTCATGCAACACAGCCTCTCGCCCCAGCGCAGAACTCAGTCCAACCCAATAACCACATATTGCAACAAAGCTTGTCCGCATCGCCCAGCGTGGCTGGCAGGGTTCAGGGGTGGGCTGCATGCACCCCATATTATCGACTTCGATTTACCCGGATCCACAAGCTGGAGTGATGCGCAGAGCCGATGCTGACCTGTCATAAAGTGCCATGGAAGCGTAGGGGGCGCGTACGCGTTGCCGAGCGTATCGCCGGGGTGTAGTGGGTTGTGGAGGGCAAAGTAGGGTCGCGTGGTTGGTAGGTATGCGGTGTAGATGGTTGGGCACGCGGTGGGCTGCGTAGTGCGACGCAGCTCGAGTGTTCCTCGAGTAGCCACGTGGATTGAAAATGGTGTGGATATTGTCGGTCGTTGAGTAGGGTCTCATGTGACCTCCGTGTCCTTCTCGTCCTTCAACGACGACGGTTTCTCTTTGGCCAACCTCTCCTGATCAGCATTCGCCTTCGCGGCCCAAGGTGGCTCTCCATCATCGTCAAACTCCGCCCACTGGAAGAACGAGCATCCATCCTGCCCAGGAACATAGTTCGTATGACACATCCATATATATCTTCCTCTCGACTCTTTCTTCCTCGTAGCACACCTCAGCACAGTAGGTACGCCGCATTTACACTTCGGTGTATACCGCGGATGCAAACTATCCTTGTAAAACCGATATGTGATGTTGAGCCGCTTGTTCTTCGCCAGAGGATGCGGATCGATAGCTTGCGCAGGGGCGATGGAGTGTTTCCACTCTTCCTGCATCTCGGCATGCATAATTAGCAACGAGTTGTGCGGGAGGTGGATTGAGATTTGTCCCTGGGCGTCTGCGAGAGAGCCGTCGTCTTTGCGGTGCTTGTCGTCTTCAACGTGAATCTTGCGGACGCGGAACTCGCGTGCTACGCCGAGAGAAAGGCTGCCGATGACTGCGCGTGGGCCGAGGTAGGTCAGTTGGTCGGCGTGGTAGCCGACGTGTTCTTGGGGGCCGTCGTAGCAGTTCACGAATGCAGTGTTGGCTTTCCAGGGGTGGGGAGATTGATACTTGAGCTTTTTGCTGTTGGGGTAGAAGTCGAGGATCCTTCGTTGTATCTCGCGGTTGACGGCTTCTTCGACTTGGGGGACTGCGTTGAGCATCTCTGGCAGGCTTTGCTGAACGTTCTGCCGCATGTTAGTATACAGGAATCGTATGGAGCCACCTCAACCGTACCTCAACTTTGCGGCCATCATAGATGTACTCGGTCTTCTGCTCCTCTGCCTCGGCAAGAGAGTTGACGTAGAAGCAGAACGTGTGAGGGCTGGTAACCACGCGATTAAACAGCTTGAACTCGAGACTTTGATACGTTGGTGCCTCATCGAGTAATTGCTGTAACAATGCATTTGCTTGCTGAGGCGGCAGGAAATTGTGAATGATAGAGCATGGCGTATGCTGCTCGATATCTTCTGGGCTGAACAGGTGGAGCGTCTTGCCCTTCTTGACCAATGCCTTCTTCGCCGGCCCACTACCGTCAGAGTTCACATGATATGATGATAGTGATGATTGGTAGCCAGTAGTGGCGTTCGCACTTCGTTTTTTTAGGGACGCGAATGTACTCTGTGCGAGGCATGTAGATGCTTGTTCGACAGATCCGTCTGAGGCCAGCAGCGCTTCGAGTAACGTCGTTTCTTCAGCAACTGGATGTAGTGAAGCCAGCAGAGCTAGCTTGAAGTCTGTGGATTCTTCATCCTGTTCTGATGCTGAGATGCGTTTAGAAGCTGCAGAAGCCGCCGGTGGCGGTACAGGCTTTTGCGACACATCAGCCCGCTTCCTCTTTCTTGACACGAAGGCGTCCATGTTCTGTCGTGATCTCACTGGGCCAGCGCATCTTTGTGGTGATCAGGCAGAAGTAGCTGAATTGTCTTGGAAGACGCGCCCTCAAGCGCGCTGTCACGTGTAGATCGCCGGCGCATGCAACTGCCCCGCTGGACCCCAGCCTCGGCCGTTCACTCATCATCCGCAACCATGTCGCTGTACACCAACAGCTTCAACTTTGTGCGAGCGACGATGCGCCGCACCTTGTTATTGTTACACGCCACATAACGCTAAAGAAGTAATCTGCCTGCGGGCCCCACTATATAATCCACACACGATGTTGGAGTTCCGGACCCAAGGTTACAACGGCTATAGCGTCAAGTACTCGCCATTCTTCGATTCGCGCATAGCCGTAGCCAGCTCGGCAAACTTCGGGCTGGTAGGGAATGGCAGGTTGTACATTCTCGGCCTGACACCAAACGGCATCGTAGCAGAGAAGTGGTGCGCTCACGCTCACGTGTTCCTTCACAGCTGCACCTACTAAGCCTCGCACAGGTTCGACACCCAAGACTCCCTCTTTGACTCGACCTGGTCGGAAGCGCACGAATCGCAAATCCTCACCGCGGGTGGCGATGGCTCCGTAAAACTCTTCGACATAAACGTCGCGCAATTTCCGATCCAATCCTGGACCGAGCACGCGCGCGAGGTCTTCAGCGTGCACTGGAACCTCGTATCGAAAGACACGTTCCTCTCGTCGTCCTGGGACGGCACAATCAAGATCTGGAACCCGAACCACAACGCCAGCATTACCACGCTGCCGACGCACAGCTGCACGTACTCGGCGCAGTTCAGCCCGCACGCGCCCAGTGTGGTGAGCAGTGTGAGTAGTGATAGCCATTTGAGGGTGTTTGATCTTAGGGCCCCGGCGAGCGCGAGTAATCACCTCACGATGAGTGTGCCGATACATACGCCGCCGAAGCCGAGGATGGGTGCTGCGGCGCCGGTGGGCGTGCCGCCGAGCGAGGCGCTGACACACGACTGGAATAAGTACAGAGACAGCATCGTAGCGACGGCGGGCGTGGACCGGCTCATTCGGACGTTTGATATAAGGATGCCGGGCGCGGGGCCGATTGCGGTGCTGCCTGGGCACGAGTATGCTGTTAGGAGGTTGACGTGGAGTCCGCATTTATCAGATATATTGCTGAGTGCGAGTTACGATATGACGTGTCGCGTGTGGACGGACGGGAGTGCGATGGGCGCAGGCACGATGAAGCAGGAGAATATGCTGGAAGATCCTATGGTGCATGGAGGGGGAAGAGAAATGGGCAGGATGGGGCGGCATACCGAATTCGTCACTGGTGTAGACTGGTGTCTGTTTGGAGCCGAGGGATGGTGCGCTAGTACAGGGTGGGATGAGAGAGTTATGGTCTGGGACGCCAGAGCAATTATGCAGTGATCGAGCGGAGACATGTGCGTGGATTCTGCATACATACTCATCGTTTGAAGGGGTACTCCATCACCGAACGAACAAATGAACCGTACTCGCATGTCAGCGAATTCGCTGCTTCTGATCCTCGAAGTCGAAGCCGTGCTTCCTGTGCACCATCCTCCCGAAACCAATTGCTTTCTCGAAAACTTCCACTCTCTCCTTCTCCATGATCCACGATGGCACTTTATCGTTAGCAGATCCTCAGAATTCCAGTCCAGCTTCATACTCACACTCAGTGAACCCGTGAAACCCCTTCTCCACAACCATAACCTCCACACTCTGCCCGTCGCCTTCATTTCGTTCCCTCTCCAGTCTCTCAACCATACTCATCTGCTCATGCAACAAAATATCAACCCCTGCACAAACAAACAGCATATTCCTAGGCAAACCCTCCCTTCTCGCAAGGATAGGATGACATCTCCCATCCTCTCTATTCTTCTCCCTCTCCGTGCCAGCATACACATCATACAACGGCTCCAGAAAACCCAACGGGTCATGTTCCGGAAAACCCTCTGGCCTTATCTTATCCCTGGGCCGCAGTCGTAAGTCAACGGGAGCACAGGAGCCCAACCACGCCTTCACTGTACCCGGTGGTAAGAGCTGGCAAGTCCCCAGTGTAAGCGTGCCACCCACTGAACTCCCACCCAGCGTCAACAGATCCTTATCAGCCCCAAGTTCTTCAGCGTGAGCGAGCAGGTAGGACACGATATCATCAACATCCTCCTGTGCTGCGGGATAGATATGTCGTGGCGCAAGTCGATAAGACCCACTCACAACCACCGCTCCCGTCCTCTCCGCCAGCAAAGTACACCATCGCACCCCCTGCTCGGGGAATCCGCCGATGAAGCCGCCGCCGTGGAAGTCGACGTGCAGCGGTCGTAGGGTGGTGTCGTTGGATGCACGTGGTGGTTGGAAGACGAGGCATCGTTTTGGGCCACTGCGGGTTGGGATGTAGCTCACTGTGTAGGAAGTCTTGAAGAGAAATGTGGGTGCTGTGAGGAGAAGGCAGAGGATGTTGATGGGTTGGAGGAGGAGGAGACGCCAGCGGTGGGTGAACGGAAGGGTGGAGAAGAGGGCGTCGGTTGTTGGTTGGAAGATGCGTGGGAGGATGGAGAATTTGTTGAAGAGGTGTGTGAGGGCCATGGTGGTCGTGCGTTTACATGTGCGACATTGAGGTTGATATGTAGAGAGTAGAGCAAATGTCAGTGTATATGATGGTCTGAACCACCTTCATAGCAACGCATGACATACTAAGTAGTGGCTGAAAGCTTCCTTTTCAAGAATGCGAGATACGATGTGGCTGCTGACTTTGATCGGTGGTTGCCATTCCGTGAGGCCGCCAGCTAAGTGCGAACTGCCGACGTTGTACATAGGAGGAGGAGCAACCGTGAGAAATTGGAAAACAAGAGTACTGCTGAAAGGAAGGTCAAATATGGAGCTGAAAATGCTGGATTATGTATGTTCTATCTCATGCTGGGCATCTCATGGGTATCGTAAGCTCGTCTTGTGTTTTCGTATCTGGGGTCATTAAGAAGCGGTAAACAGAAGAAAGAATAGGAAAACAATGTGCCAATAAAAGCGCGCTACCGGAACAAAGACTGCAAGACACTCTCCAATCTGTCTGCTGCTGGATCGTCACCCTTTCTGCGACCCTTCTCGTCAAACCGTGGGGGAAGTTCAATAGTGGAATCTGTGTCAGACCCAGGAGACTCAGCACGTCGGTGTCGTTTGCGGTCGCGCCCTGAACCTTGAGAGCCGTTAGTAGATCGTTCGTCGGCATGGCGTCGTCTGTGATGGTCCCTGTCTCGATCTCTGTCTCGGTCGGAACCACGGCTCTCATCACCAGAATCACTGTCTTCTCTACGCTCGCGATGCCGGTCTCTGTTCTTGTCGGTACGCTCGGGCGAAGGATTGGGTGATATCTCCTGCTCTTGCGGATTGAGATCAAACTTCACTTCTTTCTCGCGTGTGCTGACTGGACTGGGTGCAAGTGGTGGTGACTCGTCGCGAGTCTGATTTAGACCTGATGCATAGTCAGTACGGTCGTCAGCTGCGTGGGTAGGTTGGGACCCACCACGCGTAAAAATAGGAGTAACGTGCTCGGTGCCAGCATTCTTAGGGACTGGAGCACTCACATTCTCGTCTCCGCGACGCGCCTGGTAGTAGTGGTTCTGATCTTGATGTGCATAAGGGTTTCCTGGGTTCATATCCTCGTGGGCATAGCCGCCTGCAGGTGGTTGTGGACTGTAGTTATTGTGTGGTGGGTAGTCGGCCGGATTATAAGGTGGATACGGGGCATTAGGAAGGTTGCCATCTACGTGGCCTACAGGAGCTGTTGGTGGTGGAGGGAAGTAGTTGGTCTCTGGAAAATAACGGGAGTCATTGGGGTGTGCGGTCGATTGACCCGGGCTGTATTGGCCAGGACTGTAGCGTCCGCCCGGGCTGTAGCTGCCTTGACTATAGGCAGACTCATCCTCGTCTGACGGATTGTAAGCATGTTGAAATAAGAATTAGAGAAAACCATGTGCTTACGTCGTCGATCTCGCTCCTTCTCAGCCTTCTTGCGATCGCGCCGCTTCGCTGCTTCGTGAGCGGCCAATCCAGCAACTCCAGCGACCGCTGCCGTCTCTGCTACCGATCGTGCGCGACTCTTGCTTCGGCTCCTGGTGTCACGTCGACCGACCGAGGAGGAAGAGGAACCGCGTCGTCGTCTGCCGCGTGCGCCGCGTGATCGACTTCGTTCACGATCGGTATAGATCGGATCACCGCCGTACTCTACTAGCACAGGGTCACTCTTTGCGCTTCTAGGTCTACTGGAGCTGCGCCCAGTGAGGCGGGAGAGCACCGACCTTGATCTTGAGCGCGACCTCGACTTAGATTGCGAGAGCGCCCTAGCCTCCTTCTTAGCCTTGTGCTTCTCATACAGTCCAGCGACGGCTGCTCCGGCGACACCAGCGGCAGCAATCGGCACACCCTGGCGAACTCGGCTAGGCGAACGCTTTCCCTTGCGCTTTCGAGACTTGCTGCGGTTGTGTTGGACCAGACCGGCTACAGCAGCGCTGGCAAGACCAACGGATGCTGCTCGGTTGTTGCGGTGCTGAGGATCCATGTGCTTACTCGTGCTTCGAGATCTACCACGGCCATCCTCCTCGACAACAGTCACAGACCTAGACCTACTCCTTCCATGTCTTGAACTTCCCCTCCGTCTTCGGGACCTACTCCGGTGCTCTGTGACCACGGTAGTAACGGGCGCGTTCTTCTCCTTGTTTCGCTTTCCTACAGCGTAAGCAGCAAGGCCAACGCCTGCAAGAGCAGCAAGAGTGCCAACTTCCCTCACACGGGACTTGCTGCGGTTGCGGCTCTTGCTCCTGTGCCTCCTACGCCTACCTCGGTCCGAGGAGAGGGAGCGAGACCTGTCGCGGTTGTTGTAGCGGTCGAGAGCCACGGCACTTACAGCACCAAGCGTGCCGTAGCCGAGGGCATTGCCAATGTTGCCCCCAGCCTCTTCGCCCTTCCTCTTGCGGTGATGCCTGAGGATCTGGCCGGCGGCGACTCCAGCAAGCGCTCCTGCTGCGGCGCTGCGCTTGCCGTTTGGACTTCCATCACGGCCCCACGTGTCCTTCTCCTTGTGGACGTATACCACATCGTCGTCGCTGTAGTAGTCTCGGTCACCGTGACGGTCTCGGTACTCGCGTTCATCGAGGTATCGCTCGTCTCTGCGGCCGCCTCGGTCTACCTCCTTCACCCTACGCTCGTAGTAATAGTCCTCGTCGACGCGGGGACGGGCAACCTGTCTGTCATCGTAAACTTCCGAACGCTCAACAAGTTCGTAGGCGGGCTCCTGGATGCGCTCCCGGATGATGATGGGCTGTGGCACCTCCTCCCGGATAATGATAGGCTGCTGCGCAGGCTGGGCTTCGTTGCGGATGATGATGGGCTGGGGGGCCTGCTGGGGGGGTGGTTCGGGACGGAAGAACTCTGTGGAGCGGGAGTACCTCTCAAGCTCGTATGGCTGGTAGTCTCGCTGCTGCTCCTGGACGTCACGTTCGTATTCGCGCGAAATGCGGATCTCACGTGCGCTGGAGCGGGCAGGTGATGGGGAGCGGTCAATCTCGCGCTCGATGCGGTACTCGCGGACTTCGCGGCGCGGCGGCGAGGGCGAGCGGTCGACGTAGCGGTACTCGCGGACTTCGCTGCGGCCGGGTCCCGGGTCGTTGCGTTCCACCACGTACTCCTTCCTGACTTCTCGGCGCTCTTCGTAGTCCTCGCGGGGCCGGTGGACGAGGCGCATCTCTTGCTCGTACGTGTCTTCCTCCAGGCTGTGGTCGGGCACCTTGTAGCGCCGGACGGTGGTGTAGCTGCGGGCGCCGCCCTGGGACTGCGTCTCCCAGTCGCGCTCGCGCTCGCGCTCGCTGCGCTTGTAGATGACGGACATGGTCGTGGGCGACGCAAGGTGGGGGCCAGGACGTGGGGCAGAGTGTCGCAGCGCGGGGTCGCAGAGAGAGCGCGGTGTTATGTGTAATGTATCGTCGGCTGCTGCCGTGGTGGTAGCGAATCCGCTATGATGTCGCGGTGCAGTCTCGTCTGCCCAGCCAGTCGGCCTGACGAATCCTCTGGGGCGCCGTGGCTGCGGGCGGAGTGAAGCGGGAACGCGCAGTGGTGCCGATCGCTGTTCGCAGTGATTGGCGAACGTGTTGATCAACACGCTCACGGGTAGGAAGATGCACAGTGTGCTGCTAGAATGGCGGTGGGATAGCGAGAAATAGGGTAGCGGAAAGGAAGGGCTGGGCGCAAGAAGAGCCCACAGCAGGGCGGAATCAGGCGCAACTTGGAAGACAGACGCCCAGGGTGAGGTTGCGGGCTACGTCATTACAATCAACAGCCAAAATTAGTAGTCACGGCAGCGATCACTCGAAGACACCACAGACTGCTTTCATATTCATAATTATACATACGGTCGCTACGATATGCCGTACCCACCGTCTACAACGTGGCGCAATCCTGCCTCTTCTAGAAGGGAGAGCGAGCCCTCACCGCGCTGCTGCGGCCATCGTGAGGGGGCGTCTGCAGGAGCCCTATCAGCCTTCATGTGAACTGTCCGCTCAGCACGGATCACATGCATGCCGCTATGCTGCAGCACCAGCTCACCGGACGTCACCTGCCTGCAAAACAAATGCTCTCGCATAGCCCCTTACACGGTGAGTGAGAAGCTCAGTTCGGCTGGGCAGTGGTCGCCTACATGCGGCTGACATATGGCCCCATGATGTGGGCAAGCGGACAGTGAGTCTTTGCTGCTGCCTTGTGGGCGTGTATGTCTTCATGCCGTCAAGCCACGAGTATGTGGCTTTGAGTCGCTGGGGAATTCCAGTCAAATCTAATACTCACGTGTGGGTACACGAGATCAGGCACCGGCTTTGTGTCGAAAAGGGTATCTCACGTCTACGTACTGCCGTATTTGACTCCCTGCCGCAGGGAATCTTGGGCACAGCGGTCGCCCATCCTCGCTTCAGACACGCAAGCCTGTGGGGCTTCAAGGTGACCTTGGTTGTGGTAAGAGGTGACTGAAATCATCTGTATGAAGTCGTCTGTTGACGAGGGCATTGTGTGAGCAACTGTGGCGGATCCTCCGGTGAAGCTAAGAGTCACGGATAGAGGAGAACAGTGACATGTAATCCCAGCTGTGTCATCATTGGGTAGGTTCTATCCTCTCTCACTGGACGAGCAGGGTACCGGTAAAGACATGAGGCTCAGTGGGTGCGAGTAGCCGATGCCATGTGTACTGCCGTTACCTGTCAACAGGCAGGATGTGAGCCTGTGATTGGACGCTCATTGGGGCTTCGACGACAGTCTCAAAAGATGGACAGAAAGTGGGAGCGATATGTTATCGAGTCATCCTTGATGCTGCGGTCAGAGAACATGTTCTATTCTGCTATCTAGAAGTAGCTACAGACAATAACGAGCGCACAAATCCCTTAGATGAGCAAGGCAATGACACCTGCAAGGCCTCCAGCAGCTCCAAGTACCACCTGCGCCGTCTTCATAGCACCAGCCGTAGATTGAGCAGTGGTGACTGCCCTTGTTGTCGCTGTTGCTGCTGTGTTGATTCTCGGACGATCATCACTCGAACTCGCGCTTGTGCCAGCTCTCGAAGTCTGTGTAGCACTCCTCGAATCGTTGTCGTCATCAGAGCTGCTGGTTGTCTGTCGGTAAGACGAAGGGCGAGGCAGGCCACCACCGGAGCTGAAAACGGTAGGGCTAGTCGAACGCGCCGTATCAGATACACTACCTGAGCTTCCTGTGGGTGTTGCGAGGACCTGCACCCTCGTGCTCGTTGAGCCGCACACGTAGTGGTTCACCGTGCCTTTAGTTACGGAGCCCCACATAGTCATACACACGCCTGCTGTAGAAGCAGTACAAGCGAGTGCGTATTCGTCGTTGGCGCAAGCTGAATTGGAGAGGCAGGAGTTGATGGACGCTGAGCCCACACAAGTCGTGAACAGTTGACAGTCGGAACGCATGGTGCCAGTACAGCAACCAAACCAGGAGATTCTTTCGTCGTAAAGACAGTTTCCAACCGTGCAGGACACAGGAGCATCTGCCACATGATTAGTCTGCGACCAAAGACGCCACTTCAGGCATACATACCGCTCTCTCCATCGAGGTAGCCGCAGACACCATCATCCGCTTGTTGACGACGGAAGAGCTCGGCGAGAGATGGGGGTCCCCCAGTAGGTCTTGGTGAGCGGCCATTCAAATTGGCTTCGCTTGCTGCGGTTGGAGCAGGCCCAGGGAATGCGATGCCGAAGGCAGTCGAGCTGAGAGCCAGCAAGGTTATGGTCGACAAAACAAACATGATGAAAGGCCGGTTCGACTCTATTCAACCGGATTGTATGTTGTCTGGTTTCGCGTATCGTGCGATTGCAATCTTCGACAGCTTCGGCGAACACGCAAACTTATGCAATTTTCATCTGCACATTGAGAAGTTCGCGTAGCCATAAGGTCGCTCCAAGGCTGAGAGCTGACCCTAAGAAGCACCTTCATCGTCCACATGCCAGGGTGCTCCTGCTCTTTGCAGTATGGCAGGCCCACATCAGGAGAGTATATGGCTCTGAAAGCCTTGGCGGGAGATCTGATAGGAAACCACATGCTTTTGCGGCGTGAAAGCTTGACCAAAAGAGCTGAACATAGGCGAATGACAGGGGCCGTGAGCCTTGCGATGGTGTACAATTCAGGGGCAGGCGCCACGTTGACCAAGAATACGAAAGTCGCCGAGAGAAGGCTTGAACGAGGACTGTAAAAGAGAAGAGTCTTGGTGTGTGCGGAGAGAATGAAGAGCAACTACCAGCGAAAAGCCTCTCGTTTGAAGGCGGACTCACAGTCGTGCGAGTGCCCTAACAGCAGTACAGATCGAAGAAGACGTGCGACAGCGCAATCTAGTGAAGGTTTTTCAGCCTCGCAGGAACATACGGCTGTCCTTTCTTCATTCGGTCCGGGCGATGCAGGAGCTGAAGACGGCTCGTGTCAGACGGCGGCATACCAAGCGGACGACCACACTTCAATGGCACTTCCTAACAGCAAGGCCGAACCAGAGCTGAATGCATGCTGGTGCATCCGAAAGATGCAGTTGTTGTGTCTTGGTTTGATTGCTGGGTTTGGAGTTGTGTTGAGGTTGTGGAGAAGTCGAGCCAGGGTCATGACGATCCGCGACGGCAAGTGCAGCCCGCGGCAGTCCCAAAAGTTTGGGAGCTATGATGCTTGCTTGCTTGACCACGCCTTCTTCATGCTTTCACGACGGATATTCCGCCAGTTCACTGACAGCGTTCTGCTAGAGCCGGGCTATGTTACAAGGCCATTGTGCCTTGCCGCCAGATGCACTTCATGTTCCTCTTGTAGTCGAGCATGGGCGCCACGCGCTCGCCATGCATCCTCCTCCTCCACTAGATGGAAAACGCGTCAGGGCAACGACTTCTTCGCCCGTGAAGCTCGTGTGCAAGGGCTAAAGAGTCGCGCTGCTTTCAAGTTGCTTGAGGTAGTTAGATAGCGTCAATAGGTAGCTCCAATGCTGATGCATCGTAGTTGAATGAGAAACACAAGCTGTTCAAGCCTGGACAAACTGTCGTTGATCTTGTATGCTCAACTTCTTTATTTGCAAAACTACGCTGATTCTTCAAAGGGTTTCGCACCAGGCTCATGGTCTCAGGTCGCTGTAAATCGCACGACACCCGATGGACGAGTAATAGGTATCGACTTGATTCCGGCGCAGCCTCCACGAGGTGTATCTACGATACAGGGCAACTTCCTCTCTCCAGCGATCCAAGACGAAGTTCGAGCATACGTCCGAGATCCCACCCTGGGCCGACCGCGCAAACAGACCATTTCAGAAGAGCCGGATGGCCTTACCGAAGAGCAGGTGGACGAGTTGGAGCGAGGATACATCGACATCGAGAGACAAGCTCATATGGAAGGTGTTGGAATGGAGCGACTGGGACAGCCACCGGAAGGGTCTGAAAGCGTCTCAGACGCTAAGATGCCGTTGAAGGAGCGAGATCTACGCGACGGACGAGTCGTCGATGTGGTGCTTAGTGACATGTCAGAACCCTGGGACCAAGTCGCCGGCTTCTACAAGAAGAGCCTTAGTGACCCGTACTTTAGGATGATGAACACCAGCGGCAACCCCTTCAGAGATCACGCAGGCAGCATGGTAAGAAACGATACCCCTCTTGGTCATCTAGAGAACGTCGCTGATGTTCAAGGACTTGTGCATGGCTGCACTGACGTTCGCATTCGACACAGTGAAGACTGGCGGTCATTTCCTGTGCAAGTTCTACCAAGGACCTGAAGAGAAGGTTTTCGAAACAAAGCTCAAGCGCTTATTTACCAAGGTGTCGCGCGAGAAGCCGGAGTCTTCACGCAGTGTAGGTTCCGTGGAACTTTTGTATGTGTTAAATTCACTGACGACTGGCAGGCATCGAAAGAGGCGTACTTCGTAGCGCTGCGCCGCAAGGAAACTCCAACGAGAGAAGACGTCTTTCGGGAGTGAACTGTAGCTTGGATCTTGGCCCTAAGGCCCACAGAACATCAGTGTGTATGAGACCAGAAGATCCGAAGTTTATGATACCCAATGAAAGAGTTGACCCCTTCGTGTTGATGCATCTTGAGTGACTATCTTCCAACTGGCCCGTGCACCGCTTGGCGTGGAAGTCGCGATGCGCTCGTCGAACGCGCCATAGACCCGACCTCAGCGTTCCGAGCACTCGCGTCCGCCCTCCACATATCTGAGTAATTCGAATCGCGCGGCATCGTTGTCGCGTCACATTGATCAACATGTATGGCATGAATCAGGCGTACAATGCTGGCGGCGGCGACCCCAGCGCGCAGGTGCCGAACCACCTTGTGAGTGGGCCAGCAGCGGTTTAGGGTAGCTCGACTATGGCTAACAACACAGCTCGCCCACGTCCATCTGGTGTCTTCGTACCGCTTCCCTGTCCTGCCACAGCTACGACCGGAGCAAGCAGTCGAGCATCTCACCAAAGGACCTCAAATAGTGCGCGACACATCGCCCGTCGCCTGGACGTACTTCTCATCACCACCGCAAGATGGCACCGTCATCCTCACATGGCAGCCTCCTAGAATGGGGACACACTTTGCCTCCGATGGGATGGTCTGGGCAGACCCCGAGCAGACGTTTGAAATGCCGGTCCGCGGCTACGTATGCGCCCATACAGCTTACGGCTACAGGGAGCCTGACTGACTCTTTGCAGACATTGCAAGTGCTTGTCCACAACACGGGCTACCACTATCCCCACGAGCCATTTGCTATGCACTCTCGATACCGATACAGACTCACCGCGGGGCCAGGCACCATCGACCCGAACCTGTGGCTAGTACACTACAAGCCTGCAGACCAGCAACACAGACTTGCCGCAGGCCAGATCCCCGTACCACGAGAGACCCAGGCTACGCTGCAGATGCGCGCCCAGCTTCAGGCCGCCGGACCCCTCATGCGCAAGGAGTTTATGCTGCACGATGCGTCCAATTGGCCTAAAGTCGAGTTCGGACAGCAAGCAGCGATGCGCCAGCAACAGCAGCCATACTACAACCCCATGCAGCCCGGGCGACCCTATGTAGCGCAGCCACCGCCAGCAAAGCGTATGCGCGGCGCCCCTCCTGCGCAGGTCCGCCCACCAATTGCTGGAGCAGCACTTCCAGACACCTCTCTGGAGGATGAGGAGAATGCCACGCAAGATGCCTTCGACTTCCTGACGCCCCGCGAAATCAGCTTGTCGAGATACAAGCAGCATCACGAGTGGATGGAGGAAATCTTCTCATCGCCATACGCTGTGGGGAGCATTGCGCCTATTGACCTTGGTTTGGGTCTGATGGGCGAGCTGGCTCCTCTGACAGTGGGCATTTTGGATGTTCCAGGCGCTGAGAATCCGGACACTGCCAAAGACAACTACAAGATCAAAGATTACTACAAGATGAACCCTGAGCACCTCAAGGACTTCGAGAAGCGCGTTGCCGAATACACAAAGAATGAGCAGGCTGAGATCGAAAAGATGAAGGCCGACCACGCACGCAAAATGGCTCAGTTGAAGCGGACAAGAATCTACATCAAGGCCGAGAGGAGGCTGCGAGATCTCTCGCGCACAGCAGCAAACGAAGACGAAGGCACGGATCCGTCAGACAGCGTTGTTCGAGATTTGGAGAAGTCTTTGGGAGCCACGTTCGACGCGAAGAAGTCCGTGGTTTGTGTGGACAAGGGAGGCTTCATCGAAAGGCAACCATCTCCACCCCAGAAGGCGCAAGTAAACGGGGACGGCACACAATCAAATCCTAATGGCGCTTCCAACGGCTCCAACAACGACGGTGCATCGGATTTCGACAACACCGCTGCAAGCTTGCTCGACCAGTACGGAACCGGTTCTTTAGCAGGGACACCCAGTAACATCTCGATGCCGCGTATGTCGCAACCTCCGAGTCAGTCACAGTCAGCGGTCGGTACACCTAGTCTACTGACTGGGAACGCTGCCCAGCAACAGACATTTGATCAACAAACACCGCAGCTTGACACAGATGCCGGCAACGATCTTCTGGATCTGGACGTCGAAATGTCTGGTATGACAAACGCGGATGAGAAGGCAGCCGACGACTGGGTTGTTGTGGACGAGCAAGCGGGCAATGCTCAGCAGTCTGGTAGCAACCCTCAGCCAGCCACGAACAACAACACAACGACAAACGACCATAATACACTAGGTCAGTCTGCTGTTGATGCTGATGCAGGTAGCATGTTCGATAGTGTCCCCGACTTTACAAACTTCGACGGTATCGACACCGCTGGTGATGCTCTTGCAGACTTCGGACAGGACGACAACATGGGCCTCGGCGATCTTGTAGATGACTCGGCGTTTGGTGACGCCTTCCATGAGGAGATGGGTGGTGGTGGGAATAACGCATGAGCCTCATGAATATGTGCGAGGGCGCGATATGCTTGTGGTACTAGCGATCAGTTGCTTTGGTTCTGTGCGAATTGGCGTACAGGGGAACAGAGTATCACTACAGGAGCACGACGAGTCCCTTCGGCCTATAGGCTCCTTCTGATGTTTGTATAAGTACGAAGATAAGAATTGCAAGGATTCAGACGAGCGCAGTGTTGGCGCTTTCAGACTTGTCTACGGCAACCATTAAGGGCCATGATCCCGGCTGCATACCATGACGACCCTCGAGACAGGTTATCGGATCTCAGCGCGGCATGTAAATACATCTATGTCTTCCAGCGCAGTTAGGTTCTGGTTTAGATCGATGTGGTACGATGATAGAGGCCGAACGAGCCGTCTTTGTGTAACCGTGTCGGCCAATCATGGATCCGCAATCAACTAGTAGCTAAAGCTTCATTCATTGCGCAACCTCGTTCCTGCCCTTTACCAGCTGCGACCCTGAACAATATCAGTACACGCAGCCAGCCAGACAAGACTAATGTCGTCACCGGGTACACATCGTCACACGGCTACACCCTTCAGCAAGGCGAAACGCTGTGGCTTCGCCCAGATAGTCACGTCTGCTCGAATGGCTATCTGCTTTAGGAAGCTGAGCGTACAACGCGTCTCCTACACGGTGCACCCCGTTTGGGAGAGGCTGTATGCGCTCAATCACGTCAAGCTCGTATCGACAGCTGGTCTGTCTTCTGACCTTCGATGGATTCGCATCGGGAGAAGGGGTCCAGTCATTCCATCCCAGCCGACTGGAGGGAACCGATCGAAACGATCGCAAGATGTCGCGACCGCGTCGCGTCCACAGACAAAAGTTCATTCGAGAACGAACTATCTATGCTAATCTCGCGTCGTCGATCATAGCGACGCCTGCGGTCACACATGTGGAGACAATGTGCGCCATACCAACGTGAAAGTATCGCTTTCAGGGCCAGGAAGTCTGTCTCTTCAGTATTTTGAAAGCCCCATGTGGCACGTATGGCACGTTTACACAGTGTGTGACTTCCCGTTTCGAAGTACAGTGCATCAAGCAAATCCCCTTTTACTAGCCCTGCAGTACACTTTGACGGCTCCACAAAGCTTCTTTAACAGCCCTCTTGACCATTGGCTTCAAACAGACCACATTCCAAACTGACATCTACAGCCTCCAGATAGCTCGGCATGGCTAGCATGACATTAACTCGCGCACTTCAGCTGCTGCTCGTGGTCGGACTGCTCTGCTCATCTACACACTCCAAGATTCTACGCGCACATCGACGGTGGCATGCCGTTACAGATATTCACACTCACATACGGCGTCAAGATGTCGGCGCTGATTTCTTTCCGGTATTGGGCGTCCCTGGGCTCGGCCTCAACACTACAGCTCCTCGGTTAGAGATCCGCGAACTCCAGCGTAACCCAGACTTATTCAATGTTTACCTACTTGGACTCCAACGCTGGCAAAACACCAGCCAAGACGACAAGTTATCGTACTTCCAAGTTGCTGGTATGTCCGCAGCTTCTGAACGATGTCAAGTTCACTATGGCGTTTATTGACGACACAAAGGGATCCATGGCCGACCGTTCTTGCCTTGGGACGGCGTGGCCGGGCGCCCGCAGCCCCCAGAAGGCTATAAGGAGGGTTACTGTCACCACAGCAGTAATCTCTTTCCGACATGGCATCGACCTTTTCTGGCTTTGGTCGAGGTGAGCCAGTCAACCAAGCATCTGGCTTACAATTGGCTCACTGTGACAGGAACGCGTCTATCATCACGCTCGAGATGTTGTTGCTGAGTTCCCCGAGGGAGATCTGAAAGCACGTATGACCGCTGCGTTGCCGGCACTAAGGCTTCCGTTTTGGGACGCAGCTGCTGTGCCTCCAATTGGCACTGGATCTTATCCTTGTAAGTGTGCACCCTTCCTGCAGAATCTATGTGGGTTTTGGCTGACCTCAGCAGGGAGTGTGCAGAGAAAGACCATTGAGGTTGAGCTTCCAGACGGAAGTGGCTCAGTGAAGGCGACAATACTGAATCCTCTCTACTCGTACACTTTTCATCCACTTCCAAGCAAAGACATCTTTGTAAGTAACAAGACCCAGGAGGCCTTTCGAATGTTGAAGTTAGTAGGGAAAACTCCCATGGACACAATGGCAGACAACAATACGCTACCCCACGAATCGAAGCGCCAATGCGCAAAGTCAGGATTCCAAGATCGCTTTTCAACTTGATCTCAACTTAGTCAATCTACGGCAACGAACATACCAGATGATGGCTATGCAGAAAGACTACCACAATATCAGTAACAACGTGGTCTCCATCGGCGGTGTTCTTGACAGTCTTGAATCAGTACATGACACAATTCATAACACAGTAGGCAGCTCAGGACCAGGACACATGACGAACGCCGCGTACTCAGCCTTTGATCCAGTCTTCTGGCTGCTACACACAAACATCGACCGAATGACCGCCATATGGCAGGCACTGAACCCTGACAGCTGGGTTACGAATCACTCCAACCCAACAGCCACTTTCACCTCGGATGCTGATGCATACGCAGACGAGAACACTCCTCTACACCCTTTTCATCGCAACCAAGCAGGTGACTTTTGGACGTCTGCAAGTGTCCGAGACCATACCATCTTTGGGTATACATATCCAGAGCTCGTCGGTCTTTCAGAAGACGATACGCTTGTGAGGAGGGTCAACCAACTGTACGGCGAGAACGCAACTTCGCAGTTCACATGGAAGCTGGGCGATCCCGTCCCTTTGGCAAATGCAGACAACGGATACACCCACAACGAGCGCCAGTCGATCAGCATGAGCAGCCCGCAGATAGGCAAGCACCAGTACCAGTACTTCGCCAACATCAAGGTGCAGAAGTCCGGCTCGGAGGGCGGTTACAAGATCTTTGTCTTCGTAGGCCCTACAAGCATAGCGACTGCTGGCTCAACATACGATGCGACGTTGTGGATGCGGGACCCGAGTTTCGTGGGGTTCACTGGATTCCAGAGCACGAACAGCCACGGTGATGGATATGCTGGCGATCCGAACGCAAAGAGCGATGCCAATGGAGTTGTTGCCATGACGAAGGCACTGGAAGACCGTCTACGGACAGGAGAGTTGGCGAGTCTCGACGAAGATGCTGTAGACAAATACCTACATGACAACATGAGCTGGAGGATTACAACGGTACGTTGATGGTCAAAATCTCGGGCCTAAGTTGAGACTGACAATCATCAAGGCTGACCACCAAATCATCGCACCCGAGGATACGCCTGGCTTCCAGATTGACGTATCGTATGCAAAGATCAAGCCTTCTACACCTGACTCATTTCCTGAGATGCAGGGTGGTGGCTACAAGCATCTATTGCGAGCTACGAGTGGAAGGACAGGCGGTGTTCAAGATGGTTGACGTGAGCTATCGATATATAAGCAGCTCGTCTGGCTTTAGACCTTCTCGGCGTTATCTGGAGTTCCTCTCTCTCTCCAACATCGTAGAGGTGTCCGTTCGTGTGTTTCATTTTGTTCTAGAAGCCTACCATGGCAATGCATTGAGCACTTCAGTCCCTATGCTTGCTCCTGATCATCAACGCTCCGCTCCGCACTCACCGGCGTCCGATCGCCTCACCATTCCGTGACAGATCGCTGTCGAGCATTCGAACGCGTGTCCCGAAACATGAGGTCGTGCAGCTGGGTGGCTCATGCTGTGTAGCACCGGAGCCCACGACACACGGCTGCACCCGAAGACAAAGCTGTCCAACCGTGAGCCTCACCGCTACTAATATAGACGCGATATGTTGTGCATGGAAGCGATGTAAAGGTTGACAGAATCATCACAAAACACAGCCACATTCCTTGCACGTTCAACGGCAGATGCAGCGCTAGCAGCTCAAAATAGAAAAGGGTCGCAGAACAGATAGGTGCGCTATCGAAATCTCCGTTGGTAGCGGGTCTGTAAGCGGATTGTTCGCGATCAGGTGAAGCGCTAGAGGTGCCGAGTACGATGAGTGTGTACTGCGTTGGGTATGGGCCATGCTTGTGTACCGCATCGCAAATATCGACTCGTGGGCGTGCAGGAACCCTCGAAGAGCGTCGATGGGACGAACAACAGGAATTGAGCGCAACAGCACGAATCGAGGTCGTTGTCCGCGATGCCATCATGCCTACGTCGGCGGGAGCGCCATCGCAGATGGCAGCTGCAGGCAAGCCAATACCGAAATTTGGAGCGGCAACGTTGACAAGTTGGTTCCCTGATGTGGTCCCACAAGTCCGCTAGCTCTTGTCACAAGAGCTGGCAGAGGGCACTCTGCGGCTAGCGAATACATTCCCCTGCTTCGTCTGCGGGAGGCATCGCCAACGAATCGCCGTGGACTGATCACTGCCGTTACGAGCCGCCTCATGACGTGCGCCTACCGTCGACCTTGGAGCAAACGGCACGGCATGGTGTGCAGCCGGACTGCGGGTACGACGGTGCTGGTTACCGCTGGAGCATATCCACCCTTGTATCCCCAGGCCGCGCTTTCCAGCTTCTGTTTGTTTTGTCGTGTCTGCTTGAGGGTTCTTCCTTGTGAACAGTGCTAGAGAGCCGTGCCATTCTGTGGAGACTCTGTTTGACATTCCCTGGTGCTGCGCAAATCAGCACCTCCCGCCTCGCCACCCGTCCTTCACCTGGACGCCTGCTATCGTCGCGAGGACTGCTCTATGAGCCGCTGACCCTTTTCACTGGACTGGCGTCAGTTAGCGGCATCGCCCCTCCCATATCAATCCTTCCGCCCTGGGATCGTTCTTGCCTCCACTGAACAACAATGGAGCAAGTACGACCTCAGCCTGCGGCTGCAGGTGGCCGCCGCCGTTCGATATTCACAGAGGTCGGTCTGATCGATGAGCACACGATCAACACAAAACGTAGTCCGGCACCAATCCTCATCACTGAGCAAGCATTGAGGCAGACACGACCATCGAGAACAGTCAGATTTCGCAGCAGGAACAGCGTGTTTGGTGGGAAAGATGGCATCGAAGAAGTCGATGACGAGAGCGATTGGGAGTCGGTGGACGAGGAGGACAAGGAAACACGACCGACCTCAACAACCTCAGTCACGCACACAATCTCGAACTCGAAGCTCTACCGAGCAGGACTCTTCACCATCGTGCTGGCCCTGATGCTGCCAATCATCCAGATGATCTCGATTGCGCCTCTCAGTGTATACGGCAGCTCTATCCCACGAGCTAGCATCACATCAGTAGCGGAACGATCGACACTCGTAGAAAGGGCAGATTCGCAGACCGACGTGTGCAAGCGTTGGAGTGGTCAGAGTGCTATTGTCAACGGTACACTGTACATGTACGGTTTCCGCACGACCACCGATGCACAACAGAAGACCGACACATGGAGTAAGCTGCTTGTTTTTACATATCGATCTCTTGCTAACGATAGACAGCGAACGACTTCCTAAGTCTCGACTTGACCAAGTCATGGCAAATCTCCAACCCCTCCCTGACTGGCATGCCTCAACCTAGCGGCCCGCCCGCCGTCTCGCTCGGCTATCTCTACTCCTCGCACAACTCTCTCTGGCTCTACGGCGGTCAGTACTCGGACTCTCCCGCAGAGGAACCCGGGCCGAATTCTATCTGGGAATACAACATTGGCAGCAAGTCGTGGGTCGAGCACGCGGACCCGAAGAGCTCAGCTGGTACCAACGCTGAGGGCGACGGCCAAAGCATACAACGAGCCGCTGAAGGTGCTGGATTTGGAGTCACCGCTCTGGGCAGGGGATGGTACTTCGGTGGGCATCTGGATGACTTCACGACTGAAGGCTGGAGCAACCAGATTGCTCGTGTGTACCTGAAAAGTCTACTCGAGATCACATTCCCCGGACACAGCAACGATGCAGTCGAAAGCCTGAAAGATGGCAAGAAGGCTGATAAGGAGCCCGTCTACAGAAACATCACCACGGGTGGTATCCAGGACACTGGTTCATTCCCAGAGCGTGCTGACGGTATTCTGACCTACGTCCCTGGGTTCGGTAATGAAGGTCTTCTGATAGGTTTTACTGGTGGTGATAATGACACCTTCGTAAGTCTACAGCCACAGTCGTACTACCGTATCAGCAGCTGACAACAAACAGGCGCAAATGAACGTTATTGATGTGTACGATATCGCCGAATCGAAGTGGTACAAGCAAAGTACCTCTGGAAAGATGCCTCCTTATCGCGTTAACTCCTGTGCCGTAGTAGGAGCTGCAGCAGAGTAAGTCGCTTGTCATTGTCTTTCTGTCCGCCTCGATATTAATCCATACCAGCGGTTCGTCCTACAACATATATATGTTCGGTGGCCAGAACCTGCAGCCCTACGGCAACCAGACCCAGAAGGATGATATGTGGATCCTGTCTGTTCCCTCATTCACCTGGATCGAAGTCGACCAAGATTCCCAAAGCGTTCCCCCCGCGCGCGCTGGCCACTCTTGCCACGTCTGGGATGGCCAGATGATCATGATCGGTGGCTACGTTGGGCAAGAGCTTTCGTGCGACAGTCCTGGCATGTACGTCTTCAACATGTCCAGTCTGTCCTGGAGTGACCAATTCACTTCGCTCACAGGAGGAAAGGCACTGCAAGACTACACCGGCGAGGGCAGTATTGGAAATCCTCTTGCTCAGCAAGCCAACCAGCGTGGCTTCAACACCAGCGCTGGTGTCGAAGGTTCGTACGGCTACCGAGTCCCAGAAGCTGTCCAGAAGGTCATCGGTGGCAGTGCCCTTGGCGGCGCGACTCTCACTGCACCCGTTCAGACACCTACTGCCGGGCCTCTTGCAACTGGAAAGGCGATGACCTATACCGTCACTGGACCCAACGGCGCTTCGTATACCGAGATTGTTACTTCGAGCGGCTCAGCGAACGGTGACTCTGGGCCCAACGTTGCCGCCATAGTCGCTGGAGTAGTTGCAGGTGTCTTCGCCGTGATTGCGGCCTACTTCGCCTTCTGTGCATGGATCTACCGCAAGCAAGTCGCGATCTGGAAGAAGCATGCCGCAATGGTCACCGCAGCCGCCGAGAAGCGCGACAACACTTTCACCAGCAGCAAAATCTCCAGCGAGCGCGCTCCAGGCACAATGGCTGGCAGCACCGCTGGCGGCGCCGCAGCAGGCAGCTTCGACATTCAGCGTGGTAGTGGCGAGAACACAAGCTATGGCGGTGCCGGCGCGATGAACTGGGAACGGAGGAGTAGCGTAGGAAGCGTCACAGAAGACTTGCTAGACGGGCAAGAACCGAGTTTCTGGGGTACGAGAGGTGTGTTGCTCAACCCGCGGAGGAGTTTGCGTGTTATAAACAGGGATTGAGGTGTGTCTGTACTATATACCCAGCTGTAAGTTTTCAATCGTTCGACCTAAGCAAAGCATGGTATTTGGTGGTGGATAGAAACATAATGGGTTATTTGACGTCGCATACATACAGACGACCTAGTAATGATAATGATCAGAAGTACGTTTGGTTATTTGATGGATTCATGAAGTGAAAAATGAAGTGAAAATTTCTTATGTAGTACCTGTGCCTGACGCTACTCTACGAGATTCGTCTGAACACGCTTTCCCCATGTATGTTCAAAGTATTCTTCTCCCCGTCATGAAATCCCGTTCTCTTGCCGTGATGTAGCGAGGACGTCCAGAGCATCCAAATAGCTCTATAGAAACTGTCCACGATGTGTTTGAGAGCCGTCCATCAGTCCTCGCCGATCAAGTTCTCGTCCAGTGTCAATCGAGGAGTTCCTTCAGAGCCTAAGGCGCGAGTCGTGCACCTAGATGCCCTCTGGATCAGCAACGAAGGTAGCAGGCGCAAATCCATCCCCACCCTCCACCTCACCTCCCTCACCGAACGCACTCGGCCGACACATCGCGCTCCCCATCTGCCCACCAATCAGCTCCGGCACGCTCGTCCTCACATTCTGGCGCGTCGAATCGCTATACCCCAGCCTGCCACAACAATCATCGGTCCTGAAATACTCGCAGTAAGAACCCTTGTTCTGGTAGATCGTGCGGACTTGGCGGGAGATGGTGGGATGGAGGGAGACGCACTGGCTGGTGGCGGAGATCTTGAAGCAGGGGCCGGGGTTGATGTCTGGGGCGCAGAGGAGTGTGTCGCCGACGGGAGAAACGGAGGAGGTTAGGTGGTGTGGTGTTGTTTCGGTTGTGGACTTGGCACGGGTGTCGATGGTATGTGCAGCAGCAGCATCTTCCTGAGGAAGAGGAAGTATCTTCACGGCGGCTTTGTTGGTGCTAGCCCCAGCTTTAGAGTACGGGAGGCAGATAACGCCCGTCAGCACGGGTGGCCACTTAGAACTGACATCCGCGGCCTGCTCGTTCGATCCGGAGTCAATCGTGAAAGCGGTGTTGTCGCACCGGTTGCCCTGCGAGTAGGAACACAGGTTACCTTTGCTCTGGATGATGGACTGCACGTTGAAGCGCGCGGGCGCGTCGAGCTGGATGCACTGCAGGTGCGCGTTGACGGTGACGCAGTTACCCTGCTGGCGAAGACCGTTGCAGAGCTTCACTTTGCCGAGCTCGAGGGAGGCGTCGGTGGTCACGGTCGTGACGGTGATGCCGCCTGGGGTTGGTGCGGCGGAGGTGAGAGCGAGGAGGCTGGCCAGGCCGGCGAGAAGGTGGGAAGCGCGCATTGTGCCCTCCAGAATGTGCCAGTAGCTTGTGATCAACCAAGTAGGTCGTTGTGTTTCGTACCTTCCTTGTAGGCAAGTTGGAATAGGGAAGCTGAGGACGTGTGAGTGTATATATGTGCTCAATTTGGAAGCGTGGGTGTGTGTGGGTGTAGGGAGGAAGAAGGAACAAAAGAAAGAGAAGCGGGATTGAAGCGAAGGAAGCGGTATATAAGGACAACGTCCATGGAGGTGGTAGCGGTGTGGTTGCGGTGCCCACGTGCAGCCTCAAGGACAGCAAATGGGCAAGTGAAAGCCAGCACGTAGAACTGTACCGCCTCATTGAAGGTAATAGCATTTTGCTGTTGTCTCATCTTTTCCTTACTTCCTACAACATGTCGTACATATTATACAGCTATCTTACGGGTCGAGGTCGCGGTTGATGTTGTACTGCTTGTAGCCAAATCCGTCCATAGTGACCCAGTGGCCCAGAGCCTCCATCTCTTTCCACACGTCGGGGTATAGCTCCTTGATCCAGGCCTCAACCTTTCCTTGCTTCTCGATATTGGTCGTCGTATTGTACCAGTTACTGAGACTGCAATACTGTTAACATGGACTACGGCTATGATCAGTCAAACATGTACTTACATGTAGAAATCTGGCGTGAAACCATACTCCTCCTCAACGGTCTCGACGAGCGCCAGCGCCTCGTCGTGCAAGAAGTTGCGTGCAATAGCGGACAGGTAAGCGGTAAAGATCTTCTTGTCGATTTCGATGTCCTGCTCCTTCAGTCGTGCCCAGATCGACTTAGCGTGCTGATCGCCCCATGGCATACCTTCACACGAGCGAAATGCGATAGCGATGCTGTTGTATGAAGGTCCTTCCTTGGACTCGCAGATCTCCCTCCAGAACTCGAGCGCTTTCTTGTTGTTTCCGCATGCCGCATGAGCAAGCATCAGGGCGTTGCGTAGCTTTGTGTTCATTTCAATCCTGAACTCGAGCTTCAGTTGATTGTTGACAAGTTCTAAAGACTCGGCATCGGTACATCGAGCGAAACCAGTGAACGCAGCAATGTAAACGTCGCGATTGGCCTGGTGAGATTCCGCAGTGTGGTTGCGCATATGAAAAAAGACGTGGCAAGCCATATCTGAGCGGTTGCGCGCGAAGAATTCGTTCATGAGCTGTATGCGGTCTTCGCGAGATGTTTCGGGAAAGGTGTTACGCAATATCTGATAAGCATCCCAGGCATCTGCTGTACTATTCTCTCCGTCCAGTATGAATGCGCAAAGGCTCTTGCTAATGACTGCTCGTTGAGCTGGGGAGTACTGATAAGCATGTACTTGGAGTAGGTCCATGGCATCGTGTATCTCGACACGGCGGAGGTGCAGAATGCAGAGTTTCGCGACAGTTTCTGGGGCAAAGCGCGCTTTCCGCTCATGCAGGTCGTCCACGATTGCCATAACGTCATCATAATGGTGTTGTTTCGACTCGCACAAGACCTGGATAAGCTCGTTGACAGCTGCGACGCTAGCCTCTGAGCCCTTGAAGTCGCCTTGCAGGTTGTAGTATGCTGCCCTTGCTCCATCGATGTCCTTAACAGATAGGCGATACTGCATCTGCATGGTGTAGGTCTGCTCATTGGGCAGAATTCCTCGCTTTTCTCCCATAGCGATGTAGCGCTCAGCAGAGTATGGATCCTGCCTTGACATGGCGAATTCGACTAGGAGGTTGATGGTATCAACGTCTGGATATACGGGGGCCTGTGCTTCCTCGGTACGGCGTATCATCACGTTCATCATCCGCTCGATTTCGTCTACACCCTTTCCTAGAGCTGCTGACCAGAGGAAGATAGCGTCCCACCCTTTCTTGTCAGGCACCTTTCCTTTTGTCAGACCAGCGACTACTTCTTGGCCGAACGTCAAGTCGCCACCAAGCGCACATGCCTTGAGTAGAGCAGTATAAGTGTTCCTGTGGACACTTGCGACCTTGTCATTTTGCGCACTTTGCGCAACCACGGGCCGCGAGTACCAGAACTTCGCAATATTTAGCTGTTGCCGGCCAGAAAAGAAGGACACAAGTATAGACTGCGTGAGTTCCGTGAGTGGCACCGAACTCTTGTTAAACATTTCTGTCGTTTTTGCCATCTCATCACTGTTGTTCTCGCGTGCGGCTCCAACAAGGACTCGGTTCCAGACATCGCGGGTGACCTTTCTCTTCTTTGTCTCTGGTGTATTGGAGTAGTCGTTGTAGTACTTGGTGGCAATCTCTCTCGCCTTAGATGTCGCACCATACAAAGACAGCAACTCTACAAGCTTTGGCCTGATGATCAAATCGTACTCTTCCTCTTTCGTCATCTTCACAGATTTGGATGTCGTCTCTGTTACACCAGTCGTAACCTCTCTGTCTTCCATCTTCGCGATCTGGTCGATCAAGGCTGAACCAAATTGAACGTGTGGCTTTCCTCCAGTTTCCGGACGTCGTCGATAGTTTATGAGTTCGTTAACAAGAGCCAGGAGCTCGTTGCTTGTGAGCCAATCTTCTCCACTCTCTTTGGGGTTTTCCACGAGATGTTGAAAGGTGTTATGTGCCAGCCCGATGTGAAAGTCCTCAAATGGCCCCTTCTTGGATACGAAGAAACTCTTGAAGGCCTCGGCGAGGTCCTTGGCATTCGGCGGTCTTGCTGACGTCTGCTGGGCGTGCGCAAGTTCGCTCATCGTCTCAAGACCAGCGGGGATATCCATCTTCTTGATCTTGCGCTGCGACTTGAACAAGCCACCGAAAAAGGCCCTTCGCTGCGACTGCGGAAGCGCTCGAGCGCCATGGTGGGTTATGACGGACGGTCGCAAACCTCGCTGTCGACATCCTCGGTACAGAAGGGGCTCATTGGCGATGATGCTGCGAAAGACGACGCGGGTCAGATGTGAAGGCATGGCGGCGGTGGCTCGGAGCTGCGGACTCGATGCGGGCTTTCGGGAAGGCGATTGACGCGTGGAGTAAGTAATATATCAAGCGCGGACGGCAGCCATGAATCCGAAAACGATGAACAACCACTGTACACGAAGAAGATCAGACGAAAGCGCGGTGCAGGCGGCGGCGGCGGCGAAGATGGGAGGGGAAGCTTCCCTGCATGTTCACGTCAGTAAACTTTAGCTATCACTAGCGCGGCTGCCAAGCCAGTGCATCTCGAAAATGTGGAGGAACCACGGCACGCGACAGCAGCACAGCAACACCCGCCAACATGTCGATAACACGGTTCGCGTTCCGGGCGCCGGTAGCCGTCAGCAAGAACAGCCTGCGGTGCTTCTCGTCAGGGCCCCAGAACCAGGGTGCGCCCCCCCTCCCCCTTCCCCCCCCAAGTCTCCTCCGCGGCTCCTCCGAATCTCGCACTGAAGCCCAGCAGATGATGCCCTCCTCTCCATCCTCGGTAGCAGCGCGGCCCGCAATCCCCCAGCCGGCCAGCAGAGTCCCGCTGGATCTTCTCTGGCCACCCGTATCGCCCGCGATGCCGGCCTCGACCGCCCTACACAGACCCGCGAGATGATCGAGTCCGAGCGGAGGTACCAGTTCCAGCGCCAGATCTACCGCAAGTGGCAGCCCGGAGACGTCTACTCGCCCCACGACTTGACCGGCGCCGAGCAAAAGAAGTGGAAGTTTGGCCGCAAGAAGCCCCAGAGTGACGCGTTCGATGTGCTAGGTATCAACCCGGTGAACGAGTACAAGGTCGGTGGTTTGAGGGTTTATCTTCGGCTTGGAGGCTGACAGCATCAGAATTTCACAATCATGTCCGAGTACATGACCGAAACGGGGCGGATAAAGCATTCCAAGGACACGGGCCTGCGACCCAAGAACCAGAGGAAAATCGCAAAGGCCATACGGAGAGCCATTGGACTCGGTCTGATGCCCAGTGTGCACAGGCATCCATTGGTACTGAAGAAGAGCAATCCAGCGAGGTTCTTGTAAGGGTTGGATGTTTGTATAGTATGGCGTACTTGTGACATGTACATTTGAGTGTAAGCATAGCAGAGGGCGTTCAAAACAAACGCGGATACACTGCTCAAGGGCCATGGAGCCTGTATTTCCACATTCCTTATTTCTCTGCATCTCTTACCGCACATACGATATGCATTTGATTGTTGGATCCACGGTGGTCTGCACGCTTTCAGAAAACCCAACAAGGTTAGCCTGGCTCAAGCTGGTCACGACGGTCTCGACCGCCTAAAAGCATCCGCACTGCCACTCTCCTCATATACGATCCCCAGCCCTTGGGTCGCTTCCTTGGAGCTTGCACGAAGAGCCCACTTCTTCATGTTCCTGACCTGAGCCATACTCATGGATCCTCTCACCGGATGTATCCACCCTCCCCCCCCCCCGGCGCACTGCACCAGCAACATTTTCGATTGTGATGTTGTTCGGATACGCTCTGGGCTACTCCGCGAGCTGGAGAACAGCGCGTCGAGAGTTAAGATCAGACATCTGAGGATTGACTTAACGAATGACGACCGCTGCTACGACACATGTGGTTGGGAAGCACACTCGAGCTATATGATTCACAGTACTGCCATGCCGGCCTTCGGTGCGCTACAAAGTATCGATGTTTTAGTCGAGGACGGGTTGGCGAATCGGATGCAGTTCATTGAGGAGACCTATTGGGGAAGTTGCCCGAGAGGGAAGGTGAGGATCGTAGATGGGAAGACTGGGGAATGAAATGATGAGAGTACGAGTGGGGTGTAAGCAGATTGGGCTGATAATCGATGTAGGGAGGGGGATGGGGAGTGGATCCATGAGGACAGTGGAGTGTATGCGGTTTGGGCGGTTTGGGCGGATAGTAGGTGTAGGAGTGTGGATGGGGAGTATGTGTTTACGAGGCTGGTGGACGATGAGGAGGAGAGTTTTGAGAAGCGGGTAGAGGCGGTAAAGTGGTTCAAAGGGTTACCGAGTATTGATCTGGGTCATTGAGATATGTGGATAATGTAAGTCATGTGTAATGTATGACCCTTTCTTGCAACAGAAAATTCACTGCTCATGTATCGTTGCAATATCAATTTCAACTCTGAATACGAGCATCCTGCGAGCGGCTCGATACAACATGTCTTTGTGTGAAGCCTTGACCACCTGAGCACACTTGGAGGTGACATGTCATTTGGATGTAGCATTCAAGGCCCGACCTATCACTAGATCTGTGCAAAGGACGAGAAGTTCATGACCTTTGTCTTGTAGCTCTTTGGAGGAAGCAGAGAACATTATATGTGCGACCGGTTCGTTGTCTCTTTTATCATGCAGTCCAAAGGATCGAGCCGATCATAGAACTTTCAGCGACGGTTTCCTGACCGGAAGGAGAACGACATGAACAGACTTAGGCAGAGCTCTGAAAAATATAGTGCACAGCTAGAAACATGCATCTGACCCATGTTTGTTTTCTGGCCAGAAGGCGAACGCATGTGCACCCAACGACCAGACTAAAGTCGAGTGTTGTTGTTTGGGAGGCATTTGAACACAAGCGTGAAGGCCTCCAAGGCTGATTCTCAGAAGGGGAAGAGGAAAAGATTATAGCTTCCACCTTTTTTCGAGGACAGGCAGGACCATCCAAGGCCTTAGTGAGGACCTGGGAAAGGGGCAGAAAACACACGCGTTTGGGATGTCTTGCCTTCGAAAGTTGAGAAGCAACGTTATTGAAGAAAGTAAGACGGCCTGAAGCTCTACACAGATTTCATGAATGCAGGCTCACCGGGATGTATACATGTGCGGACATGAGGTCTTCGGGCATTTCAGGCGGCAAGGCATGATATGGTGTGCGTTGGGCTTTGGAAAGTGGAGTAGACATTCTTGCTGCTTATGAGATTGAATCGAAGGCGCTTAGGGCTATGTTTTGATATCGTAGTCTCTCTGGGAAGAGCAGAAAGGACATGCAGCTTCAAATTTTTGGTTTTGGTAAGGTCATGGGCGGAGCTAATGAAGAAGAAAAAGAAGGGGCATAGCGACCATAAGAAGCCAAGTCTCTCAAAGACAACTAACACATATTGTGAACATGCGAAGCTTCGAATATTCCAGGACGCCAGAGCATGCCTTCGTCTTAGTCACGATTTTTTGTGGAACACTGGACTTTTGGTGTTCTTGTGCCTTTACTTAAGGCCGGCAGGAGCATAGCGTCTTGGTACAACTCTTTTGGGAAGGAACAAATGGAACACATGACCATGTTTTTTGTCTTCATGAAGACAGAAGGGCGAGGTTGATGCAGAAAAGAAACAGGTCGGGTCTCAGGCGGTTTTTTTGGCCGCAAGACTCTCTTCAGGGGAGCAGAAAGCCAGGTTACTTTTGTGCTCCGGGGGCAAAATCGGCTTGCCCATCACTTGTTCTCAAGTGGTTTTTGTACAAGAAGCAGAGCAAACATGATTTCTGACTGTGATTTTTTCTTTCGAAAATTTGAGTTTTCATCAGGGCTTTCAGACAGCGACAGACATGGATCCTTTGGGTCATCATTTTTCATAAAAGGAAATAAGGTATGTGATGTGGACGTACGAGCCTTTGGGATTCTGGACTCCCAGGACATGGCCGTGGACGCAGTCGATTATGAGATAGCAGACAGACATTTCTGCCAGTTTGGTGATTTGATCGACAAAAGACAAGGTTATGGTAACCGACTTTTGGGAAGGGTAACGGATATAAGCGCGTCTACTCACGATTTTGAAACTTTCAATGCTGGAGCTGATGATGGAGAAAAGAAGGGGATATAGAGATCGATACCATTTGATACCTGCAAGTCTTATGTGCAGATTGCCGAAATTGTGAATTTCGAAGATAGGCTCTTATGTTTCTACATGATATACATCTCCGTTACAACGACCGAAACTCCGGCTAAATGCTATACAAGAAATCAAAAAGATATGTCCATAGCTGTTAATGTATAAGCTCAGCTCACCTTATTCCCGCCGCCGCACCAACAGCGTCCGTCACCCTCCCTCTCGACGTGTACGACAACGTCCATATTCTTGCCCTTCAGGAACTGTATTGTGCGCTCTCGCACGTCCTCTAGATCTGCGGCTTGAGAAACGATGATGTGAATGACGCCGAGGATTCTTTGCTTTCCGGAAGTGTGGATGTGGTCATGATCGTGACCGTGGTGATCATGTGCGTGTGTGTGGCCGTTCAAGTGCGAGTGGGAATGGGAATGTGCGTGGTCATGATCGTGGTCGTGTCCGGAGTGCTTGTGCTTGTGTCCGTTGGCATGGCTATGGTCGTGGTCATGGTCATGGCCGCCGTCACAGCTGCCGTGCTGATGCTCCTTCGCATGGGACTCTGCGTGCGCGGCGCCCTCGTCTTCCAGCCAGAACTTTGGCACTGTGTAGCCAACAACCCCACGTAGCGAGCTAAGCTCCTGCAATGTGTTGCGCACGCCATACTCTGCGTCAGTAGGAAGAGACAGCATCAGGCGCATACCTGAGCTCTTAACAAGCGGGATCGCAGACAAGAAGATGAGGACCGCGATGATACATGATGCAATAGGATCCCAGCCGGACCAGCCGTAGTACTTCGTGAGCAAGGTAGAAATGATGACGGCTACAGAGCCAAGAGCATCGGCGAGGATGTGTAGGAAGATGCCCTGCATGTTCTCGTTGTCATGGGAGTGACCATGACCATGGTCGTGATCTCCGTGATCATGCGAATGTCCATGGCCGTGGTGTGCATGGCCAAAGGCTGTGAGGCCTACGATATTGACGAGGAAGCCAAGGATACTGACAATTAAGAGTTCGTTCAGTCGTTGAAGCTCATGACCTTCCCACAAGCGTTCGAAGGCATCAAAGATGATCTCTACACTGACGAGTCTAGGTTGCGTTAGTAAGAGGTCAATACACGAAGTTAAAATATCGACTTACAAAAGAAAGACACCGTTGGCGAAACCGGACAAAGTGTCGATCTTGCCATACCCGTAGGGGAAGCGAGCATTGGGGCGCCATTTGCTCATGACCGCCGCTGCAAGACCCACTGCAAGACCAGCACAGTCGAAAAGCATATGGATACTGTCGGTGAGCAGACCCAAAGAGCCACTAACGAATCCATAGAAGAATTGGACCATCATGAAACTAAGGTTGAGAACTCCAAAGTACGCAATTCGTCGTGAATCCCTCTCGATCATGACACTGTGAATAATGGAGCCTGGTGTCGTTTGCGCAATGAGGAACGCGGAGACTTTGGAAGGGTTTGCATGAAGGTGGTGTTCATGTTTGTGGTCGTGCGAGTGACCGTGGTCTGCGTGTGTATGTTCGTGAGCATGCGAGTGTGCGTGAGAAGCACGAGTATCCCACGCAACGCCGCAAGCGTAAAGTGTGTAAGACAACCCAGTGAACACCAAATGATACCATTCAGGTAGGGTTTGCCATCCGGTGAATGCAATGACAAGAAGGCCGCCGAGGTGCAGTCCAATGTACTGTTGACTTCGTAGGGCAGCTGGAAGCGATAAAAACACAAGCGCCGTCGCTGATGCAACCGATAATGCCGTGAAGATGATTGTGTGTTGCGAGAACGATGAAGCGGAAGAAACGAAAATGGAATACAGAAGACTGATGGTCATGAGGCTAATGCCAGATATGCAGGTTAGCAGGGCAGCTTCTGATGTGCTGATCAGAGGCGAAGACGGCTTGGGCAAGGATGCTCGCGCAGATCCTTTGCTGATGTACGAATCCTGAGTCTGGCTACCTGTGATCAGAGACCAGCCAGCTGTGGGTAGAGGTGGGGGAGCCGCGAATATCGATGTGAACAGAGCACCGTAGCCAAGCAGGGCGCATGCCGGATGGCCCCAGGCCATGACATCGACGATAGTACCAATAAACAGGACTGCGAACGTCGTCCTTCGGGTCCGCAGGGTCCTTTTAAAATCATCCCAGTGCGTGTGTTTGCCCGGTCTTTGATCTGTAGCGCCAACACCTGCTGCAACCGCAGTCAGAAGCACCAAGGCTGTCTTTGCGCCACCTATCTGCATGGTAGCATAGAAAGGCAGCAGGACACCGGCGATGTTGCTGAGAGTCTGTTTGAGACTGGCAGCATCCCGCAATGCCGTTGCGATACCCCTCGAGCTTTCTGCCTTTCGCCGATCAAGCGGCTGATCTAGACTCGATCGAACCCTTGCTACAAGTCCCACTACAAGCAATGTCGTCGATGTGAGGAAGAGGGCGTTTAAAAGGTGTGCTTCGTTCGCGGCGGTTTCGGCGGCGACCGCTGGCTCATTTTGAACGAGAGCCTCTGATAGTGTCGCAGGTAGCTTTCGTGCAGCACTCGGGTATGCTATAGATGCAAGGAGGTACGGGAGAGGGATGAGCAGCGCAGTGAGTGCTTCGGGGAGGTCTAGGAATGATCTGCCACAACATCAGTACTGTTACAACACAAGGATTACGTAGTCCTTACAAAGATGGCTGCACTGGCGCAGACTCCTGTACTGGTGAGAACAGGCCATACTTCGCTGCCGCCGCATTCTTCCTTGGTGTTTGGGGCGAGTCCAAGCCAAGTCTGCTGTTTGTCCTACCATTCGCAAAGGAAGTCAAGCTGTGCGTGGAGCCATTCGAGTTGGTATGGGCGTGAGAGTGGGAATGGCTGTGGCCGTGGCTGTGGCTGTGGCTGTGGTTGTGCGCATTGCTATTGTACTCGGCATACGGCGAACGCACCGCGCCATACAGTTGTCCGCTCATGTTTGGTCTGTGGTGTTGGTGCCCTGACGTAGGGTTGTTCCCTTCCTCTACGGGTGACAGGACCTTGGAGCGTCCGCTGCTATTCGGCGAGGGTGCTGTGAAGTAATGCGACTGCGATTGCGAGCGCCCATGGCCGTGAGAATGCGAGGTGGGCGCGATAGGCAGTGCGTACGTAGACGCCATCTGCTAGCACTGCGTGCGGGAGTCCGTTCTCGCTGTGTCTTGACTCGGTCTCGGTGGTGCACGCAAAGGGCAAGGTGGGCCGTCTTGGGGGGGGGGGGGGGTCCGTATCGCTCTTGCTCCAGCAGACCACGATGCAACGAGTATATGTACAGAAGCAAGAAGTGATTCGAACGGGTGGGGCGTCGACGACAGCAACGTAATGCAGTTTGGAGGCGCCTCTATCTGCTTCGATAGCGGCGCCCCATCCATTTTATTCAGGGGCCAAGTTCACGGCCTTTGACGTGCATGCTACGCGCCTTCCCTATTGGGTGCTTCCCCGGCAAGCGCCACGAGCCGGGTTGCAGGGCGGAGATCTTGTTAAGCGAGACTGGGCTGCAACGTGATCGTCTGCTTCACCATTACAGGCCAGAAGTCACGATACCACAACCGACCATGTTCGAGTCGCTGCTCACTGAAAAGTTCAGCAATGGCTTTGACATCGTGCTGGGCGTCGCACTACTCTTCTCGTCTATCTTCACCATCATCTTGGTGACCCTGCCGTCCCAGTATGATCCGTACATGGACAGGCCGCTCAAGGTGGTGGTTGAAGAGGGCAATGAGATCAAAGTAAAGAGAAAGGATGGGAGCGATACTTCGGAGTTCAAGCAGGGGAGAACGGTGCAGATCGTTGTACTGGGAGACATTGGACGTTCGCCCCGCATGCAGTACCATGCTCTGAGCATAGCCAAACATGGCGGCAGAGTGTTTCTGATCGGATACCAGGGTATGCAAATTGGACAAAGCTGAAATAGCAGACTGACGTTGTTGTAGAGTCAGAAATACATCCTGATATCGTGTCCAACCCGCTGATTGAGGTTGTACCACTGGTGCCAGCACCTGCATTCCTTCTTTCGAGCAGCAAGCTACTATTTCCTATTCTGGCGCCCTTGAAAGTACTTTGGCAGGTCAGGAGCCTGTACCGCGCTCTGTGCTACCGCACGCAACCTGGAAGATGGATGCTCGTGCAGAATCCTCCTTCGATACCCACACTCGCTGTGGCGAGTCTCGTGTGCTTCATTCGGAACACTCAGCTGGTGATTGACTGGCACAATTTTGGCTACTCGATCCTCGCGCTGAAGCTCGGCAACAGCCACCCACTCGTCAAAATCTCCGCTTTGTACGAGGGAGTCTTCGCAAAGGCTGCGAAACACCACTTCACGGTCACGCATGCCATGGCCCGTGTGCTTAAGGAGTCGTATGGCGTAACAGCTCAAGCCCTTCATGACCGTCCAGGCCCAATGTTCCGACCTATCAATCCTCACGAACGATCTAAGTTTCTTAACCGCTTCCCAGAAACAGCGCAATACGCTCAGGAACTCACCGCATCTTTTAATAGGCCATGGAAACTTATTGTGAGCTCGACATCCTGGACCGCAGACGAGGATTTCTCTATACTCCTCGATGCACTTTGCACCTATTCAGCCCAGGTCGCGGCTAGACCGGGCTTACCCAACATTTTGGCCATTATAACCGGCAAGGGTCCACAGAAGGAACACTACCTTGGCAAGATTCGGGCCCTGAACCAGGAGAAGAAGCTACTGAACGTCGTTATACAGACAGCCTGGCTCACTTCTGAAGACTATGCGACCCTGCTTGCCGCTGCTGACCTCGGCGTCTCACTGCACACATCATCCTCAGGCGTTGATCTGCCGATGAAGGTGGTCGACATGTTTGGCGCAGGACTGCCAGTTATCGGATGGGGCAAGTTCGAGGCGTGGTCTGAGCTGGTCAAAGAAGATGTCAACGGTAAGGGGTTTGAAAGCTCGCAGCAGCTGGCGGAGCAGCTACTCGGCTTGCTCGGTGGCAAGGCTGGGTTACTAGAGACACTGAAGAATGGTGCGGTTGAGGAGAGCAAAAATAGGTGGGACGACGAGTGGGATCGCGTTGGTGGGAAGCTGCTTAGGTTGATTGAGTGATGGCCTGGCCAATCCGAGGCTATCGATTTGGTGCTCAACACCAAAGGTACGATTACTCATAAGAACCAAGTTTGAGAAGATAGCTACTAAACAAGTATCGTATTGGAATATTCAGATCTTAGTTTTCTACCTTTCTCATATTCTTCCCTCGCACGAGACGCACTGCAGATCTTCAGCCTACGTCTGCTACCAACCTAAGAGGCAGTACATATACTGTAGTCCCCAGAGTCTCACAAGATGGCATACAGCACTCCAACATTCTTCCGCTTCCCAGTGTCCAGGATACCCTCCTTGCCATCGTCTACACGCACATGTGTCTCATACAACACACGCGTTCAGGAGTACAACTTCGAGTTCCGCGATTCCAGCGGTTCATCGAGTACCTCCACGCTTACCCAACGTCAACACCTGAAACCTCAGCACATACAAACCTCGACGCACCTGTGCCGAGTCTGCTCAGTCCCGAGGATGGCCAGCTCAACGGTCAACTATCGTCTACGCCCCCTCCAAAGGCAATTCCAGACATGGAAACGGCGCAGTCCCTGTTGAATGAGCAGCTAGAAGTTCTAATGCAGGCCCTCCACCAAAGAATCAACACCAACTACCTCCAGGGTACGCTCTATGTCGACGCCTTTGAAGAGCTCACAGCAAGCACAATCTTCTCAGGCATGGGCGAGCGCATTCACGCCGACATGCAGTACAGGCGCCCGGGCATCGAACTGAGCGAGGTTGACCGCACAAGGAAGGCGTTCATGGGTTTCCTTCGAACCTATCTTCGAGACCTGGCTCAGACGAATGCGAGAAGGAATCACAGGGCTGGAACTTCAAGAAAAGATCACGGCTGCATGTGTGAGATGGCGGAAAAGGAGGTGGGTGTTGGTGTGCAGATGAGTTAGGATGATGAGCTGACTGTCGACAGTGTGGGTGATGAGGAGGGAAGGAGGAGGAGGAGGAGGAGGAGGAGGAGGAGGAGGCGGATACTGCCATCGTGGAATTGACGATGAAGCTTGAGGAGTGGAAGAAGGTTACGAGAGCGACTGTGCTTTGTTGGGGCAGCGTGGGCAAGTTCTCTAGCGAGCCTTGACTATGGTTGATTGTCAGCCAGCTGTATCCAGGGAATTCACCTGTTGCCACTGTTGAAGACAAGAATAATCACGAAAATGTTGCCGCTTTCGAGAATGAACAGTTACGACTCAAGGTTTCATGTTTGTTCAGATTCGTTCACGAGCATAACTCGTTTCCACAGGTGTATCCTACGCCAAAGCGCTTTCGCTCGTTTCCTCCAAAGGAAAGACGTGTATCCAAAATGTTCGATTCCCCAAAAGACCAAAACTCCTTTCAGCGCTGTTGCTTGTGAGACATGCTCGGGGTATCGATGATGGTAGAGACAGAAACGTATACCAAAGGGAAGTTCAGGAGGTAGGTGCGGCGGCGACGGCTGGTGACGGCTGCTATTATGAAAGATGACGACAGTCCAGACTAATCGACAGCTCTGCGTGACCCACAGAGACTATCGGGCGTGGGATGCGTCATCAAAGGGAGGTGAGACAGCGCCTGTGCGGCTCAAGTGCCACATCCAAATACAGCAGGCGTTCCAGCCCTACCGCACTCGGCCTACGCTTCCGGCATGCAACTACCTCTCCATAGGGAAGGTCGTCGCAGGGCTCACGTGCTGTGAGGTTTCTGGAGAGTTGTTCTTGGAGGACTCGGGGGTGAGCGTGTGTGTCTGGAAGACGATGTACAGATCGTCGTAGCTGCCCATGACCATGTGCTTCCACTTGGCCATAGTGGGCAGACCGACGTTGGCGACGGAAGACTTTGCGGAGATCTTGTCGGCGTACTGCTCCCTCTCCTCAGGCAGATACAGATCTTCCTGGTGGATGTCCATGCGACTGGCGCCACGAGGGATGGGCTTCCTGGTAACGCGCATGAACGGCAAGTTGGGGTCTATTGTTATGGCATGTTAGACAGTGAAAGAGCAGTATTTCAGTGTATGCTACTCACGCTTGTCGAGCTCAGCGCAAAGAGCTCCCTCGGTGGTGGATTCTAGGCCTTTGGCTCCAGAACGGTACTTGTAGACAAGAATGGACTTGTTGCTATTCTCATCGAGATCGAAGAGGCTACTGGCCTTGCTGGAGGTGGTGCCCGATGTGGACGTGGATTTGAAGGTCATGCTTTCCTGCATCAAGATCGGATGGGTGCCGAGTAGGTGAGGCTGAGACCGGTGGTGGGTAAATAGGGCTGTTGGATGTTGGATGTTGGGACTTGGGCGTTCGGTGATTGTTTGCGGTCGCACAAGGAGGACTGTGGGCTAGGTAGGCTTTGTATAGGCAGAGTGCGTGACCTGGTGATGTGCAAGCAAGTGAAGGCAGGGGTGGAGTGAGCGACACTGAGCGATCTGGGCTGTAAGGAACCTCAAGCGACTTGCGTCACAACGGCTGCGCCTCCGTGGTGGCAGCGCATCGCGGAGCTACAAGCAAACGAGTGGCTGCGACCGGGCAGGACTCCATCCTGATTGGCAAGAGACGGCGGCAGTGTCTGGTGGAGCCGTAATTGGTTGCGCGCCTTCACTCTTCTTATGTGATGACGAGAAGGTTCGCAAGATTGTAACAGGACTTGTGACTGTTCGCAACCGTTACTCAGTTACAGAAGCTGCCAGACGTGATCTGATTGCTGGGTCCCAGAAATGCCGGTCCTGCGCAGCTTGGACGTTGTGAGACCTTCAAGCGCGCTAAACTGCAGCAGGACCATGTCGACAAAGAAAAGGAAAGGTTTGAGCAAGCTGGAAGCAGGCCTCGCAGTCCGGATGACTCGTCCCGAACTGATGTCAATGTGGCCAGCAAGCTTTTGTGAGGGCTCACTTGGCTTCATACAGGGCAAGGACAGTTCCAAATTGAGTCACCTGAAACGCGTCTCGCGAATGATGCTGGGTAGTGTCGGTCTTCCTTTTGGCAGGAGCAGCTTTGCAAACCGTTCCTGCCTATCGTCTCTGTTTTTGTGAAGCAGCAATGTAATTAGCTCACCCTCCAGGCAGCTGCCCATGGTCTTCGGTAGCAATGATGCGTTACTCCAGATCTGTGAGATGCGCTGAGCTCATCATTATGTTCATCACTGTCGCACAAGTTCCTGCAGCCCCTGAAAGCTTCTCAAAGGTGACCAACTCGAGAGACGAGCGCCCAAACGCCATCTGGTAATCATGATCTGTCAAAAGAGGAACCTTGAAGGCAGTGCAGTCGTACAGAGCGCCGGTGGACAAATCAGGCACCCGTATCCCTGCACTTGACTAGCCCTGGAGACATTCAGGCGTATCAAGCCACACCCGCTTCCGCGCACTAGATATATCGGGGGTGGGCAGCTGCTATGAGGCTGCATGTGCCTGAATACCTCGAGGGAGCCCTCTAACCAGACAACTGCGTGCATCCGACCGAAAACCTCATTCCCGGAATTGCGATCACGATCAAGCAAAGAAACCGCCGTACAAAGCACCGACTACCTCCCGAGCTCGCCATGTCCCTGCAACTCCCCCAAGAACCACCGTCGCGGCCGCTAAGCATCCGAACCACGGGCACTTCGGCGACGATGGCAGATAAGACTGGGGAAAGCTGGAGAGGCGCTGTTGACAAGCACAACTGCTGGGAAGACCTGATATTGACACTAGGTATGTACAGCTGTTGCGCGTGAAGGAAGCGTGGAGGTGGTGGCAGTACTCAGCCTGGCGCATGTGGAATAGCGTTCTCGCGCGACATCGTCGATGACGCGCCTTGTGTAGGTGACGAACGCTAACAATATCTACTGTAGATGGCGGAGGTATTCGAGGCTACTCCAGCCTGCTCATCATTCAACGACTCATGCACGAAGTAGCGAAATGCGAACAACGACTACAAGAAGAGGAAGGACCTGTGCCTGGTAGTACTGGAAAGGAGTTCGACGAGAACGAACTGCTGCCATGCCACTACTTCGACTACATGTACGGCACCAGCACAGGAGGTCTCATTTCAGTAATGCTGGCGCGCCTACGCATGACAGTCCCACAATGTCTCGAGATCTACCGACGCGTAGGCCACGAACTCTTCGGTCACCGCCGGAACGTCCTCCCATTAGCCACGAAGTACTACCACAAGCCACTCGAGAAGGCAGTACAGGAAATTGTGAGCCAATATTGCAAACTTCACTCAAACTGCGATGGCAAGGACTGGCATCCGTGGGACTGGGACCCAGTTGACGAGGAGTCGCCCAACATTTCAGGGACCTCTACTTTGAGCAGCAACTCGACATATAAGAGCTCATACAACTCTGCGCCAATCCAACCGATCGATAGGATATGTCAATCGTAAGTAGCCTCCAAGACACCTCAACTATTGCCCCATGGTCTTCCCGCGTGGCCGTGTAGTCTCCAAAGCGGCCTATTGCTTGCTAGTGCTTGCACATATTTGCTTTGAAGACCTCACGGCTGGGGTTTCACAAGTTGACGACCACGTAAGGTCGTTTGGAGGCCCTCCACAAGGGGCCGTCGGCCGAGAAAACAATCATGATATGGGTATTTGAGAACTACAGCTGACTTTCATAGCATCTGTCTCACTGCAACACACAACGGTCAGATCGACGAAGCCTACCTACTCCGCTCTTACAACCACCGATACGACCAAGACATACTGCCACCTTGGGTTCGACCGTACAACGAGGGCGCCGATAAGCTCAAGATATGGCAGGTAACTCGGGCCACATCGGCAGCACCCTTCTACTTCGACATGCTTATCGCGGACGTTGGCAAGAAGCGTGGCTTCAAGGGCTTCAAAGATGGCGGAATTCGCGAGAACAATCCTTCATACGCGGCATACAGCGAACACGCATCATTAAGAGGAGACGAGCATGAGCCTGCTCTACTCTTGTCAATTGGCACTGGACGTCCAAACAATAACAACGACGGATTTGCGGCGGTCTGGCCAGGCCCTCTTGGAAAAATCTCCTTGTTACAGAAGTGGAGCGAAAAGTTCGCAGTCTTCAAGAATGTCTTGATCAAGTACACTGAAGGCGAGGCGCGTCACAAGACAATGCGCACCATTGCCAAAGGCGAGCACCGATGGTATAAGCGCTTGAACGTCGATCAGGGCATGGAGGGACTTGCGCTTGACAACTGGGAGAAGGGACCTTGGTTCAATATTCAGACCGGTGAAGAGAAAGTTGTCTCCGGCGGCAAAACCCTTTCGCGCATGGAGAAGGCTTCAGGAGACTACATGAACCGCGATCATGTGGAGACTTTGGACGGTGTGAAGGAGTATCAGCCACCAAAGATTGTCCTTCAGCAAATTGCTGAGCGCCTTGTACGACACCGACGATTACGCGAGGAGACTAAGAACGACAACCTTAAGCGCTGGCAGACTCACATGGGTCAGTGGCTGACCGGTGAGCTGAAGGACGAAGACTCGGCGATCCAAGTCTCCCCTCCCACAAGCCGGCAAGGCTCCAAGTCGAGGTCTAGGCCAACAACACCCGGACGTGCATGAGCGACATATCGCATGCTCAACAATACTACCGCGAAAGCCTCCAGCCTGCCCAAATCCCTACGTCGACCTGAACTTTGACTTTCTAACTTTTAGCGTGGCGTTCCGCTTTGCGCTTGGCAAATATTACTCATTTTGCCCACCATTTGTTTCACAGCATAGCATTTGCACATTTCAGCGGCTCCCAGCATCGATACACAATATACCCCTCCCCTCATGGCATTTACGAGCACCTGGCGTTCTGCATAGCATCCACATATACCCCACATAATCTTATTGAAGTTTATAGTGGCGTACAAATTGGAGGAAACTGCATTGTGGTTATATAGGACATAGACCCATCTACAGGGCCGTAGACATATTTCGGGTATTACATCAGTGGACAAGATATAAACTTGAAATCCACGGGTTTTGGTATTGCGCTACAATACTGATTATCGATGCTCTGGGTCAGTGATCTGGCGCCCTTCTAAAGTACACAAAATAGTCAACAACGCTATACAAATGTACAACAACCGCGTCATGAAGCTTGATCAAGCCTCTAGTCACCGCAAGTACAGTTTTCCGTAACGCTTCACGCCGATCTAAGCACCAAGCTTACCCTTCAAATCCCCCTTCAGTCCACCATCATAACCGCCCTTACCCAGCCTGTACCCAAAACTCACCGCCACCGCACAGAAAAGCCCCAAGCAAAGCAGCGTAGGACCCCACTTATCATGATACACCACCGCCCTTCTCTCTCGGATCTTGCGCGCTCTCCAGAGGTAGAGACCCACAGAGTAAAGCAGCGCCAAACACGCAATAATCGTAAACGCCCACGCAGCCGCAAACGCCAGCCCGTCACCAAAGTTGAGCAGTGTAGCAGCAATACTGCCAATGAGGATGCTGAACTCGAGCCACGAGAGGAATGTACGCTCGGTCGCAAGTTGAACCTTAGGCTCGACACGGACGGGGACGTGGATGCGCTTCCCCTTGGGCGCCTTGAAGCGCTTGACCTCGCCCGGCTGTTTCCAAGTCGGTACGCCGAGGGAGAAACCACCCTCGCCGACGTCGGTGGGCTTGAAATGGAAGAGGAACGTGAAGCCGTTGACGAGGCTTGTGCCGGCTGTCTTGGCTGCGTGTTCTGTCCACTTCTTTGCGTAGTGAAGGCCGCCAACACGCTTCGCTTCTTCGAGGTCGTCGTCTTCGTCGTCGCTGTCTGAGTCGTAGATGGGGTAGTCGTTGTCCTGGTTGCGCTGGGCGGCGACGCGCTCTTCGACATCGAGGGCATTGGGGTCGTTGCCGTTGCTTAGGGTACCGTATTCTCTAGTGCGGGCAATCTCGCTTTGCTCCATGACATCGCGGGCTTCACGAAGTCTCCCAAGTTGGTCGTCATCTTGGCTCCCATTTGCAGAAGGGAGGCCCATGACAGCGTCGTCATCGTCGCTGTCGTCGTCAAGAGTGTTGCTAGTACTGATGTCGTTGCTGGCGCCAGGTCGCACGATACCAAACTTGTGGCTGACGGGCTTGCGGATGTCGACATGCATCTGAGGGTACCAGTAGGGAAGCAGGTTGATCCTCGAAGGGTTCAGGGTGGCGGTCCCGTGGATATACTTGGAGAACTTGGGGACGGCTTCGACCAAGTGCGATGCAGTCAAGTCTCGGATCCACTGCGGCGCCTCTGCACCAGCTGCAGTTTGCAGCTTGACTTCGAGCACAGCGTAAGGGAACAGCTCTTTGTCCTCAGGAGGAAGTTGCTTGAAGGGCCAGTCTACACCAATATCTGTGCGGCGCCAGTTGTCGCCGGCACGCTTCTTGCCATCCAAGTTATCTTCGCGTGTCATGGTAAGCTCGGTGTCGAGGGAGATACGAACTCGAGCATCGCCGGGAAGCTGGAAGGCGGTACGGTGGTAGAAGGAGCGCGTAACGGGTACCAGGCTGCGGTCAATGACACGGTACTGGATCTCGCGGGCGAGCTGCTCGTCAGATGCAATGTCCTTCTCAGGTCTCTTCTGCTCCCTGCGCTCCTTCTCGAAGATCTTCGAGGGCAGCAGTCTACCCTTGAGGTAGTCATTGACGTTCTTCTCCTTGAGCTTGAAACGCGCCTTGACCGACTCCTCGCCGGTCCAATCTTCACGATGAGTCTTGCGCTCAATGAAGATGGTGTCGCTGTTCATGCCTCCATACCATCGCAGACGAATAGCCTCGGCGCCTTCTGTCTTCTTCAAACGACCTTCGTATAGCTCCCATGTGTCTGTGTTATCGAAGTAGATAGATGTGATAGACGCATCCTCCTCGTTGAATTCCTTGTTAGGGTTGAAAACCAGCACAGGCAGATGCTTTAGGATGATGAGCTTCAACTCGACGATGTTGTCAGGGTGGACCCAGTATTTTGTGGTCTGGCGAACAAAGTTCTGCTGCTTTCCACCGGCGGAGGAGTCGCCCTTGACCGGGTTGCCGCGAGTGCGGACGATATCGTAGAGCTTCGAGAGCTTGACAATGTAGCTGTCGTAATTGTCTTGGAAGAAAGGCTTGCGCTTGAGGCGGGCAGCGAAGACAGGCTTGAGCGCCCAGTGCGTGTTTTTCTGACAAGTCAGCGTCAATTGATGTTTACACCGCGCATCAACGTACATCATGCTTCTTTATGATCTTCTGGAAGCCTGTGTAGTTCAATTGAGTGAACTTGGCAAGGTCGTGAACATCTGCAATGATGTCGCTGAGATCCTCCTCGAGTAGATCAAAGTCCTCTTCGAACGGGTCGCCATCCTGGCCGGCCTGCTGAGACTGCAAGTGTTCCTGCGAGCGGGCGACAGCGGTGTTGACCTCCTTCTCCGACGATGCTATGCGGCGGATGATCTCCTCGCTCTTGACGCGCACGAAGCTGTAGACCTTGTCGAGTTCCTTCTCGAGCTGCTCGACGAAGCTCTGCTCAGACTTCTCGTCCCAGGTGTGGTGCACGCGCAGGGCAGTCTTCAGGTCCTCGTAGTCGATGTAGTAGAAGAGCCAGTCCTTGTTCAGCGACTGCTTCAGCTGCTGGCCGAACCTACGCGGAAGGTGCGTCAGTGCCCGTTGCTACCCAATTGTGTGCATAGCGATTGGAGGGTGACGACAGCGGGTGCCGGGGGGTCAAACGAACCTCATGACGGGCGATGTAGGCGCGACGAGACTGCTCGACGCACTTCAAGCGGTGCTGGTGGACGGGATAAGAATGTGACACAATGTCCAAGGCTCCGGAAGGCCCAGCGAAAGAAAGGCAAACTCTGAACAGGAAGCTCCCCGTGGTTGTAGCGCAGAACGTACCCTGGTGGTGGAGCTCTGGTAGTTAGCGATCAAGCTTGATAACAGCCAATCGTCACGCCCACGTGCGGTGCCTGGATGTCAACAACTGCGCACGTGATGAATCGCGATGGGCCTCATCAACTGGAAAGGACGAAACTAACGAAGACTCTGCAATTGCTATTCCTCTTGCGTGCAATTGCTACATTGAAAGGATGAGGTTAGTGCCAAGGTATGCACGTGCACTCCATCCTGCTGCCATTGACGAATCGGAGGCTGATGACGTGCATTCTGGAAATCCGCATGCAGGGCATAATACCATCCACTCCGCCCAAGTCTATCACACGACAAGTGCATCTCGAGCATCGCGACGCCAGGAGAAATTGACACCTTTACGAGGAAAGTCTTCGAGATACGACTAGTTCGTTCTGCAACGAAAGTTTTGCAAATTTGCCAGGTCCACTGCCCCGTCCACGCTGCTAGCAACCCATGTCAGATCACAAATCTGCGTTGCTCCACTCATACGGCAGAATGAGCTGCGAAAACACTGTCGACCAGCAGCTACATTTGGGTGTCACACTGCGTAATGAGAAGGGCCATCATATTCAATGTGAATTCGCACTTCCCAGAAGAATAACAAGAGATGAATGGGATTGGGGTCGGGAGGACGTGAGAGCTTTGATGGAACAGCAATACACATACCGAGATGAACCAATCTGAACTCATTCACAGCGACCACGGCAAGCTGCCAACGTGGGCACGAGGTCAGCAGGACGCAGGAAGAGTTGTTGTTGTTGGATCAAGTATGCTCTACAGCGCAGGACCAAGATCTGTCTAGTGGCGAACGCTGTTGTACGGTGACTGATGTGTCGCCGTGCTGAGAATGCAGTTCATGAGCAACGCAAGTTGGCCTCTACTTGACTATTCAACCCCTTTGAGGTGCATATGGTCTCAAACTTACCCACATACGTCACGAAGTGTTTGCTGTATGGCCATGCGGGCGACTACGACAGACTCTTCAGTGGCAGAACCAGGTCCCAGATCATACTTGCGAAAGGTTGTTCGACACCCTCACCAAGAACGTTCCGCTATCAGAATCGATCTACATATGCGAATACGAGCACGGCAGATCAACGTACCGAGTGATGCTCATAAGGGATATCTGCATCTTCAGTGCTTCTTGACCCATGGCCCGAATTTGCAAGCCAACGACATCCACCAAGATCTGTACATGTCGAGATCAGCTGCATTTGGAGAGATCTGGGCGAAGTTCAACAATCTGATGATATTCGACGAGCATTCAGCTCGGCTCATCCAATGGTTCTGTAACGGCGACCATACCGGTGGTAATGGAAGGTGTGGGTAGATTGGGACGGTGAACCACACGACCGATGGTCAATGATGCCCAAGCCTGTGGCGTTGAACTCTAATTCGGCTGTTAGCACGTCAAAATGAGGCTCAACTAAAGGTTTGGATCTCTGCGGACTGTGCCGTACATCACCTTTCAGACATTATTGTCACCATGAGTCGCCGGAGTCGACCGGCGACGCGTTCCGCCACCCACGACTGAACTGACAAAGCATTGTACTTTGACAGATAGCAAGGCTCAGAGGTACTTTACAGCAACACTAACTGGGCGCAACCTCCCGTTCTCTCCACTGTTCCTGCGTCAAGCTCGGCCGCAGTGCACCCAGCAAGTTGGTTTGAAATGCTCGATGGATTAGTGCCCGAGACCATTGATCCCGGTTGTACGATATCGCGTGTACAACGCGTAAAAGCTAAGATCGTATTCATTGTTTGCACTAATGTCAGGCGAATCGAACTCAAGAAAAATGTCTCTTGCCCAGATCAACGATTCCCGGAGGTAAGCAGATCCTTCACGACCGGCAGTGGTTTCTAGGTGCTTGGTCGCTCTCGCCTTCCGTCACCATTATCGAGGCCTTGGGCGCTCTCCAACATCACGACAAAGGGAAGTTAAGGTTCTCAACATTCAACGTCTTGAAACACATCTTACATTTGCACTAAGTTCGTACACAGCTGTTTGAACGCTGTTCACCTGGCTTGCAGCATCCTCACTGCTTCTTGCAGTGTCGCACAAGGCCGAGCTCACATGTGTAGGCAAGAATCAATCTCGTCATCGCATTCAGAGGTCCGGTCGAGCTTTGGTCGCCGAGTGCGGTGAAATGACCTTATTTGGAACAAGATTCATGATCGCCTCTAGCGTCGCCTCCGGGACCGGGGTAAGCCACGTGAATTTGATAGCCTGACAGCCGTTATAGAGCCGCAAGCCAATCGCTATCTAACGTGGTACCGGTGCTCAGACAGGTACCGTTTTCGATAGCTTCGACTGTGGTTCCATTGCGGTTACGCTTACCAAGTGTCTAACCACGGGATGTCATCATACTTCCAGCTTAGGCCCGGCTGGACCATCATCATCTACACTTGTCAATTTGTGTAAGCTCATCAACCCGAAAGGTTTGTCATTTTGTTAGGACGTTCATCCGATCTGGATTGCCGTGGCGGGTCAGATCATCTCCGCAGCTACTGGTACCCTAGCACACATCTCCAGCATATATAAAGATCGAGCTCTGCCCCGGTCCATATCTCATCATCACGATCAGCTTAATCACCAACTCAAATTACACTCGTTCTTCAGCTGTTTCAACATGAAGCTCTCTGCTACTCTCAGTGCCGCTCTCTTGGCCAGCGGTAGCGTCGCTGTGCCTACTCCTGGACTCATGAGCAGCATCCTCGGTCTCCTCACCAACGACCTCAACCAGCTGCTGAACTCTCTCGGCATCAAGATCCACACCAATGGTAATCAGCACGGTACCAATGTCAACTACCACAGTCAGTGCCCATTCACTATTGACCCTGTCCCCATCGTCAACCAGGCAAATCACCACGATATCAGCTTCCCCAAGCCCTCCGGCTTCGTCAACTGGAAGACCTTCAAGGCCAACGGCGCCAACCTCGGTGGATGGCTCGAGAAGGAACAGACTCACGACCCCATCTGGTGGTCCCAGGTTGGTGGTGACGGTGCCTCTGATGAGTGGTCTCTGTGCCAGCAACTTGGCAGCAAGTGCGGTCCTGCCCTCGAGGCCCGCTATGCATCCTTTCTGAACACCACCACCATCGACCAGATGGCTACTGTTGGTGTCAACACCCTCCGCATTCCCACCACCTACGCTGCCTGGGTCAAGGTTCCCGGCTCTGCGCTCTACCACGGCAACCAGCAGCAGTACCTCAAGACGATCACCGACTATGCCATCAACAAGTATGGCATGCACATTATCATCGGTCTTCACTCCTTGCCTGGTGGTGTCAACAACCTCGATATTGGTGAGGCTTTGATGCATGATGGCTGGTTCTACAACGCTACCAACCTCGACTACTCTTTCCAAGCTGTCGATGCTATCCTAAACTTCATCAAGAACAGCGGCAAGATTTCCTCCTTCACCATCGCCCCCATCAACGAAGCCTCCGACAATCTCGCCGGCTTCGGTACTCCTGCTGGTCTCTCCATCAACGCCACCAACTGGATCAACACTTACCACGACGGTGTACTAAAGAAGATCGCCAAAGTCGACAAGCGCATCCCCATGATGATCCAGGACTGCTTCCAGGGTGCTTCATACTGGGCTCCCTTCTACGATGCCAGCGCCAACATCGTCTTCGACTCGCACGTCTACTACTTCGCTGCTGCTGGCGCTTACTCGCAGTACATTAACCCTGCTGTTTGCGGTCAGGCCGCCTACATCGCTGAGGAGACGAAGTTTCCGGTCTTTGTTGGCGAGTGGTCCCTGCAGACTATGTACAACAACACCTTTGCCAGCCGCAAGACCCTGTTTGATACCCAGCGCTATGCATGGAACAAGTACGTTTCTGGTGGTACTTTCTGGACTGCGGTCAGTTACAGTACTGCGAAGGTTGATGGAGAGGGTACTCAGCGCGAGTACTGGTCGTACATTGATCTGATCAACCAAGGTGTTATCACCCTTGCTACCAATGCGTCGTACTGCTAGGCAAGTCGCAAGCTGGATGTGATGGAACTGGGAAGCTTAGATGTATATACGACAATTGGTGGTGCTTTGCTTCTTTGTATATGATTTGTTGATGGAGGTATCTTTCCTTTCTTTCTATATATTCTGACGACAGTTCGACATACATTGAGGCACGAATGAATGATGTATTAGTAACGTGTTTTACAAGCGAGTCGGACAGACAAGCGAGTCGGACACCCCAGCAAGTTAACTCAGTGGATGGAGACAGTGGCTCCTTTGCTGACAATCTGCTGTGCTGCCTGGATGCATCTGAGCTGCCATGCCTGGCCAGGCTTGTTAGAGGGGGTCTGCAGTCTGTAGATGGCTGCTTGGTTGTCTACATGGATCCTGATCTCCTGGGAGGGGGAGGCCACTGTGGCAGCATACTCAAAAGCTCTGGTGATACCGCAATCCTTCCACCTATGCTGCCCAGTACAGCTGGAGGATTGGCAAGAGACTGAGGATTCCCCCTGGGACCAGGAGAGAGACTGCCAGTGCCTTCTATCAGCTGAAGCTTGGCCATGGATACAACAAAGCCTACTTGTTCAGGATTGGCAAGACTGACCACCCATCCTGCAGATCCTCTGCAAACAGCCTGCAACACCACCATTTGGCCCTCCCAAGCCTCCCCCAGGCCCTGCATCATCAAACTTTCATCAGCATCCATTGCAACACACCTCAGGCTATCACCTCCTCCAATTTTGGACCCTCCAGGCCATTATTGAGCTGTGCATCCAAGGTGCAGACTCTGTTTCCTGACCAGAAATTTTGAAGTTCCTGGCTGGACCCTGGAAATAAGCAATTTCCAGGGGTCTCTGGCTGAATTTTCCGGTCCCCTCTTCCCAAAAGACAGCAAAGCAAGACAACACAAGCATTCTGGCCTCTCCCAGGCCCTGCATCATCGAAATTCCATCAGCATCCATCTCATTAGTCCTCAGGCTATCTCCTGCTCCAATTTCAGAGTGTCCAGGCCATTATTGAGCTGTGCATCCTAACTGCAAGCCTCCTGCTCACAGGCATCATCCTCAAGAAGCCCAAGAAGCCAGACTACTCAGCCCCCAAGGCCTACAGGGTGATTGCACTGCTCAACTGCCTTGGCAAGGTGGTGGAGAGGCTGGTGGCCAAGAGACTTGGAGCCCTGGCTGAAGTCACTCACCTCCTTCACCCCTCCCAGATTGGTGGCAGAGTGCAGAAGTCAGCCATTGATGCTGCCCTCCTTCTCCTGGACAATGTGCAAAGAGCAAGGAAGCTGGGCCACACCACCTCTACTGTCTTCCTGGACATCAAAGGAGCCTTTGACCATGTGGCCCAGAACCGGCTTTTGGCCATCCTGCAGCAGCTCAGACTGCCCTGCAGTCTCATCTCCTGGATCCACTCCTTCCTCACCCACAGACAACTCAGGCTCTCCTTTGATGGCCAGACTGAGCCCTTCTCCAGCATCTCAGCAGGCATCCCCCAGGGCAGCCCAGTCTCTCCCATCCTGTTCCTCATCTACATCAGGCCCCTGTTCCAGTCCACAGCCAACTACTCCCTCTCCTACATGGATGACCTCTCCATCTCAGTGTCCTCTCGCCGACAACACCAACTTCTGGTCGACATCTCTATTGTTCCCCAGGCCTCCTGGCATCCCAAATCCATCAGAATCCATCTCAGCACACTCCCAAGAGCCATTCACTCCATTTTCAGACCCTCCAGCCTTCTGGTTGTGGAGTGCAGCCCAGGTGCAGTCCTGCTGGCTGTTCTGCCCCTCAATTGCAGAATTTTCCGGTCAGATCCTCTGCAAACAGCCTGCAACAACACCATTTGGCCCTCCCAGGCCTCCCCCAGGCCCTGCACCATCAAAATTTCATCAGAACCCATCTCAACACACCTCAAGCCATCACCTCCTCCAATTTCAGACCCTCCAGGCCATTATTGAGCTGTGCATCCCAGGTGCAGACCTCTGTTTCCTGACCGGCAATTTTGAAGTTCCTGGCTGGACCCTGGAAATAAGCGATTTACAGGGGTCTCTGGCTGAATTTTCCGGTCCTCTCCTCCCAAAAGACAGCAAAGCCAGACAACACAAGCATTCTGGCCTCACCCAGGCCCTGCATCATCAGAATTCCATCAGCATCCATCTCAATAGTCCTCAGGCTATCTCCTGCTCCAATTTCAGAGTCTCCAGGCCATTATTGAGCTGTGCATCCCAGGTGCAGTCTTTTTGGTCCCCTCTGACCGGAAATTTTGAAGTTCCTGGCTGGACCCTGAAAACAAGCGAACCACTCAGGCCTCAGCAACCCCCCAGGCCTAAGCAGCCCTGTCCCCTGACCGGAAAATCAGCTACCTTTCACCCCCACCACTAGCTCCACCACCAAAACAACCACTACCAGAACCACAACAACTTCAAACAACAATAACTCCACCACCCACCACTACTTTCTGGCCTGGTTTTCTGCTATCCCTCCAGAACATCAGCCTCTACAACACAACATCATCTCAACAACCAACTCAAGCCTTTTAGCTTGGTTTTCTGCTGTCCCAACTTCAATCTCTCCCCAGAGGTCTACTTGTTAGGCCAGTAAGGTGTGAAAGAAGGAAGGCCAAGTAAAACTGAGCAC